GTAGAAAATAGTATGTAATTACTACTATCGATTATGCGACAAATTAGCCTATTATAAAAGTAGTTATATCTATAGATGATGAAACTACTACTAAATTTATATATAAGGAGATCTATTACGCGTATAGATTACTAAGGGAAATTCTTTTAGATAATAGTGCTAATTTCGTATCTAGAGTGTTGCAACATCTCTATAATAAGCTTAAGATAAGGTATTAGTTATCTACCCCTTATCACCTATGTGTAAATAGTAAAAACGAGAACCTTAATAGTATTCTTAGGTCTATTCTAACTAGAATATATATTAGAAACGAAGTTATAATGTAGGAAGACTTCCTACTAGAAGTAGTCTTCTATTATAGAACTCGCATGCATTCTAGTATAGGTTTTAGCCTATATTATCTACTATATAGCCGTCATCTACGTATTCCTAAGGATGAAAACTAGCCTCGACTGCTAGATATTACTATTATAGATTACGAGAAGAGACTTATAGTTATAAAACATGTAAGGCACCTTATAAATAAGAAGCTCTTATAACAAGCGATCTATGTAAAGCTTATTAACTCTTAAATACTTAAGAAGCACGCTAGACCTACTTTTAAGGAGAACGAGTAGGTCTTATTATAAAACCTAAAACTAACTAAACTCGTTCCGAAATGGACTAGGCCTTACAAAATCTTAAAGGCACATTAGTTAGGCACGTATGCCTTATAAACTCCTAAAGGAAGAGTATTACGGCATTTAACTTATAGCAATCGGCTTATAAAGGCTAATTATATAAGTATAACAAGCTTTTAAAACTGTCCGAATCTATTAGTAGAGAAGTTATAGGTTAAACCGACTAGTTCATTAGTACTTAATGCACTAGATGGTAAAGAATTAATAGTCCCTAATGTTAAGACTTAGTCTACTCTATTAGAAGCTAAGTAGAGAAGACTATAGAATTTCGCCCTAGGATCTAATTATCGTCTAGGTATACGAAGATTCCTAGTAAGGGAGGGAGAAAAGGTTATAAGGACTACAACTAAGGTCGAAGACCTTAAGATCTCCTATGGCGTTTATAAGTTAAAAAGACTAAAAGCTAATAGGAAGTCTAGTAGCTAAGAGGACGCTTAGATGGCCCTAGTAGAGCTTACTATCTAAGAAGCCCTTATAAAGGTAGATAAGTAGCATAAGCAATACTAAGAAGAAGTGTTATAAAAGAAAATCGAAGATAGTAATAAGCTAAGAGATGAATTTAGCCGCTACTAGTAGTAGAAAGCTGCTATAATAGAATCTGCAAACATGGAAAAGGACTTAGTACTAATTATAACTACTATAACGGACGTCTTAAAGGCCTCTAAAGCTACTAAGAAGAACTAGTATTCCTTACATATAAGAAGAACTCCTATAAAGAAGTTTAGAACGTAAATTAAGTAAGGAAATGTTAATTATAAGCTACTTTTAGCTACTAGTTATCTATAATAAGGTAGAAGGCCTAACTATTAGTATAAATTAAAAAGAAAAGAAGGTTAGTAACATTCTACTACCTTAAAAAGATTATAAAAACCTCCCTACAATAAAGGAAAAACCCTAAAAATTAACTAAAATTATAGTTGCACCCCTATAACTATATCCCTAATTTAAAATCTACTCTATAACTTACTCGCGAGCCTCGCTACTATAGCGACGGTTATAACGAGCTCTCTACTATTCCTTATACTCTAGCTATAAGAAGAGTAGTGCATAGGCGCAAATTAAGTTAGTACCTAGAGCTGCTTAACTATACGAAGTTAAGGTTATATAGTCGTAAGGACCTATAGTACTTAGATAGAAGTCGTCGATGTCCTAAGCGTAGATAGTATTACGAATATCTAGACGGCGAGTTATAATATAGACTAGGTTAACTAATATCTTAAAGTTAATTCTTATGTTACTAGAAGACTAGGCAGAAGTAGTGTAGTAGCTATCGCGCTAACCTCTAATAGAATCGATAAGGTATTCTACCTATCCTATAAGAGATAAGTTACGAATAGCATCGTAAGTAATGTTAGGAATTAGAGAGCTACTACTTATAGCTATAGAAGAAGGGCTAGCAACTAGAGTCGAGTAACTATAAGAGTATCTAGGAGTTATAGGAGAAGGAGTTATAGGAGGAACCTAACTAAGGGATATATTACTTAGTAAGTCTATAACTAAGGAAGTAGCTACGCTCGAGCTAGTTATACGACGATGTTTAGTTATAACCTAAGGAGAAGTAGGGGAAATAATAACCTAAACATCTTAACGACGTCTTAGAGCGGGTATTATAGGAATAGCTATAATAAGAGCTCTAGAAGGACTAAGTACTTCGCTACTATAGTAGGAGCAGTTCTTATAGTAGTTAGGAAAGGTATAGTTAGTGCAAGCTCTAGAAAAAAGTTCTTCGTTAGGACTATTAATAGTGACATAGTTAGCAAAGTAACTAGAACCTTTCTTATAATTATCGTAGGCATTATTTCTAGAGTTAATAGTTCTTCTATAAGAAGTATAGCTAAGGAGAGATGTTAAGGCATAAGCACTAGTAGTTTTATATATATCTAACTTATTAGGTCTAAAGACTAGCTTGTAAACAGGCTCTAGAAGTTAACGGTTATTACAATCTAGGAAGTTTTCGAATGTAACTCTAAGATTATAGCATTCGCCTATATTAGCTAGGGCTAGAGCAAATAAGAGGGCCTAAATAGCGAAGCAGAGATCGAGTTTGCGCGACTTTTTGCCTATTATAGAAGTTAGAAAAGGCTATAATAAAGTTGTAAAAGTTAGAGGATTTACTTACGAGCATCGTCTAAGTCCTTCTTTATAGTATAATGTCCCTTAGGACTACCCTTACCTAAAGGCTTATAAAGAGGCTTGCCGCCGCTATTACTACTATACTTACTAGTTCTAGTAAGAAAACTAGTAGTAGGGCGTATAATAGATACCGACATTATTATAGAATGTAAGAAAAGTAATGTAAAGAGTATAAAGAAGCTATTATAAAGCGCGCGCGTAGTGGAAGCGAGTTATAAGTAATAGGAAAGAGAAAATTAGTGTGTAAGTAATAGGAAGTTGCTATAACTAATAAAGAAGGAGAAGAATAGTATGTAAGAGGTAGTATAATATGCAACTATTAAAGAAGGAAGAAGAAGTGGAAGTACTTAAGCAAGTTTAAGAAGCTTAATTAAGTTAGATGTTAATGTTATAGAGAAGGTTTAAACTAGATAGGAGGGATGGTTTTATACCTGAAATTTTATAAGCTAGTAACTATAACTCGGAGTTATAGGTAACTAAGGCGTAAAATTAAGAAGTAAGAAACTCGGAGCGTACTCCTTATAATGCTAGTAGGTAAGAAGTCGAAGTATACTATCGTTATAAGGGAAGGAGCATGTAAAAAATAATCTAAGATCATTATAGAAGTTGCTAGCGCTAAGGCTACTACCTAGCTAAGTGAAATTAGATATAATAAATATAACAAAGGAGGATTAAGAAATAGGAGGAGACATAGGAAGATGTAATAGCTATTATAGTAGGAAAGAAGATTCTAATAGTAGGTTATAAGTAATAGAAGCAAATTTCCTAACTATAATTAGAATTGCAGATAGAGAAGTTTCCTATAACTATAACTAAAGTTATAGACAAAGGAAGTTTTCTAGGAGTATAACTAAAAGTTGTAGATAAAGAAAGTTTTCTAGAAGTATAACTAAGAGTTATAGATGGAGGAAGTTTCCTATAGCTATAACTAAAAAGTTATAGAGGGAGAAGTTACCTATGGCTGTAATAAGCTATATAACTAAGGCTTCTTTAAAGTCTAACTAATTGTTTCCTTTATATTATTAATTTCTATTAATACTGGCAACGGTACTAAAGTAGGTGCTTTAGTCTAAGTAGGGGAGGATATTATTACGAAGCCGGAGTAAGCCATTGCTTGGCGGATTTGGTATATAACCGTGCCGTGCGCCAGTAGTCTAAAAAATTCAAGTTCCTTTGGCAATTACAGTCTTAAAAAGGCCAGTTTTGCGGCAATCAGGCATTCGTATCCGGTGCGTATTTAAGGTTTGATACATCGCATGATATTCAAAGACCCCGTACTTCAACACAGAGGTGGAGGAATTATATGGTCTGATCGACTGTCGTGTTCTTGTCTTTGAGGATTCCGTGAGCAACACGTCGAACATCAACCAATATCATACCCTCAAGCAAGAACAACCGCGAATCGATTATACCAGCCATGTGATAGCTTTTTCTGCCCTACTGTATTCCAGTGTCATCTTGGAGTCATTGATTGACCTGAAGGAGTTCCAAATCTCGCGTTCGTACCCTAGAGGCCCAGATCCAAAATTGCAACTGCCGTGGAGAGCGGTTAATCTGAGAATGGTCTAGTTGAACGGAGTATTGCGCACTTCCCCGCGCATTCTGCATCGTACTTGCCCCAAGCACAACTGCCGTGTTCTGGATCCGAGAACAGTGACCATGTACTTGATCCAGATTCCATAGCAAACCCGTACGCCTGGAAAAGCTTACTGTGCCAGCCCAGCAGGCCCGGCAGAGCTGTGATCAGAAAATGGCAGAGCAAACGAGCCCAGAAACGGTGAAGAAGGGAGGAAGTCTGGGGAGAACAGGCAAAATGCTTGGAAATGCTTGTTGGATCGACGCCTTCCACCACCGTGCACGTGGGGTCCCCATTCCCCGCACGCATGGTGGCGTTCTAGGAGGTCTCTTTCTCGCATCTGCCGTTACAGTGCAATTCAGCGATTGGACAACGGACTGCATGTATGGAGTTTGCTTCTTCGAAAGAGCTGAGGCTGGGGTCGAGATATAAGTTGGGATGCTTGCTGCATGCGAAGACCTCCACTCCTCTCTCTGGTCCAACCCTTACTGCAATTTTGTCTCTGCGACAGACTTTTGATCTTCGTCCATTTAATCCCCGAACGTCTAGTGTGACAGAAGCTTCTACACATCTTTGATCGATTGGGTCAAAACCCCCCAGCTGTAGTCAAGATGGAGATGAACTATAACGATGCAGAGTTGCATCAGATCGAGGAGGAGCTTGGCCAGGAGATCTTGCCTGGCACAGAGGTACATCGTCTTCCACCACCACAATCCAAGAACTGTTTGCTGAGACGTGTAAAAACAGATTATGGCCGATGTCGGAACCCACCACTTTGTAAAAGGCCATAGTGGTGTTCTTGTCCCTCAACCCTCAGATGACCCTCACGACCCCTTGAACTGGTCTACGAAATGGAAGTTCCTCGCTATCACATCAAGCAGTTTGGTTTCTTTCAGCCAAGGCTTTGGACCTCTAGCCCTGGCTCCTGCCTTTGGATACTATATCAAAGAGTTTGACTGTTCTTTGGCAGATGCTGTACAGTTCACAGGTGTTTCCATTCTGGTCCTTGGATTCAGCAACTTCCTCTGGGTGCCATTGAGTTCGTCTTTCGGTCGCAGAGTGGTGTACATTGCCAGTCAGTTGATGTGTCTGGCTAGTATGATCTGGAGAGCTAGAGCCCAGACATATGGATCCTTCATGGGTGCTTGTGTGCTTAACGGTCTTGGTGCTGGACCTGCCGAGTCTATTCAACCTGCCGTCATTGCTGACATCTTTTTCCTTCACAACCGTGGTTTCCAGAACACTGTCTACTGGACAGCATACATGGGTTCATTGATGGTGGCTCCAATCATCTCCGGTGTCATGTCAGATCGTCTTGGCTGGCGCTCTTTCTGGTGGCTTAATGTTGGCCTTGTCGCCGTATCACTCCTGATGGTCATCTTCTGCTTCCCTGAGACCAAATATCATCGCCCTCACCCTCACGAGATTCCTGGGCCGACTACCACTACTCGCAACTTCGATGACAGCAACTCAACACTGCCAGTGCCGGATAAGCTCTCAGGCGGTCATGTCGAAGATATCGAGATCCAGCAGATCGACACCAGGACTAGCATGCCTGGCCTTTCAGCAACCAAGACCGCAGACCGCGATCCTTTCCTCGGCAAGGGCTACCCTTCGAAGGCACAATGGAAGCTATGGCAGCCAAATGACCACCCCTTCAAGAGCATGATCAACGATCTCTGGCTTCCCTGGAAGTTGTTCGCATTCCCTATTGTCGAATTCGCCGCCTTTGTTTGCTCGTGGTCTTGCTCCAGTTTCTTGACTCTCAACTTGACCCAAGCCCAGGCCTTCGCTGCACCACCTTACAACTTCTCGTCCGAAAGCATTGGATTCTTCAACTTTGCTATTCTCATTGGTGCCATAATCGGTCTGGCCTCGTCCGGAAAGCTGAGTGATTGGGTAGCGGCTAGAGCCACAAAGAAGAATGGAGGTATCCGTGAGGTAAGAAAAGACAACTTGAGACCTATCATGTGTAGCTTCAACTAACACTTTATAGCCCGAGATGCGTCTGATCGCAATGATCCCCTACGTGATCATCATGTACATCGGCAACATTGTCGCCGCCATCGGCATGGAAAGAAAATGGCCCTGGCAAGTCATCGTCGTGATCGCCTTCGGTGCCGCCGGCATCCAAGTCGCCTCGATCCCCTCCATCGTCTCCACCTACGCCGTAGACTCGTACAAGCCCGTAGCTGGTCCTCTGTTCGTTGCTGTCACGGTCAACAAGAACGTCTGGGGCTATGGTTTCTCCAAATTCATCACTCCTTGGGTCGAAGAAGCTGGCTTCATCCCGCCGATCATGACAAACGGCTCGTTGGTGTTGCTGTGGTGTCTCTTCGGCATCTTGTTCTACTACAAGGGCAAGACGTTCAGAAGATGGTCCCGCAACTCTTCCGTGCATAAGATGTAGAATAAAGCTTATTGTTAGCAGCAGGGGAAGAGCAACTAGGCCAAGAAGGTCTAAGAATCAAATTTCACTTTCCAGAGTTTTTGTTGGTGTGCTTCGTGTAAAACTGTGCTTGTACCACTACGAGGCTCCGAGGACTAACTCGGATCTGCAAGATTTGACACCTGGATATAAGCAAAGGAGTGGTTAGAGTGGAGCACTTTACATTTTGGTTGAGGTAACGATCAGCGATGAACCATAACAAACTCGCCAACTCCTTCCTGATGCTGTGTGATCGGCGGTGAGTAACTCGATCCGATGCGACGATCTTCGCATCAGATGCCTTGTATGGAAGGTATGTTGATAAAAGTCAGAGAAGAGTAAAAATTCTTCGAGCTGCTGTGCAGAGAGAGAGAGAAAGTTGTGCATAATGTTGCTGTTATCTCAATATCAGCCCTATCCTCGTTCCTGTCTTCGTACACGACCACTGATCCACCCGTAAACACCCGCTGCTTTGAGACGAAAGGAAAACAATGATCCGAATCCAAGACGTAAAGAGAGGTTGAACGAGAAACAAGAACAGAGAAGAAAGGAAACTCGGAATCCTCGTTAAGCTGCATGAGGTGAATTTATTGCGTACATGGAATCGTCGAATCTAGGCAGAACAGGGAACAGAAAAAGAACAAAGTGCGCGCTGCAGAACAGAAGATCCTACTCCAGCGTCGCGCTTTTTTGAAAACAAGCAAGGTAAGAAGCAATCAGCATGTTGGTATCCAAACAATCAAGCGCTGCATGAATCGGCTTCTGGTAGCCCAGGTGGAACATATGCAACCTCCCATGATTGAGCAAACGCCTGCAACACCGCGACATGCTCGAAATTCCGAGTCATATCGAGTACCCCTGGAAAAAAATGAAAAAGCAGAAGAGAAGGAAAAAGAACAGAGCTTGGAGAGTCCATGTGTACTCTTTGCGCCTATCGGCAACCGAAGGATATCGTCTTTAAAAATCGTGTGGTTCACCATTCACATCGGGGTCGTCCTTGTCCTGTTGTTCCGGAGGAGGCTCGATCCCTGCATCGCGGTCTTGCACGTTGGCTATTCTGTGCTGCTCCTGGGTCTGTCTGCTGTCGTCTTCGTCGTCCCCCTTCTCTTGCGGGTCATCACTAGCAGCCTCTTTTTGCACAGCATTGCTAGGTCCAGACATGGCGATTTTGTCGTCGTCTGGTTTTGTCTCGGCATCCCAGACATCAGACTGAGATTCTTCAAACCAACCACCTCGTTCCCACTCGCCTTTGACATAGACGTTCTTGTGGCGAACATTCTTGTCAACAATTCCGGTCATGATCTCTTGAAGACGCGGGAAAGAGATAGGCTTAAGAATCCAGCCGTCAAAGCCAGCATCGACATATATTTGGCGCTCTTTCTCAAGAAGAGATGCAGAAACTGCAATGATAGGAATTCTGCCGTTGAGAGATGCCCGGGTAGAGAGCAAATGTGAAGGATGCGACTTCTCAAATGAACGAATAACCTTGGCAGCTGTGAGACCATCCACAATAGGCATCTGTAGGAAGTTAGTAAGAAAGACCGATCAGCGAACACTTTAAGAAACGAACCTGCATGTCCATCAAGACAACATCAAAGTAGCCGCTCTTGTCTCCATGAGTGCTGGAACATTCCTCGCCGTTTGAGGTAAGGTAGATTTCGTGACCCATTTTCTCGAGTCGTTTCTTGATGATCCTACTGTTGACCGGATCGTCCTCGGCAACCAAGACACGCATATGGTCCGCTGTAGGAGCTTCATCTGTTGTCTCCGGAGGTTCCTCTTGATGCGCACCAAGGACGCGCGACGACTCCTGTGGTTGGTCTTGAGCTGCAGGAGGAACATCGTCTGTTTCCTCTGGCACGCGCACGGCTCGAACGGGTCGTCCTTGGTCCATGATACTTTTCCTGCCAGGCGGGTCTCTTATTACCTCTGTACTTAGTTCTTGTGGGTTGGTTTCGTTGCTCATTGATCGAGGCCTTAGTGACTGGCTGCTGCTTGGGAGTGCTGATGTACTATGTCGTGAGCCCAACATTGGCCTTTGTCCACTACCAGAACCCTTTCCACGGGAAGGCGCGCCTCTTTTGGCATCGACGGGTGATGAAATTGCGTCAATGAGTCTATCGGCCTCGCTTCGAGTTGATTCTTCACTGGCATGACTGCGCCCAGACTTCATGCTCGGCAAACTGCGCTTGCTGTGTATACTTTCGTTGCTTGTTGTGCGAGAAAGAGATTGCTCGGTCGAGTTCCGCCTTTGGCTGCCACGCTCAACAAGTGTGATCTCGCCCTCGTTGCCTGCAGAAATGAGCGTGGATCGTTGTGATCCTTCTGACATGGACCCTGCAAGCGTTTTCTGTCCGTTGGTAGGTAGATCGAATGGCAATTGCAGAGTGAAACGCGAACCCTTGTTTTCGACAGATTTGAGTCGCAATTGCCCGTTCATGTTTCTGACGATACGCGCTACCACAGCCAGACCGAGGCCTATAGTGCGCGTCTCTTCCGACCCTGACTCAACCTGTTTGGCATTGAAAGCCGGTTCCTCGTCCAACATATCGTGCGTTTCACTTTGCACTTGTTCCAGTTCTCTGAACAAACTATCCAACTTCTTGCTGTTCAAACCACATCCAGTATCGGTAATGGTGATCTCGACCTCGACATGTTGTTCTTCTCTGGAGAGCACATACATCTCAATGCTTATTCCGCCAGTCTTGGTGTTCTGAATGGCGTTTGCTGTGACATTGGATATAGCTTGGCGAACCTTTCTCTGATCTCCAATGACAGTGGCGGGGAGGCCAGGGTGCTCGATCACGTCGTAGCTGAGCTTCTTGCGGCGCGCGTCACCAGCGAACTGATCTGTGGCGTCTCTCAAAGTAGCAGACAAGTTGAATGGCTCTTCCTTGGTAAGACTGCCGCCTTCTTCGGTCTTGGTGAGATCTAGTAAGTCGTTGATAACGTAGATGAGCGACTTGGATGCAGAATGTGACTTGGACAAATTCTCGCGTGTATCTTCGTCCAGACTGCCTTCCAAGGCTATCTCGAGATAATTGATAATGGCGTTGAGCGGCGTCCGCACCTCGTGAGCCGAATTAGCTAGAAGTAAGCGTGTCAATTGGCTGTTCTTCAGCGCAGCCTCCTTTTGCCGCCAGACCTCAATAAATTTGCCATAGACAAGGCAGAGGACAGCAGCTGTTTCGATCTCCTCCTCGGTCCAATCGCGACACTTGCCAACGACTGTCTCACTCCAGGTCTTGAAACTCTTTCTAGGCTCGAGGTATCCCTCAGTGCCTTCTTTAACGAATTTCTCGTAAGGATTACCTGCCCACTTCACCTCTCGGAGCTGCCCTCTGCGGAAAAAGACGATGAAGTCGTTGCCACCAGCAGAAAGCGGAACAACAAGTAGACCAGCAATGTGATGGAAGCCAGGTGGATAACGTAAATCGGGAAACTCTTCCTTCAAATCTTGTGTGGCAGTGACAGAGGTGAGTTTGCGCATTCTCAAATACTCAAGCATGGCCAAAGCTTCTTGAGTCTCTTCGACATGTCCAAGCACTTTAGTCTCATCTCTGATAGAAAGCATACCAAAATCAGCATCAAATAGCTTCAAGAGGTCTTCTGACGAAGCAATAATATATCCGGATGGGTTCTTCGATGTTGGAACAGTGTTGATAAGTTTGCGAGCATGAAGTCGTGAGGCATATGAAAGTCGTTCAATATTCCGTGAAGCAGTCTCACCAACGAGCCTGCACATCTTCCTGATAGGGAAAGAAACACGAGTTCCCTTGGAACCATAGGCGTGGCAAGAAATCAGACCCCAAAGTTCATCAAAGGCGTTGATTGAGATGGACATGGATGACCGCACAGCCATGTTGGCAAGGTACTTGATGTGAATGGGAGACATGGCTCGAAGGTAGGAGTATGTCAGATCCAAGGGTTTCTCCAGGTCTTGTACAGTGCGGCAGACCAGGCGGGCGGTCTCATGGTCGCGATCGTACAGCATGCGAACCTTGTTGATCTTGTAGAGCTCTCGTGCTTGCTTTGGGATGTCAGAAGCGGGGAAGTTCAATCCTTTGTAAAGATCTTTGGTGGCCCTGGGATCCACTAGCTCGGTCACAACACGACCGTTCCACTGGGAATCGAATTGGTACACCATGACGCGATGAAAACCAGTAAGTTCCTTCACGACGCCGACAAGGATTTTGAGAAACTTGTCCAAATTAGGAGCAGCTGCAAGCTGTTCTTGTACTTGCGACATGACATTGAAAACCTCCATGGCGGCAGCCTCTCCCTTACGTTTCCTGGCACTACGTAGCACTCGTAAAGGCTTGCTCGCGATCTCTGTGCTCTCAGCATACTCGTCAGCTGTTGGGTTTGAGCTGAGTGTGTCTTCGGGCAGGTCGGGTGTCCCTTCATTGTGAGGAACTAAAGGATAGACTGGGTCGTCTTCGAGTTCGAATTCGCAGATGACGAGACCGGGATTCTTATCAGTGATGTGCATGGCGCACCACAGCTTTTGCAGCTTCCGTTGTGGTGTTCGTATTGACATGGTGAAGACTTCGGGCCCATTCGAGCCCACATCTGCCTCTTCGTCTCTAATGAAGTCAACATGATCCAGAAGGTTGTCTGTTTGATCCTCGGAAAGAATATCTGTGAAGCTCTCGAGGGCAAATAATTGCTTTGGTGTGTAGCCGATAAGCCTCTTGGAGTTTTCGCTGACAACTCTCACAATCAGTTTGCCTTCGGTCTCTTCTTCGAACGCGATCAGTAGTCCAAAGCTTTGAACGGCACCAGGGATGTGAATGGGTTCGTCTTCACAGCGCTGGAGCGTCTCTCCGTCTCTGCCGGTGATGATAGCGTGGCCTCCTTCAGATACTACATGCTTGAATCGAGCGGTGATCAGGCCAGTCCCTGTCTCATCCGTGGCGCTTAAACTCTTCATGGAAGGTGCGCGTTCTGACGACCGTGGACGGGTGCTTCGCGAGTCGGTGGAGCGATTGTCGCTATCGTTTCTGCTAGAAGCGAGTTCGTTGAACAATTGTGCCGAATGCCGGTGTTTCTTGTTCGCGCTACTCGAACTCTGGCGGTCTTGAGACTTGTGCTGATGACTTTCTGTAGAACCACTGGTCTTGTTCCTTGATGAGGCGTCGTGAGCCTTGTGATCTGATTCGCTAGCCGTAGAAAACCGTCTGCCCTGGTGAGGCGTCTGGGTAAAATAACCATTATTGCTAGTGTCGGAGCGATGCGAAGGGGTAGCATTGGGGTCGACGGAAACGACAGAGCGGATAGGAAAGACGCGGTCGGCGACGTCTGGACTCAGCGGATCGATTGGAGAGCGGCAAGTCGGTGCATTGTCCGCGCCAGGCCATAGATAGGAATGCGGGCGATTTTGATCTGAGGTCGACCTCCCTTGAGATTCTTGGGAAGACTCTGAGCGCAACGACGGGCTTTTGTCTGGTTGACGTGATGCTTCGTCTTCAGACATGGTGTTGGGCGTCGGCCTCGGCGAATGCGGTTATGGCAATGGCAAGGAACGTACAAGACGTCCAAGCACAGGAAAAAGGTCGTCGCAGTAGGTGCGCAGGACTACAAGGCGGCCGGTATGAATGAGTGAAGACTAGTCGGTGGAGCGTTGCCGGCGAAGAAGGGGCCAGACTTTCACTCGAGATGAGCAAGCGTATGTGAGTGACGCCACGTTGGGCCGAGACAGAGGGACTGAGCGACTGCGTACTTTGGGATCTGGAGACAATGAAAGGCCCTGCAGCCCTGTCTGCGACGCGATATGGATGGGTACGGGTGAGAAGACGAGATGGCAGCACTCGAGAGAGGTTCTTGCCAACCTGATTGCGGGTGGCGATGGCTCGGCTTAGATTGAAGCGCGAGAGTCGAGTTTCCCTTTCGGACGTTTTCTCTTGGCCTGGGAGTTGTGAAGTTGCGCCCTCGATCCCGAATGCTCGATCTCCACGATGCAAGCCTTAATTCTGTCTTGCGCCTCGATCAAGCACTGCTTAGCACTGCAAAGGGGCGCGAGAAAGACTACTGTTACAGTATATAAGGAGTTGTTCAAAGAAGGCAAGAAGAATCTGGTTGAGCACAGGGCAAGGGAGGCATCGGTGATGCGCAGAATGTATCATTATCGCTTGAATACGCTTGCGGAGCTGATCAGCATGTTACACCCGCACTTTGCTGGGCAAGGCTCGCTCCCGTTGACTGCATCACTTTTTCTGCTCGACATGAACGCGCACCATGTGTCCTTGATTTCTTTACGTATCGAGAGCCTGGAAACTGTCGGCATGCGTAGAACAATCTGTTTGTCTCTCTGCCACATCTTGAAGGACCGTCTTATCAACCGTATTGTGCCGCACACAGCAACCAATCCATATCGGATGTGAGCAATGCATGAGAAATGCAATTACTATTTAGGGTTTGTGACCTGGCTTTTGCGATACCCTTGTTGTTCTTGAAGCTATAGCAAAACACACATAACATAATAAGATGAAGAAGGCCCACGCTTCGCCGGCAAGGGCGGCTGAGTTTGTCGACACTGTGGAGCCGTTGCGTTTGTGGCTGGATTGTACATGTGCATCTCTGGCTGGATTGTACATGTCGATGTAATTGTCTCTTCAGCATAAGGACAACATCGGCCCCTAGTGGAAACCGAGGCAGTTTGGGCTCAAAAACACCTGCAGGAGTCTTATTGTAGGGCTGAGGAGCGTGGAGGGCTCGAAGCCTGGAGATCTGCTTGTGACAAGATCTCCTTGTTCAATGCACAGTGGAGGGTCATACATCAAGATGATATTTAGCTTGGACCAGTATCGTTCAACAAAACCCCATGACTCGCGAATGCAGCTCGTGATCGCACAGGGTCGAATGTATGAAGTCTATATGTATAATAACATGGATATAATAGAGTGTTGATATAAGTTGCAAGCTGGCTGTCTTTGTTGTCGTCGGAGCACAAAGAAGCAGGAACGAACGTATGCCAAGCTTCATATCTCGGCCGTCATGCGACACCGGGGACAGTGATGGCTAACGCCGAGCAAGCAGGTGCAGCAGGCTTCCAGAGATCCGACCGACCACGACTCTTGCACTCTCGCAGTCACGACTAAACCTTGCCACAGACCAGACCAAGAACCTACTCGTACTCAGCAACCTTCTCCGCCACACTTTCTCGCCAACCGCTTCATCGCCCTGCTCTTGCACGAGAACAAGCCTGTAGCGCCCCCACTCCGCACCACCCTTCACCCCGCATCCATACCTAGTCATCGTCGACCTGAGCAACGACGACGACCTGATCAGCTCCGCAAAGCCTCAGACACACTCCTACACTCCCTCAGACCCTCACAACCACAGCCAATATGAGCAGCCCGAAAAGAAGAATCGAGACGGATGTAAGTCTATGGGACTTGGAACAAAGAGCTGGAAAGTAGCATGGGCTGACACCTTCTCTTGCTGCATCCAGGTCATGAAGTAAGTATTGGACCGCCCAGAAAGCTCTCGCTGTCCCGTATACTGACTGTCGACAGGATGTATGTATAAACGCCATCTCGAGCCATCACGTGCATCTCTGACAGGTCAACCAGGATGATGAGCGACTACGAGGTCACTCTGGTCAATGACAACAGTAAGCCCACATCCAGTCACATCGCCGTTGCATACTCTGTTAACTAAAGTTCTAGTGTTTGTATCCATCCGCTCACTTGTATGTTATTCGCCGTAGAGCTTACACACGTGCAGGCAGGAATTCTTCGTCAGATTCAAGGGCCCCGAAGAGAGTAAGATACAGCATACAAGGCGGCGATATCAACATGATGCTGAAGCATTGCGTAGCACCCTTCCAGGGCGGTCTCTGGAAAATCCATGTCGAACTACCCGACCAATACCCATACAAGAGTCCCAGCATTGGGTTCGTGAATCGCATCTTCCATCCCAACATCGATGAGCTGTAAGGCCTCTGTAATATGAGACGAACGGCAATCAAGATCTGACGATGCCCAGATCTGGCAGCGTCTGCCTCGACGTCATCAACCAAACGTGGTCGCCAATGTACGAAATGGTCAACATCTTCGAAGTGTTCCTTCCCCAACTGTTGCGCTACCCCAATCCGACGGATCCTTTGAACGGCGAAGCTGCAGCTTTGATGATGAGGGAACCGAAAAGCTATGAAGCCAAGGTCAAGGGTGAGAACCGTTGAATGTATTTCACATTAGCGACACGACTAATCGTTGTCAGAGTACGTCTCGAAATATGCATCCAAAGAAGCGGCCGAGGATGCAGGCGAAGACTCGGACGATGACGATGAGATGAGCAGTGTAGGCAGCTTCGACTCTGACGATGAACCCGCAGGTAATATGGACGAGCTTTGATTCAGGGACGAGGAAGCGCAAATTACATGTCTGCACCTTATTCGAAGTTCGATGGCATTGCTAGGTAGATCAAGCGGCGCAACGTGATGGACAGCAGGTTGGGGGCGTTTGAGGGATCTGGGACGGCGTTTTCACTCTCATATTGCTATTGCTATTCTGTTGGAGGAACTAGGAGCTGAATCTTCACATTCGATGAATGCATGCTTAGGTACACAGACGAACTCTGAATATGCTTTGAAAAGGCTTTGGAGCTGAAACCGAGCAAGCTTCCAGATCGCATATGAGGTGTGTGTTAAACAAAGGGACTAGACAAACAACGGTTTAGCGGATCAGAATGGCTTTTTCTCCAGATGCGGCCCCACTGTGGGACAGTGGAAGGTGGGAGGATGTCAGGGAAAAGGAGAGGCAGCAAGAGTCAGGAGGGAGTGCGTGCGCAAAGTAGGGAAGGTTCGACGCGTAGACCAATCCAACTTCAGAAGTGACCTGTGTAGCCACATGGATCAACCAAGAAAGCAAAGTAGAGGCGATCGATAGGAAAGCGTTGTGCGAGTAGGACAACGGCAGAGATAGCGTCGTCCAAAGTGGGACATGTAAGCGGTGAGAAGACGCAAGAGATCCGAAAGGATGTCATTAAGGTGGTGCAAAAACGTGCCTTCCGCGTGGCTGGTTCCTTTGCCTTGTTCTGAGACGACGATGCAATGCAAGGTTAGTACGATCGACTAAGCATCTTGGAGGATGCACTTGGCAGATGAGGTCGGCATGGAAGGTTTGCAGAGCGGAACACAAGGCATGGCAGGAAATACAACAGTGTCTGCAATGGCCCATGTCCATTGCAGTGAAGACTATCAAAAGATTGTTGCAGGGTGAATTGCTTCTGGCGGACACAAGAAAAGAGGCCCTCCTGCCTGAGTCAGTTGGGTGCTCAAAGTTTTGGCGGGAGGACCTCTAGCGCGTACCAACGGGAAGGCTCGCCAAGGGATGCAGCATGGACATGGCGATTTGGAGTCTTCAGCTTCTCTCGACACCCTCGTTGCAGCATTTCAACAACGATAGAGACGACGACGCCATACACACGACACGAGTTATGATTTGAAGCCTGCATCAATTCCCAACACAACATTCATAATCCAACCACGACGTCGCTTCGCCCACCGTCCCCGTCGCCCGCAAAGGCAGCCAGGCTGCTCCCACAATGGGCAACTCCAGCGGCAAGCCCGTCGTCTTCACTGATGAAGGTAAGCCTTCTTTCTCGCCATACCACACACAATAGGACGGACATTGATACCCAGTAGTAAGCCTCGACCACTTTCGACTGCTCCGTGTCGTCGGCAAGGGCGCCTTTGGCAAGGTCCGCATTGTAGAGCGAAAGGACACTGGCTTGACCTTTGCTCTCAAATATATCCGCAAAGATGAGGGTGAGGCCACTGCTGCCCAGACACGACGACCTCGACTGACATACGGCCAGTGGTACGCAGCGAGAGCGTAAGGAATATGATTCGAGAACGACGGATGCTGGAACACCTCAACCACCCCTTCTTGTGCAATTTGCGATACAGTTTTCAGGACGTCGAATATTTGTACATTGTCGTCGACCTCATGACAGGCGGTGACCTACGCTTCCACATTTCTCGCAAATCCTTCACCGAAGAGGCCATTCGCTTCTGGATCTCACAACTGGGCTGCGCTCTGCGCTATATCCACAAGCAGAACATTGTTCACCGTGATGTCAAGCCCGACAACGTGCTGCTTGATTCTGACGGCCACGTGCATCTGGCTGATTTTGTGCGTCATCTCATTGGTTCATTGCCATGACATAACTAACTATTGGGCAGAACGTTGCAACAGACCTCACACCTGGTAAGCCTCTCACCAGTCGATCAGGCACATTAGCCTACCTTGCGCCCGAGGTATATCGTGGCAAGGGCTACGGAGCCGAGTGCGACTGGTGGTCGTTGGGTGTGCTCTTCTATGAGTGCATCTACAGCAAGGTATGACGTGTTTCTGACTACTGATACGCACAATCTAACAATGCTCGCTGTAGCGACCTTTTGAAGGACACCACCACGACCAACTTATCCAAGCTATCGTCAAGGGCGAGCCCAACTTCCCTGTTACCAACCCTCCCGTGTCGATGGTGTGTATGCACGCGATCAGTTCGCTGCTGGAGAAAGACAAGTCACAAAGAATCGGAGCCAGCAGCTGGAATAGCTTCACCGACAACCCCTTCTTCCGCGAACTCGACTTTGATGCGCTCGAGCGCAAGGAGATTGAACCCATCTTCAAGCCTTCAAGCGAAAAGACAAACTTTGATGCTACATATGACTTGGAGGAGCTGCTACTGGAGGAGGCCCCATTGGAAGCGCGCACCAGGAAACAGAAGCCTCGTCCCGAGTTACGAGCTGATGCCACCGAGGCCGAAATCCGTGCTGACGAGCTGCACCGCATGATTGAAACCATGTTTGAGCCGTTCAACTACCTCACCGTTCCTGAAAACAGGTACGACACTTCTTCATCAAACGACCAATTCCAAGCAACCAGGCTGATTTATCCTAGAAACCCTGTCAGCGTTGAAGGCGAATCACCCGTCACTACAAAGTCAGATCACAACGATAGCCCCGCGCCTCAAGACCTGCACAAGGTCCGCTCAATACCCACTCCTCATGCCTCTACACCTCACAACGTCTCCCGTACCCGCTCATCAACGCAATCGCCCAATGGCTCTCCTCCGCTACCGACCCACCAAGTTCAGAACAACGCACATTCGCAATCCGAATACTTTGCCCAGCAACAACAAAGACTTCCTCGTTCCGAGCGCTACGACCTGCCTCCCCCTCCCCCTCCTCCCACTTCCCACCCGCAACAAGCCAACAACAAAGCTCACCGTCCTCGTGGCAGCACCCGAAGTACCTCTATGAGTGGTGGCGTTCAGGTTGTGCTGAATGAAACCGGCAGCTGGAGTGAAATGGCCAACCAGAGTCAGACACTTGTCCAGCCCCAAGAGGAGCGTAAACCTGCTGGTATGCTCGGTTTCCTTAGTCGCAAGAAGGGCAGAGATCGAAGCCCCAAGGCCAAGGAGCGCGAACGTGGTGTTCTAGGTAAAGAAGGTGCCAGAGTCGTGGTTGGAAGCTGAGCGACTTATCTCTGACCACCTTTTCCCGTTCTCTTCCTCTTCGAACCACGGATCTCTCCTGGACACCAGTTTGCTGTTCTATTCCCATTTAATCGTTGCGGCTCATTTGTCATCCGCTGGCTGTTTGCTTACTTTCTGTTTATTTTCTTCCCGGAGCAGGCGGCGTGAAGCACAAAGGATGGCGATAGGCGAACAGCGGGTGTTTTCTCGTGTTTTATTTCATGTCTGGATTTTTTCTCGATTGTTGCAATGCCTAGATTGGTTCAATGATGTGTCTTTTCAGGAAGAAAGAGCCGGGACTTTTCATGGAAGCAAAGCCACAAAAACGATTTTGCACAAGAAAGCAAAGGTGTGAGATAACCACCGCTCCCTTTGCTTCAAGAGGATTGTTGACCTCACATCACATCACCTCAACCTTTCGCCAGCCCACAACCAACACACATACATAGAGGGTTAGGTGAAAGAAAGAGGGATCGTAGTGATGAAGGCAATAATCTCTTTTTTTTCTCACTCTTTCTTTCTTCAGCATTCTCAGAGTCATGCATAAAGAGTTGTTGTCTCTTTTTCTCTTTTCCATTTTAGCCTTTTTTGTACAAAAACCCTTTACTCAATATCGATATCCCCGAATGTTTGTGCATAAGCATACGCTCTAAATCTCAATTTTCTCACTTTTTGACTGCAATGGTATCCCCACAGTGAAGTACATCATTATGTATAGCTATAGAAATGCAGGAATTTCATTGGAAAAGCGGTAGTGTCCCATTGAGAGTTTGCAACGGTATCAGCTCTCTGTGGATATCTTTGTTATTGGGATTCATTTCTGCATTTCTGCTGCCTCACAATGGTCTTATGCTATGATTGGAGAGTAGGGCAGGGTGGTAGTTCAGGGGCACACCACAGGTAAGGATCTACTATCTCCCTTGGCATGCTAGACGGTTATCAAGCTATCAAGATGCATAATATATAAGAAAATGCAGGAGTATCGCACTGAAAGTCCAAGGTTTATCAGCTCTCACTGGACATCTATGGGATAGGACACACTTTTGCATTTTTACAGGTCAGAAACAACGACCTATTGCATTCGGGAGCTCAAAATACTGCATGTTTATGTTGCACTTTTCATAAGAGATACCATGTTTTATTGTGTGATGAGAGCCAAAGCTATAGAAAAGCAACGCATTATCCTCTTCCTCCTCAAGTAACCACCATTATTCCACCGAACCATGCAGAAAAGCAGAAAAAAAAGCAAAAGGGGTATCATCCGCGCGAACTCCAGAAACCACCAGTCACCAAGGTATCATATCGTGTAGGTCATCAGTTCTTAAGGGGCCAGAGAGGGTTGTTGTTGGTGTATTCAGGAGGCCACACCTTGCCAGGGGGGTCCTCAAACTCATCGACGTAGCCCCAGATCACCTCCTCATCCTCTGGAGGCAAAGTGCCACTGTGAAGTGCAGCCTTGCGATGAGCCAAGTCGTCTTGGTGACGAGCAAGCTCAGCCTGGCGTTCAGCCTGGCGGCGGGCGAGTTCAGCGGCAGGGATGTTCTTGTAGCCGGCAACAGCGTTGTAGATGTTGTTGCGCATGGCGACGCGCTCGGGACGGAGGTAGTCTGGGTTGTCGAGGTCGTTGCGGGTGTCAGGGAGGTAGTCGCGGAGAGTGTTGTCGTTCTGGGTCTGGTTCTGAGAAGGGGGGAAGTCTGCGTCGACCTGCTCGACGATGTGTCTGAAGTCACGCTCATCAATGTCGGCCCAGTTAAGATCGGTGAGGGCGACAGTGGCAGGAGGTTTGGCGGGTGCAGGCTGGATGCGAGGAAGGGTGCCGCTGGCAGACGGGACGGCCTCCTTGCTGACCGAGTCAATGATCTTAGTGGCATTGACCTCAGGATTATTGCGAGTTGCGCCTTCGAAACCTTCGCGATCAAGGTCGCGCCAGGCGTCGGCGGCGGGTGCAAAGCCAACAGTGTGAGGTAGCTGCGGGTAGGTGGTAGCAGGCTTGCCCATGACGGCGTCGTATTCGTGGACGTAGTCAGGGTAGTAATCTTCAGGGACGAAAGACTCCTCAGACTCGTTGTCGGAGTCTTTGACAGGGGCAGTCTCTTCGTATGCGTCGTTCAATGCAGTCTCGTCGTATGCGTCGTCGAGCTCTTCAAGATCCTTCTGAAAATGAGTAGTCTGGGTGCGCTTGTTTCTCTTGCGAGATCTGCCATCTTTGCGAGACTTCTGGTGGCGCATGACGGGAGCAGACTGAATGGCTGCTGAAGCGGCTTGCGATGCGGCTTGGACTTGAGCTGGCGAAGCGAAAGGCACTCTGGCGTACTTCTGGTCTAGTTGGTGCATCTCGGCGATGTTGGCAGATGGATGATCGTCCCAAGGCGAAGCGTAGGTGGCTTTGGGGATGGCGGTGTTGTGGTTGTGAGCGTAAACTTGCTTCCACCAGCCTGGATAGAGAAGACCCAAAGCCTCAAAGACGTCGAGACAACGCACTGCCTTTGCAGTTCTGTGGTGGCGCACGAGGTGAATCTCGCACCAGCGAGTCCACTGCTCCTTGTTCTTGATTGTGCGACCGTCAGGCTTGAGGTCTTTCTCCCATTCAACGAAGAAGACTGTCATCAAGTGTGCGTAGTCACTGGCTGAGTACTCCATAGCAGCAGCAATGAGACGTTCGAGCGACCAGTACTCGCGAACACCCTCCTTACGTAGGCCTTGTTCCAACCAATTCTTTTGACGGATTATCTGGAGCGCCTCAAGGGCACATGCTTTCTTGCCATAGACCTCGACAGCATCGTCGTCATACCAATGACCTGTGGGATGAAGGACAACATTGCCACCAGCGTTCATGGTGCCTGGTCCCAGCTCCTGGTCAACATTATCGAATGTCTCCCAAAGCTGGTCGGCCGTGGAAAACAACTTCTTCGTAGACATTCTGGTCGTCCAAACTATTTACGCCCATTAAGGTTAGCTCAGCGCCGAGATGCGTAACGAAAAGCTCAATACGCATGGCGGAGCACGACTAAGCGCTTTCATTACGTATAGAGAAGGCGGCGTAACTTACGGATGATGATGATGTCGCTTTTATGCGAGTCCGTCTGATATGGTTGATAGTTGTGCAACGATCAAAGAGACTCAGAAGGGCAGGGTCGCGCGTAAGAGTACGACGTAAAAGTTATGCGAGCGCCGAGATGGTTGACGACGACGTAAAGATGTGCGAGCGCCGAGACGATCGAGTGTACGTCGAGAGTAATGAAGGGACGTAACGACAACAGCTTCGACAGGGTCGCGCGTAGCTTTTGATTAGAGTGAGAAGTGAAATGAGAGGTGAATTGAAGATTATTATGGTAAACAAGTGAACGAAATTTGTGTGTGCGGAAGTATGAGACGAGTCGTGTCGACGACCAATTTTCCGTACCTGTCAAACGAACGAACGCCGAGTGAAGGGTAACAACAAGGATTCCGACTTGTGCAGTATTCCAGGACGGTTGGTATGATGTTCAGACTGAAGACCAGGACCTTGGGTACGGTGACCTTGCCTGGCATCTTGATGACCATCAACAACTTCCACCAATGTCTCCATCTCATGAACAAGCATGCAAAGATACTGAATCTTCAGATGGCAATGCTTATTTGAAAGTATGATATCCATCGGGTGTCCAGATGCCTTGCTGTCTCCCATAGAGGTTTGAGAAGAAGCCGGGGACTGGCTGCCAGATGAGACTGGGTGTTCTCACACCTTTCATAATCCCACGCGATAAGATTCTTCCAGAACACCACAGTCGACGTGAGAGCTTGGTGATATGTTGGTCGTTACTGCAATTGGCGCAGCATGAATCGTGAGCTTCCCAAGGCGAGATTCATCAGAGGTGCCGAGAGCAACTCATATTGCTCGCGAGCCCAAGAGTCGCATCTATATCCTGCAGATGTCCAAGTAAGGTCAAGTATTTTTTGACGTAAGCGCAGGAAGTCATTTCTTGTTCTTTCCTTCTTTTTCTCATAAGAATATTGACTTGAAGAGTCGTGACAAAGGAAAAGTTGACACAAATGTCAGGGTATCAAACAAGAAAACCAGGGACGAAGCCCCGGGGTTGAGGAGAAACATTCAAGTTTTTATTTGTATCCTTCTCTCTCATCTACGTAACAAACCCACTTTGCAGGTCTAAGAAACGCCATCGCAGCCCCCAAGCCCAAAGATGCATGATCGATAATGCTCGTCAATAAGTAAAACTACTGGTACAACGAAAAAGAGACGTGGAATACGTCTAGTTCTCAGGTCTGTTCTCAGCATAGCCGGCACTGCCCACAGCTTGCTCAGTGGTCTCTTCTGAGCTTGCGGGCTTGGACAGACCGTGCTCCTTGAGTAGAGCGTCGATCTCCTCGGCACCCCAGAGGTGGTGGTAGACAGTGCCTTCCTTTGTTCTGCCGACCGTGGCAAACTCGACTAATGACATGTTAGCTGTGCCACAGAAAATGCACTTGCAAAGAATCAAACGTACTCTTTTCGCTGCTGAGGTTTGTGGAGTCCATAGTCTTGCTCAAAACCTTGACGGCCAGACCGCAGGCTTCTCTCAACGAGCACTCATCATTGTAGTCTTGCTTGAGCAAACTCTGAGCGCTGGCATTGTTCGCGCCAACGCTGGTGGCCTTCCAACCACCGTAGTTGCCACTGGGGTTGCTCTGGTAGAGTTGGAATTGGCGCTGGTCGTCGTATCCAGCGTAGATGAATGAAACACCGAAAGGACGCAGACCACCATGTTGAGTGTAACCTTGCTTCAGATCGCACAGGCGGCGGACCAGCTGTTCGCAAGGAATCTCTTGGTTGTAGGTGAGGAGGTAGTTTTGGGCGGCTGAGCGGGCGTAGTTGATGAGGATGTTGGCATCGGCAGTCATTCCAGCGACGGCGCAGATCATGTTACTTGAAAAGCATCAGTACGGATAGTAAGATAAGAGTGAAATGTGTCGACATACTCGTTCAAGGTGTACAGCTTCTCGGCGGATGTGTCTTGTTCGAGCAGCTTGCTGGTGACCTTGCGCTCGGCGGCCAGGACAATGCCATCCTTTGCTAAGATACCCAGAGCAGTTCCGGCGTGCGAGATGGCCTCAAGAGCGTATTCGACCTGGTAGAGACGGCCCTCGGGCGAGAAGATGGTTGTTCGTGAATCGTAGCGGCGAGACATGGCGCTTGCGTGGAGAAGTGTCGGTCAGAGACGAGGTTGGTTGGGAAAGTGCACTCAAGTTGCGATGCACTAGTGGCGGAGATGGAAAGAAGGGCGATATGCACAATACACGGAAAGAGCGATGGATGGTAAAGTGAGTGCTCGTTGTCGTTGCTTGACTGCTGGCTGGCAACCCGGACGGAGCTTGAATCGTCATGCGCATTGCCCCAAGCTCAGCTCCTTCTCCGACGCCGACCATTCTGTTGCCAACACCTCCATTCATTCTTATCGAATCATATCAACATCTGGACAAACAAATCATCTTCATGTACTGTATTCATTTAATCTATACGGCTCATGTACCATCGACTGTCATCAAGACAAGTCAATATGTCTACTCAAAGTAACCGGGGAACAACCAAGTCAACTTCTTCTTGGCTGCCTCCTTGCGACCAGCAGGTGCAGTAATACCACCAGCGAACTTGGTCTGACCCTCGAGGTGCTTGGCGAGGATCAAATCAGTGTGCTCCTCCTTGCTCAGCTCATCGAGCACACCACCAACAAAGCGGCGTGCGTTCTCCGAGTTGGCCTTCATGTTGCCCATAACCATCTCGACGGTCACGTCCTCTGAGCTGTGCCAGCAGTCGTAGTCGGTGCTCATGCAAATCATCTGGTAGGCAATCTCGGCCTCCTTTGCCAGCTTGGCCTCGGGGAGGACGGACATGTTGATGACGCTGCCGCCCCAGGAGCGGTACATGTTTGACTCTGCGCGAGTGGAGAATTGAGGGCCCTCTGTTGTGTATTGTGTCAGCTTTCTGTCTTGTTCCACCATCTCTTTCTTTCCTTTCAATTTTCACGCACCCATGCAGATAATGGTGCCCTTGTCGTGAAGGTGCACGTTTTCACCCTCGAGGCTGTGACCAAGCTTTCTCACAACAGCACCGAGCTTCTCGTCGAAGGGGTCGGCAAAGCCGACATGGCCGACCATACCCTCCTCGAAGAAGGTGAAGGGACGGATACCCTTGGTACGGTCAATGACCTGGTCGGGCACGACAAAGTCGCGGGGCTTGATCTCCTCTTGCAAACTGCCAACAGCCGAGAAGGCGATGATGGTACGGACACCGAGCGAGCGAAGAGCGGCGATGTTGGCACGAGCGGGGACCTCATGAGGAGCAATCTCATGGTGCAGACCGTGACGAGACAGGAAAGCGATGGGAATGTCTTTGCCGGTCGAAGGAGACTTGTGGTGCAGCACGCTGATGGGTGATGAAGGGGTGCCCCATGGTGTGTCGACGTTCAAGCTGGCAGCGAGGGTGAAGCCTGGCAGCGATTGCAGACCAGTACCGCCAATGACGGCAATGTGGATGGGATCTGTTGAATGCGAACAGCCGCCAAATGTCAGGTCCTCATTCTTTTGTTTGTTCTAGAAGTTCCAATCCGTGTTGGTGCAGCGTTTACCAGAGTATGTGCTTGCGACGTTTGCCATTTTGCGGAAGCCTATGTGCACGCAGCGAACTGAGTCTAGGTTTGGTCTGAAGAACTTGAAATTCAGAGGACGCTGGATGGCCTTGAACATTGATTTCATCCCACCTTGAACTTTTTGGTGGGGAAGTTCTGATTGCGACATTGGCCCAAGCGCCGCTCCTCATCTTCTACGCGCCAGTGCATCAAACCCGTGTTTCTCTTTTGAATACGAGAGGGACAATGCAAGATTACACGAATCGTTCTTTGATAGAACATCTACTGTGGACCGCTCGTGCAGCGATATGCATTTGATTATATTAACGAGCATAAACTTGCTGTATGCCTAAGGAACGGATTTGTTCGGACATATGTAGGTACTCGAGTATCGATGCAGAAAATCAATATCCCCTGCCTGCTTCATGCAGATCGATCTTCTCCATTCCGTAGAGAGTCGTCTACTCGTAGTATCCAAGTTTCGATTAGGTATTGCATGTATTGACTGTACGATTCATCCAACTACCACCATGATGGAGAACGCCACTATGCCAGATCAATGCCTTGAGGTTTAGATAATCGGGAGGAACTATTCGCAGTCAGTGTGACAATCTTCTCAGGTGGAGACAAGATTTCAAGACTTACATTCATAACAATCATCATGGGAATGTCAAACACGTCTCGCTTGACCACCCAGCAGAACATACAAGACACCTTGCCATCCCGATCACCGAGCGAGTTCATTCCAGACTCGCCACTGATGAGGGGACCGACAGGTTTACCATTGTTGAGCCTGTTCTCTCGCTCGGCCAGAAGGTCTGCGCTCCAGCCAGGATCTTCCTTAGTTTTGTACTTCAAGAGCTTGCAGGGCTTCATCATAACACCACGTGAGTCTCCAAAGGCAAGTTTTGCAAAATCTTCGTAGAAGTCGATGACGTTGTCGTCTTCCATGAGCTCTGGAAGAAGGACCGGTTGTAGTCGGCCTGGATTGTCTGCAATACTTTGGTTACGAGGTGTCGTGGTTCCTCTCGTGCTGGTCCCCGTTTGGCGGCCTGATGCGTTGCCAATGTTGATATTCTGATTCGCTTCCTTGCCGAGAAGGACGTCCCTTGACCATCCTGTCAGTAGCGAGAACTCTTTACTGACAGCAGCGACTTCGCCAGTACGACGTAGAATCAACGTCGGCGTTCCGTAAGCCGTCAAGAAGTCATCGTATTCGAACAACGTCCTCTGGAAACACTTTTCCATGAATATTAAGTCGTCGACATTCAACTGTTTTGTGCAAGAAATGAATGATGGTCGGATGGCTGCTAGCGCTCTAGCAATTCGCGCAGTCTTTTGTGGTGAGTATAATCTTTGCAAGCACGCGGTCAGGGCGTGAAAGCCAGTGGTGTACGAATACGGAGCAGTGACAGATGTGTAAATGTCAGAAGGATCTCGTCGTCTTCTGTGTTGATTTCGGGTTTGGTTGATGTCGTTCGTTGAGAAACTATTTCTGATTTGCGGTCGGTGTTGATGACGATTGAAATCTGAATTCGAGGTTTGCAGCAAATTTTGCGCTGAAGCGACAGGACTTGAGCTATACCCTGTGCCGAAATCCATCATGTTTGCGGCGCTGGGACTTGCTCCTGACATAGAGCCGTTCTCTCCTATGGCAAAGGCGTTCGGGAAGTTGAGTTGTCCGTCGAAACTGTTATCTCCTGTTATGGAAAAGACCTGACCAGAGCTGTTTTGTCTAGCGCCATCGTTATTGCGCTGCCAGTCTGGAAAACCTGTTGTGGTGTAGCCAAAGGTCGATGAGTAGTTTGAGTTGGTTGGGTCGTAAGGAATCGAGGTCATCAGATTATTGTTCTCGGCGTCAGGAGTCTCGACAGCACCAGAAGACATATGGCCGAGCATGCCAAACTCCAGAGCACCATAATGATTGCCAAAGTTCAGACTCGAGATATCAAAATTAAAGAGCGAAGGGTCGGCAGGATCGAAGAACGGGGCGTTGAAGGGCGCGCCAGCCTTTGCATCTCCAGAAGTATGTGCGATAGAAGAAATAGGTTCTTGAGGGGGCGGCATCTGTTGAGAAGCGGTTGAAGAGAACGGCTGAGTGACCATGCTTTGCTGCGGAGCGTATGGATTATTATGGATCATTGGGGACTCGGTAGCTGAAGGGGAGTTGATAGGAGCTACCGAAGGAGTATGACCGAAATTCGCAAAAGGTTGAGCACCAACTGGAGTGGGATAATATGATGACGAGGATTGGGCTACGGGAGTAGACTCAGTAGCTGGGGTAGCTTGATTCAGTTGACTCTGACTTTGATTGAAGTTGTGTGGTACCAGAGCTTCGTTTGGCGCATCGTGTAGGTATTTGGCCTTCTTCCGTACTCCATCGTGGCAGTGGTCTTGTAAGCCACGTTTTATGCAGCGAAGACACGGTCGTTCGTCACCTAGTCGTGTTAGAGCAGCTTTCGAGGGGCTCGAATGTGAAGCAGACATACCGCATGTCAAATGCGCACGCTGGCAGGCATAGCAAGCTCTGCGCGCCTTCTTCCTCCTTGGTCTCGAGGGATCTTTTGCGTTTGCGCGCTTGGCTGTCGAGTCGTTCTGATCTTTGTTGGACGAGGCAGAGGCCGGCGAAGCCTTGTCGTCGCTCTGAGAGGGTTCTTGGACTGAATCGGACATGTTGGGCAGTGTCTGAGACGGAGTCTGTGTCTGGTTGGACGCGGGGTCTGTCTGCTCGTCGGGCGAGCCTGGTTGGACTGGATCAGGAGCCATGGCCGGGGGATATAAGAGTCGAGTCCGTTGGAGTGGTACAAGGCAGGTGGTTTTGTACAGAAGCACGTTTTCTGCAGCTTCCCGTGGACTGTTTCCGTTTCAGGAGTTCCAGGTGGATGGATGTGAGATCACGAGTGGCTGTAGGCTGTATGCGCTGTGCCACAAGGATCCGCCAGGGAGAGAGGCAGACACTACGGATCCCGCCCACGCGGTGCAAGGTAAGCAGGGGCAGCAGCGAGTGTCTACCAAAGCAATGTCTACGCAGTTTGTGTCACTCTCGCTAAAGTCATGATGTCTATGCCAGACTGTCGGGAACGCGCGAGTGGGCCGAGGGCACGGCGGTGCGGTGTCACTGCACAGTCGCAACAAGATATCCTGCGCTTTGAACGATGCAATGAGTCCGCGACCTTTGCGCGACGACAGCACGAGCTCCGGAAACGTTGTAATTGCAGAGAATGGGTAGCTCGCTGATACTCCATGAACCTTGACTGGAGATGCGCAATTCGGCCTTGGCAAGCCCGCATCCTACCCGTGAGGCCGAGGCAGGCCGAAGAACCCTTGGAGTTTGCGCTTGCTTCTCCAACCCTTTCCCCTCAGTCTACCCGCCTCCATATCAAACGTCCAAGCGTTCTCACATGTATCTCTGACCATTTCCTGTGCCAGGCCGAAATGCCAACTTGTCGAGTCCACGAGTCTTTGGGGTAGTACATGCTCGCTTGTTCGTCCTGTCACCGCCACTCATGTCTCGCGGCTCGACGTTCCTTCGTCCCACCTCGACGTTCTGACTGGTTTCCAAATACCCAGCCAACTGTTCTCACCACCAAGGGGCCCGAGCACAGATCTCTTTTGTGTCTCTTGCCTCGTGGGAAAACGCGATGCACTATTGTTCATGCAGTGCCACTGATCCGAGCTCATCTATTTCTGTACCTCAGCCTTCCCAATCTGTCCTCATGACTGCGCAAACTTGGAATTCTTGCGAAGTCGCTTGCCATATTCTATTGGCTCGTCAGCATTCCTCGTTGCTCTTTCTTTAACCAAGTAATGCTTCTTACTGAAAAATAGGTACGCTTATGCCAGGGTCAGCGGTTGCTATCCATGGTACGGGGTCTTTGACAAAAGAAACTTACGAAATGGTGCCATGGCAAGGGCTAAGAAGGCCAGTAATGACGACGCCTATCACCAATTTAGCATCACTTGACCACAATCATCGTATTCGCATTCCTGCTACCCACCCATTGGTATCCCAGCTCTGTTCCAGGTTTCTGCATTAGTGACCGCTTCTTCGATCATTGCCCAAGTTTGGGAACTTACTGTTGTACATTTGCACACCTAAAAGCAGGGTTAGCGATGAATGAACCGTGATGTGATATCTCAGACTGACCAAAGAGAGGGAACGCTGCAGCAAAGCTTGAACGAGCAAAACTGTTGGCTGCCAGCGCGCTCGCGGCATACAAGGGGTACTGTCACATAGAATCAGCTTCCTATGCACATGTCGACCAGAGGCGGTCAAATGAAGCATCGTGGCGACCCTACGGTCCGCTCCGTAGCCGCTCACGCCGCTTGGAATGATCACCTACGCATTCTACAAGGAACGTAAAGACGCCACTAAAGACGAAGATGTTTCTGTTTATTCCCGAGTTAGCAACACGCCTCATGTGTGTGTGTCTTACTTCATCCCGCTCAGTTTGACTCACCCAAGACCAAAGATGCCACTGAAGACAATGGGAACTTTGGCAAAACCAACAGTCAGTATTCAGTCGCTTATGCAAGGCATCGAGCTTCGAGTGGTCTTACCGATCCAATGTACCTGCAGCACGGGGATTAGCTGGGTGTTCTTCTCCAACCATGGATTTGGGCTTCCACCTGGCCCGTCGTGCAAAGTGGCACTTCTGGGGCCAGTGAGACTGCAGCGGGGTTGCAAGTGGATATTGAGCAGTATGCATATTGTGTCCAATAAGATCGGAGATCTTCCTGCATTGCGCCAAGGGAATCAATCGATGCAAGCCACTTACCGAGGAATAAGTCGTCCAGCCTGTGCAATACCATGTGTTAGCTATCCAATGGTTTTTTGCGAACCACCTCCTCTCCATTCACTTACCGAAACCGAAAAGGCCGATTGGAACCAAGATCGCACCGCTGGCACAAATGTCAGCACATTCAACACACTTTTGCATATCCCAACACTTTCAAGACATACAGAATTGTTGGTGGTAGACGGAACTCGGGCTCAGAAACGCCTCCATTCTTGTTTACCAGACGAACATAATTTCTCCGCCAAATAGGATCGCAGCTGACACCTGTGATCATACCAACAAAGATACCTATAAATGTAAGTCCGGTCTGCCATAATACAAATCCGTGATTGTTCTCAAAAACGAGGGGGAAAGCTCCGAAGAACCTAGGGCACAGTTAGCATAACCAATGGGCGACGGCGCCCTCGTCTACGTACAAGTATAGAATGCCGAGAAGAATGGCCGAGAGGATACACAGACTCAGGCACATCGCTTCGAGGAAAAGCAGCTGGAATGGTCTGACACAGCTCCATGCAACGGTCCGAAAGACCGATTTGTTCATGTTTTCGATCGGTGCTCGCCAGGCTGAATTGCCCGTATCCTTTCTGAGCTTGATGGCTTTTCTGCGCAGAAGGACGGGGTGGTAAGTCTCAGGCACAAGGAATATGATAGCTGCCAACATGCCGCCTGACCAGATGAGCAGGACGTAAAAGGTCCATCGCTGGAAGATGCGAGTCAGTGATTGAACGGCTTGGAATAGCGAAAACATACCCAGTCAGTGTAGTAATTAATGAACCCACCCACGATAGGTCCAATCTCGGCTACACCATCGTAAGCATAAACCTTTGACTATGCAGATAGAGTGTACTCACGGCCAACGAACGGAGCCGCTGTATAAAATGCTGCATCACGTCAGCTTTTGCCCGTGCCTAGTGTGTTTTGCGAGCGACAAACCCATTGGTAGAGAGAGCTGGGCTTTGGGGAACAGATCTCCAACGGTTCCTCCTGCTACACTGTTGTGCATCATCGCGGATTAGTTCTGCTTTGAGGAAAGCTTTCTTCGGACTGTAAGATGTTAAAACATACCTAAGAAAGGCACTACCAGCAAGTCCGTCGAAGAAACGTGCCACCAACATTGTTTGGATGTTTTGTGCCACGGCGCATGGAATCAGCCAGATCAAGAAGAAAGTGTAGGAGGCGATGTAGATGGGTCTTCTCCCATAAAACTTTTGACCCGGTCAATGTCAATTCTTTCTTTTGTCTTGAGAGATGTGCACTTACTTCTGAAAGTGGCGACATAACCATTGGCCCGAGACCTAATCCTACGACAAACAAGGATAGTCCAAGAGTCGCGACAATCCTTGAACAGCCAAACTCTGGTTCCAATTGCCCATAAGTTGATGTGTAGAGTGCAGAGGTGCATGTTCTGATTCACATGAAAGTCAGTTTGACATGCTCAATTGTATCGGTATGTCGGCCCAGATAGGCGGTACTGCAGACATGGTCTTGAAGGCATGGTCTTCTGATGTGTTTTCAAGGTAGGCAATGATCAATGAAAGATCTACGTACACGCATAGTGAGCTGGCAGATACGATTACGACAATTATCCACTTTCGTGCGTAGGCCATGCTTCTGGGATTCATGGGGTCGTCGTCGCCGTCCCAGGTGACTTCGAACTCCTTGTCATGAGCGCCTTCGTCGCCTTCGGCTGTGATTCCACTCTCTTCATCCTTGGACCCTGGTCTAGCCTGCTCATCTGTATCGCTGTCTCTTGAATGTCGCACTGCTTTTTCATCTGCTCCTTGGTCGACTTGTGCATCTGGATTAGGCACTACGTCGAAGGGTACGCGTTCTTCGTCTCCTTGAACGGCCTTGTCTGTTTCGTCGCGTTCCATGTCTGCTGCGATGTGTTGACTCGATCGTACGAGGGACTTAAAGGCGACGGTTTCGACCGGTGTGAATTGTTTATATGACCGAGGGAGCGATGACGGGTGCGCGCTACTTAGGTCTGGTTTGTCATCAAGAGTAGGTACGGAATCTGGAGTAGCAGGAGTTATCGATAGAGGGAACAACGACCGGTGACTGCCATATTATTTTCCAATTTTGGTCCCCTCTTTCTTGCGAGCCGCTCTTTCCTCACGACCGCACAGTATGTCATTGCGTATTCATGGAGATAGCATCTCGCTCGGAACTTTAACGCCGAGAAAGGCTATTCCTGCCACTTTGGGAAATGCGGGACCTGTCATCGGCAGCGAACGACAGCTCCTAGCGGAGACCAAATCTTATTCGTTCCTTCTCCATGTCTTCTTGATGATAGTCTCAATTTCATCTTCAACCTCATGGAATTACATTGGTCTCCATAGCCCTGGCCTTCTGGTCAACCTGGTTCCTTGTCAGCTACTGCAGCGCTCGGCGTATTATTGAACAGGACGGCAATCCATCTGAAATGCTCTTGCTGTACTTTCAACCTTTTTTTTCCCCTCAGGACGTCCAACTAGATATTGACTGGAAGACCATCATCGGAACCATCTTCTAGATCTTTTTCAAACCATAGGGTCGTACTAGCATTGGTCATGATGCGCTCATGCCATCGTGCAATCACCCTGACTGGTAGGTAACTCTGGATACCGTCGACAGTACTGAGGCCTTGTCCATGTGCTTGACGATCTAGCACTTTTGCTTCTCTGAAATCAGGAATCTGCAATAAGCATTGTGGCTCCTTGTTCAGAATTCGGTCGCTACAATGAAACTATATGGCTGCATCCTTGGTGATGTTGGATGTACATGCGCTCTTTCGTGCTTACCACAGTGTGACCAGGTCGAGTTTCCTTTGACTGTCTCAATGGACTAGCGCAAGTACGTTGCAATCTGTGTGTTGAGTCAGCATGATATTTAATGCGTCTGTTTTGATCTCCATCAAGGTCTCAGGAGCATGATGGTGTGTGCTGGATGGTGGAATGAGCTGGATAATAGACGAGTGAAGCATAGGCTCTGATACTTCCCAAGTCATATGGGCCTCCAATACGCAGCGAGACTCATTTAGTTGCTAGCTGTTGTCGACTGGTACATCATATGAAGGCCGAATTCTCTGGACAAGAAACGAACGACTTGTTGCTCTGGGTGACCAGTGCTTCGCAATTGTCGCTTTGTTGACTCACTCACTCGCGCTTTTGCGCTTTTCTCTTCGATTCCGCACAACACTCTCTGTTTCTTCACGACTGTAGCTCCACTTCTTTCTTCTCTTTCATCGACACGCATCTTTCACTACATGGCGGACCATTACATCAAGCTTGAGCATTCACCCATAAGTGAACACGCTCCTCGCATCTTCAACTACTCTGCGCCATCCGACACTTCCTCCTACACTACCTCTGACACTTCCACCATGGCCGCGCCTCCACCCGCGCCTGGTGCCTTCGACATGAGCAACGGTCAAGATCAAGCCCCTCAGGCCGCTGGCGCGCAGCTCGACCTTCTGGGTCGCCCTGTGCAGAAACTGGTTCAGTTGATCAAGGAGCTGGAACAACTTGGAGTTGAGACCACGAACTTGCCCCTGCCCAAGATCGTTGTCGTCGGCGATCAGTCTGCTGGAAAGAGCTCTGTAAGATCTTTCACCTCCTAAATTGCACGGCTTATCTAACTCTAGACTAGCTGATCGAGGGTATCAGTGGTATCAAAGTCCCTCGCAGCGACGGCACATGCACCAGATGCCCTCTCCAGATCACTCTGTATTCCTCTTCAGAACCAGATGCCGCCGCCTGGTCTTGTGAGGTCTCACTGCAACAGAAGTTTTCGTACGACCCAGACGCCATCGTCGACGGCCGCGAGCGCTATGGTAAATGGCGTGAGAACCACACCCCAGCAACCATCGACTTCGCCATTGTCAATGACAAGAACGACCTTGAGAACATCCTTAGCCGTGCGCAGCGCGCTACCCTCAACCCAGGCGACAACCCTTTGAGTTATCTTAACAACGCAATCTCTGTGGATGAAATGCCCATGTTGGTCGAATTCTCGCCGAACAAGATTATTCTCGACATCACTGCACCGGGACAGCCTAGTCTGTCGTTCATCGATCTGCCAGGAGTTGTCCGTCAGATGACAACTGCTAAGGACAAATGGCTCGTCAATCTTGTCGAGAATTTTGTCATTGACCACATCAACCAAGGAAACTCGCTGATCCTGCTTGCTCGTTCTATGGAGTCAGACTTCGCCAATTCAAGTGGAGCCAAACTGATCGACGAGTGTGAAGGTGCTTTGGCGCGTACCGTTGGCTGTCTTACCAAGCCTGACCGCTGGCCGCCCGGCAGCAGAGCCCAACACATCAAGAATGTTCTACATGGCGACGCATTTGCAGTCGGACACGGCTACTTCGTCACCAAGCAACCCAACCAGTTGGAGCTCAACAACAACATCTCCGCCGAAGATGCTCGCGAGTCCGAAAATCAATTCTTTACTCAAGCTCCATGGAACACTGAGCTGCAAGACTTCCAGGAGCGCTTTGGAACTTTCAAGCTCCGCGATTTCCTCTCCATCAAATTGACCAATCAAATCCTGGTCACTTTGCCTAAGATCACTAGAACTGTTGATGCCCACCTCCAAGAGGTTGAAACAGAGCTTGCTGGTTACCCTGACCCACCCGAGAATGCTCTTGGTAAGGTGCTCGAGGCGCTGACAACCTTCCGCGTTGCGGTCGAGAAGCACGCACAGGGAGCTTATCCTCACAACGAAATGCACAACTCCCTCAAGGGACTGGCTACCACCTTTCAATCAAACTTGCAAAAGCTGCGTCCGAGTCTTGTTGTTGCAACTCCTGAAGAGTTTCGTCAAGCAGTCGAGACACCTACTTTCTCTCTGCTTTCTGACGACGATGCTATCGGCACTCCTTGCCCTAGCATTGAGTCCAAATCTCAAAAGAAGAGAAGAGCCGACTTTGACACTCCAACCACTTCGACTGCAAAGAAGATTAAGTCTGACGCTACTGCCCCCAGAAACAACTCAATCTCCATGACGACAAAGAGAAAGACATTCCGCTTGCTTGAAGTGCGCGATACTCTGAGCAGACTGACAGCTTCGAGTGTTCCTGGCGAGGTTGATCCTGTTGCTGTCGACCACCTTCGCAAGCAGACTCTTGTCGGTTGGGAGCAACCTATGCTCGAGTTCATCAACAGTGTCCATCAAGAGATTCAAAACACTCTGGACCGCTTGCTCGAAGAGGCTTGTGCTCAATGGCTCAACACCGCCTTCTTCACCGAGGCCAGAAAAATCGTCAAAGCCTTCGTAGCCGACACCATGCGCGACCAGCTGCAACAGGCAAAGCGCGCTTTGGACCGAGAACAGCGCAAGCCTCTGACCTTAAACACAGAGGGTTTCAAATACCACCACGACAAGGAACTCCAAATTCTTCTGGAGGGACGTGCTACACAGAGACTTGTCGAGAAGACCGAAGATGCAGACCGCGCTGCTGGCAAGATCATGGTCGATCAGAGCGAACGCAAGAAGAGGGCCAAAGCCGACAACAAGGCCAAGGGCGAGCTCAGCGACGACCCTTTCGCCGAGGAGATCAAGGTTATGGCCAAGGTTAGAGGCTACCACAATGTCGCTCTGTCTCGCTTCCTTGATGTTGTTGTGCAGGGTGTTCAAGCAGAGGTGCTGCACGAGCTCGAGACCAACCTGCTGCAACAGTTGAAGGTTGGTCTGGAGGTTGAGACTCGCGACGCACAGGATCGCTGCAAGGAGTTACTTGCTGAGGACCGCGAGCGTGAGATCCGTCGCAAGGAGTTGCAGCAGGAGAGAAGCAACTTCATCGAGGCCCAGCGCAAGCTTGCTGCCATCGGCCAGATTGGCGAGGACGTCGCTTCGCTGTCTGCCAACTGATATGTTCGCCCCCAAGTCGACTGCTGGAATAAGAATGTACACGACACGATGCATGAAAGAGAACGAAGAGGAGGAAGGACTACGAGGAGAATGATTGAAAGTGAAGGCATGAGACTGTTGTGAGAAGGAGAAGAGATGGAACGAAACTTACTGTATCACAGCGAGGTGAAGTCTTCACTACACTGTAGAACAGCAGACAGCAGATGACAGTCATGCAAGAGAATACAGTAGCCTACCTTCTTGATGTGTTTATCGAAATACGAGTGCCAGTAACGGGTACAGTGCTTCGCTGAGAGACAGACTAATATGAAGAGCAGCGCTGCGCATTGCAGACAAAGTTCTGTTCGAAAAGAAAAATGGTTGATCGTGTGTTCATCGTAAAGGTCGTTTGATGCAACATTCGCAAAGATCAATCGTAGCGTGGCCTCTTCTCATCACGACCACCACGATCATCGTCTCTCCTCCGCCTCTCTCCCACAACAGAAGCATTTGCACCTGTAGCCCCTTCTCTGTCTCTGTACCTGTCACCTCCATAACCAGGACCGCCTCTTCTATCATAATCATCAGCACCCCACCGTCCAGTATCTTCAGCCTTCAGATCTTTATATTTCGTCCTTCCCTTCCTGCCCAATTTCGTCATATCGCGGATCTGCATATACTGCGGCAAGATCTCACGATTCCCTGAATCATCCTGGAATTTCGCACCCATAATATCGCGTTTGGAGATTTCCGCAAGTTGTTCGTCGTCCTGGAAGAACGCACCTTTATGGTGGTATTTCTGCATAAACCCTGCTTGACCTCTCCCTTCTTTTTCTTCTTTTTGCGCGGCGATATGTGCTGCATCTTCTGCTTCTCGTTGTTCGGCTGTTAAGTTGCGTCGTCGTTCGATTTCTTCGCGTTCTTTTTCGGCGGCTTCGATGGCTTCGCGGTCGCGCTTGACTCGACGTAGTTCTCGCAGTTTCCAGGCTGCGAGTTCGGCTTCGGGGTCTAGGTTGTCGGTGTCGTCGATGTCTTCTATGGCATCTGGATCTTCGTCATCCCAGGCTCTGCGGCCTGCTGCTCGTGCCTGTGCGTCTTTTTCTATTTGGGCTTGGAGGAGGGCGTCGGCTTTTTCTTTGCGTTTGCGTTCCTCCTCTGCTGCTAACTCTTCTTCGGATTGTTGTGGTGCTGTTGTTGCGGTGTTCTTGCGTTGGGCTTTGGAGACGAAAGTCGGAGCGACGAATTTACGGGCTGGTGCTTCCTCCTCAGAGTCGTCGTCTTCCTCGTCTTCGTCGGACTCGGATTCTTCCTCGCTGCCAGAAGCTTCACTCTCTGATGCAGTCTCAAAGCCTTCTTGGGCTTTTTGCGCCAACTCTGCTTCACGCGCCCTTGATGCCTGGGCTTCTTGTCTCCGTCGCTCAAGCTCAGCTTTACTGATACTTGAATTGAATTTCGGGAATGAGGTTGCTTTTGGAGGTGCGCTTGTTGTGGTTGTCTTTTGTTGTTGTTGCTCGGTTTCTGATTCGGAGCCGGATTCTTCTTCTGAGGATGAGGATTCGTCCTGGCCGACTGCTTTTCCTGGACGGTAGCGCAGAGGCGCTAGAGGATTTGCTGTCATGCGTTTTGGCGGCATTGTGTGGGTTGTCTGGGTTATTTAATGTTGTTGTAGAAATCAAAAAGTTAGAGGGTGCTGAAGCATGGAGCAAAATGGCAGTGACGATGGCGGGCATGACGCGCCGCGCCGATGCACCGAAGCTCTACATTTCGTCTTCTATCACAATCATCTTGCTCTCTGGACAGCAGATTCTAAAATTTGTACTTATTCAAGAAGTGCCATGGAAATTATAATAGTCATCATTGTTTGACTGCTTCGTGCACCCATCCCCGTAGACTATCCGTCAATTGCGCTTCCACTCCATGCTCTCTCCAAAAGTGACCAGCACCCTCGACCTTCTTCCATTTGAAGCACGATTGCCCCTCAATACCAGCATTCTGAAGTGACAACGCATTCATCTTCTTGCACCAAACATCCATCTTGTGTGAAGAAGTGAACGCATCTTTGGTGCCAAAAATGACCAATGTAGGATGCCTCACCAAGTTATGCGCTATGTGATCAGCATGGCGCCAGAACATCAGATTCGACGTCGACAGAGAGAGAAAACTGGCCAAGGGTGGTAGTAGAGGTGAGATCAAGAGATAGTGTGTCAAGACGTGAGGCAAGCTCTCCAGTGTAGGTACATTTCCGGTAGAAATGGTTCTCTGTGAGGATTTTGAGGAAAGGGTTTGGGTTGAGGATGATGAGTGCTTATGACTGCGATGGATCGCATGTCTGATTCGTGCCGGTACTTCCATACCCTTGTGCACCAGATCCATGCTGTGGCGGTCTGCAGGAGAGGGACTATCGCTGCCACCATATACGATTGAATGTTGAGAACTTGATTGGCGCTTGTGCTTTTTCCGTAGTGGTGAACCTGGTAATCTACCTCGAGTATCTGCTTGATTGGAGAGTAATGTGTTTGTTTGTAGAGCCAGCTCCTTAGCCCGTTTTAGAATATCAGAGGTCCACGTTGACGCTTGTGTTTCCCGGAACATGGTCAGAATCTCTGAAGTTGGTGGGAGGTGCGTGACAATCAAGGAGCCATAGGAGTATCCACCCAGGATCAGAATGATGTGTTCAGAAGGGATATTCGAATCGTTCTCGGTGGGAGACTGTGCAGAAGTTGTATCCTTGATCCGTGGTGTGTGTATCTGGTTCATGTAGAATAGCAGGTGTCCGGCGACCGAGATATAGTCATCTCGTTCGGCCTTGCCAGACCAGCTGGTACTACCATGAGAGTTCGCGGCACCCCTGTTTATGATTCAGTGCTGCAACTACAGGTTAGGTTCAAAGCAAAGCAATACCGAAAGTTAAATGTTCCGACGACGAAATCGAGATCAAGTAATTGGTCTACCACGGTCGTCACGACAGCATCGTCCATAGAGCCTCCAAGAGGCGCATAGGGATGTGCGATTAGGGCAGCTTTTCTCGTGTGTTGCTGTGCTGACTGCGGTTCTTGAAGGGAGACAGGGTGGTATATTCGACAATCCAGAAGCGTGCCGTCGTTCACCGACGGAATGGTAAAACAATAAACAGGCGTGTTGTCTGTCATAATTGTGTACGTGTCATGTTAGAGGAGACGATAAATATCTTATATACGATTTGCGCATCATGTGCTCGTGAAGTCAGGAGTGTTCGAAGATGCCGCGGAGGGAAGTCAGGAACCCCGGCCGTACTCTCTCGTAATGACTAGCAGTGATCGCGAATCAGCGATCCCGGAGTCAATGTAGCCAGTCGACATTCCATAATGAGGAAACATCTAAAGAGATTGAATGGCCACCAAGGAGAAAACGTACAGTAAGAGTATCTTTACGAGAATTGTGCTAATAATCATTAAATCATGTCGTGCCTGTCTCCAAGCGATTCATAACACATAATAGATATCTAACGGGTATCATCATTACTCCGTATCCGTATCCTGATGCGAAATCAAAAGTTCTGGGTCGGGACCATCGTCTTCAGTATCCGTGTCTGAAATGCTGTGTGTAGGACGCTTTGCTGCAAAAGCCTCATCCAAATCGCGAATTGCCTCACCATCATCATGCTTACTGCCTCTAGGAGTCTGGGCTCCTTCCAACTGACCAGAACTACCTGAGACTCCTTTTGTCTCTTCGACATTCGCCTCATCAGCTGCGGAAGCAAGTGCAGCTTCGAGTATCTGTTTTCCTTTCAAGAAAGCTTCGAGTTCTGCACCAATTGCTGCAACCAAGAGCTTCCAACTGCGTGCCTCGGCAAGCTTGTGCTTGTTCTCAAGCTCTGTAGTAGTCTGCTCGAGCATAGTGAGTAGCTCCTTCGTTTCTGTGGGGGAATCAACCTGAGATTGCGACTCTTTTCCCATGCGCGACATAGCCTTTGCAAGCGACCTTTCGAAGGCAGAAACTTGCTTCACAGCATCTCTCCAAACGAGAGCACCTTCTTCAAGCGCCTCACGCTCAGCATCGCTAACATGACGCTTTTCAACCAGCGAATCTCGCTCCCGACTGAAGATGTCCTTCGCAGATTCCAGAGTTCGACCTTGAGAAGGTGAACGCCAAAAGCGGTCCATGTCTGTAACATTGACGATAGCTGACCAGTGACTTGCAGAATCGTTGTGAAGGAAACCTCGTATAGAGTCCTCAACGATGCCTAGGCTTTCCGTGTACGATGCAAGGCGGGCGTCAACAGTGTTCTCAATCTCCTGCGCCTCAGCCCTCAACTTGCGCTGATCAGCTTTCAAGCGAGCTAGCCTGGTTTCGAGATCGTTGATCTCGGTTTGCATATCATCTGCTTGTTTGTGCAAGTCAAGAGCACGGTTGTGTTCATCACCAGAGCGTATTTGAGAAGCGCGTGACTGTAAAGCGTTGCACTTCTTCTGCCAGGCGTCAAGTTGGTCGACAACAGACGCGAAGTGCTCGAGGCTTGGAGCCAGATACTGAGACTCCTGAGATTTGAGTTGTGCCAGACGTCGCATAGTGGCATACAAGCCGATCCTGGCATGACGGAGGTCAATCTTCTCTGAATTTGAGGAAGAGTGTGGTTTTGCCTTGAGGGCACTGGCAGTCGGTGTGCTGGAGCCTGTCGATAAGCCATCGTCTTCTGCAGCAGAGGTCGGTGGTGCATCAAGACCAGAGAGGAGGGCATCAGCTTGTGCATCGAGGAGGACTTGCAAGTGAGCTTCAAGCTCGCGCTGTTTCCGTCGGAAAAGCAAGAGAGTATCGTCGGTCTGAGTGGAGGGGCCGGCATGAGAGTGCGAACTTGTGGGGACATAGATGCTATTTACGATGGGTTGAGGTACGGCAGAAGCAGCCATCGGAGAAGGAGTACGCCATCGAGGGTTCTTGGAACGGCGACGAGTGTCGGGCGACAAAGACGAGGGAGAGTAGCGAGGAAGCGCATTAGAGAGCCATGATGAACTGTAATCAAGTCAGTCTGTCTACTGCGTCATGGTTGTATCGTCAGAAGCAGTCATACCCCTCCATGTCTGATAAACATATGATAACAGAACAAGTATTACACAGAGATATCCAGGTGGTGAGTGTTCAAAGCAAAGAAACCTACTGTTGTCGTGTCCTTGGTCAACTCGGACTACTATCATGTGAACACATGAATGGACTGCAAACAAGACAAACTTGGTGGTTCGGTCTGCAAGGACCGGAGTGCTTTTGGTGGGCTACGATATTGTGGCTATTGCTGTATGAAGGTCAGCAGCATGCATGCTTCGAGACAGGCCTGAGTGACAGATGCCTGATTGGTCGGACGACTTATGGCAGGAACTGTGAGAAATGAAGAAGAGTGAACAAAGAAAGAGCTGCCCGCTGCTTTGGTGACGGTGCGGGAAGAGCCGCTTTGGAGCATTGCCCATTGCACGTTTCTGGAGCATCCACCAACAGCGTCAGCGACACGACAATCTTGCTCTCCGAGTCAACTTTCCTTCTACAACAACCACTCATCGCCCTGCCTTGATCGCTTTCCAACCATTCACCATTCAACAATCAACTGTCACTTTCACTATTCCTACTCGACAGCCGATTGAACTCCAACTTTCTCCTTAGCGTCGCCGCGTCGCTTCCTCCACGCAGCATACTTCACAATGTCCTTCCTTAACCAAGACTTTGGCGATGCCTCAGATGATGAGGAGGAATTCAACCCTGCCCCTGCTGTCGCCTCTGATGACGAAGCCGACAACAACGACGATAATGATCAGGGACAGGACGACAACCAGGACGATGACGATGATGCTCAACCCAATGCTCGCCGTTCATCTGCCCAAGCAGACGACCAAGACGATGACGATGCCCCGAGTAGGCGTCGCGCAAACAATGACGACGATGATGAAGAAGAGGACGACGAAGATGAAGAGGATGACGAGGAAGATGAAGAGGACGAGGACATAGTGCGTTTTCCTGGCCCACTGCTATCCCTGTGCTGCTAACTCTTGCTTCTAGGGCCATCCCCGTAAACGTCGTCGCAAGGGTCCCCGTAACCAGTTCCTCGATGTCGAAGCCGAAGTGGACGATGAAGACGAGGAGGAGCCCGACGAGGACGACGAAATTGCTGGCGAGGAGATGCACCCTGACGACTTGCTCGAGCTTCCCGCAGGCGCCGAACGTGACGACCGCAAGCATCGCGAACTCGACAGACAACGCGATCTGGCTGCTAGCATGGATGCCGAGAAACAAGCACAGGCCTTGAAGGAACGTTATGGAAGAAACAGAGCTGCCAATGTCGATTCAGCCGTCGTGCCTCAGCGTTTGCTACTCCCCAGTGTCGATGATCCGAAAATCTGGCGCCTCAAATGTAAGCCTGGCAAGGAACGAGAAGTTGTCTTTGCCATCATGAAGCGTATCGAGGACCGCGCAGGTACAAGGGAGCCGTTGCAGCTTATTTCAGCATTTGAAAGAGGTGGAGTCATGGCTGGCAACCTCTACTGCGAAGCTCTTGTTGTTGAACATGTCACAAATGCTCTCGAGGGGCTTCAAAACGTCTACATGGGCACCAAGCCTATGATGGTCCCTATCACTGAGATGCCCGATCTCCTCCGCACTCGCAAGAGCAAATCTCTTGAACCTGGCATGTACGTCCGTGTTAAGCGCGGCAAGTACGCTGGTGATCTGGCTCAAATCGACGAGGTTGAATCCAACGGCACAGAGGTTACACTTCGCCTTATTCCTCGTCTGGACTATGGTTTGAATGAAGATATCAACGCCGCTGTCGACAGCAAGCGCAAGCGGGGCGGTTTTGGCGCAAATACTGGCCCTCGTCCGCCACAGCGTCTTTTCAGCGAGAATGAAGCAAGAAAGCGTCATGGTCGTTACCTGACAAAGGGCACTGGCTTCACCGCGAACACCTGGACATACATGAACGACACCTACGTTGACGGCTTCCTCATCAAGGATTACAAGGCTAACCACTTGCAGTCCGAGGACGTCAACCCTACCCTGGAAGAAGTCACCAAATTTGCTGCTGACGCCGAGGATGGAACTGAGAATCTGGACCTGTCTGCTCTCGCTGCTACTATCAAAAGCAACAGCTCTGGCGCTTTCCTCCCTGGTGATCATGTCGAGATCTGGCAAGGCGAACAACGTGGTGTCGTCGGAAAGGCTGTTTCAGTACATTCGGACATCGTGCGCATTCTTGTCTCGTCTGGTGAGCTTTCTGGTCAAATTATCGAATCTCCAGTCAAGGGCCTACGTAAGCTCTTTAGAGAGGGTGATCACGTCAAGGTCATTGGCGGCAGCAAGTACTTTGATGAAGTCGGAATGGTTGTCAAGATTGTCGAAGACCGTGTCACCATTTTGACTGACTCAAATCAAACCGAGATCACCGTCTTTAGCAAAGACTTGCGTGTCGCTACAGATTCAGGCGGTCAGGTTGGTGTTGGAAAGTACGACCTGCACGAACTTGTCCAGCTTGACGCTTCGACTGTAGCCTGTGTGATCAAGGTGGATCGCGAATCACTTCGTGTGCTCGACCAGACTGGCACAGTTAGATCTCTTCTCCCTTCAAACATCTCTAACAAGCTCGAGCGCCGCAAGAATGCTGTTGCCACTGACCGTGAGGGTTCCGAGATCCACATCGACGATACTGTCAAGGAGGAAGGTGGTGAAGGCAGACAAGGTCGCGTTCTCCACATCCATCGCAACTTCCTTTTCGCACACAACCGAGAACAGACCGACAACGCTGGTGTCTTCGTTGTCCGCACAAACAATGTCAAGACTGTTGCAGCCAAGGGTGGCAGAGTTGCCTCGGCTCAAGCTGGTCTTATGAAGATGAACCCAGCACTACAGCGTCCCGGAGCTCAACAGGCTGGTGCTCAAGCTATGCCGCCACCACGCCAGATGGGTCGTGACAGACTCATTGGCAAGACTTGCACCATTCGCAGAGGTCCTCACAAAGGTCTTTTGGGAATTGTCAAGGACAGCACAGACACTCATGCGCGTGTAGAGGTTCATGGTAGTAAAAAAATCATCTCCATCAGCAAAGACTTCCTGACTGTCAGAGATCCGGTCACTGGTGCTGTCATTCAGCAAAACGCAGGCCAACGTCCTGGTGCTCCACCAGCTGGTGGTGCTGGCGGCAGACCTCCGGCATGGGGAGGCGCAACTCCTGGTAGATTCGGAGCTACACCTAGAGCGTCAGACGGTGGACGTACTCCTGCATGGAAGCCTGCAGCTGGCGGTCGCACTCCTGCATGGGCTGGCGCAGGTGCAGGTGGAAGAACTGCTTATGGCGGTAGCGGAGCGAGCAGCGTGCCGGCATGGCAGAGAGGAAGTGGAGGTACCACAGCTTACGGCGGAGCAACCACATATGGAGGTCAAACGTCTTATGGAGGCCAGACATCCTACGGAGGCAGCACCGCGTACGGAGGAGTAAGTCCCTGTCCACTCATCAATACTTTGCGAACACAAAACTGACATACTATAGGGCACATGGAACCCAAACACCCGCACACCATACCACGGCGGCGGCACAGCCTACGAATCGGGCTCGAAAACTCCGGCTTATGGCATGGATGCTCCCACACCTGGCTTTAGTGCACCCACTCCTGGCAACTTGGATCAACCCACGCCTGGATATGGTCAATACCGCACTCCGGCGGCAGCACCTACACCAGGCGCCTTCCCTGAAACGCCTGGAGCCTGGAATGCCGAGACTCCTGCTGGTGATGGCGGTCCTGGCTACGACTGAGCGTGTGTAGAAGAAAAAGCACAAAGCGTGGAGCAAGACACGAGAAGGAGTTTGCATTTACCGGGGCGTTTGTTTTGTGCCCTTTTACCCTTGAAGGCGGAGCCATGGAATTGTTGGCTCTCTGAAACTTTCTTTTCACAGACAAAAAACAACAGGTTTATGTGATATCCGGAATGATCAAAAAATGCAATCCTTTCACCTTCGTTGATCTGTTCCAAGCTTAATTGTGATGCCCTTTGCTAATCTACCACTTGTGATATTGCCAAAGCGCCTGAGACTTTGAATTAATAATGCTTTTCCTGCTCCACGAAAGAACAACAGAGATGAGTGTGTTTCAACAACAGATCCGACACGTACCGTACGCTCACCAAGTCTTCCTCCCTAATCACCTTAGATCATGCTCAGGACATCTACCCAGCACCCACTTCTCCCACATCTTCCATTTCCTGGTATCGACACTGATACCATCATCTCCCAGAGCGTCAACATCAACCGGGAAAGCTCTACCATTGCAATTGCACCAAGGCACAGAGTTTGGCGTATCCGGCGAGTTCAAAGGCGGGAAATCCATCTCATGGGCTGCTCTCCCGCGCTCTTCATCATCCGAGTCTGAGTTGTTGTGCTCCGAGTCGGAGTTATTGCTATCCCAGTCCGATGCCGTCGAGTGATTTGCATCGTTTTGATCAGCTTCGTCCCAGTAAAGATCATTTTCCGAGTCAGACTCGGAGTCCGACGAACTCAATCCACCAGGAGGATCGTCGGGTAATTCTATACCTGCGTTTTCCCAGACTGTGTCGAAGTGAGTTGCGTAGTCGATGCGTCTGAGCGATACCCAATCTAGTCTTCGCATTTCGGTGTGTAAAAAGGCGAGGATGGTTTTCCACATGCTGCCTTCTCGGAGCATTACGTCTCTGAGTCTTAGTCCTCGTAATCTGTCTTTGTGACGGTTGGCAAAGGCGATGATTTCGTCGGAATGTAAGCGCCAGCCTTGTATTCCGAAAGCTATTAGTCTGCTCCAGCGTACGTTGTGAAAGATTGTTTCGAGAGGTAACCCGATGGGTCGATGGGAGGGAAAGCCCACGTGAATAGCTTCCATGTTTACAGCTGCTGAGAAAACAGTCTTGAAGAGGTGAGAAAGTTCGAACATGCGGACTTCAAGGTCTGTGCCGTCGTCGAAGTAGCCATCGTCAAAATGCAATTCCAGACATGTAAGTCTTTCCGCTAGTGTTGAGAAAGAGCCAGTAGGATTTTCTGCCAGCACGAGGGCGCTCTGCGGGCTCAGCATCGGCGAAGAAAAACGCGAGCAAGGTGACCGAGACTCCAAGAGTGCATTTCCTATTGTTCTTGCACTATGCGCACAGGCAGGCGCCCATTTGAGCTCCACAAAGTGGCTGATGTTTTGGTGATAACGGATGTAGGTGAGCAATTTTTCGTCTTCTTGATCTTGAACCCGCAAGATCTGGACGTGCTGTAAAACGACAAAAGCCTTCATGGCTTTCCTCAGAACTTCGACATCTCGTTTTGAAGTTACTATTTTCTGCTGCTCGTATATCTTGCAGCGGAATCTCTCGATATTAGATTTGCCGATGCTTTGTTGGATTTGAGCATCAAGTGACTGTATACTTTCTCGACCTTTGGATGCATATCAGCAAATTGTCCAGAGAAGCGCTGAATGATACCGTTCTTCTTGGTACCTTGTGTGCAAAAATACGGCACCTTGTAGCTGAACTTCTTGACATGCTTCGCCAGGTGCGGCTGATCGGCGATGGCCTCTAATCTCGCAAGCCCCTTTGACGAGAACCTGGTTGTAACACGTGCGAACTGATGAGAAGCACCCAGAGCAGCGAATCGTCGACAGAGCAATCTAAACTTGCCAATGTTTACAACCTGGTCTTGAGAAGGTAGTGGGTCCGGCCTGAAGCTTTCTTGAGATAGGTATGCTCGCTTGTCGACGCTTACGAGCTTCTCAGGGTCGGCGGCTATGAGATCAAGTATATCATGAAGCAGCTCATTGGATAGATCGAGGGCCCCTCGATAGCCGGTCATCGCGCAACTTGTATCGTTTGGTGCCAGAAGAATCGTTTCGGTAGCTGTTCAGCCTGACTTGAAGAGCATTATACCCAGTGGTCGAAAAGGCGGCAAGGAATGAGGGTCGAGGACGAAAGCTCGAGAAGCACACGACAGAACAAGTAGACTCTTTGAGCGAGTTGCAGGCACATGACGACAGCAGTCGAAACCGCAAAAAGGGAAGTCTTTGGGGGAGTGGTCAGGTGGGTGCGCTGTCGTTGGCCTCTGTTGGCATCTGAATATTCGACGCCACCAACACGCACCGACGGGAAGACAGGATGTTATGCCCGTCACGATCGGACCGGGCCATCACTGCATACGAGTCAGATCATGTGATTGTGATATGGGCGAGGAGCGGCAATTATACAAAGCCCCTTCCATGCAGGTCGCTTCGCTGGCACTCGAGGGGAGATTGTGGCAGGGGACAGAGAGTGCGCCATGAGCGGGGGCTTTGCAGCGTTCTACTCATTTTTCGGCTGATTGCGCTTGCTGCATATTCGAACATTACTTTTGATTTTATCACAGGCAGGTACAGACCACAAGAATGAGCATCGAAATCTTGGGAAGGGCCGGTTGAAAAGGGAAACTATTATTTGCAGCTTCGCTCTTTCAGCAATCACCCAAATCTCGATGCCGGCAGATAAACTCCCCCTTGACCATTCACACTATCTAGTAGATGACATGAGATTGATGCATCTGCTGTTCAAATGGAGCAAGGTTTACAATTGCATGAATGGCATCGCTGTTTCATCTATGCATACACCCCAGCAATGCTGGCCACTGGATGGTGCAAGATTCAACTTCTGGTTACACTACTTCACCACGATAAACCTGCCGTGAGCCTAGACATCCTTTTGACGTAGGCAGAAAGCGTTTTATCACTAAGGCATTAGAGCTTGGCCTTCTCTTGGTTTCTTGCTGTAGTCCATTGGTGCGATCAACCTGAGCTACTGTTTTCGCCTCCGACCTGCATCATTTGGTGGCTTTTGTATGTTGCATGGGTTTTGAAGCTTCTTCTGTACAATTTGGAATCCTCGTGCAGTCCTCTGATTGTTGCTCGACCTCACTGGCCTCATCACTGCGAGAATTTCCTGGCCACTCGTAGCCAATCATGTTATCTCCCAAGCTCCAAGCTGGTCAGAAAGGGCGTGATATCATAGTACGGCCAGAAACCTAGCTAGCATTGCACTCTTCCTCTAGAGCGAAGCTGTCTTCTGAGCCTGCTTCTTCCTGATTTCAGTGCTACTAAGCTTGCCCTCAAAGTTTTGCTGCGATGCAGCACTTGACGTCTCTTTGGCATCCAGAACATCGACCTCCAAGACTTCCAATTTGGGCCATCCGTTCTCAGCGCGCTTGTCATTGACAGCACTTCCACCGGCCCTGGTTTCTGCAGAGATGATGAGAGCGGAGATGTCTTTCTCAGTGATGGTTGGGCCAAATGGATCACCAATCTCAACGCAGCGGACACTCAGGCCATTTGGATACTTGACATTGACTGCATGACCATTTGGGCCTGGCTCCTTCACTTCTTCTACGACAGGATCCGCGGCATCAGCAGTGGCAAAGTTCAAGATTGCATCAAGGAAACGATGAACTGATGCTTGACGGTCAGACCAGCTTTCAAGTTGTTCGGCATACTTCTTGTTCTTGAGCAGCTCATCGTTTGTAATGCCAATAGTGACGATAGACTCGGCCTGAGTCTGATCAACGGAGAAAGCAGTCATAGTGAGTAAGAGCTTGTGGCCAATGTGCAGATGGTCAAAAGTGCCACCAACAGCGACATGATGGTGCTCCTTGGTCGTCAAGCGAGGGGTTGTGGTAGGTCTCGATGTTCCAGACGTATGGTGGCAGTCGCAATGATGATTAGCAGCAGCCTGTTTAGCAGAGACAAAGGCGCGGACAAAGACCTCTCCTTGATCGTTCTCTACACCAAATGCATATTGCCATGGGCGTTGACTGGCAGCAAGGGACTGTAAATCGAGTACAGGTCCGTAGGATGTAGGATGTGCAGAAGCATCAAAACTAGATTGAGGAGACCAGGCGACAGGAAGGATACGAACATCAACACCGTCAGCATCTTCGACGTTGACGTTTTCTTGAGCAGCGATCAGACAAATAAGTTTGTAGACGGCAGCAAGAATAGTTTGAGTGGGCGCATAGAGCTCTGCGCGCGGGAGAGAAGCTTGTGCAGTCAAATGAGGTATAGCTAGTGCAACATCAAGAATCGAGGGTTGGACTGATTCTTTGGAAGCCAAGTCGGCCTCTTTCAGGACTTGGGTAAGAGTATCGCCATATAATTCTTTGAGAGCTGGAATAGTCGCGGGAGATGGCGGAGGGGGAAGCAAGAGAAGAAAGCTCGCAGCGTCATCCATGTTGGTGAGGCAGAGATTTGGATAGATCGGGGAGAAGAGAAACGTTTGATCGATAAGAGTCGACTTTGTGACTTGTATAAAATAGTTGTTGATGGGATCTCGAAGGAGATGGCATAAAAGTGTGGAGCAAGCTATCACATCTGACGTTCGCTATCAAATTGTCGTCGTAATGGGGACCCGACGAGGTAGGGAGGAGTTACGAATCACGTTCTCTTCTTCTGATCTTGAACAATAGTTGTTAGAGGGAGGTTGGAGCTGAATTCTGATCATGTCGCATTCAAACAAAAAGTCGATCGCGCAAGGGCTGGGACTGAGTGTAGCATCTCTTGGAGCTATCGGGAGTCCATCATCGTTGGCCGACATGCAGCGCCAGCAGCAGCCAGACCAACATTACCCTGACCGAACCCCGTTCCACCACCAACCACAACAGCAACCTACTGATCAGGTCGCGTCGCCCTCGGCTTCGGGCAGTAATCGCGCATCAGCGTTCGCGCCGGCATCAACATCCACGACATTGGCGAGCAGCGCCATGTCAGGGGGCCTCGACACTCCAAAGAAGGGCGACTTTAACATCCACCTTCAACAAGCCACGCCCACCCACTCGTCGTCGTCGTCGCAACCCCAACAGCACAACATGTCTGCTCTACCGAACACTCTGCTCCCGGGCGCTTCTTCTTCGTCATCGCGACCACCCACCGGTGCGACAACCTACTCAGCTCCGCAGACCGTCCCTACCATGCCCCCTCCCATCAACACCAACCAGCAGCAGTATACGCCGCGTCCTCCCACCCTCAATCCCCAGCACAGTCACTCGCGCTCGAGTCCTGCTGGCCTCGACCAAAAGTACATTGCTTTCTCCACCACTCCTACAAAAGCTTACAACTCCATCACCCCCTCGTCAAGCCACTCTCCCCTAGGCCTGGCCGACATACGCCCTCGTACCAATTCCGACTTGCTCAACCGCACGGGTACCCAGTCAGCTGCCGTCTACGACTATGGTCCTAGCCAGACAAACTGCAGCTACATGGCTCCGTGGGCCGCCTACTCGTTTGATTGGTGCAAGTGGCCGGTGCCCAACGGTAATAGCTGTGGTAAGATGGCCATTGGCAGCTATCTCGAGGACCCTCATAACTTTGTGCGCCGCACCTTTGTCCCGATCAATCCAACCGAACATCCTGACTGACCAGACCTACAGATTCAAATCGTCGACACGCAGATCACCTCCCAGGATCAATCAGCCATGGGCGGTCCTGCCTACGGCATCGACTATGTCAAGGTCGCCGAAGCCACATGCGCCTACCCGGTGACGCGTATTTCGTGGGAGCCTCCATCTTCATCCAAACAATCTACCGATCTTCTTGCTACCTCGGGCGATCACTTGCGCCTGTGGTCCCTCCCCTCATCCTCTCAACCCGCCATGCTGTCCAATAACATCAACCGATCCGCTTCGGTCAATGTGCGCGATCCTTCCGTCCAAAAGCTGCAGCCTCTCGCGCTCCTCTCAAATTCGAAGACCCCTGAACACACTGCTCCTTTGACCTCTCTTGATTGGAATACTCTCTCGCCGAAGCTTATAATAACATCGAGCATTGACACGACTTGTACTATCTGGGATATTCCTACACTTACAGCGAAGACGCAGCTGATCGCACACGACAAGGAGGTCTTTGATGTCCGCTTCTGTGCAGGCAGTGTAGATGTGTTTGTCAGTTGTGGTGCCGATGGAAGTGTACGAATGTTTGATTTGCGAAGCCTGGAACACAGTACTATTATCTACGAACCCTCGGAGAAGTCGGACAAAGATAAAGGTATTTATCATTCGGATTCTGCTTTAAGATGCAATTTTGACAAGTTTTATCCAGCGGCTCTGCCATCTTCTCCTACAAAATCGTCAGCAGCAGGACTACCATCATCTCCTCCACTTCTTCGTCTTGCCGCTTCACCACATGATGCACACCTTCTAGCAACTTTTGCTGCTGATTCAAACATTGTGCGCATTCTCGACGCTAGACAACCTGGCACAGCTCTGCTTGAACTTCGTGGGCATTCAGCTTCTCTCAACTCAATAGAATGGAACCCCAGCCGACGAGGCATGCTTGCCAGTGGTGGTGATGACAGCCAAGTACTTGTCTGGGATCTGCTCAATTCTGGCAATGGCGCCAGCATCAACGGCGGTGCTCAAGGAGAAGCTCAAGCAAAGGGCCCCTCAGCAAGCTGGAGATGCGATTACGAGGTTAACAACATTTCTTGGGCGCCACAAAGCGCATTGACCGGCCAAGGCGGCGATTGGCTAGGAGTCTGCGCTGGTAAAGGAGTATGGGGCGTCAAACTGTAACGATGATGAAGCAGAGCATTATTGAGCAGCAAAGTGCGATGATCAATTTTGCATATAATGCGTACGCGAGCGGCCTTTGAATGCATTTACGACCCGGGCGGTAACAGGTGGGGATTGGAAGCGAGGCGTCTTATGGATAAAGTATAGTATACTTGCACGATTACGTTTGCCGTGCAAGAGAAATCTAGGCATGGCATAAGACTGCCAAAAGCACATAGATGTCAGTTCCATGTCTCTCCCTCTCAGCTCCTCTCTGTGACATGATCTTTGCCCGTTTGTAGCCGAGTCTGCGTGAGCGATTTTATTGGTGTCCGCGTTTGTCGAGTGTCATTCGTCGCTCGTGTGTCGTGAACTCGTCTCTGCTGTGCAACAGCAACCACCAGTGACTACTGCATACTGTTCCTCGGTTCGGTCGTATCCTTGGGCACTCAATACCTGCTCGTGGTCGCTGGAGACTAACGTCGTCGCACAGCTACCTCGTTTCAAAGGCAGCCGTAGCTCGAGCGCAGGCAAGTGGTATAAACATCCTTCTCTTTCTCTTCCAACTCCCCTCACTCCTCAACCTCAATCTTGGTAATATACCTCCCCGGCACAACAACCAAACCCACAAATCTCTTGACCATATCCACTTTGACATTTCCAGTGTCGCCTTTGAGTTGCATTTGGTATGTTGCATCTTCGACTACACTTGCTGGTGGTTGGCGGTATTCGTGTGTTAGGGAGAGGATTATGTTGCGTTCCTTGATTGCCAATTAGTAAGAGTGGTGGAGAGGAGAGGGAAGAGAGGAGCGGACTTGATCGGTGCATTTCATGGTGCCGACGAAGATGCGTGAGTCAGTGGTGTGCAGGCGTAGGGTTTTGTTGAGCAGGGAGGTGAGGTATTCGGTTGCTTCTGCGTTGCTGCGATCCATGGCTGTTGTGTTTCTGCTGCGATGACACTCAAGGGTTGCTGTTTCCTTGTGAGGAAGGTATGATTGATGGTTGTCGTTGTCAACATGACGGAATTGGTACCGCGGGGTGTTGAGCACGAGATGTGCTTTCTGCTCAAACTCTCTCTTCTTGGTCGACTATCTCCACCTTGCTCTGCTGACATCAACATTGGCTACTGTAATGTACCCTGTAAGATACCGCACGGAGAGCGCTTCCTCATAGTCGTTCGAGCAGGGTTTCTCCTCAGCAGCGAGTTCCTTTTGTTACTCCGTTAAAAGTCAATTCAATCCGTCCACCCCGCTGCACCTCATCGATTTGATAGGATAGCATCAGTCGATCTTCCAAAGTGGCCTGAGGAGTCCAATATGCCTCATGAGAGCTGTGCTCGATAGCAAGCTTGCGGCAATAATGTCACACTTGCCAATTGAGCGTACTTGGCTATGGCACAAGTTCTCATTGGAAATGTTAGCGCAAGTATGAGAAGAGGACCATCTTCTCCTTTGCACTTTTCTCTCTTTCCTTACTTTTTCCTTATCTGCGGTTGAAGTGGTGCTCTCAATTTACTAACTCCCAGGGGTATATTTTCTTGCCTGCTCCGATACTGCTTCACAACGAATTGAATCTGATACAATAATGGCCCCGACTCCATTGACTCCACCTTCCTCTGGTAGTGAGGCATCCTCACCCTTGGCTGCTCGTGCCGGAGTGAACAAGAAAAGACTTCCGAGAAGATCGAGTACGTCGTCAAAGCCTGCATCGCCGAAGTTCACCTGGAAGGAGCATCATCGAAAGACCTTGCTTGTGTGCCGTCAGCGAAAACTACTAGGAAAGGATATCTCCAAAGTCTTCAACTTGCTATACCGTGAAGACTGTATCCTTGCTGGGTATGAAGATGGCATCAGTCAACGAACGCTTGAATCACAATGGCAGGATCACAGAAAAGTAGGCAACAAGACATGGCAAAAAGTCCTGGCTTGCTCGGACGAAGAGCTTGAATCCTCCAGAAGAGAGATAGACGAGTGTCTTGCAAACGATGTTCCTCACATTGAGTCAACTCCGACGGCCAGACAATGGCGTCCATCGACTAGAAACACTCGGGTACAAACTTTCGATGTCCAAAACACCCCTTCCTCTTCTTCTTCGGCTGCGGCCACTGAAGATGAGGGGTCAAACACTATTCCGATCGAACCTTTGACCCCGACACCAAGTATCTCCAACGAAACGACAAGGTTGACAGACCAGTCCCCGGACCATCCTAGCTTGTCAAGTGAATCTGGACTTCCTCAAGAACAGATTCGACGCAGAGCGGTCAGTACCTTCAAAACTCGAAGCACCGTAAGCAGAAACGATAAATTCCCGATATACGACAAGGAGACCAGAACCAGGATCGTGGACGGCGAATGCGTTCCTCTCGCGAAGGCAACAGACAAATATTTAGTTGTGCCCCGTCGTATTCGGCCGGAGGAAGCTCACTCACCGGTTCCAGGTCTATTGTTCAGGACCTACGATGATGATACTCAAGGCGTAAGGGGCCCAAAAGCAGGAGGAGAACTTGCAGGAAAGTTTGTCCACCTGACATGTCCTGCACCTGAACCGCTACCTTGTGGTAACAGCTGCCTGTTCACCACTATCGTCAACCACATAAATTATGTAAAAACCCCTTCGGAAGTTATCAGCACAACGTCAAATCTATTCTTTGCTATGACGCGGGCAGCAAAGTCGACTGCAAACCCAAGAATCAAGGTGATTTGCAGTAGCTTTATTCCCAAGGAGGCGATCTACCATGCGCGACCATATCATTGGCGCATAAAAGGCAAGAGATGGTTTTTCGCCGGAAAGTGGAACAACTCAACTTATCACGAGTATCTTATATGGGCAAAAATTCCTCAAACCGCTGTTCTATGCGACTTTTCCTTTGCCGAACTGGAACGGCATTCAATTGGCAATCCATCCATGCAACAGGTTCTTCGAATCAACAGCTTACGGTCAGGGGATGGTAATACCAATTTGACAAACCAATTTAAGAAGGAGAATCTGATTCTGTCGTTTCCTATGGTCGAAGGACTTGCCAAGTTCCTACGACACTTCTCAATCGACGTTAGGACTCCCTACACGATCATCGCAAGGCTTGTCTCTGAAACGATGCGAGGCTTTGTAATCGGCCTGCCTGAGACAACTGCATTAAGATGGAATATGCTAGCAGAAGCTTTTACCTTCGCCCTTACCGCTCACGAGCCCATGACCAATGTTTCAGAGGAAACGCTCTACGGGGTGAAAGAGGCATTCAAGCTGGGTCTTTGCACGAGCCTGGGAGATATCAACTGGCATTTGGATGCCAACAAGAAGAGATTGATGCTTATGAGAGGAACGCAAAAAGGGCTGGATGTGCGTATGATGCTGGTAGATGAGATTCCGATCAAGCAATGCCACACGGGCTCTGCGGATGTTGCGAATGACCGGGAGCTCATCGATCTGACTGGCGAAGATGAGGACGACGAGGAAGGGGAACACAGCGGAGAGCACGGCGAAGACAGCAGCAACGGGGATGTTTACAGAATGGTCGAAGAGGAGGCCCAGACAGGAGCGCAATCCGCTCAGCCTCAACGACAGCAACGACCCGTCCAGTTACCCCACCACAACGAGCCGCAAGAAAACCAAATGACAGGCGACGAAGAAGCTGAAACAGAACTCGAGGATGCCACTAGACCGAAACCTCACCTCGAGAATCTCAGCAAGTTCAAACACAGACTGGTAGGCCACGAGCTAAAAGAAGCCAGAACAGAGATCGATCGACTCGCTCGATCAGGGCCTCGTCTCTCTCAACGAATGCCGGAACCATCAAACACAGATCAGCAACGACGACGACGAAGTGCCCGACGTCGATCTACTCCCATCAGATATAACTTCAGCAGAGCTGATGAAGTCTTTGATATTGTCGATCAAAGCGAAGGTAGTGATGATGAGTACACAGGTGCTGCAGACGACGAGGATGACATGGAGTTTTGAAATGTTGCAAATCTATGGCAGGTATGAAGCATTGGCAGTTGAAAAGATACGGTGTGATGGAAGGCATGTTTTGAATGCACACGATTCGCAAGCAAGTTTTGTAGAGTCTGAAGTATCCAAGCCTCGAATGACCAATTTTCAAGATGTCTGTTTATTTGCCCTGTTCTTTTTCCCACCTCACAGAAATTGCACCATTTGAGCCATGGCCAGGATACAACGAGCTTCAACTTGGTCACTGGCGTCCAACCCCTGCTGGCGTAATCGACACCATGAAGAAGTACCCGACCAAGATCCCTGATGGCGCTGTCACCCATCTTCGAAAGCTGCGCATCTCTGGCCTTCGCCAACTCTACTGCAACATCTTTGAAGCTCTGCGCCAGCCTGTCGACTACATCGCCGAAGAAGACATCACTCTTGAGGCCGTGGACAGTCAAGCAGGCCGCAACAAGAAGCGCAAGGTTGTTGTCCGTCGCGCAGGAGACCCAGTACTTGGATGGCACCTCATCGCAAGCATTCAGATCGGAGATATTGGGCAAAGGCGAAGGCTGTCTTCATACTTCAGCATGCAGAACTCTTCAGCCTCGCCAAAAGCAAGACCGACATCAACAATACATGGGGAACTTGATGTGTACGGCAGATAGGATAATAGCCTCTACCATTACCGCCTCGAGATCGTTGACCATCTCTTCCAGCCATGCACTGCAAAGATAAGAAAGTATCCCTTAGTACGTAAAGGCAAGACCGAACTTGACGGTGTTGCAAAGTGGAACCTTGAAGGAAAGAAGAGTGTTATGCTCACACAAATCCAACTGCCCTAAGCAGCAAGACAAGAAAAGAAAAGATAATAAGCATAGAAAGCGCAAGACATGCTATCTTGCCATTCTTGACAATATAGACAACTCGAAAAAAACACAAAATCATGTTGTAGGACATCAGCCCTGGCGATACAACGCAGCTATATATCATGGAGAGTGATATTGATCTAGAAGACTTGTTGTTATATCTGCTTCAGGAGAGGCTGCAGGGTAAGAATTCGAGGAAAGCCCACCACTATCTACAGTAGAATTACGAAATCGTATCTACCAAACAAGGTCCAGTTTACCCTTTGTGGAAGAGACAAGGCTCTGTAGCAGAATAAGGTAACGGCAGCTGGAAAGATGATAAGGCGTATTCGTGCACGGTTTGTGAGAAGCTTTGAGAGCTTGAGGTATCAAATGCCTCACAGACAATCGATGCCGAGTATCTGTTAATATGTTCTGTTCTTTCCTCTGACAGTGATTGCACCACTGCTGACATCCAATCTCCAACCATCTTGCTCAAGACCTTTCTTGACTGCCGGTCCGAGGACGCCCTTGCCACCAGCACTATGTCTGCCCACACCCGTTATGATGCGGAACCCGCTGGCACGTTCAGCAGCGCCTACTCGGCCATTGACCTTATTCTCCCCTAGTCCGTTCCACCAAGCATTCGTCCTTTGCCGAGCTATACGTACAGCATTCTCTACAGTCACACCGTGCAAGTCAATCTCGAAAGCAGAAGACTGTGCAGCAACGATGGCGTTTGCCTCTGCAGCTTGCGATTGATGCAGTGCAGCCCCGTGGTCGCGACCGACCTGCGAATAATATCCGGCAGCGCCGCCCATAAGGCGATCGGAGCGTGATTTGCGATATGCTGCACGTGCTTGTTCCATTGCGGCTTGCCTTGCCGCCCTGAGTTTTGCTGTTGAGGCAGAAGCAGACCCAAAATCGACGGTCGATGTGTCTGATTCGAAACTGCTTCGGCTGGGGAAGTCGTCTCCTTCGAAAATTCGCACAGGCGCGTATTGCGGAATGATGACTCGACTGCCGGTTTCATGAGTGAGCGGCTTTGTTGTCAGGGCTTTTGCCAATTCGTGGGCTGCTGTAATGGATGGCTGGGTCAATTTGATGAGGGCCACCAGATACGCGGGAGCAAGTCCAGGATATTCTTGACCCAGAGCAGAGGCTTCCACTTGGATTTCTGGTTCTTCTGATCGAGTGTCCTCGGGCAAGAAGGTCTTGAGGATGGCCGAGATGGTTCGTGGGACGGAACGGCTTTCTTGGTTGTATAACGATAGCACAACCTGAGAGGGGATATTTGCGCGATCCGAGATGAAATCGACATCACTTTTAGCAGTCTGCCATTGGTTTGTTGCTGGTCGCGATTCGGTGGGCAGCGAAGATGACCTCGTAGCATCGATGACCTTGATGTTCTTGCCGCGTTTCTTCCCTTTCCGACCTCTTTTGACTACATTTTCCTCGCTGAAAGCATCGACGCCCTTAGCCGACACCTTGTCTTTTCCATCAATAGTCCCGCCTTCCTCGAAATAAACTTGGTTCAGTAGATCGTCGAATGCGGGCTTCCATTTTGACTCGTGATGGGCGAGTGTGTGCGAGATCGAGTACTCTGAAAGCGAAGGAAATATTTCCTTGAGAATTGAAACTTTTGTGTTTTGGTCGCAAGCCTCGAAATCGTATTCAGCGCGGTCCGGAGAGCCTTCAGAGTCCAGATCAACGCTTGATAGGCCGTTGGAGAGGCTGGTCATGTCGGTTTCGCGCGATGCAGAAGCAGATCCTGGAACAGAAGCTGGATGTCCTGGGCTGTAGTCTTCATGTTGAGTGCCGCTTCCAGAGGCATCGAAGCCCGTGGCCTCTTCTTCGATAGCGGTAGCTTTGAGGGCGTCCAATGTAGCCCTGAGCTCAGTAGCGGCGTTGGAATCGGTCAAGTCATAGTCAGAGACAATGGCAGAGAAAAGAGCGGAATCAATTGGTGGACAGTATTCTGCCTGATTGGCGTCAGCGAATTCGTAGTCGGTGGAGTTTGGCGGCTGACCTCGAGCTGGTGGAAAAGATCACCCATGTTCTAGCTTGCGATAAAGAGGAGAAAATTCAAGGTCTATAACAAATCGCATAATCACAATATGTAGGAGTGTGAAATCAGAGAGGAAAAAGAACAAGAGCGATTGTGAACGTGTCGCGTGTGTTGGCTGTCTATGACCGCGCGATCAGACTTTCAAGGTTGGCGCCCGAGCTTTTTGATAGAGACCGAGACCGTTTTGCGTGACGACATGGCGGATTGGCCGGCGTTAAGAGAGCTGGAGAGACAGAACAGGCAGCAGGTTGAAAGAATGATTTGCAGACATGTAACGATAAAAAGAGCAGGTGAGAAACGTGACCTAGTAACATGCGCAGCAAGACGAAACTGCAGGTGTGCAACTTGGATCAGAGCGGTGATTGGAGCGTGACGGAAAGGCATAAGAATTAGGGTGTCTCGGAGAAAGAGCGCGCTTTGATCGCTTGGGCGGGTCTATCGATGGGGCTGATACGCTCGCTGTCTTCTGGCACTACCGCGTACCCTGGCCTGTCTTCTGTCACCCGTAACTCTGAAGATACCTGCTATACCATCCCGTAGCTTGTTAACTTGTTGTCAAGTGAAGCATCTGTTTGTGCCAGGCACCGGCTTTCTCGTGCGCAAGCTTGCTCTTTCCGTTCGCTTATGGAGCTGTGAAAGAAAGCTCCATGGATGAGCCAGAGCCACCATTCGAACATTCATCAAGTGCAACCGCCTCAAGGTCAGCCAACTCAACACCCACGCATCCATCACTCTCTCACTTCCATCAACCCATTTGAACCTTTCCATACCTTTGCTTGTATCATCTCTCAAATACCATCCATGACACGAGACCTTGCGTCGACCTGCCGCTCATGCCACCCAGAGTAACTCGCTCTTCAGCGAGACTTGCCGCTCCGGCCTACCCTACCACCGACTCTACCGCCGCTGCGACTCCTACCAATTCTTCACTACCTCAGCAGCCATCCTCTGCCGCCACCTCGTCTTCTCGCAAACGCAAACAGTCCCAGGACGACCCTCCTCCGCCTACCTCTCCGGATAATACCCAACCCCGCAGATCCAAGAGAGCTCGCCTTTCCAACCCTACCTCTGCCCAGTCCCAGCCATCAAAGCGCTCTAAGAACATGTCTTCTTCTAGCCATGACGACCAAGATCTTTCTCGTCCATCTATGAGCAGATCGAAGCACTCTCCCACATCGCCCGACGACCACGCCTCATCCAGCAAACGTAGATCGTCCCGCAGAAAGAGCAGTCAAGGTCCGCCATACCTTCCATCAAACTCTTCTTGTTCTCTTTCTAACCCAGCCTTAGCTCCCACATCTAGTCAACCCTCGTCCTCTCGCAAGTCCTCCAAGAAGTCTTCACACAAAAAGGCCCAAGACCCCTCGTCTAGTCGCCCCGACCCCGATCCGCCACGAATGCCTGCTGAACATGACGATGATGACGAGCCGGAAGACGATGACGAAGACGATGAATTAGGAGACGAAGACGACGATGGAGACGCTGCTGCCGCTGCCGCCGCTCTCGGATATTCCGGCGGTGAACCAGGTGACGACCCATTTTCTGGTGCTTTCCTCAACCGCTCAGGCATGCCTGCGGGCTTGTCGAGTACCCTTCGCGCTCTTAGTGGTATGATGTCTGGTATGACGACCCGCCTGCGAGGCATTTTGGAGAATTTACGTGCGAAGGATGACCCTTCGGTGCAAATGATTGCTCTCACCGAGCTCTCGGAAATCCTGCTCGTCTCAAACGAAGACAATCTTGCAGGCCACTTCTCTCCCGATCAGTTCGTCAAGGAGTTGGTGGATCTTATGCAGCCAAATGACTTCACTGGTGAAGAGAACCCTGAGATGATGCTATTGGCTTGCAGATGTATCGCAAATTTGATGGAGGCTCTGCCTCAGGCTACCGCAAGCGTAGTATATGGCGGTGCTGTCCCTGTTTTGTGCCAAAAGCTTCTCGAAATTCACTACATCGATGTCGCCGAGCAAGCACTCAGTACTCTGGAGAAGATCTCGATCGAATTTCCCGCGTCCATCGTTCGTGAGGGTGGTCTTACTGCCTGCCTGACCTATCTCGATTTCTTCGCCACAAGCACTCAGAGAAGCGCTGTTACGACTGCCGCCAATTGCTGCAGAAACTTGTCTGATGACTCGTTCCCCACCGTACGCGATGTCATGCCTATTCTTCTCAACGTCCTGTCGAGTAGCGATCAACGGGTTGTAGAGCAAGGCTCGCTCTGTGTTTCTCGAATCGTGGAGAGTTTCAGATACCAAGAGTCCAAGCTCGAAGAGTTGGTTAGCCCCGAACTGCTCAAGGCTGTACTCAGACTACTCCTACCTGGTACAACCACCATGATTGGACCCAGCATTCATACCCAATTCTTGCGCGTCTTGTCCATCACCGCAAGAGCAAGTCCGCGCTTGGCGGCAGAGCTGCTACGAATGGACGTTGTCGACACTCTCTACCAAATCCTCACTGGAGTTTCGCCTCCTTCAAACAACGATGATGCTGCCTTGAAGATCGATAAGAACATCATTATGCAAGCTCTCATTCGTACGCCACGCGATCAAATCTTTGAGACTCTGAATGTTGTCTGCGAGATTCTCCCTAATGTTTCGCCTGACAACCTCATGTTCATCAATGATCTGGCTGATGCTGGCAACACTGGTCCCGGCAGTGTCTCCATGGGCACTCGTGCTCGCAGCTCGCCCAATGACAAGCGCTTGGAGCTTTTGCAAGAATGTCAGCCCGAGGTTCGACGCTTTGCAGTCATTCTCTTCCCAACTTTGATGCACGCATACACGAGTACCGTCAATCTCAGCGTGAGGCAGAAAGTACTTACTGCACAGCTCAAGATGCTTTCCAACTTTGACACCACTGTGCTTGAGGATGCCCTCTCAGGCGTGGCTTACGCTTCACACCTCGCCTCGATCCTAACACAGCAAGAAAACCCGATGCTCGTCACTTTTGCTTTGCAGATCGCCGAGCTTCTCCTCAAGCGTCTTGAGTCGACCTACAGACCTCAGTTCTACCGTGAAGGTGTCATGGCTGAGATCAGCAAGCTTGCACAGCGAGAACTTACTTCCATCGACTCAAACGAGTCCAACGCTATCTCTGCAACACCCGCCGATGCACCTTCTTTCTCTGCAGAGCTCCCCCTAAGATCGGACCATGATGAAGACGATGACGCTAGTGAGCCTGATTATCCTGATGAGGGGTCTGCTGGAGAGCATGACGAGGACAATGATGACCACGTCGACGACGATGATTCAGGATCAGAATCTGGAGCACAGAACCTGCGTACACCAGTCACCGCCAGCGTCCAAGACATCATCACAACCCGAGCTCGCAAATTCGTGGAGGCCTATCAGAATGACGGTGGACTCGGTGAGGCTTCAAGGGCATTGTCGGAGCTCAAACGTCTTGCTGAAGACCTTCGCAAGTGCTACAGCTCGAACAATTTGTCTGAGGGACCCGCACTATTCAGACGTCTTGCTAAGCATTTTGATGGCGACACGCCTGAGACCATCACAAGTTACGAGTTACTTACCTCTGACATCGTCGCAACTCTACTCGAAATCTTCAAGTCCTCAGACAGTCATACCGGCCGTGCTGCAAGATCTGCCTTCTTGGATGCATTCATGTCACACAGAGGCCAGAGCAAAGTCGCAACCGGCAACACAACTTCACCAGCTACCGCATTCAGTGCCTTGGTCCATAAGCTACAAGACTTGCTCAGCCGTACGGAGCATTTCGAGGTCATTACTGTCCACCAGAACGCTTCTGACAGCAGCAGAAGTGGTGCAGCTTCGATGCTCGCCAAGCAACTGCGCATCAAGCTATCAGCCGATGACGAATCTGGCATCCCACGTCCTTACAGAAATATAATGGTCTCTATCCATGCCATTGCGACATTTAGAGCTCTTGACGACTATCTTCGCCCACGCATCAGTCTCGCAGAGAGAGCTGTGCGCAGTCGCGAAGCGCTGACTAACAGTCTTGCCGAGGCAGTTGCTCGTAAGGACGGAAATGCTACAGAAGGCGCTTCAACTCCTCCTGCAAGCAAACGCACTCATACAAGATCATCTCAACCTGACAGCACTCCTCAAAACAGCGGCGACGCTAGCAACCGCTTGCGCAGATCTTCGCGCAAAGTCTCACAAAAGGACTCTGAAGCGGCCGAGGATGATCAACACCAGCTTGAATGTGCTGACGAAGCCGCTCTCTCAGACGAGGACGAAGGGGATGAAGAGGATCTCGACGCCATTGTTAACGACTTTGACGAAGACGAGGACATGGAAGATGCGGATCAGGACACTTCTGCAGTCAATCTGGAGGTCGCTAACAGCGGAAAGGTAACTGCTCACAAAGAGGATGGTACCCGTATCAGTACCCCGCTACAAGGCTCACAGCAGTCTGCAACTTCTCGTACCTCTGCTTCTGCAAGACTTGCTGCGGCGCGAGAACTTCTCTCTACTCCAACTTCACAGAGACCATCCAACCCTCCTGCAGTTCAGCCTGCTTCTCAGGACTGGCATATTGAGTTCAGCGTCGATGGACAGCCATTGTCAAACGACACCACAATTTACCGTGCTGTTCATTTCAACCAGACCCACCCTGACGAGGTATCGAGCCGTAACATCTGGCAAACACTACACAAGATATCTTTCAGACGTGCTCCGGGCCCCCCTCCTGCAGAGCCTAGTACGCTTCATTCGTTATCAGATGCGTCGACAGCATCCACCTCCGAACTTCCACCTTCGCTTAGTCAGCATCCTGCCACAGCCGCCATCCTTCGTCTGATGAGCACTTTGCATGACATAAATGCTAATCTGGAGGACATCATTGCTGAAGAGCAAAGCAATGGCACTCAGCTTAGTTCGGAGCCCCTGGCTCAGTTCGTCAACACCAAGCTGACCGCTAAACTTAATCGTCAGCTTGAGGAACCTCTGATTGTGGCCAGCAACTGCCTTCCTACCTGGAGCGAGGACCTCGCTCGCCTGTATCCATTTTTGTTCCCATTCGAGACCAGACACTTCTTCCTCCAATCGACCTCGTTTGGCTACTCGAGATCCATGACCAGATGGCAGAACGCTCAATCAGAAAATGAATCTAGACGTCATCGCGATGAACGACCCTTCCTAGGCCGTCTACAGAGACAAAAGGTTCGCATCTCTCGCAGTAGAATTCTCGAATCTGCCATCAAGGTTATGGAGCTTTACGGATCATCTCCAAGCATTCTTGAGGTTGAATATTTCGAAGAGGTTGGCACTGGCCTTGGTCCAACTCTTGAGTTCTACTCGACAGTGTCTAAAGAGTTCTCAAAGAAGAAGATGAAGCTCTGGCGTGAGAACGAATCAATTGCTGGTGACGATTATGCGTTTGGTATGCGCGGCTTGTTCCCAGCTCCAATGAGTGAGGCACAATCAAACGACGAACACGGAAAGAAAGTGTTGCATTTGTTCAAGATGTTGGGCAAGTTTGTTGCACGCTCGATGCTGGATTCGCGCATCATTGATGTTTCTTTCAACCCTACCTTCTTCCGCATCAGCGCTGGCAACTCCACAATCAAGCCTTCGCTTGGAGCAGTCGCCTCGGTGGACAAGGACCTTGCTAACTCCTTGAAGCCTCTGGTGCGCTGTGCTAGAGCAAAGCAGGACATTCAAGAAGATGAGACAATGACTGCAGAGCAGAAGGCTCAAGCTATCAAGGGCATCAAGATCAAGGATGCCTCTATTGAAGATCTTGGCCTCGACTTTACGCTGCCTGGCTACCCTACTATTGAGCTTCAACCCAATGGTGCTGAGATTGATGTGACCATTGACAATGTCGAGCTGTATGTCGAAAAGGTCATCGACTTCACCCTCGGCCAGGGAGTCCAGAAGCAGGTCGATGCATTCTGTACCGGGTTCTCCCAGGTGTTCCCGTACTCAGCCCTCAAGGCGTTCACACCCGATGAACTGGTGATGCTCTTTGGCCGTGCAGAGGAAGACTGGTCGCTTGAGACACTTATGGATTCGATCAAGGCTGACCATGGCTTCAATCTCGACAGCGCAAGCGTCAAGAACCTTCTGCAAACAATGTCAGAGTTCACGATGCCTGAGAGACGCGATTTCCTGCAGTTTGTTACTGGCAGTCCCAAGCTACCCATTGGAGGTGAGTTTCAAGTGAGATTGTGCAAGTTCTTCGACAATGCTAACCAGAAAATAGGATTTAAATCATTGACACCGATGTTCACAGTGGTGTGCAAGCCCAATGAGCCTCCGCTGATGCCTGACGACTACCTGCCTAGTGTCATGACATGTGTCAACTATCTGAAGATGCCTAACTACAGCTCTCAAGAAGTGCTGCGGGCTAAGTTAAGTGTTGCAATCAAGGAAGGACAGGGAGCTTTCCATCTGTCATAAATGGGACAAAGTTCACATTCACAAGCCAACCTAGGAGTTTGCAACTGGTGTTTTGAGCAGTGGGTCAAATTATTACCATGGAGTTTTGGAGTGACTTTTCACACAACGGAATGGAGGGAGGACATTTATCTCATGGCTTGCCAACTGGTGGCTCTGCATAGCATCGGCGTCAACAAACAACTCAATCAAACTCCCAATTATACATATTTATTTCAAGAGAAGTCGAAGCTTCGCAATCGATTACTGAGAAGTGTAAACACATGTGAAGCATGGCACTCAACGAGGAAGGAGACCCTGGCCCTCCACGTATGACGTAGAAGCTCGCGACATCTCATCACCTGTAAATGCGACAAACAGTATCCATCTCTGTTGCACCACACTCAACTTCCAGACGAAAGATGGCACCAATACGACGGTATCTACGTATCACACGCTACTCAGTCCTCGAAGTACGCATTTACCTCGACAACCCGGCCCTCGCAAACTCATGGCTGCTCAATTCACGCGACCCTGTACTGCCACGAGTCATCGAAGCCGTACGACCACTCGTGCTACCCAAACTACGCGAAGAAAACGAGAATGCAAAGAAGAAAGGCGGCAAGAAGAAGAAGGGTGTCAGAGATGTGGTTGCGCAAGGTACACCTACTTCCAAGCTGTTCCATACCACAAGCGAGACCAAGAGATTGATGATTAGTGTTCTACAACAGATGACTTTGAAGTCTCGATATTCCTGACCGAGACATCGACATCGCATGCCATGCTCACCAAGCAAAAGACGTTTACGCAAAAACCGCGATTGCAAAGCAATACCTCGAAACTGACGAACTACTTTGGCAACAACAACGAGACTGCTATCCATATCCACGACGACGAAGAAGCTCCTGCGGTGTTACTCGAAGAAGATGCCGATGAAGTCACAATGGAAAACATCCCCGAAGCAAACACGAACAAACGCTCTCGCAACGACGACTCAGACGACGAACATATCTTTGTACAAAGCGACGAAGGCTCAGAAGAAGAACTACCACAACCGTGGAGAAAGAAGACCAAAGTCAAGGATCAAGACAACAATGAAGAGGAAGATAAAAAGAAAATGGGGATTAAGACACAGTATGAAGGGTTTAGTATCTATGGCAGGATACTGTGTTTGATTGTCAAGCGCAAGGGGGTCAAGAAAAATGCTGGGGGCAATAGTGCTGCTATGTTGGAGACGTGGGTATCTACGCAAGCGGATAATGAAGGGGTGCTTGATGATGCTGAGGATGGATGAAACATCAGAAGATGTATTGCTTTTGGAAGAGAGAGCAGAGGGAAATCTATTCACACTGGTCGGACTGGCTATGTTCTTATTCAGCCTTCTTGGCCGAAAACGCTGCAGAAGTGCTCGAGGGCTGCGCGTTAATGTCCGACACCACGATACCCAGGATCCAGCAGTTTATGCCAAAGAAGAGCATACTGGCTACCCAGAGCCCCGGCACAAAAGTCGACTTTCCGAGAAATTCGAGTTCGTATCCTTGTTGCAGCCACAAAGCCTACAGAATTGCTGTCTGTTAGTCATGGAAACACGTCTGGGAAAAGGAAGGTCATTCTTACCTGACCTAGAACCCAAAGGGCAAGAGCAGAATAGCCAAGCTTGGGTCGACGAAGCAATGACGAATTGGGAAGGTAGAATGGCAAGAATACCATATACCACAAGAAATACTGCAGCACCCATCAAAATCAGCCAAACCAAATCTTGAAATCAACAGAATTTCAATGACAAAAGCTTACCTGACTCGTGCAGACCTTGTTGAACGTGACAAAAGCAAACGTCTGCGCCAACATCGTACTTGCCAAATCCTTCTTTGCCAAAAGCAAAGGAATAGCAACTACAGAAAGGAAGAGTTGAGGAAAGAATGCCAGAGACTCAACGCCGAGGCCGGAAGATGAGCCTAGAGCTGACTTCATGTGAAGTAAAGTGTTGTAAACCGAAAAGTTGTGACGGTGGTCGATGCGTGTGAGGTGGTAGGTATAGCTGTGTCGGATGAACTCGATGCCGTAGCTGGGAAGGACGATGGTCAGTAATCCAAGAAGCAAACCTTCATCCCTCGCGAGGGCTGATCAGGGAAAGCGAACTTACAGCTTGAACATCAGCATATTCAATCCAGCAAAAGTGATAAAGCTGAACAGCGCCAACTGTACCCTCTTACGATTGACAAGGCCACCAAACATCCCACCTCTTCCGTCCCAAGATCCAGCTTGCCGTCTGTCCAACCACCAAACCATACTAACCGCATACACAAACGGATAAATCTTGAAATGCACCCCTAACCCCAATAAACAACCCGCAAGCCTGATACGTCCAACACTGACCGCCCACAACATACCCACCACAATAACAGCAAGTAAACCCTCAGAACTGCCCCTAGTGCTGATATTCGCAACCATAGGGTTCAAGAGCCAAATACTCGCAAACCCCATCGCCCTTGCCTTACTCATCTTCTGTCTCTGTAACAGCAAGAAAATCAAATATCCGGTTACAATGTCTCCCGCCGCAAAAACAGCTTTTCCGAAACAGAACCAGCGGCCTCCGTATGCGGTGGGATATAAAAGCCAGGCTAGGAGTGGTGTATACCGATACGTGTCGCGCAAGTACGGAGATTGATTGTGGTATACATAGCGAGAAGCATCTGTGAAGACCAAGTAATCGATATCGGTGTATTTCAGAGGTGAGTTTGCGTCTTGGTATTCGCCCCAGAGGAGAAGTGCTGCGCGGAGTAAAAGGGAGATGCTGAGGATCAGGCGGGTGTTGGAGAAGAGGTTGGTTATTGTGCTTGATTTCTTGGATGCGGGCCCTCCAGGTTCTCCAGACATCGTTTGTGACATCGTCTCCGGACTTCAAGGGAGTGGAGATTCCTCGATGGTTTTTGAGGAGTTTGTATGTTTTGGTAGAACTAAATGGATAGGAGAGGCTGAGGTGGAACTTTTGGAGATCCAAAGTCTTGGCATTTTGGGCCATCACTTCTAAAGGCATCAAAGGTCAAGATCAAGTTACAATGTTGCTGATCAAATCAAGCTACTTGTGGATCTGGAGAGAGAATTTTATAGAGCATAACATTGATTGTGTATCCCAAAATTGAATTTGTGATATCGCCAAGATCTTGACCCTTCATAATAGCCTCCACTACTTCATAGCTACTAAAAAACTAAGTAGCAAGACCGATGTTGTGATTGGCAAAGGCAGCCTCCATGTTCCTCTCCATAATGCCGATGGCAGAGCTAGTAGGCGAAACAAGTGGTGACGGTGGTGTTTCCGAAACCGACTTGAACGTGTTCAGGGTCCGGATAGTACCACTACCAATAGATCTCTGTGATTGACCGCTCCAGGCACGCTGGAGCTTGGGTCTGGCCCACTCAGACCAAGACTTCTTCATCTCGATAGGACCTTCAACCTTGGTCTGCTCGGCCATCTTCAAGCCAGCTTCGCCCTTCTTCCAGTTGACAGGACATCCCTCTCCGTATTCATCCTTGAAGGCGAGAGCATCGATGATGCGCAAAGTCTCATCGACACTGCGCCCAACATCTGCATCGCTGATGGTGATGTTTCTGACATTTCCCTTGGGATCGATGATGAAGAGAGCGCGTTCGGCGACACCTTCATCCTCAAGCAGAACACCATAGTCGCGACTGATCTTGTGGTTGCTGTCACTCATGAGAGGCACATGGACGCCACCGAGACCTCCTTCCATCTCATTAGTATGGTTCCAGGCACGAAGGCAAAGCTCGGTGTCGGTCGAGGCAAAGACAACAGCGCAAGAGCGAGAATAAAGGAACTCCTCGAGGCGTTCGCTGAACGCGCGGATCTCGGTTGGACAAACAAATGACCAGGCTTTGGGGAAGAAGATGAGGGCTACCCAGTGGTTGGCACTAGTGTAGGCACTCAAACTAATCTCTGCGGTGCCAGTCAGTCTATGTATTTTATGTATAAATCAAAGCGATCTTACCTTTTAGCCTACCATCCATGACGGCCGTAGCGGTAAAGTCAGGAGCTGGCTTGCCGACAGAGGCTCTGATCATGATGACTAGTGTTTGACAGATATCGACGGTAAGAAACAAAAGTGACTGAACAGAGGTTCGATGGATGTTTTGGATGTGAACATCGGCTACTTCTGAAGCCTACTTGTATTTGCGACTAGACCCGGCCGCGCAACCCAGCTACCGGGAACAGGATCATAGTTTCATGTTTTCCGTTTGCGGATCTTCATAGGGTTACGGCATGATCTGGATTCTGGGATGGAGGGGTGCAAGAATGCCTTTGTTCCGGCTGCACATTCCTCAACCTCGACAACCATGTGGCTTGTTCGGCGATCTCTCTCGTACACAGAGATCTGAGCCGGCAGAGATGGTGACTGCAACGGAAACCTACCGATTGCGACAGGAGACCAGTAGAGCAGTATGTATTGTCACCCCTGGAGTGGTGGTGTAGTCTTAGACGACTGATTGTGTTCGCAACGACCAAGCATACTGACCAAGCAGCACTGCTCTCCGATAGTTTGAAGGACGTGAAGACCTACAACCATGTTTGAATGGGTAGATTTCGCCTGAAACCCCGAGTCAGCTTCTAGATGGACGACATCAAGTCGTGATGACCCAGTCCGGGCTGGAGATGAAAGAGACACGACCCGAAGGTTGGTTTGGAATCAAATGCGGAACCCTTGAATGCCAAGACCGAAGCTCTTGCAGCGGCAGTGACATAACCAAAAAGCTCGCCGAAAGAAGCAGTTACAAAGAAGTTCAGACGCAAAACAACACACACAGCAAATGGGCCAGAAGCGACCAAGATCAGACACAATGGAGGCCACCGAAGACAAGCAATCGCCCTTCATGCCCATGTTCGAGACCTTCCGCGCCGAATTGGACGAACACCACGACCGCCGAGAACGCACCATCAAAGCATCGCGAGACATAACCGCTGCATCAAAGAAGATGTCCGTCCCTTGATCACAACAAAATGTCATTGCCACTGTTCTTTCTTGGCTGACAAGGAATGCGTGTTGCAGTATCTTTACCCTTCAAAGGTGCGACAAGACTTTCTACAACAGGACATTAGCAAAGACAAAGAGCTGATGCGATTGTGTCTAGAATTCGCAAACTCGCCCATCCGCTACCTGCACATGTCAACAAGAACAATGCACAATACTACGACATTATCAAAGATCGCTACAACACAGTCTCTGCCGACCTCCAAGGATTGAATGCCTGGAGATATGCCCGCAACATTACTGGTGGCAATCAAGAGTACATGGAAGCTGCTATTTTCCAGCATTATCTGACCACTGGAACGCTGCTCACATATGAAGAGTCGGTCGAGCAATTGCGCGCGTTAGGTGGTGAGGGTGGTCCGGTACAACTCACCGTCGAGGACTATCTGCTCGGTGTCTTCGATATGACGGGTGAACTGATGCGTTTCTCCATTACCACCATGGCTACCGATGGCAAACTCCCTTCTGTCGACTCGAGTGACAGCACTACGTCGGCGGATAAGATGGACGTGGATTCTCAACCGAGCAGTCACAGAGATGTTCTCACGGATCTTCGTACGCTGCGTTCAGAGCTGGAAGGCTTGAACGTCGGCTTCGGCAGTTCCTTCGCCCGCGATGTGGACAAGAAGATGGATGTTATGCAGACAAGTGTCGAGAAGGTGGAAAAGGCCTTGTACGGTTTAGTCATTCGAGGCAGGGAAAGACCGAAGGGATGGATGCCCGATCTCGACTCTGGTCCACGCAGAGACGTCGAAGTCGATGCTTAACCATGCGAATTTGTGGAAAAAGGAACAACATATACCACTAAATCATGACAGTGGATTTGCTAGCTATTTTAGCTATGTACGAGTAAACTACGACAAGCATCTTATTCGAGCGCAAAATTCTACAGCTTCGTGCCCAAGTTGACGTGGATGGCCTTCTTGTTGGTGTAGGCTTCAAGACCAGCCTCGCCCAACTCTCTGCCGATACCACTCTGCTTGACACCTCCGAAAGGAATACGGAAGTCCGAGTCATTGCTCGAGTTGATCCATACCATACCAGCCTCGATGTTTCTTGCCACACGGTGTGCCTTTGTGATATCCTGAGTAAAGACCGCAGAGCCCAAACCATAGGTAGTGTTGTTGGCTCTGTCGACTGCCTCTTGCTCATCCTTGAATGATGAAATGACGACAAAAGGTCCAAACACCTCTTCCTTGAAGACCCTCATGTCATCCTTGACATCGACGAAAATGGTGGGCTTGACGAAGAAACCCTTGCCGTCTTGCTTGAAGGGCTCGCCGCCTGAGATCAGTTTGGCACCCTCGGACTTGCCGGCTTCGACGTAGGACAAAACGCGCTCGTACTGTGCCTTGGTAACTTGAGGACCCTGGAAAGTGGTCTCTGCGAAGGGGTCACCGACAACACTGGTCTCCTTGCAGTGCTCCTTGAATGCTGAGATGAATTTGTCGTAGATGCCTTCTTGCACAAGGATACGCGAAGTAGCTGTGCAGATCTGGCCTTGGTTTGACATGATACCGATGTGTGCCCACTTGACTGCCTGATCAAGGTCTGCATCGTCGAATACCAAAAGAGGAGACTTGCCGCCAGTTTCGAGTGTGATGTTCTTGAGGTTGACAGCTGCCATCTTCATAATTTCGCGACCTGTCGCGGTGGAGCCAGTGAAAGCGACCTTGTCGACATCCATGTGCTGCACGAGAGCAGAGCCAGCCTCACGACCATAGCCGTTCACAATGTTGACGACACCTGGTGGGAAACCAGCTTCTTTGATCAAGTTGGCGAGGTAGAGAATAGCGAGGGGAGTTTGTTCGGCGGGCTTGAGGACGATGGTGTTTCCAGCAGCGAGAGCGGGACCAAGTTTCCATGCTGCCATGGCGAGAGGGTAGTTCCAAGGGATGATCTGCGCGCAGACACCAATGGGTTCGCGAATTGTGTAGGCTAGCTTGGCTGGTGTGGTATCAATCACTTGTCCGTGAATCTTGTCTGCGTATCCAGCGTAGTACTTGAGTGTGCCAATGACCTCGCCCAAGTCCTCATTCAATGCGACTGAGTATGGTTTGCCTGTGTCCATCTTTGTCAGCTTTTAATCCTCTTTGAAGCGTTGTTGAGATTGTTGCTGACCATTGTCCCATGTCTCGATTGTTGCAAGGACCTCCTTGTGTTGTTCAATCAGGTTTGCCAACTTGATCATGAGCTCTCCTCTTTCTGTGCTGGCGATTTCTCTCCATTCTCCCTTGAAGGCCTTTCGTGCTGCGGCAACGGCCTTGTTGACATCCTCGGCTTCGGCGGCTTCGACAGAGCAAATCTCGCTCTCGTCACTATAGACTTCTTGTCAGCCATTGTCACTGTCTTCAATGTCTGTGGTTGGACAAAGTGATTAGAAACCAGCCCAGCTGGCGAACCCAAGCTTGAAGGCCATTCGCTCGGCAGAGACAGTTGCTTCAACTTTCTGCTCTCATGCCTTGTTGGAACATGGCTCGAGAGTTCTACCACGCGCTAACAAATATTCAGAAAAGCAGACTAACCTAGGGTTTATGCTAGAAATCTTGTTGCCCTTTGAAGACTTGACCCATTCATTGTTAATGAACAGACCAGTAGGTTGTGTGTACTTGACACCATTAGGCGCCGTAAGCTCGACCGAAAGACCAGACATATTGCGAGAAACAATCGTAAATAGTTTCGAAGGAGCAGGGTATCTCGGAAACTGAAAAGAAGAAACAGAAGAACGGAGGAGAGAGCGGTACATGGAGAATCAGGAAGAGGGGAAGTGCCCTCGTAGATATATGCTTACACCTACGTAAGATAAATCACTACCCGGATCTGCTAGTATCGGATGCTTCTGGGTAACGATAAGGCACGGCGTGTTCCTCTCGCGAGAGCTACAAAACGCGGCTGCCCCACCAAACGATACTCCACGCTTGGAGGGGTCTCCTGTATGCGCTAGCGCCCGAAAGAGGAGTTCCAGGCGACCATCGTTGGCAACAGAGGTAGGGCCTGTATACATTGCAGAGTTCCAGCGTCCTTCTGATTCCAGATATTCTGCTGAAAAAAGACATGGCTGATCAATGCTGGTGGTCTTGAGCCAATTCAAGCACATAAGAAGGACTGAAGCACTCAATTGTCAGTGTTGTACAAGAACAGGAATCTAGAGATGCTCGGAGATAAACAGAATAACTGCTGGTCCGTGCGAGATATCCTGCTAGCCAAACTTGGTCATCAATTTGACCAAAGATTCACCATCACTCTGCTCGCCATCAGTGCAAGATCCGGTAGGTAGATCCGAAAAACGTACTCAAGTCGAGTTATACACTGAAACTTTTGGAGCTGATCATCTCGGAAAGCAGTCGAATGTTGCGCCGGTTTGTAGCCTCGGCATCCAGAAGGCCGTATTCTACCATGACTTCCTCAATGACACCCATGGAAGATGCCATCAGGCAAAAGGTGATCAGACTGGCTCAAAAAATGCTGGTTTCTGAGTATGCTTGCTGACAATAACTAGGTCACGCAAGAGCTGAAGCCAACTTCGCTCGAGATCTTCAATGATTCTCATAAGCATGCTCACCACAAGGCAATGGCAGGTGTGACCTCGAGAGAGACACATTTCAGGCATGTAGATTCAGTGACTTGTCCTCACTGACCTCGACTGGAGACACCAGTGAACACATGACCATGACTAACATGCTTTAGGGTCAACATCGTCTCGGATGCTTTCAAGTCAAAGATGCAGCCAGCAAGACACAGAATGGTTTACACACTCTTGAAGGATGAGATGGCTGCTGAGGGCGGCATCCATGCTCTCCAACTCAAAACTCGCACACCCGAGGAGGAGGAGAAGGCGAAAGCACGAGAGTCATGATATTCTCTAATCATGCCTGTAGACGCTTGTAACACTAACAAGAAAACGCATGGGAACATTAGAGAACAGTAGAGCAAAAAGCAATTTTTATGTGCCATTCGAATAGCGTTTCGTAACATGGCTTATTTAGCTAGTGTACAAGGTTCTGTGGTTTGTAGCAAAGTTAAGTATATGTCAGAGCATAACTGTTGTGACCAAGCAAATTTGTGATTAGGTCTGCCATCTTTTTTGTAACCACAGAGCGAAGCCGAGCTGGAGTCTTCGAGATTCGAAACCAGAGGATCATGAGAGAAGGACCGTGTCCTTAGATCTTGGCCTCAGTCCTATGAAGGAGGGAGATCCTTGGGGATGGGAGAGCCGGTAGAGTTGAGGTAGGAGAGGTAGCAGTTCCAGCCTTGATTTTGTTAGTATGAAGCTTGTGTAATTTGAGAAGGAGCAGCACGTACCCAACGAGACAACGTTGACAACCAAGACTCTGTGTTGAAGAGGGACAAACTTGAAGTTCACGGCCTGAACGAATGGCCAGAGCATCCAGTTCTTGGAGAGAGCATTCCAGTATGTGGTCTCGATCTTCTTCGAAGGGTCCGAGCCCTCCATGATGGCCATGGACGAGAGGAAGACGAACAAGTTGGTAGGAGCCAGGACAGTCTGATCAAGACCAACACGAGCAAGGATCTCCATGTTGGGAGAGCTGGGAATGCGAACGCGACGCTGCAAGAAGCCGAACCAGGTGGTAGCGAGAGGACCGAAGACAGCTGTGCCATTTAAGTCAGTGATGATGTAGAGTGCCATGTCAATGGATAGATACATACCTCCGCCGTAGAGTGCCATGCGTCCAGTACGTGCAAGATCGTGGTTCTTCAAGCCAACTTGCTCGACACCCTGCTGGGCCATAGTGTCACCGGTCGCAAAGAGCACCTAGCATAATTGTCAACCATTCAACAACTTCGCTGACTGTTCCTCGGTACATACGGCAGTGGTGATGCTCTGAGTGAGCATAGGGCGCTGAGCAAGCTTCACGCCATACCTGAATGCTTGTTAGCCATGAAAAGGAGCAGGCGCAGCGCACTGGACGAACCAACGAAGGAAGGAAGCCATCTTGACGTCGTGCTTGTTAGTGAGAACGCGTATGGCAGACGAACGAAGTGTGATGTGCTCTGAAGATGAGATATGAGAGAGAAAAAGCTAGGGATTGAATTGACGATAAAGTGAAGCGCCAGTCCTGTCGCAAACTGCAGATGTGGATAATTGTTTATCAAGAACCTGAATTCAACCGGTGCATTTTGCCCACGCGGGTATGACGCGCGACTCGGGACAATGATAGATAAACGCCGAGCTGCTGCAATCTTGTGAAGCCTAAAGACTTTAGCCTCTCCCCCTTCAACTTGTACAACTTACCGCTGAACTCGCCAAGAAACCAGATGGCATAATTAACATGATATCTGGAAGCCCTTGCTAAGTTCCGAAGTTCGTGAGGGACATATATGAGACATGCAGTTTGCGTTGGTCACATTAACAGTCCGAATTCATTTCTAAGAGGCATTCACCAACAGCTACTATCGTCCAACTTGTTTTATGCACAGGAACTGCTCTTGAGAGAGGTGATGAGCCTAGCGGCTTGCAAAGATATACGAGGAGATAGTGCTTTAAGCCTACCGAATGGTCAAGAAACTTTATATTCCTTATATTTCCGTTTGTGAGAAAGGCGACCAACTTCAATTTGATCGGTCAATGAAACATCTCCTTAGATCCATTAGAAGCAAGTGTACTGAAGCAAGTCGAAGATCTAGCATCGAAACTTGCAGATGAGTTAGGAAGTGAAAGATGAGACGCAAGACGTGAGACGAAAGCTGAAACAATCGTCCATGCGTCATCCAGGGTCATGACTTTTTTCCATCGCGGTGCTTCCGCGTTGAGCTTCTACCAGTCATCTTTGTTGTTGTCGTACACCCATATCTTTCGACACTCAACATGGCACACTCAAATAATGAAACGCCTGAGGGCATTGGTTCCTTGCTGGATACAGATCTTTACAAGCTTACCATGCAATGTGCTGTCCTGAAGTACTTCCCTGACATTGGTATACGCATTCAACATCTTGCAGACATATCTGCTGTTTGCTGACGGCCAACGCAGAGGTCACCTACCGTTTCACCAACCGCACCGCCGACCTCAAGCTTAACCGCCAAGCTTATCACTGGCTGCAGAAGCAAATCGCCCAGCTCGCCAACATTCGCGTCACAGACGAGGAGATTGAGTACCTCAGTCAACACTGCTCTTATCTCACACCCGAGTACCTCGACTTCCTGCGCAACTTCTCTCTCCGCCCAACCGAACAAGTCGAACTCTCTTTCCAACCATCCACTCAGAATGACAAGGAATCAGAATCAGACGAGGGCGACATTGCTCTTTTCGTGAAAGGTCGCTGGCTAGACACAATCCTTTATGAGATCCCGTTGCTCGCTCTCGTCTCCGAGGCATACTTCAAGTTCTGCGACACAGATTGGAACCACGAGGGACAGGTTGACAAGGCCTACGAGAAGGGTCTTCGCTTGCTTGAGGCGGGATGTTCATTCTCCGAGTTCGGTAGCCGAAGAAGAAGGGATTACAAGACCCACGACATGGTCATGCAAGGCTTGCACCAGGCAAAGGACGAGGCTACTAAGCGCAGCTTCCCTGGAAAGTGGGCTGGTACCAGCAATGTGCACTTGGCCATGAAATACAACGTTCCTCCTGTAGGAACTGTCGCCCACGAATGGTTCATGGGAATTGCTGCCATCACCGATGACTACAAGAAGGCCAACGAGACGGCATTACAGTACTGGAGTGGTACCTTTGGCCGTGGAGTTTTGAGTATCGCTCTCACCGATACATTCGGCACACCAGATTTCCTCAAGGCCTTCAAGAGACCTGCACCACCAGGTCACTCGCGCGATCCCAGCCTGGACAAGCCAAACCCTAGCTTTGCTGAAGTTTACACTGGAACACGACAAGACTCTGGCAACCCCTTCGAGTTCATCAAGAGAATGCGCGATTTCTACGACGAGCAGAACATCACAGTGCCTAAGACTATTGTCTTCTCGGATTCGCTGAACGTGGACCGCTGCATCGAGTACATGTACGCTACCCAGGCAGCAAAATTGGTGCCTAGTTTCGGCGTGGGAACTTTCTTCACAAACGACTTTATCAAGAAGAGTTCTGGCGAGAAGAGCGTGCCGCTCAACATCGTCATCAAGCTGTTCGAGGCGGACGGCAGGCCATGCATCAAGATCAGCGACAATCTAGGCAAGAACATGGGCGACTCGGAGCTGGTGGCAAAGGTCAAGCACGAGCTCGGCTATGTCGAAAAATCTTGGTCAGGAGGCGATGAGACGAAGAGATGGGGAACCGCAAAGGAAAGCGCTTGAAGGAAACACGGAGTAGCTGCGGCGGGTAAGGAAACGGCGTTCCGAGCATGACAAGAGGACATCATGCTCAGCACGATAATCATAGCCATGACATGACGAGTACATAAGCGTAGAAGGTATAGAATGGCTCAGGCAACCACATATTGAAGTCTATATATTGCCGTCTTTGGACGATTTCGCTCGGAACAGGCAGCACAATACAGCGATGCAGGCAGCACAATAGTAAACAAGCCAAGATCAGCGAAGGAAGGAAGAATGTGGGGTGATAAGAGGTTATCAAGGTTAGCGTTTGCTGCTAAAACCGTCTCAGGGGGCTGTGGCTTGTTAGCGTTTCAGCATCCCTTGAATTGTTCCTGCCTTGTCTTTTTCATTTAGAAACTCACCATCTGCTGCTCCTGTTGCTCGTCTGGCACGAAACAGTTTTCTCTCTTACTCTCACAACACTGCGCCTTCCGCCTCGCGCCTCGCTATTGTCTGCACACAATCCATTCCTCAATCATATTCACATAATCAACAAACAACATGGCGGTAAGCACAGCCGAGCTGACCAGGGTACTGGGGTACACCAATGCTGACATGCGACAGTACAATGGCTATGGACAGAGCAACCCTTATGGCTCCAATGGCGGCTACGACAACCCTCCTACATACAGTACGTTCTTTCTTCCTGCGAGCTCATCTTCAACACATCACAATCCCCCCAGTCCTCGCCCTCCTGCGACATGTTTCGAGAACAACAAGAGCCCTTGCTGACACTCCACTTAGGAGCTCAGAACGACGTAGAAATGCAGCCATTGGCCGATCCCTTCGCAGACCCATACGGCGCCAACCAACAAGCAGACCCCAATGCCATCCTCAACGACTGCCGTGAAGTCGGCCGTGCAATTGACGACGTCGAAAGCCGTCTCCAAGGTCTCCAACGCCTGCACAGACAATTCGTCTCGGGTACCAATGCCACAAACAAAGAGATCGACGCCGTGGGCTCAGAGATCATGACCGCCTACCGTGCTCTCGCCGACCGTGTCAAGAGAATTAAATCCAGACCCGAGTCCAGAAACCCTCGCAAAGAAGCCCAAGTCAATGCCCTTGACCGTCGTATCCGCAAAGCAATCAACAACTACCAGACCATCGAGTCACAATTCCGCAAGGAAGTTCAAGAGCAGCAACGTCGTCAATACCTGATCGTGAACCCCGACGCTACCGAGCAAGAAATCATCCAAGCAACCGAGTCAGGTGCCGATACCCAGATCTTCCAACAGGCTCTCCTTAACTCGGACCGCCGAGGCCAGGCTCAGAGCACATTGGCAAACGTCCGCCAGCGTCACGATGCCATTCAGCAAATCGAGCGCACCATGACTGAACTGGCACAGCTGTTCCAAGATCTCGACAACATTGTCATGCAGCAAGAGCCAATGATCATGAACATCGAGGAGAAGGCCGAAGAAACGCAGACGAATATGATTCAAGCAAACGAGCACCTCGATGTTGCTACCTCAAAGGCCAGATCTGCCAGAAGAAAGAAGTGGTACTGCCTGGGTATCTGCGTTGCCATTGTCATTGTCATTGTTCTCATTGTCATCATCTATCTTGCAGCAACTGGCAAGCTCGGCAGTCACAAGAGCAACAACTCTAACCAATAAACCTCAGGCTAAACAGTCTCTGGCTATGTTTCTTATGTTTCCCAATTCCATTCATCATAGCGGGCGTTTTCGGGGGGAGGAGGAAAGGTACTGGGGCGATTACAGTAGTTTTTATCGAGAGAGCAGAAAGATAGATACCCTTACAATTCAGCTGCTAATAAGTCATAACATTTCGGTTGTCATTCTGTTTTCTGTCTTAATTGTCGTGTCGCAAGAGCATGAAGTCACCCAAGTGAGACAGCCGTATGCGAATATCATCCCACTCTGGAAATGCACAAGGACCAACGCAGTACACCATTGTCCTCACATGCAGTCGGAGTAGACAAGTCGTGACTTGTAGCATATCCTAGCATAGAAAGATATTTGGCATCTCGAGCAAGACCGGGAAGCCATTCGTGCTATTAGTAAAAGAGACATGCACATAGAGATGTTGATGCATCTATTCATCCATTTCTTGCACACAGCATCCCCAAAAATGTTTTGTCAATCTGTTGAAAGGTTGACAAGAGACTTTAGATATCACTAATCAGCCAAGTTGCGACGATTGAATCGCTAGATCAGTCTATGAGTAAGATAACCAGCAATGTTTTTTCGATCGTAAGCTCTCTGGACCTCAGAAGCTGAGTAAAGAGATGGACAAGTACGATCTTCGTGGGGGAAATTGAATCAACACATGCGATTGCACGGCGCAGAAACTTCTTGCCAGTCATTGTTAGCTAGAAGGAAGATACGGTCTAGAAAAGGCGATTGGCAGAAATATGGAATATGGAATGAGAAGGTATACACTGGAGAATTTGTCTCTTTACTCAGCAGCGACACGAACAGCAGGCACTGAGTGTGTTTTGGTTGAAGAAGTGTAGTAGTAGTAAGTTGAGAAAGGCAGTGAGCAGGCAGGTGGTTGATCGAGCTCAATTTGTTCTAAAGGCTTGCAAGTGAGAGAGGTGGGGGAGAGAAGCAAAAAGGAAATATAAGAGGTAGCAAATAAGTTACAGTGACAACATGCAGACAAGGAAAGAGGGATAGACAAGAGCAGAGCAAGGCAAGTACCTTCCGAGCGAGACGATCAAGCATATGCACTTCGAGAAAGAACTGCTCAAATAGTGATCAGGAAGGAAGAGTTGACTTGATGCTGCCTGCCATCTATCCCCGAACTTAGCTTTACAAAGAGACTAAAGCAAGATATAATTCATACCATAAAAAATTGTTGTCTTGCTATCTACATTGTGGCAGCTTCATCGAGCATACTTCGAGCTGCCATTGTAAAAGAGTTACAGAATTAGTGGGCCTTTATTTAGTAAATGTTGAAAGAAACCTTTCGCGATAGTGGATGACTGTTTATTCAATGGTCGTGTTATCAAAGAGTGTCATGCGTTTTAGCCGGGCTTGGGTCGAGCCTGAAACGTCGTCCGACTTCTCGAGTATGTGAATCTCTGGCAACGCGCTTCTCTGTGTATATATCGTAAGCAAGCAAGAAAGAAAGAGTATGGAAAAGGAGAGTGGCTACTCTCATAGTCAGATGAAGACCCTTTGCATCAAGACACATGTATCATTGCTGTTCCCTCAATTCTTTCATGTCAAGCGATTAAGTTGAGTTCTTGTGGTTTTTGTAGACTTGGCCATTCATTCTGCGGTTTACCGACTAGTCATGATGCGTGGATCCATCATGGGAAAGACGAGGTTGCTAGGATGATGTCCAATTGAAGAATGTAACTCGTAGTCTTCCTAAAGAAAAGAAAGGCAGGAGTGCTTCCGACAGACTCCCTGACAGTAACAGCAGGAGCATGAACATGCTCTTCCTTTTTACGCTGTAGTTCGGCAGGCCTGCAAGGAAAGAACGTATCATCAAGTCAAGAGGCACTGCAAAGGCAAGCACGACTTCCTCGGGCCATCTTCACGACCTACCATGGCCAGCAAGAGAAAAAACGTGGCCGAGCTCCTGTCAAGCCCCTTTGTCACGTCCCTTGGACTATGCCACCGAGATGGGTGGACATCTGGTTGATTTCATGCAAATCAAGAGTTCACGGCGAGAGATTCGATGGTGAAAGGTTGGACCTCTCGCTCCGGAAGCTCAAGACTGACTTGCCGAGCCCTAGCAACGCACGTTCCCTACCGACCTCAGGCTTAAAATCTTGCATGCAATTTTCGATATCTAATCAACCAAAAATGAAAGAGCAAAATTGACAAAAGAAAGACACGATCCTGGCAATGGGCGGAATCGAACCGCCGTCGGGTCGGCGTTGCTGGAATTTAACCTCCACAACGACACATGCTACCACTACACCACATCACCTTAGCTTGTAAGGGTTGAATCCGGTTGGCCAGATTCAGGATCTTGAGATCGCCGTTGGGCAGGCTAGTACATGTTGCTGTAATCTAGCTGCGCATTGGGGGAGGACAATTGGGGGTCTATACATAGAGATGTCAATGGCATGTTGACTGAATCCTGCCATGCATGCTGAGGCCTGTACGCTGTTCAAGTCAAGTCACTGCAAGTAGAAATGGCCAGCCAGCGCTCTCTCTGAGATGTTCAGCAGAAAAGTATGCTGCTTCAATTGAGTCTTGTGTCTCAGGCTTCTTAATGCTCAAGCAAGACACTGTCTTCAACACCAGCATAGACCAACAACAAGCAAAAGAAGGATCAACCCATAAGTATAGAGGGCTTTCGATGATGTTGTGGTATAGGATGGTCGGGGTAAGCCAAAGCTCGCCCGTTGTCCGCCAAAATTCTGCAAAAAGTCCTTGAAGCCTCCCCAAACCTCACCACTCCACCTTTCCGGGCAAAAGAAGTGTGCAGAGCATCAGCAAAACGATGATTCCGCCCGGGTTCGAACCGGGGACCGCCTGTGTGTTAGACAGAAGTGATAACCAACTACACCACAGAACCATGTTGTTGAGGTTGTGATTGTGTAGGAAATACTAGTAACTATTCTTGTGGTCCTGTCAGACAGCACTGCTAGAGAAACGGCCTTCCTGAGAAAGACGCTTCGTATTCATGCTTGGTGCCATTGAGGAAGAGCTGCACATGGCGGAAGCAAGAACACACTCGAGGAAGCATCTCATGTGATATGACCTTGGGACGCGAAGAACATGCTGGTCAAACATATATCACGCTAGTCTCGGGTGCTGAGAACATACTCAGGTGAAGGTACTCGAGTATCCAAATGAATTGTCGCATTACTGATCCATAAACGGTTGCTGCACATTTGGGGCTTTCCTGCTCGCTTAAGGCTGGTGTTCACGCGTCCCACGCAAGAGGCATGCAAGCACAGTGACACAAGTGGCTCTCCAAGATGCACCCGTGCTGAACCAACGTTATAGCAAACAGAGATGGCTTCCGCCCTGTGAGGCAAACAATCGGTCGATGGTATGTTTTGTTGAACGCCCCGGCTACTTTGCTCGGTCGCTGACTATACCCCAAATGTACCTCAGTGCCTGGTGACCGGGCAAGCCACAATCCGCGTGTATAACAGTCCGGTGGTTAGAAGTGACATGGCGACGATCGTAACTCCTTTGGAGCATCGTGCAATTGCAGCAGCGGGAGTGTTTCCGGAAGATGCACGTTGTGAATTTCGTTCAATTCAAAATGGCAGCGGTCTTTTTTGCTGACGTTGGTGGTGGCGGCCTGGCGAAGAGAGACCATGGCTCCCCTTAGTGCCTGAGCACGCGCACAAAGATGAAGTGTCGGAGAATACGTGCGTACGAGTAGCGCTCAATGAAGGATATCCGTGGACCGTGGAGTGTGTTGTTTCAATTCTCATGCAAAGTCGCGTGGAAGGATGTCACAGCAAAGAATCTAGAACGCCAGGGACCTGTGACGATCATTTCCAGTCGCTCTAAAACGTAATTCTGATGCAACATCAGTTGTTCTCGACCGTTGCTTTGCTTTGAGCCTTTTCCTCCTTGTACAACCACTTTTTCCATTTTGGTTATCAGATCGGTGATGGGAATTTGGACTCTCGCCTAGATTTTGCCATGGCCTGATATAACGGCCTTTTTCGGACTTGACTCGCGGTGTCGGTGGACGCCGGATTCGCACCGGTGCATCACAAGTGCTTGCGAGAACGACGGCAGTCACCAAACGACTGTTTTCGGACTGCCTCGCCGTGAAGCTTTGCGTTACTTCGCCCGCCAAGTCCGTGGACAGGTTTCTGTCTTGTGAAAGCTGGTCGATATTTCCTCGCATTCGTGGCCCTCTCCCATACTGTCGGGTCTCAATTGGCTAGCGTTCCTACGTGGTCTGACAGTGACTAACTAGCACAATCATAGGATCTGCGAGGATTCATCAGAATGCAGTGCTATGCGAAATGACAGTCGTAACGTGCCAAATCATAGTGGATCCCCTTCCTTTAGGTCTCTTGCTATTCAGGGTTGCGGCTCAGCGTGGGGAAGCTCAAGGGGGTGCATAAGCTGTCAAAGTTGAGTTGAGCCTCTCACGGTTCTGTGCACTTTTGAATCAGAGAAAAAGCAAAGAAAGTCTCAAATAGGACTCAGCAGCGGTGGTTATGGGGCGCGCGGGAAAGCTAAACCCTTGCCCAAAGGTGCTCTAGGAAACAATGCTTAAGCGGCTCATGAGCGACTACCTAACCCCGGGCACGGACACCGCTGAGCACCATGGTCAAGTATTTGTCCTTGCAAGCACCCAATCGTTTGGCCCTTCTATTGCTCTTTCATCCTTCGTTTTCCAAAATTGAAATCGCCGATTTTCCTCTTATACACGAGGAAACGCCAACCAAAAAGCCACAATGGCGCCTAATTTCCAGATTGAGATTGAAAGTTTGCCAGTTGATCGTTCAGCTGGGTTCCACCAAAAAGTGGTGGATGGTATCGAAGATTTGTTACTGGTTCTAGCTGAAGATGGTCGCGTTGTGTACGCCTCATCAAAGAGCTATTCACACATGCAGATCAAGCCTGAAGCTCTATTTGGTCGTTACATCAGCACATACATGAATGTCGACGACATTCCAGTATTTCTTGTACAATGGAAAGAGAACATGGCATTGGGTTCCACCTGGAGAAGCCACCACCGACTACGACAAGGAGACGATACCTACAAGCCTTTCGAATCCACCTTCAAACCATACACGGACAAGACTATCAATAAAGGGACTGGTACCAGAACAAGCACTAAGCTGTGCTTAATGACTTCACGGCCTTACCAGATCACCAGCACATCGCTGATGGATTCCTTTCTCGAACACTATACCACGAACATCCGCCTAATGAACCAGTTGGCACAATTGAAAGGCGAGGCTGAGGAATTTCAAGAAAGCACAACATCAACGAAAATGGTTGACACGACAGTGCAATGTGCAACATTCAAGCTTGAGGCGACCACAGCAACAGCAACGGCGACAGTGACGGCGACGGTGACAGCTAAGACTACGACAGTAAGTATCTCCAAAATCTAGATGCACTGGCAAAGACTTGGATCAGGAGATCTTGGTAGAATCATCATGCTACAAAACAAGATTGCGATTCTGATGAAACAATCTGCGCATGCATCTACGTTTTCTGTAGTCGAAAAGGCGACTAACACAGCATCTAGCCCCTAAAACAAGTGTCAAATTTGGCGCTTCCGCCGACCACTCTTCCCGAATCAGAATCAGGAGCACCTCGAAAAAGGAGCATTTCCGAGTCAACAACGTCCACCAAACCACAGATAGATTCCGTGGTGGGTGATATAGGCATCGAGATTGCCACTTCACGCCTGCAGACCATGAAGGAAACTGGTGCATGGACGGCCAAGCCACGTACGAAGAAACGAAAACAAGAGCTCTGCACAGAGTACTTGTGCAAAGAGTGCGGCACTACCGATTCTCCAGAATGGCGACGAGGCCCGCTTGGCTCAAAAACTCTCTGTAATGCTTGTGGTCGTGAGTATATGTGATTCGATATATTGAGGCTCGTTGCTAACGTATTCATTTTCCAGTACGTTGGTCGAAAGCTCAAAAGGAGAAGGAAAAAGAGTCCATCGCTGCGCAAAAGACGCAATGACTGCTAACAGGATCAATCTTTCGAGGGAGCGGTGCGGGCATCGTTCCACAGATTAGTGCTAACATAGAGTGCACAAATTGGTGCTGCTGCTCTCATGAGCTAGACGGCATGCTAATAAGCGGAGTAATGATAGATGGATCCAGCCATTGTGTCATTAAGTCCTCTGTATCAAGTCTATCGTCGAGAGGTCGTGAAAAGGTTATGCCGCTCCTTGGGCAAGTCTCGTTCAGTCAATCCATTCCATAAAAACGCCGCAGGGCATCTTCTGCCTCGGCGAAGTATTGCTTGGCTTGATCCAACAGAATCCTTGACGAGTTGCATAGCGTCGATTTTGAGTCGCCCTCGGCTTGTAATGTGTCGGCAACCACGGTCAGTTGCTCAATTCGCGCACAAGTCGATTCAACTTTGTAGATGCCCAATGTCGCACTCGGACCCCTAAGGAATTGGGCTTTGGTCCATAGTTGCTTTATGTCTTGGCTCTCCCTGTTCGTACAGTCAGTATCATCTGGAGAAGCAGAGCAGTGTCATATACTGACAGGCATTCATCCATCTCTGCAAAGGTCCGTTGGGCAAGTGCGAAGAAGTCACACACTAATGAGCGAGTGAAGTATTGCTCGTCTTCGTCATCCAACTCCAGAATCTCACGAAAGATTTTCACATCGATGGCGTAGTCAAGTTCTGGAAGCTTTGAGATCTGGTATGTTCGGCCCTGAACAACATCAGTATGGCATACTCTTTGAAGATCTTCTACAGTAACGCTTACACCAGTGGCCGTAGATTGGAAGGCGTGAGACATTTGGGCGTGTTGTAGCATGATGAAGGACTTGTTCCAAGTGTGAAGACGAGATTGGTATGGTGGACTGTGTTGAGGCCGAGTCGGTCAAGCAATGCGAAAATGGTCCTCGAAAGCGGGGCGGGCACCAAGAGGGTAAATATCAAAGGGATCCAAAGCAAAGGCTAACTTAATGGATTGGTGGAGACGCATGCACGTTGTCAAATAGACGCTCGGATTGCTGAGCCGTCTAAACATGTTCACCTGCATATCATCGATCGGCGTGTGCCTGCATGCGCTCGTATGTTGACTCGAACGCCAGACGGCGTCAGCCTTTCCGGTCTGTCTTCTAGAGCCGATCGTGGGCTCAGACGTCTCATTATCGCAAGGACTGCATCTGAGATTGCAGGTGTGCGAGGCATACGATACCAGAGCATTGACACAAACTCTTGAGCATCGGTGCGAGATGGAAAACACTCGCGAAATGACGTCGGTTTCGCGAGTGACAGGGGCTGCTTTGGTGCGCGTTTTGCGTTTTGGGTGACTCGGCAAATGTTCCCCCCAAAAGGCTTGCGAAAAAGTACAGTTCCTTCTGTGCAAAGTCAAAACCAAACACTCCGGGGGGACCGTTGCGTGTCATGAGTATTCCAGCGCACTTCTAGAGTGCAGTTCTCAGTGCACGCACGCATGTCACAGATATCCGAGTCAGTCTGACGGTGCTAGAGTCAGCAAAGATGCAAGAATGTACACTGCATGTCTGCGTTGCGGAATCGCGTTCGTGAGCAAGTAAGGTACTTCTGACCCAAGGGTTTGGTGATGATTTGGGATCACAAAGCCCGTCGTTTGACCTTCGGGATTTGACTCGAAGACTCTGCACATCCATATCAAGTAGCCAAGGGTTGTTCGCATTAGCTGATCATCAGAGTGGGCTTGGTCTGGCAGTCGGGCGAATCAAGTCTTGGATAGCATATTGCAACAATCCTCAGGGATCGAAGTGGCCGAACTGCCGTAGGGGAGACGGAGCGACGACCGTCAGCGGACTTGATCCGTTGACCCATCTCTTCTCATCACAGCGTTGCGGCTACTGTGCGCGAGTAAGCCCTAATCATCGCTTATGGCTCTCGATAAAGTGGATAAAGTGGCAGTGAAGCAGCCCTGAAGAGTGCAGCCGAGCCTGAGTGTACCTTCGTGGAGTCATCATATGAATCAGGAACTCGCCAGGAATGCCCGCGAGTCGTGAGCAGCAGGGAGAGCGAGCGAGCGTCAGCAGGAAGGTGTTCCAACAGGCCGGCACGTGGCAGTGACGATGCTCAACTCTAAAAACGAATTTGGCCCGAGCACACGAAAATGTTCCAAGTGCTGATGAAACACACGAAAGAAGATGGAAGAAGATGACCAAGCGAAATCGGAAGACTATGGGAATGTGAGAGTGCGATATGCGAATTATCTTTGATAGGGTTGACCTTCGGCAATGTGGCCGGTGGCTTCATCGGATCGACTTGAATGTGGATGGCTGATCCAACAACAAAGTGCCTTCTTTCAGTCACATGGCTGTCAGCTGTCTTGCGTTGCGTCTTCGGCAAGCGGCTGCGACCGAGCGAAAATAGATGAAGGCCGGCAAAGTGCCATGAGGGCAGAGTCCTCAAGACCATACTCGGAGTAACATGCTGTCTTGACAAGCAACATCATCATTGATTGATATCATCGTCGACCAGATCGCAAGGGTCGTCTGCTTGCGATTGTACTTCAATCGAGCGATTTGGCAGACATCTCACGATCATATTGATTTTGTTCGATGGGGTAAGAATGCGTTAGACAGCCAGGGTCGGCTTAACATAACCCTTTCTTGGCAAAATGATGCGTTTGCGATGCAAAAGTTGGAAGCACTCGTCAGACACAACTCTACAACCACCGACTGTCACGCGCCAGTGCGAATACGCCATTACAATCTCGGATTCACCCACTGTCTTACTCAATCATTGCAAATGGCAGATGTGCGCTCGCTGCTGCGTAATGAGCGCGCCTCGCGTCGCATCAACCACCCTCACGCAAACTATTCAGAATCCGGCAAACTACTATGCGCCGTCTGCAACGTCTACATCAAGACCGAATCGCTCTGGGACAACCACGTCAAGTCGTCACAACATGTTGCTCGGCTAGACCATCTGCGCGCAAACCCTCCACCACCCCCGGCACCGACCCAGACTCGTAAGCGCAAGGCTGGAGAGGGTGATGACGAAGGCAGGAAAAGAGTCAAGGCTGTACCTGGAGGTTTTGTGCCTGAGGGTTTCTTTGACGCTGCTGAGGAGGGCGCCGATGAAGATGAGGTTGAAGACGTGGACACAGCACCTGCTCCATCAATACCAGACGCCCCTGTCGCCGAACCACAGCCCGTCGCTTCCGCACCGCCCCCTGCAGCGGACGTGAATGAAGACGAGTGGGCCGCCTTCGAGCGTGAGATGGCTACCACTCAGGACACTGCTCTGCCTATAATCAGCGCATCTGCGACCATCTCAGCCGCCCCTGTCACGGCCGAGGAGCTAGCAGCCCAGGCTCGCGAAGAACAAAGCGCACAGCGAACCGCAAGAGAAGCCGAATTAGAAGCTGATACCGAGGATGCTGCACTCGCATTGCAACAGGAGTTTGACGAGATGGACGAGCTGGATGAGAGAGTGAGACGCTTGCGGGAGAAGAGGGAAGCCTTGCGTCTCTCCAGGCAACAAGACACATTACCAGATGCTCCGGCGCAGAATAAGCAAGTCCCACAACATGATCAAGAGGAGGACGATGATGATGACGACGACGACGACAAATTTGATGACTGGACCTTTGGCGCTAGGTAGGTAGGTAGCAAGGCACTTTGCCTTCTTTTCTGATACCCGCAATGCTACCACCACTGCAACCTCCCATATCCATCAAACAACACAGGCTGTGATGAAGAAGGCTCGCAGAACAAGGTTTGTGCACTAAAACCTGGATCGTATCGAGGAACAGTCATGAAAAGCTGAACAACCATGGATTCAAGACAATCTTCCAAGCCATCCAAGACTGATTTGAATGCCCTCACGAACACAATCGATTCAGGAAAATCGTTCTTGTACTCGAGTAGAGAAAAAAGAGTCAAAAACAAATAAATCCAACAATGATGTCATTGATTTCTCTAAACCATCCTCTCAATTCACTCTTCCATCTGCACATCTCTCAATCATACATTCGTGTACCCAACCCACCCATCATGACAAAACCTTGTACTCTCTGCTCTACACCTAGAGATATTCTCATCCGCTGCCAAATCGACGAAAGCGCAAAATGGCATTTCGTCTGTCCTGGAGCTTGCTGGAAGTCTGTTTCTGGAGGTGTGGAAGATGCTCGTGGCTTACAAGGAAAGTATCCATATTATAGATATGGAGGCATGGTATGGTTGAATCTCGAGATGTTGAAACAAAGAAGTTTATTGCTGATGGGAAAGTACAGTGGAAAGATAGAAGTGCCGATGGACCTATTAGTGCGAAGAAACCTAGAAAGGTTAAGGAGAGGCAGAAGGAAGAAATGAAGAAGAGAGAGGAGGGAAAGGCTGCGGATGAATCACATGGTGATGAGGAAGACAGTGATGAGTAGACAACCTTTCGTCTTTCTGGATCTGGGTTCGGCTCCACCACGAATGGATAGCTGTCAGACAGCCCAGAGCAAAGTCTTGATCGCAAGCCCGATACCCTTTGGAGGATTTTTTATCAGTCAAAACCTCGATATCACATCCCTCTAGATCGGACACCATCGAGACTACCATGGGCTGGATTGATTGCCCGCATCGACTTCAATGATGGTACATCGCCAACAAACGATGAAAGCGGATCAGTCTGCTTCAGGCTGGAGTCAATGTGTTATTGCCCTCCAAATGTGTGCCATCGTGGGTTTTTGCTATACAGACCAGTGGACGAGCGAGGATGTTTATGGAGGATACGCGTCCGGCACGTATCGTTAAGACGTCTACTCGTGTTGAGCTATCAAGGACGTCAACATACCTCCAAGCTTTTGGCTCAGAGAATACCTCACTAGGTTCCTGGCACTTACTAGACATCAGATTGGCACTCCTCAACCCAGCCAGCTTAAGCGAATTCTGACATGCTCTGGCAATGGCTGTTTCATAAGAGTTGTATGCACAATGAACAGCAGCAAAATCTCATGCCATTATCACTCCCGAACACTTCTGTTTCCTTTTAGATATGCCAGATGATATCTCTGGTCTTGAAATTTCTTCTGCTGTGCTACTTTGACTTTTCCTGAATGCTTTTGTCGTCCGGTCTGTCTTGTCGTTAGGATGCCTTCTTGATTCTATCAAGTCAGAGCTGCTGATGGTACGACCCTGACTCCTATGATTCCATCCTTCTTGACAGCAACATACTCTCCTTTAAGCACTTGTCTAAGCCTGGGACTACTGTATATGGCTACTTGAGCTCACTCTTACATGCTGATAGGTCCTTGCAAGGAATATAGGCTCCAATTGATGGAAATGCATGTAATTCCCTCGACCGAGAATCTGTACACCAAAATCCAATTACACTCACACGACCACGAGTGCAGATCACAGCTTTAGTGCAGTTGGCACGATAGCACACCTGAAAAACAAGATAAATGTTCTTTACTATCTATCTGCATCACAATAGACAGAAAAAAGGAGATCGACCAGAAAAAAGTGCCATCATCGCCATCCTCCGCCAGTGCAAAAATGTTTAAAGTACATGATCAACAAAACCAAAATATCCTTCATCAAGCCTCGATAGTATAACGGCTAGTACGAAGGTCTCATATCGGTCATCGAAATGACCAAGCATGGCTTGGGTAATCCTTAGATGGGAGTTCGATTCTCCCTCGAGGCATTCTTTTTTTGTGTTTTCTTCGCGTTGTGTGCCTGTGTGTGAGAGTTTGGCGATTCTTTTTTTCTGGTTCGGAGCGGACAAAAAGTGGGGCGTGGATGGGACTTGGCACTGGGGATTATGCTTATGCATGGGGATAAATTTTTATGGAAGTTCTAGAAGTGGTAGGTATGCGGTGAGATTTCAAAAGAAGAGGAGGCTCTTATTGCGTGGTCGTGATATCGCTCTTGAAGATTGGCGAGTATGTACTACTCACTGGCCTCCTTGGCCTCATCGATCTGCGCCCTCAATCCGCTCCTTCCAACCTTCATGGCCATCTCTAATTCCCTCTCAGCCTCGCCCAACCTACCACGTCCGAATGCCAACTCTCTTTCCCTCTTTCTCTTCTCTTCCTCGACTTTCTGTTCTCTTTCTCTCAAAGCTTGTTCTCTGCGTCTCCTTTCCTTGGCTCGTTTCTCCTGTTCTACTCTCTCTTCTTCTGTCGCTGCTTCCTCCTCATCTGGCGCGGGTGCTAAAGTAGAGATGTGAGCTTCAAGAAGATCGTCGCGGGATTTGAGAGGTAGAGAAATGAATCGAATATCAGTCAGGAGATCCTTTGGCAGAGCCTCAAGTCTGGTGTCTCTGTTTAGGTGTTTCAGGGGCAGAGACTTGAGCAGAGAAATCAAGTCTGACTTCAACTGTGATGATGAGAGCTTGAGACGAGCAATGTGTTCGCGGTACAACTTCTCCCTCTCCTTGTCGCTGAGCTTTGCATCGCGCATCGCATCCTCCTTCTTGTACTTCCTGCGAAATTCTGGCCAGTAGAGTTTTGGTGTTGCTTTTTCCGAGAGGAGCGACAGGTAAGGAATGCGTGGATCTAGTTTCTCCTGCTTTGCCTTTTGTTCGCGGAGTTCTGCGATCTTTGTGCGAGTCCAGTCGCCCCAGACCTCCTTTCTGCGTTTTGTGGTCGGTAGAGCGGTATATCTGCTATCATCTATGATGCGACCGTCAGAGATAAGTGTTTCCCAGGGTATGTATGGAGAAATGTGTTGGTCCTCGAGCATGTCGCAAAATAGTGCTGCGCCGTCTTCGTCGGTCAGAGGGATGCCTTCCATTCCTTCCTCGTATTCGTCTTCACCACCACCGCCAAACTCGCCACGATCGAGACCATATGAATCTTCCATTGCAGCCAACTGATACGCGATGTCGTCTTCGTCGAACTCAAGAGGTCCTTCTTGAGCTTCTGCTTCGCCCTCATCTTGAAGTTGCGCACCACCTTCTTCATCTTCGTCGTCTGTGACCTCAATCTCCTCATACTCCGAGTCTGATCCAGCAGCATCTTGTTGTTGTGGCTTTTCTGAATCTTGCGATGTGACCTTGTCCTCAGGCTTCTCAGACGCGCCCTTCTCAGATTCCTCTCTAGGAGCGCGTTCTGTCACAGGGACTTTGTTGGCACCACTGGCATCCTCAGGGCTCTTGAGTTTCTCATCCAGCTTCAAGCGATCAAATTCAACAACAGCCTTCATAACATCGTCTGGGAACTTCCAAAAACTCTCGTTGGTGTCGGGGTTGTGGACAAAGCGTCGGCCGAGCTTGGTGTAGACAACGACCCATGGCTTGCAGTTTGGAATGATCTCTTTGCGCTTGGGACGATCTTGGGGCTGTGGTCGGCGTCGTGGCTCGTGAGAGGTAGCGGCTGGGTTGAATCCAGGCTGGCCGTATGGTGTATGTGAGTTGTACTGGGCGTTTGATAGGTATGGACTGTATCCAGCTGCATTGAATTGACCGTATTGAGCAGCGGGGTTATAGTTGTTTTGCGCGACAGGATTCGATGCATACTGAGCAGCTGGTGGTGGGAAAAAGGCAGGCTGTGGTTGAGGCGGAGTAGGGGCGGCAGGAGTAGCGACCGGCCGAGTGTACGTCGAGGCTTTAGTGGCGGCGTTGTAGTAGTATTTGTGACCTGCAGCGCGTCAGAGTGCTTGGACTCGGTGTTGATGACTTTCTGAAAAAGTACCTGTTGGAGCTGTGTGTTCGGTCCAGCCCGCGGGCAGCGGCGGCAGGTCCTGTGCCTTGTACGTCGACTTGAGTCTCTTGCGATCAGGCGCGTCCATGTTGTGAAAGGTATAACGTGGTCGACAAGATGGATGAAAGAAAGTCAATCATAGAAAGCCAAAGAGTCGAGAATTGAGCTCGGACGAATGACGTCCCGAAGTCTCGACACTTTGATGATCTTGAAGCTTCACGAGCTTCTCCTTTCGCCAACATTTACCCAAGAACAACAGAAAACGAGAACTATTCACGAATAAAGACATGGACGAGTTCGCACAGACAGGAGCACAGCAGGATGATCTCTTTGATGACATTCAGTATGATCACTCAATGCAGACTCGTGGGGATGACCTCTTCAGCGATGAAATCCAACCCATGAATCAAGAGCTTCCTCATACAACTACTGCCAAATCAGAGAAGCAGGAGGAATCAAATAAGCAACCAGAAGTACAGAAACCAGCTGCGACTACAGAGTCAGTACCAGAGCCATCAACAATCCCTGCAGAGTCAACGCCAGCACCTACGACTTCGGCACCAGCTCGCGGTGGACGTGGAGGCACTAGAGGAAGAGGCAGGGGCAGGGGTCGCAACCAACAGGACAGAAGCAACCAGGATCGCAATGATCAGGTCCGTCCGAACTCGGATCGCAATACCAATGAGCCTCGTCGCAACAACAACGAATCTCGCCGCAACAATCAGGAGCGCAACAAGAAGGAGCCGCAACCAAAAGATGCCGCAAACGTACAACAAGAACAGCAGCAGCAACAACCGTCATCGAACACTACTGCCGAACCCTCAAAGCCAGCCACCAATGCTGTACGAGGCGACCGTACCGCAACAGGAGGCCTCCGCAAGCCCAAACTAAGCGAACAAGAGCTAGCCGAGAAGATGTCGAGAATATCGCTCAAGAACGAAAAACTCGCTGCTGCTCACGCACGAGCTGAAGCAGATGCTGCCGACTTTGCCGAGCGTGAAGAAGTTGCTGCAAAGCGTCGACAAGAAGAACGAAGAGAAAGACAGCAAATGATGGGCGAAAGAGAAAAGAACAGACTGCGCAAGCTGAAAGCTGTTGGTGGCAGAGAATGGGATGCTGAGAAGCCTGAAGATGCAGATGCTTTTGGTGGTCCCAGACAACCTGGCGGTAGAGGACGTGGTGCATACGGAGGTATCGCGGGTCAACGCAACCCAGATGTCTCTCGCGAGGGCTTTGGTGGCGATAGGGAAGACTATACCGATGGACGAGAGTATATGTACCGTGAAGATCGTGGTAGAGGTAGAGGTCGTGGAAGAGGAGGTCGTGGTGGTGGCTCTGGCAGAGGAGGACGTGGCCCTCAGCAAGAAAAGCCAGTCTCTCAATCTGTCCCCAAGCCTACGGACTTCCCAGATCTGGCGGGTTCGTCCTCAGCTCCCAAGTTCGATAACGCTCCGCCGCCGACCATGGCATTCCCGACCAAAGCGAAGGTCGAAAAGCTCGATATCGAAGATCAAATGACTCCAGGAACCGAGAAAAAGTCTTGGGCTGAAATGATGGAGTAACTTATGCGAAGTTAGTTATCATCGAGAGCGAAGAGTATGCATCACAAGAGCGATTATCTCCAGACGATATGCATTCCTTGCTCCATCTTGTTAGGTTTGTCTCGTATGTTAAGGAGGGTTGCCCTCGTTTTAAGGCCTCGCACCTTTCTCAATATTGTCGCGTGGTTGTGCGCACTTTCCTCTCATAGTTCGTGTCAGGCAGACGCGTCCTCTTAGGCCGACTTCTTTGATGTATCACTCCTGCACACTTCCTCTTCATCGCGAGTCATTGAACGATTTTACTGACTGGACCGTCTGAGACGAGACAAAGCTCAATGGCAAAGGTCATCTGCTTCTTCATGCCATGTGGTTGTACTCTTGATCAGTAAGCCTGCAACTCCCTTCATGATTGCTCCGATACAGACTGATCTTGCGTAGCCATGCAGAATCATCAGATCAGAAACTACCTATTCATTCTGATTGGTGAAAGTCATGCTTGGACTTTGTCTTCCCCTGGCGCAACCTGGCGCAACCTGGCGCAAGACATAACAACATTATGAGCTATTGCAATGCACAATCGACTTTCGAGTAGAAGTGCATGCCACGGAGATAGCCTGAGATGATTTTCTCTCCGTGAGGACCACTTCCTCTTCTGAAAACATTGTGCATCTCTATGAGTGCACGGTGACAATATTTTCCACACAGGGAGGTCTGATCTTGGAGTCCAGACGCTCAACAAACAAATCTTCTAAAATTTGCCTTTGGTCCTACGGCCAAGACGTAATGAATCCTTCCAACTGCAAGTCATGAACTCAGAAAGAGGACAAGCAATCTTTGACTCTGGGACTGCCGAAGACCAACACCGTTCGCCGTCGAGCATGTCGCCTCAACCATCATTGTGCATGCGCCAAGGTCCTCCTTTTTGACAATCGCTTCCACTGTCTCTGCATCTCATGATCTTCTCGAAGATCACCTAGGTACGTAGAAGAAGTCAAAATCATCATCGAGGGAGCCCCTCACGAGAATGAGCAAAAGTATGGCAAAAAGAAAACATGCATGATGTTGGTCGTCATGGTATGCAGCTCGAGTAAGTGGCAGAGGTCACGCTACCAGCGGCCAGCCTACCATGAGCAAGTGGATCGTCACACCAGCGATGAATCGATTTTTAGGGCACGAGCTGGATCGATCCCCCAGCTGGAGAAACATATTGCTCAAACCTTTCAAGGCAGACCGCTCTCCCTCTCCAGATCAACCCATCTCCACGGGGCGATAGTATGGACGGAACAGCATTTGAGGTTGGGAAATATGAAGCGATCGAGGCGGCTCCCCATTGTCCAAGCTCTATCCTGTTCGGTCTTTCTCGAGGGATAGCGCTATACCAAGTGGAGCCCCCCATACTCAGTTCCAACCCCCCATCGTTTTGCGCGAAACATTATTGACCGCGGGGAGATTAACGCAAACTGAAGTCAAATCGCTTGCTCATTCCTGGGAAACAAGCTGAAGCCTCGTCAGTAAATGCCGGTGTTTCTTTACTGTGGGCTTACGGAAAGCCAGCCACATTGCAACCACCGTGACACCAACGTAACTTTTGGCACCAACAGTCAAGGTCAACATGAAGTTGGCTTCGAACAAGTCGAGAATACTTCCCCTCTGGGGTTGTCTCCGACCGTGTCTAGCCGAGACGTGATCATCGGCCCGACTACTTCTTCGGTCATTCCCTAGCGTGATTCTCCACGAAACCCCACGAAACCTGGAGAGATTAGCCGCCATGTTAGCGTGACCCAGACCGCTTAGCTTTTACTACACCCGCTGAAAACCTTGCTCATGCTTGATGAGCAGTCGACTTGGTGGGTAAGAACGCCTAGAGGACCAAGCTACTCGAAATCGCCAAGATCAGCAACAGACAAGAGATCTACTGTGGTGTCAAGCATACTGGGCATGAGAAGGATGCTTGGTTTTCGGGCCTCGAACATATCAAACACGGGGGACCACCGTCTCAGCTCACGTTACTGCCAAATCCTTCAAGGTTCGAGGGATACACCCACCGTGCGTGCCGTTACCAGACTTTCACGCTGCTCATGCATGCCCGCGACAGTGGGCGTTTATGGCACCCCCTTGACTCTGACTAGCAGCCACAAGTTGCGGAAACAAAATCCTTTGAGATCATGGTGACAGCCGCAACGTTGACATTCTCAGGTAATTGCCGGAGCTATGCAATGCAATCAAGTTGAGGTGGCGTCACCTGAGCTGCTCTGCAGGCCGATAGGTATTCTCACCGAGAGTATGCATACCGAGTCTGAAGCATTGAAGACCTTAAGCACTGAGCGACATGTTCACGCACGAGCGACTGTTCCCCAGAGAGCTACGACCATCTGGGGAGCGGTAAGCAAGACAACGTAACAATTTACACTTTACTATTCATGCAAAAATGAATGAGTCGTTAGATCAACGAGTCATCGTTGGCGAGCGTGCCCATCCCCCACCAAAACCCCAGCTCTTCAGGAAAAAAGAAGGACCGATTGACGGCCGGAGTTGATCTGGAGTCCTGCAAACCCCAGCAAAACCCCAGGCGAAATTGGTCTTCGGACCGAATGGACATGGTTAGGGCCAGTCGGCTGCTGGGCATTGGTCCGTTGAACGGTTGACTTCGTCGTTGCATGGTCTATGCATGGTCCATGCATGACGCTAGACGGTACATGCTTGTCCAGATCTGGAGTCCCCATGAGTTCGAAGCATGTAGGAGTGAGTAGGACATACAGCGGCAAGCAGTATAAGTATCGTCTGCTCCTCGTGCTGAACAACGATCATCAAACAGCTTCAATCAGCAGATCCAAGTCTCTCATTCAGACTACCAGTCTTCTACTATCGTTCATTCATTTGAATAACACCTTCATTATCACAAGGATCTAGCAACTGCTTTCTTCATCAACCAATCCTTATATCACTACAACAACAACAACAATTGTAGCAATGGCTGGCGGCGGTATTCCCATCGCTACCACCACCCTCGCTGGTGGTTACCTTACAGGAAAGAAGCTCATCTTCCCCATCGCCCTCATCACCTCGCTCTTCTTCCTCTGGGGTTTCTCTTACGGTCTTCTCGATGTCTTGAACAAGCACTTCCAGAATGTCCTCGGTATCACCAAGCTCGAGTCTACTGGTCTTCAGGTCATGTACTTCGGTGGTGGTTACCTCCTGTACTCACCTGTTGCCGCTGAGGTTTTGAAGCGCTTCGGTTACAAGCCCACCATCCTCATGGGTCTCTCTCTCTACTCCCTCGGTGCCATCATGTTCTGGCCTACAGCGTAGGGCTTAAACCTGTCCAATTTGATGAAAATTATGCTGACTATTCGCTCCAGTCACTTCAGTTCTGCTAAGCATGCTTCTGCATCCTTCGGTGGCTTCTGTGTTTGCACTCTGGTTATCGCTTGCGGTCTTGCTACCCTCGAGACTGCTGCCAACTCTTACGCCGTTGTCATTGGTGACCCCAAGACTGCTTCTCCTCGTCTCCAGTTCTGCCAGGCCTGGAACGGTGTTGCTTCTTTCGTCGGTCCCCTCATTGCTTCCCACGCCTTCTTCTCCGGCAAGAACGCCAACAACCTCACCAACGTCCAGTTCGTCTACCTTGGTGTTGCTTGCCTCGGTGTCGCTGTTGCCATCATCTTCGTCTTCGCCAAGCTTCCTGAGGTCGCTGAGGAGGCCAGACGCAGCAACTCCCTTGTCGAGCCTGAGCACGATCTTGAGGGCCGTGAGATTGGTCAAGGCAGCATCTGGAAGGAGTACAACATGCTCTGCGGTTTCGTTGCCCAGTTCTGCTACGTCGGTGCTCAGGTCACCATCGGTGCTTTCTTCATCAACTACGCTGTCGACGAGGCTGGCTGGTCCGAGAGCCAGGCTTCCAACCTCCTCTCTTACGCTTTGATTACCTTCACCGTCGGCCGCTTCATCGCCACTGGTCTTGCCACCTTCCTGTCTTCCAGCTTCATCATGGTCTTCTATTCTATTGCCACCATCGTTCTTAACGCGTACGTTTGTGCTGGAAAGGGCAAGGGTTCCATCGGTGGTGTCATGGCCATCTACTTCTTCATGGCCCCCATGTAGTAAGTGATCATTTTTTTGGTATTTGCTTTCTATTTACTGACAGTTTTTAGCCCCACTATCTTCACTCTCGGAACTGCCAACCTTGGTGTCCACACCCGCCGCGGTGCCGGTATCCTTGTCATGGGTGTCGCTGGTGGTGCCGTCTTCTCCCCCATCCAGGGTGCCATTGCCGATGCTGCCAACACCCGCATCTCCTTCGTCACCCCTCTGGTTGGCTTCTGCGTTGTCCTTGCCTACGTTGCCTACCACTGGCAGAAGGATGGCTTTGCTATCCTCCGCAACAACACCGACGAGGTCGTCGCCGCCGCTGGTGTCGAGGGTGGTGCCGTCATCGAGAAGCGCTCCATGTCCGTCACCGAGCAGCACGTCATTGGCGAGATCAAGCACTAAGCGATTCTTGCCGACCTGTGCATCTCTTGTAAATATTTCCTTCTTTTGATTACGAGTTTTCTTGGTTTATGTGGGGTCTCTCTACGGTAGAACAGAACAGCGATGGCGCTTCTCCGAGGTGATTTTCTGGGAATAACGATGATGTCTATACACTTATTACAGTTACGAAGCTTTAAAAAATTTCACTCTCTTCAGACAAACATTCACTTTACTTCATTTCTTTCTCAATGTGAATCTGAACAAAAATTTTTAGCATGAACAGAAAAGCACATGTTCCTAGGTAGCATGCAGTGGAACGAAGTCGTGCCTGCCTTTGTGTGTTCTTCCTTCCGAAATTAAGGAAAGAACCGCCCAGTGACGCTTCAAGAGCACTTACGCAGTTGAGGAAGGCGCTGTTGGAACCGTGGGACCGGAAAGGACGTCATCGATCAAGGAAAGTGCTGCCAACAATTGACGAAGACTTGATGCTGCTTGCCATTTCGATTTCTGAGCTGTGAGATTCAGATATTACACGTTCATGGGCGTACTGAAGGCTTGAAATAATTCATTCAATGACATGAAAACGACGAGTCGGTGCGCAGATGAACACCGAGGTCCCAAAGTGAGAGCAGGCCATGAATCTAGTTTTACAGAAATTTCATATAGTACAGGATACCACGCGCATCACCGCCGCCTCGTTTGATATGTCAACAGCCCCCAATAGAATTTTCAAAGATCAAGCCCTCGCCGGCTCGCCAGCCCATGCCCTGCGAATCAACTCACGAATCGCATCCTTCTCCATCGCTCTTGGATTGGCATATTGCATACTCATTGCAATCTCGGTAGCTTTGTCTATGTCCTCCTCTCGCATGCCAAACTCCTTCAATGCACGCGATACCTTAAGCTTCTCGAGCAGAATGTTCAATCCTCTGATTGCATCGCCGTCACTACCTGGCAACGCTGATGCCATTTTCTGCATAGTATCAGGAATGGCAGGGGCGTTGTAAGCCACAGCATGAGGAAGAATGATAGTATGAGTTTCGGCATGCGGAAGATTGAACGACCCACCAAGTGTATGGCAAAGCTTGTGGTGCAATGCCATCGCAGAGGTTCCAAGACACACGCCGCAAAGCCATGCGGCATATTGAGCCTTTTCGCGAGCAGAACGGTCGTTTCCATCTTTGACAATTGCCGGAAGCGATTCGGCCAGCCCTTGGATGCCCTCTAGAGCAAGCTTAGAAATGGCCGGGCTGGTGTTTACAGCGTACAAAGACTCTACCGCGTGAGCCATTGCATTGACGCCCGAGTACGCGCAAGTCGCTGCTGGCAATGACATTGTGAGATCAACGTCGTATATCACAAAATCCGGAAGGATCTTTGGATCGGTGCGAGTGACTTTACGACCATTTTCTGTCTCGCCAAGGATAGGCGTCATCTCGCTGCCAGAGTATGTCGTGGGTATGCAGATATGCTTGAGCCCGGTGCGAATGGACAAGGCCTTGCCCAAGCCGACGACGGAACCTCCGCCGATGGATACAATACAGTCCGCAGCATGAGCTTTGAGTTGTTCAAGTGCTTCTTCGGTGACAGATTTTGGAGTATGCATTACTGCCACATTGAGAACTGCGGCTGGAGTCATAGAGGCATCGCTCAAGATCTTGGCCAGCATGTTGCCGTGCGCTGTTCCATTTTTTCCCTTTGAAGTGAGCACGACTGGTGACGAGCCGTCTAGTCTTTTGATCTCGTCAGGAAGCTTATTGACACTTTTTGAACCAAATAGGACTTTGTTAGTGTCGACATTGGATCCGGAAGCATCCATGACTAATTTTTCTTTGGCAAGACTTCTGTGGCTTCTGAAGGTCTAGATGTGCATATTGTTAGTTGTTTAAGGAAGATGGACCAACCTCAATGAGCCAGCACGAGGTGAGGTGAGCGACCAAGACATGTGGGGTCGGAAGTCTGAGCCGGAACGCGGAAGATGTTTTAGCCACCATTGTGAACACCAACATCGAGAACACGATGTGAACCTTATTGTTCACGGTTGCAGACTCTATCAAGTCGTGATGTTTTGCCATTCAGTGCTGTCAATGGTGAAGACATTGTTCTGGCGGTCGGGTACTCCCTGGAAGTCCTCCAATGTCGATGAGAAGCCAAAGCATGCCCAGTCGTTTGAGTCCGTGGTAAAATCCTGAAGAATATTGGGGTCGATCAGAGATGCCATGAATGCTTCCGGATGTTGACCAAAGCCGGTGCTGTTAATCTCGCTCGGAAGAGCAGAAGGGACTTGGCGTGTTTGGTCATTGCAGACATCGCTTGCAGGGGTTATCGCAGACGTATTGTTTCTTGTGTCCTTCTGCTGTATGTAAGCAGTAGCGACTTCCAAGACTTCGCTCAACAAGTCTGCACTGCGACGAGCCACGCTTGCTTCCTCCATGGATTTGAGAATGTCTCGACTCTTTCTAACATCATCAAGAAGCATATCGTCGGCCTCTGTGCTGTGTCCTAGCATGATAACGTACAACACAATCATTCCGGCGTACAGAGTGTAAGTCGAATTATACCACCACGTACGGAAGTAGTGTTTGTTCGCATAAGCATCGTACAGGACCTGAATAGTCTTTCGCGCGGCAGCTAGACATAGATCGATATGTTTTTGCCTCTCCAGTAAGTCACAAGTCGTGACATCTGATAAAAATGGACGATGCAGGATGACACGAGCGTTAAGATAACGCAAGTGAAGAACCAACTTCTGTTTTGCAGCCCACTCTGGTTCTCGAAAATCGACAACGTCAAAATTGTGCCATGGCGCGAGATCGAACTTCCACTGGTCGAGGAGTGTGTCTATGGAGAAAGCCGCAGCTGATTTCTGAGAAGCGGTCACCTCTTTTGGGCAATGATATATGTCCTTAGAAATACGTCGCAATACTACAGCAAAGTCGACCATCACGTTGATCATCGAAACGTTTGGTCCTTCAAGATAGGCAATGTCGGAGCTCGAGTCGGTGCTGAACGACTTATTATTGATCAGTAAGACTTTTGCAGAGTTGCCTCGTCCGAACTGACCTTGATTTGAGGCAAAGGGATGGGATACTTCCGCGGTTTTCCAAGACTGTCGAAGCGCCCGGCAGAGCAGCACATATCTCTGTTATTTTCACATTAGCCATGAGATGTCTCAGAGCAGTCTCGTTGCTTACATCTCGTGAGAGTAAATACACCTGTAGAATTTTAGCAAGGACTATATCACGTAGAGAGATCAAGACTAACCACCAAGTTCTTCGTGCCGCCTTGCAAGCCTCGAACGAGTTGGACATTGACTCAGATGGTAGACCAATAGCAAGCGCAGTCCTAACAGCCATACCACAATACATATAGCAGGCATGTGGCTTCAGGGAATTCTGGCAGTACAAAGACTATCCAGCGTTAGTCGCGAGCACGCATATAAGGTTCAACAGACCAACCATCAAAAAGAGCGTCTGGGCACTCTCCAGAGAGCATGCCTCAAACACATCACCAAGCAGGCTTCGCGATTTTCGGAAATAGTACCTGGATAATCTTTGGAGCGGAGCTTTCGCGAGTTCCTGAGGGTCTTTCTTGCTATGCAGCACAATCTTGATCTCATGGTCAAGCTCGTCTTTTAGCTCTGAACCAGCCACGAGTGCTCCAACAGCAACAACGATATTGTACAGAGCAAAAAAGTGTCGAAACTGAGGAGATCTTTCTTGTGTGTTGTTAGATTGTGCGAAATGTTCCTCGCATCGGCTAATGAATGTGCCAGGTTCGATCATGGGATGCAAGTAGTGTAGATTGTGCGTGAAGCTGCGTATGAGCGCTTTCTCCAGACGTCTTTCTGTGACACGCAGGTTTGAAGAAGGGGAGACACTGCTTGGAGTACGGTGGCTTGGCTGGTGACCACTTTGCGGAGCACGAAAACCAGACGACCGGGTTGCGGAGGGAATTGTCGGCAGCGGTGACTTTTCTCTCGATGGTGGCAGCAGATCGTCTTCATGTGCAAGCAGGTTGACCAGAGACATTCTCCCACCCGGGCCATGATTGCTTTGATTAGGACTCGTCACTGGCTGACCAGTATCTGGGGTACGCATGGTCAGACTGTGTTGGCGGACATGGGAAAACAACTGGTTAAGCAGCACATAATTGGATGCTGTTCCGTAGAATTCAGTTCCTTGAGTCCGCTGGTTTACATCGCCTAACACGTCACGATCATTCGAGGTTAAAGTAGCCTCTATTGAGATTAGATTAAGCATTTGTGCAACAGCTTGACGAAGGACATACCTGAGCGCACAGAGTTTATGTTAACCTCAGTGCTCACATCCAACCTAGAGTCACCAACACAACCAGGTACATCCTCGATAGCATCATGAACAGAATTTGATCTCGCATCAATCAATGGCCAGGGTCGAGGGGTGGCTTCTAATCGAGTATCATCATCCTCTATCGGGTCGCCCATTCTCCTTCTTTTCTTTCTCCTCTCTCCATAGACACAAACTGCATCAACGCGGATGCATGATGAGCAAGGCTGCCGTTGATTACATCTTCCTTTCTTTTCGCGACATCGTTGACAAGCATGCGAAGCACGAGGCAAATTACGGGGTCCCAGTGGTCGGGCGGTCGGAGACTCGTTTTCCATGTCTTCTTCCCGTGCCCCGACCATGCTTGGTTTGGTGTTCATCTATGTCGACCGAGGGAGGTCTCCGTGTTGCGCAGATAATTGAGACGCGTATCCGGAAGAATGGTGGCTGGGATGGTACGCACAGACCAAGCCTAGTGATTCTTGGATATCCCTCTCTTGACCAGATTACAGCTTTTGATACCTTGGTATCATCAGGCACTTGCTTTCAAATGAACAATTGGGTGTTGTTTGATTATGCTTGTCCCAAGATCTCGGGATGAGCACTGGATTGAGTCAACAAGGCAAGTACTAAGGCTTCGGAAGTTCGGATCAACTCCACATCTCCTCAGCCTCGCAACTTCCGGCTCGGATGTTTGCCATATGTTGTCGTCAGGGAAGGTCGTCGCACTTGCAGTCTGGAAGTGATCAAACAAGGAGGTTTTCCTGTTTAAAGTTTGATCTCTTCAACACTCGTCAACTGTCTTCATTCCAAGCCTCTTGATCACCCGAGGCTTCAACACCATAACCACATCATGCCTGTTTTCGAGGAGACCGCTGATGCGCGTCGGGACTTGAGGATTCTACCATCACGAGCTCTACCTTTACCACGTCTATCACCTCAGATTTCTACGACTGATAATGAGCGCGAAGTTGTCGTTATCGGTGTAAGCCCCTCGTGTCTAGCTAGATTGGCCAACACTGATGACCACTATAGGCAGGACCAAGTGGTCTTTTTCTCACTCTTTTACTTGCCAGATATGGAATCACAGGATCTTCACTACTTTGCTTGGATTCGAAGCCAGGAACTCTGAAGGCAGGACAAGCTGATGGTCTTCAACCTCGTACACTTGAAGTCTTCCAGAGTCTCGGAATAGGCTCGGAGATCATTGCTGAAGGATGCCACATGGAAGAAGTAGCTTTCTGGAACCCTGCAGCTGACGGCAAGAGTGGTATCGAGCGAACCTCATTTGTGCCTGATGTGAATGTCCCGGCACGCTTTCCTTTTGAGGTTACTATTCATCAAGGACGCATTGAGAGAATTCTTCAGGAGAACCTTAATCTCTATGCACCTGAGAGTACCATCCGAAGATCTCATCATTTTGTGGATTACACTGTTGATGCAGTCAACCATCCAGAATACCCTGTTCTCGTGAGCTATGAGCACGAGCTCGAGGACGGTACTCGCATTCCAGGCTCTGTTCGTACAAAGTATCTGGTGGGAGGCGATGGTGCACATTCGAAAGTCAGAAAAGCCATGGGGCTTTCGCTGGAAGGAGAAACATCTGATCACATCTGGGGTGTCTGCGATTTTGTGGCTGATACAGATTTTCCGGACATTCGCAACCGTTCTGCTGTGCATTCTGAAGCAGGTTCCATCATGGTTATTCCGAGAGAGCAAATCGCTACTGGAGAATATCTTACTCGTCTCTACGTGCAGGTTCCGGGGGATGTCGATGCAAAGGCAGACCGTACAACGACTCCTGACGACGAGAAGAAAAATTCAAGCAAGAAGAAGCGTGCTGAGGTTACCCTTGACTACATTTTTCAGCAAGCTAACGCGGTGTTTGCCCCATACAAGATCAAGATTAGGGAGGGTACCGCACCAGACTGGTATGCTGCTTATCAGATTGGCCAGAGAATGACACCGAAGTTCTCTTCGAGAACCCCAGATGGCGTCGATAGAGTTTTCATTGTCGGAGACGGTATGTAATCGACACACTGAAGAGCGTAACAGAAAAGACTGACCACAGTATAGCATGTCACACGCATAGCCCGAAAGCAGGCCAAGGCATGAACGTCAGCATGATGGATAGTTACAACCTATCTTGGAAGCTAGCACACTCTATTCTCGGCTTGACGCCTCGAGCTATTACCAGCAGCGCTGATCCGATTCTGGAGACCTTCGAGTTAGAGCGAGTCGACACCGCTCGTCAACTCATCGAGTTTGACGCCAAGTTTTCTCACATGTTCTCTGGCAAAATCGGTTCAGGCGACTCTTCGACAGCTGGACTTACACACGACGAATTCCTGAAAGTATTCCGCGACGGAAGTGGCTTTACTAGTGGTTGCGGTCTTGAATACAAACCTAGCGAGCTTGTTCGCACTACCAACGATTCTGGAAACCTGATCACCTCTGGAGGAGATCCTCTTTATGGTGCTCTCACAACTGGCCGGAGGGTTTTGAATGTTGAACTCAAGCGTTATGCTGACAACACTACTCGTCAATTGCATGATGAGCTTCCATCCCACGGACGGTACCGCATTTTGGTGCTCACTAGCACAGATCTTCTTAATCCCGCTGGAATATCTCAGGCGGCACTACAAGCGTGTGTCAAGATGGTGAGAAGCCACCCCGCTGGTACGATAGACCTTGTGGTCTTGCATCCCATCAAGGAGAGATTCGAGTGGACCCAGATCCCGGCAGACGTAAAGAGACTCGCAGAGATGAGAACCTATGGACTGTCAAAGAGGGAAGACGCTTATGATGTCTATGGCATCTCGAAGGAGGAAGGAGCGATTGCTATTGTAAGACCTGATGGATATGTCGGAGTACTATGTCGCTTGTCTGCTCCTAAAGTTGCTGGAACTTACCTGAAAGATTGCTTGGTCACAGTATAATTATCATGGGAATAACTGAGTACTTAGAGAGCTCATGCAAAAAGCAGAATTCGTCCACGACCTTACCCAGTGTCTCGGGCAGAACTAGGATCGAGTAGAAGCTTACTGTAGTCACATTCAACTTGCTGTCATCCGATATTACCGAACAGCCTGTCAAGGTTCTGAAGTACACTCCATATCCCATGTTTACTTTCATTCTGTTGACTCTGCTGCTCACAATATCCTCAGAATCATACAGTGGTAGCTCAGCCACAACAAGATAACGTCTCCACATCAAATGTCTGTCCCGAGAGATAAGATCGCTGGAATAGCTCTGATGGTCAAGGGGCCTGAACTATAGATCCTTCCAAGCCCTTTCAAGCTCATCAACTCCACTCTGCAGTCGAGCGATTGATCCACAAAATCAAGGATCCGGATATTCGAGGCACAAGCCTGGCGACGCGACTTTCGAACCCTAGCTAGCGCTTCTACAGGTGGCTTAACCCAGAGAAGCTGAGTAGTGATCTCGTGCCATGTGCGATTGACACGCGCTGCAGCAGTCAAGAACTTTACATCTAGTAGAGACACAAGTATCTGGACAAGAAGTTCCGGGCTGTCTAAAGCCTGATTCATAATAGTCATAAAACTACGGAATCTAGTTGGCCTGCAACGATGAAGAGAAGGGGGATTGAACGCCCAGGAACACCAATTTCCGAGCCGAGATTCTTTCATGTTGATGCTGCCTAGAACCAACCATGTACAGGATGTGTCGGCATCATTGGATAGTGTGCATGCGGCTTGCGGACTGCTTATCTTGAGCCTGGTGATACCAACGATTTACTGCAATCCTTATATATGCAGACGCATCGATGAGCCCGCTGTCGGTATGAACTGGATAGAAGCCTTTTTGGGCATTGAAATTCTATCACACCTCCAGGAGCGATAAGACGATTTCGACTTCCTGTGGTGTATCAAAGGTGTATCGAGCCAGAATGTAAGCCTTCTAGCCTTCCGGTCAGAATAACACTGCATTGACCGATTAGGCACGAAATTTGCTCCAAGCCGCTGTGATCGACCTCTCGTCACTTTCATCCGACAGGTATAGATCCTCAAGCATAGGAGCGTGATAATCTATGAGACGAGCAACCTGCATTGGAGTCAAGCGAACAGGTACTTGGTCGATCTCTCTCTGCATCAAATCGAGGTTTCTCAGTCTCGGAAACATGACCGTTGGTATGTCACCAAGAGCCTGTAGATCGAAGGTTCCATATAATTGCAGGTCCTCCAAATTGGGGCAATGCTTGGAGAGACTTGACAATACTGAGAAGGACTTTGGTTTCCAGTCGACCTCGAACACGATCTCTCTTAGTTCGCCGAGCCCAGATAACATGCGGTCGAAATCGGAATCCGTGAAATTCGGTGCCTCTATTGAAGTTTCACGTACCCACCTTTCCACGCAAACTACCTCGAGCCTATGCAGAGCTTGTAATGCGAGCAACACATCCGGAGTGAGTGTCGTCGACCTGGTCACGCGTATGAACAGGCGGCGTAGACTTTTCATAACGGATAGACTTTGTAAGCCTGAGCCATGATCGTTTAGAAGAATTAGATCGAGATACTCGACGTTGGGCAACACATGCGCGGCTGCCGACATTACCGTCGATGTCGCCTATGGAATTGGTCAGCAAAGTACTTCTTCCACGGCCAAGAAAATCATGTTTGTATGAATACCTTCAAATCAACCCGCTTTAGGCAATGAAAGGGGTTAATGTTTTGCTTTTTGATCGCCCAGAAGAACTCTGGTCGACTCAACTCGTTGTCAATCAGAAGATACTTAAGCTTGGTCAACCCCGAGAAATGCAGCAGCAAGTCACCAGTGATCAGCGCACTATTCGGTTCCGGTCCAAGACGAAGTTGGATACTCTCAAGGTGACTACTAGCGCGAAAGTAGTCCAGTAGATCATCAGGTAGTAGCTGAGTACCGATCGCCGAGAACTCAACACTCTTGAGATGAGGGCATCTCTCCGCGAGGTGCACGAAAAAGCTTCTCGTACATATCGAGTCCCATGAAAGCAGTGACAGATCCTCGAGTGTTTCGTGGAAGTACTGAGACGTCGATATACTCCAATCTTTGTGTATTGGCAAAGGACGAAATATTCCGGGGTCTAGAACGCCGGATATTGGTCCGTAATGACCCAAGACGAGCGATTTGATCTTCGGGAACTGTAGATTTGCGAACAGAGTGTGTAAAGATGGATCTGCACGGGCTTCGAGGGTGCTAAAATCTAGTCTGCGAATATGAGTTGCGTATTGCTGTCGGCGCTCGCTCTTGATTTTTGCTAGGGCTTCAACGTCTGGCGCTGCCCATAAGATTGGATGTGCGACATCCCGCCAGAGAGAACTTACGCGTGCCAGAGGTACCAGAGAAGATTTGTGGCGGGCACGCAATTTCTTATCATTCTGGTGGATCATATCAAGGATCAAAGTGAGGAGTTCGGAGCTTTGCAAAACCTGATCCATACTGACTGACTTGATGTGATGGGTCGCTGTAAAAGTGAGATGAGCGATAGATGTAAGTTTGCAATGCAAGAAGTGTTGTATAATTTGACAGAATTCTCTTGACGGTGAGGCGGCATGTGCTAGACTTTATAGCAGTCATCGGCGAGTCAAAAAGTTGCGACACGTAGCGATATGCACCAATGCACTCAATACTTCTTTTAACCTCAGAGTTCTGGTGGTCGACCAATATAGGTGGAAGCCAGCGCGACCGAAAGTGTGGGCGTCCACAGTCTTAGTCGTGCGCGAGCTCGCCACCGGTAGGCAGCAGCCTGTCCACAGGATCTCTTGGCGCGTTAGCTGCTGCGTTTCTGCCCCATCAAGGCAAGTAAGTCTACCAGGATAGTTGCGGATATCTAGCTGATATTACGCTAGGCATGACCTCTACTTCTCAATTTGTCAACCACGAATGTCGTGCCAAGCCAACAAGACCGGGTTGTCATCGAAGTCGACCATGAATGCCAGATCCTCGAGTATCGGCGCATGATTGTCTATTAGGCGGCCCAGTTGGAGTGGTGTCAAACGGACAGGAATATAGTGGACTACACAGTCGTCTATTCTGAGAGATTTCAGATTAGGAAACATGACTGTTGACGTGTCGTTCAAGGCTTGTAGATCATACGATCCGTCCAGGTCCAATTCCTCTAACTTCGGGCAGTGTTCTGATAGACTCGATAAGATTGAAACCGAACGGTTTTCCCAGATGACCTCGAACTCGAGTTTTCTCAACTCTGGCATTCCAGAAACCATAGCATCAAAGTCAGAGTTGGTAAATTGTAGTGCTAGCATATCGTGCAGGCCATTTCCTTCTGACGTCTTGATGGTAAGCTTTTCGAGTCGATTTAACGCCCGTAACGCAAGCAGTTCGTGTCGAGCGAATGTGGTTTCTCTAGTCCCGAGAATTTTCAACTTGCAGAGGCGGGGCATATCTGACAGATCTTTGAAGCAGGATCCGTTTCCGTCTTGGAGACACAGACCAAGTTTCACGACGTTCGGTAGCACGCGTGCCGCAGCAGAGATGACGGCTGACGTTGCCTTGTGAAATGTTAGCAAGGCAGCTACTTGGGTGGTAGAAACAGCCAAGTCAGGGGAACCAAGTTGCATCCTTTCAATATGCTAAGGCATGCAACAGATTATAGGAATGTAAGTGCTCTCGAAAGTAGGACAGTATCCTCTTTGAAGCGGTAGGTTGTCTGTGCTCTTTGGATACATTTCCAACCCCAAGAACAGCTACGTCTGTTCAAGGTGTACATTTGCTATACTCTGTGGGAAGTACGGGACTTACATTGAGTTCGAACTCAGTCAAGTTTTGGAAAGGGAAGTTGTTCTGTATCCTGATGGACTGGAAGAATTTTGGCTGTTTCACAGGATTGTTGAGCTCGAGATAGTTGAGCTTCGGCATCTTCGAAAGCTGAAGCAGGACATCACCAGTGATCAGGGCATTCTCTAATAGACCGAAGCCGAGATTGAGCTCAATCGCTTCAAGATGGCGAGTGGATTTGAGGAAGCTCAGAAACTCGTTAGGTTGAAGTTGTGTGCCGATTCCAGATAAGTAGATACGTCTCAATCGAGGGCATTTTCCCGTGACATCTTCAAAGAAACCCCCGGTACATATCGAGTCCCACCGAAGAACTGTCAAATCTTCGAGTGCAGGACCAAGATAATGAGAGACTGTTGAGTTCCAACCATCTTGTATACCTACGAACTCGCGGCCCCTAAGGTCAATTGGGTAATTGCCGAGTTCAAGCTTTTTCAATCTTGGGAACTGTAGGCCAGCGAAGAGTGTGTGTAATGTAGGGTCTTTGTTGCCACCAAAATCCAGTGTTCTGATGTAAGATGCAAAGTCCTGTCGATATCGCTTTCTGATCCTAGCGAGAGCCTCCACTGGAGGTGCTTCCCAAATGATGCGTTAGACAAGATCTTGCCACAGGGAATTGACGCGAGATAGGGGCGCCAGTGATGTTCGACTTGGGGTCCACTCCTCTTCACGGACCATCTCAAGGATCCGTGTAAGAAGTTCAGGGCTTTGCAATACTTGTTCCATATTGGCTGTCTCCGTACACGGCTGGACGAAAAAATTGGTGACTTAATCGGTAGAACGTTGATTGGCAAGTCTGGCTGGTGACCATTCAGAACTTGTAGCTCTTGCAAGTGGACTCAAGCTTCTTGCCACGTATGGTCGCGAGAATGTAGGTATGCCCTCAATGATCCTTGTGGTGTTAGAGTTGAAGAAAGTAACATCAAGTTCAAGTGGGTAAAGTTCGAGTAACCCGGACCCGAAATTACCCCATTCGATCAGAATAACCTTCGACCCTCTCCGGTGCGTGTCCATGAATGCGCAGAAAAGAATCACAACATGTCCAGCAGAACTGATGTTGACGAGTCGAGATATCCAACACCGACTTTCCGAATTATCGTGAGTGAATAGCGTTCGACCTGTGACATGACTCTATACGCGCTCGGCAAATTTGGGCGACTGTAATCCTTCCCGATACGAGATTGCCCCGTACAAGCAGGCTACCTCAGCCTGAGAACCACTCCTTCACCTGGGCGTGATATCTCTGCATGACCATTTTCTTCGGAAGTACGACAGCCAATGCCATGACTTTCCATATCACCGCTCCTCTGTTGCGGATACTCGTAGCTATCCCCATCTTTCTCCTCGGATTCAAGATATGCGATACTGTCAACCGACCTCTGCCATTGACGCGTGATCTCTCAACACTCCTCTCCAACCAGACTCTAACGCTCGAACTTCCTGGCCATAGCGATACTGTTGTTGCCACCGCATATATCCCCATTTCTCTCTACGACCATGGCCGCAACTCGGTTTTCTGGTGCGCCTTGCTAGCTCTTGCAAATGCTGGCGCTTACGTTATCGACAAATTGCGGCATCACATTTTTTCACAGCTACTTGCGCTGGATGAAAGTGCGAAGAAAGTCCCAAAAGGCGGAGTCTTGAAGTTTTACCTTCAAGGTGTGAGGAATCTCAACCTGACTGGATGGGTCAATGCCACTGGACCCAGAGATACTTTCCTGGCATGGTTGTTCTCATTGCTTGCCTTGACTGGAGCTTTATATCCCACGATTGTCGCCGGGATACAAAACTTGGCCAGTGACTCTGTTGCAACCCAACTGGACTACTTCTTCACAAGCGGCCGCGCATCGAATGATACCGTCTTCGGCAGCTCCAGTGGCCATGGCACATACACTCTTGAGAGCTGGACCTGTCAGATTGCGCCACTGGTCTCAAGTCCCGCCGACATGACCACATCTGCAAGAGTAAGAGAAGTGTTGACCCAGTCATGTCGTGATGGCCACAGCTCTCGCTATCTCTTACTCATCATGCTGCCATTCACGATCTTAATGCTTTTACTCATTGTAAAGCCGCATTGGTTTACCTTCACACTTGGAGCGGAGAAAAGACCAGCTTGGATGTCAGTACCACTGGAGGAAACCGACAAAGACGTCGAAAGTGATGACGACGATGAGGATCCAATGGCTGCGTATGGTAATAACGCTAGAGACCAATGGCAGCTGAACTAATGAATAACCTTCATACATTTACCTCGCAACTTCTGACCAAGAGATTCAACTACATTGCCGAAGGCTCTTTTTTACTTTCCGCTTCTTTTTATTTATCTTCTTCTTTATTTATTTTTCTTTTTTTTTGTTGCAACATCATAGGCGCGATCAAACACGCCACCAGACACTCATGCGAAAATGATGATCCTAATGTATATACACCAAGAAAAACACGAACAATGCAAAGTAAGTCATTTCTTGTACTGGCAAGAAAGACACTTGAAAAGAATGGTTGCTTTTGATTTATATGTACTGCAACTGGCAATGACTGAACTACGCATCCCCTATACTTTCGTTATCTGTACTTGGTTGGTTATCAATATAATCATTCCATCGTCGTCCACCTTCGCTTGGTCTGCGGAGTTTCAGATGGAAAGGAGGTGTATCCCTTGCTATCGAAACGCTCACACTCAAATCGCCAGGTGACTAGAGAACATACATTGACAATCCCGTCTGGGGGTCGATCTGCGACTCCCACCATCCCTGCTTGGCTGCGGCAGGACTGAGCTCTCTGCCCCATTTCAGCTCAATTAATGCATTGGCACACTAGGCGACTACATCGTTAGCTTGTTCCTCAGCCTTGTCTTCTGTTTTCTGCTCGCTCTTGTCGAGCTTCTTGCCACTTTGATCATTTCTGACCGTCTCAAGCACCGAAGCAATCTCCCTCAAAAATCTAGTGACTTCGTCTTCAGTACCCACGGTAATGCGCAAACAACCCAGACAACCCAACTCCTTGCCGCGGAAACGGACGACCACACCGCGGGACTCGGCGAGTTGTTCGTACACGGCAAGAGCGATTTCATTACTGGGTTCTTTGGAAGCATTGAGCATCTCGACGAGGAGGAAGTTGCTTGCTGCGCCGCCGCGGAAACGACCGATGCCCGGAATTGAAGGCATTTCTTTGAGCATGCGGTCGCGTTGAGTGATAATCTTGTCACGGTTTTGGCGCATGACGGCGAGGTTCTTGGGTTGCAAGGCTGCGATGGCGAGTTGAGAGGTGGGGTTGGAGATATTGTAGGGTGCCTTGAGGGAGTTGAGTAGGCGGGCGATGGGTGGAGAGGTGAAGGCAGCTCCTAGACGAATACCGGCAAGACCAAAGGCTTTTGAGAGAGTTTGCATAACAACGAGGTTGGGCCAGTCGTTAACCCATTCGGCCAAAGAAGTGCCGTCGGGGGCGAAATCGATGTAGGCTTCATCCAGCACGACAATGCCGTTCCATGATGGGTGTTTGAGAACAGCTTCGACGTCCTCCTTGCGAACGAGGTTGGCTGTTGGGTTGCCTGGTGAGCAAATGTAAACCATCTTGATGTGGGGGTCTTGTTCGAGCATCTCGTTGATCAGGTAGGGTTGGAGGGCGAAGTCATTGTTGACGTCTAGCGGAGCTTTGATGACGGCGACATCGTTGACTTGGGCAGAAACAGAGTACATGCCATAGGTGGGAGGGCATGTAAGGATCTTGTCTTTGCCAGGAGTGCAGAAGGCGCGAATCAGGGCGTCAATGGCTTCATCACTGCCAACACCGACGAAGAGGTTCTCGGGTGTCAGATTCTTTTCTGTGTGGGTGTGGGTGTTGCGGAGGTTGCAAAGCAGTTGCTTAAGCTCGGGTTGGTGGCTGGCGGGTCTTGTCAGGTACGAGTCTTGTGGTGGGCATTGACGATGTCTTTACGGGTCTGGGTAGCGATTGAGGCCGAGAAGGTCGACCTCGACACTGGCATCTCCGTTCAAGGCGTTCTTCAGCTTGCCTGAAGCACTATCGACTGCCAGACCGGGACCATAGGCGTTCTCGTTGGCGTCCAGAAGAATGTTTGTGCCATCGTCTTTGTAGTCGCTGTGGTGAGTCACTCGTCAGTTCGTTGATTGACTTGGTATGAGATTGGGCGACGGACTCTCTGGCACATCTGTAGGGCTCGAGAGCCAGGATGTTGGGACGGGCACACGTCTCGAGGTTGAAGGCGTTTACTTGTGCAGGCATTGTGAATTGATATGTGACTGAGGGGAGAAACAAAAGATGCGTTTCCCGAACTGTTGGAGCTTCTCGATCGGCATGTGAAAGTTGCGAGTCATCCACGCTCTCGGCTTCGGGTCAAAAACGTCACCGGGCCGAAGCAAGAGCAGCCTCAAATCTCGACAAAGAGCCACCCGGAACTTCCGTTTCCTGCCTGATCTGACCTGCCCTATCACATGCTGAAATACGGTACTGGACAGTTGACAATTTCCTCATCTTTTGCTAGACTTTGAACTGCAATCAAAACTCTCTTCTTTCAACCATTTCTAGCCTCTGCGTTCAAGTCCGTTTTGTCAAACCTCACTGCCAACCAACAGTTACATCATCTTGCGCCGGCACTTCCACGCCGTTTGACCTGCACCTTACGCGACACGTCCGCCGTCATCTGCGCATTCGCGACTGCCATCTTCTGCTTCGTTCGTCTACCATCAAGACCAGCACATCATGGCCTCTTCACAACCCATACCCGTAACACGGGTCATATCTCCATCACCCACTCCCACCGAATCATCCTCCGCACGCGACAGCTACTTTTCCTCGACAACAAAGAACCGCAATGGTCGTGTCACCACCCCAGCTCCCATTCAAGAATCCCCAGAATCCTCAGATCCAGAAAGCAGCCGCGCCAGACCTAGAAGCCGAAGTCCTCAGATCCAGCGCAAAGAATCTTCTAAGAAGACGACTAAGGCTCCACCCGAGCCCATAAAAACAGATGGTCATTTAGATCCGAGTAGCGCTGGCATGGGCTCCAGCTACTGGCGCAATCTAAGTCGTAGTCCCAGTCCACTGGGCTTGATACCTCTGCATCGCGAATGGCGCACCTTTATACACAGACACGAGATACCCAGGAAAGCTTTACATGTCTCTATTGGTTTCTTCACTTTGGGTTTGTTCGTCTCTGGTGCCCAAACCAGTGCTATTCATCCTCCTCTTCTGACTGCTTTAATACCCATCTTCGCCATTGACTTTGCTCGTATGCACTATCCGTAAGTCTCTTCCTCCTTCATTTCATCCGGAAGAAAGCTAATGTGATCCAGTCCACTCAACCGCCTCTACATCCGCCTCCTCGGAGCCTTCATGCGCGAATCAGAAGCACACGACAAATACAACGGCGTCATCTCCTACCTTGCAGGCGCCTGGGCTGTCCTTCGCTTCTGCCCTAAGGACATAGCCGTCATGTCAATCTTGCTTCTTTCCTGGTGCGATACTGCTGCCTCCACTTTCGGACGTCTTTGGGGCCGCTACACACCTCGTGTGCGCAAGGGAAAGAGTTTGGCTGGTACTATCGCCGCTTTCATCACTGGTGTCATTGCTGCTGTGGTATTCTGGGTCATCATCGCGCCGAGAGTGCCTGCAGAGTGGAATACAGGAATAGATGCTTTTGCCTATGACGGCACTTTGAGTCTGCCACCTATGGCCAGGAATTTGCTCGGCTGGAAAGAAGCAGAAGCTACCGTGTCGGGTAGTGTAGCTACTGCTATCGTCGCTGTCGTCTCGGGATTCGTGGCTGCAGTCAGTGAAGCCATTGATGTCTTTGGCCTAGACGACAACCTTACCATTCCTGTTCTTTCGGGTATTGGACTGAATGCTTTCTTCTGGGTGTTTGGAAATGGCTTACCATGAAAAAGGTGTGAGGTTCATGGGTTGAAGGGCACGTAATCGGGTTTTTGGTATGGATATATACCATGATATGGGATTTGAAAACAAAGGCAGGATCAGCATGAAGAAAAGACAAGGCCTCACGCGGGCAATGATACAGAGAATTTATTATTAATGTGAAATATCATCATTCTCCCTGTTTCCTTCACACTTGATTGAGATCAAAGATGACTAGCCCATGCTGTTGGGTGATAAGCCGCCAAAGAAACTGCTAACACATATATTTGTTTTCGAAATTGAGAATAATAGAGGGTAACACTGGTTCAAAAAACGAGATAGAGGGAGAGACTTGAAATAAAAGGCGGTTTTCGAAAAACTATCTAGGAGAACTTTCTTTGCTATTCCATGCCCAGCAGCAAAACAGGATCAAAAACATTAAGAAAAACGCCCTATGCCTTTCATGCCATGAATGCAACAACCAGCTCATCTTTTCGTCAGACAGCAAAACAAGGCGTAACAAACGCTCTCTCTGAAAAAAGAGAAAGCTGCAACAGCAAGAATCCAACATCCACGACCTCCAGCTTACCCAACAACGCCCTTGAAACTCAATGCCTCCAAAAAGCCGCTCAAATCCTCCTTCTTGACCTCGACAACTTCATGTTCAAAAGAGTCAATACGGACTCTGGCTCCCGTCTCCTCAACAACCTCCTGGAACGCAGAGCCAAACTTATTACTTCCATAACCCCTCTGTTTTCTCTTCTCCGCCTCTTCTTCATCCTCACTATCATCGTCTGAGTCTGAAGAGTCAGAGGAAGAAAGGGATTCAGCATCAGAAGCTTCTTCCTCGTCAGAGTCATCGGCGAAAATGCCATTGGCTTCGTCACGCTCACGTCTTGCTTGTTTGCGTTGAGCGCGCAGCACAGCTTTTTGGGCTTTCTTTTCGGCCTTTTTGGCTTCGCGAGCGGCTTTCTTGTCGGCGCGGGCCTTTTGCTCTGCGCGGCTGCGGACACGGCCTGATGCTGCGTCTCCACCGCCCAGACCGACAACGACATAGACACCTCTGCGTTCGTCAAGAGCTGCAAGGACGAGTGCGTTGTCTGCTGTGCGTTTGGCTCCCTTTTCTGCTTCTAGCACCGAAATGGCTTCGGCGAGCCAGGTTGCCAACTTGACGAGGGCACCGGGGTGAGTGAAGAGGGCTACGTCTGGTCCTTCGCGTACGACACCCATGCGGAAAGCACGCAAGTGGCGGATCTGGTGTTTTGATATCAAGGCACTGCCGGTTCGAAGTATAGCTCTGTGAAGATGTTGTGCGGTAGGTACGTGAGACAGCAACAGTTGAAGAGCAGATGATGAAGGAGACAAAGCGTCGTAAGCGGCAAAGAAACGATGAGTTGTCCAGTCAGGATCCAGGATTGAGGCTTCATGCTCGAGTTGAGATGCTGAGGGTGATGAGTCGCCATTATGTGATGTGGGCGGTGTGGGCAGTGCTTGCATACGTGCATTGTAATTTGAGGAAACAACCTTCATGCGGAAATCGGAGTGTGGCGTAGATGCTGAGATGAAGTCAAAAGACTGTTCTGTGCCAACTTCAAGGATGGCACTCGTGATGACGGCTACATCGACGGCCGAGAGACACGCTTGCCAGCCCCATGAGCGAACAAAGCCCCAGCCTTCGTGTCTGTGAAGATGGCTGTTTTCTGAGGGCACCAGTCCATCAAGGCCATACATAGGAGCAAACTTCAGGAGGCGTTCCCGAAGGCCACGCTTGAGGTCCATGTCCATGTGCGTGTAGCCCTTTTCAGCTTCGGCAAGAGAAACACCCATCTTTGCCAGAAGCTTGTGCAATCTTCTTCGTCCAGCATCTGACCAGATATGCAGCCGTGACGACAAGTACGGTGAGTGAAGCATACTCTCATACAGCGACCAGTGTCTGATAAGAAGGAAGCGTGGCTCTGGTGACAGACGAATCGAAGTGTCTGTTGGTGAGCGTGCGTGAGTGGGTATAATGCCTCCAGCTTCAGCTCTATCTCTAGCAATGTCTGAAGCGGGTACAGGGTTGAGACGCCGTACTTCATCTCTGAGTACATCGCGAATTTGATCTCCTCGGCTCAAATTCCATGGGTTCTGGCGTGTTGAGGAGTTTGTTGTTTTCGATCTGCCGTAGAGCTCAGTAGAAGACATACCGACCAGGGCCAACCAAAGCAGATCGTTGTCTTCACGACCAAGCTCAGAAGCAAGCGAGTACAGCATTGAAGATATCGGCTCAGACGACGATGTTCCTAACGAGTAGTATGCTTCTAGTACGGCTTCGTGCTTTCTCTTCATCTTGAGAAGCTTGCGACGAAGTGAGCGTGCTGATGGCTCTCTGGGTTGTAGGGGTGGTGATGACGGGACTGGCCCAAGCTGTGATGATGAGGGGTGATTGGACATCTCTAGTCGTTCATGTCGTAATGATGGTGATCTAGGAGTGGCAGGTATTGATGAGTTCTAGTTTCATGGTTAGCAGGAAGTCCTCTCCCCTTGTCTTGGAGAGAAACTCACCGAATTACTTCGCCGCCTTTGATACGGTCTGTCACCATCATCGTCACCACTGTCGGCTTCTTCTTCTGCATCATCATCACTCCATGTCTTTCGCTTCCGGGTTTGTGAGTCCTCGACAGCATCTTCTTCGTCACTGTCTGCGTCAAGATCATCATCGTCTACATCTTCATCGATGTCGGGCATGTCTTGCAGAGCACCGAAGGCTTCTTTCTCGGCGTTCAACTCTGATTCAATATCACCATCGTCATAGACAATGATTCCTCCTCTTCCTGGTGTGTAAGACGGTAGGAGTTTGCCTCCGTCAACACCTCTCCTCCTCTTGGCTATTGCTGGGGTGATTGCAGTATCCTCGTCCTCTGGTGGAGCCATGGCACCAGTTCCAAAGACGTTTTGCAAGTTCCAGGGCCTTCTTGCATCGACGACCCAGACCTCAACACCATGGTCGTACATATTCATCTGTGTTTCCGGGTCTTCGCCTCCATCCAAACCAAGCATCTCTTCCAGGTCAACCATGCCACCAACACCTAAACAGACGACAATACCACCTTGGCCGCCATGTTGACGCGTCAAAGGTAGCACCAGATCCTTGCCAGCAGCAGCCAATTCGCTGTAGCCAGCTACCGGTTGAACTTTGTGAGGGATATAGTCGCGTTTGAGTAGTGCTGTGAAGATTCGACACGCGCAGAGGGCATCGGGGTCGAGGGATACGAGGATCAAGACTGGTGGTGAAAGTGGATGGGTGTTGCGGACCAGATGGGTGTAGAGATGCGAGAGAAGCGTCCTCGGGAGATACATGGCGAAGGACTTGTCTTTGTCAAGTCATGCGTGAAGGTCAATGGCGGTTGCTTGCAAGAGTCGTGGTCCAATCTAAGTCGTGGTCGTGACGCGTTTTGTAGGAATGTCGTGATGTCTCATACTCTGTCTCTCAGAGCGTCTTGTTGGATGTGATACTCGAGCACAGCTGTACAGTGCTATACAAGGTGAAAGAATGGCGTCTTGTTGGTCGTGGGTGTCTCGTTGTTCGACGCAGGTGCAGGGAGTTTCGAGGCACGCGGATCGGCTTCGAGACGAGACGAGAGCACGCGTCGCGCCTGCCCAAACTTTGGCGCGTTTTTGATGACCACACGACCCTTGGCGCGCGCGTCAACTTCACCCATCTATTATTCATTGTCTTTTCTTTTTTCTCAACATGAATGTGACAATTATTTGGTATGATGCCATTCCCTCCATTATACTACCATGATTATGTCAATACATACTGTCGTGCCCTGCCATCTCCATTTCCCAATCATCGACATCTAAACAATTCCCTCCTGCTTTTGCACTCGAATCCTCTCTTGGATTGCACGGCCAGGATGCAAAACGTCCTTCAAGCCCAGCCACTCCGTGTTGAGAGGACTGGGTCCGGTATAGACAAATGCATCGTACAGTATACCGCCAAATGCACATCCACAGAAGGGCGCCACCATTGGAATCCAGAAATAATATCCTCCAGCACTCCACACCTCATGCCCGTAGCCAAGAGCGTAGCTCATCAAACGCGGTCCAAAATCACGAGCCAGGTTGACTGCAAACGTTAGCATGTTTCTTGCAGGACGCATATTTGTACTTACTAGCATATCCCGTCTCAACACCGAAGCATGCACCTATTCCGAAGACCAAAAAGAACAAACCCAGAGGGAACCAGTTGCCGCCACCTGATGACACTCCGTTATTCGTATCGTCTTTGAGAGCAAAGATGACAAACATCAGGATGGTGCTGGCGATGAATTCGGAAAAGAACATGCTCGCCTTTGTCATGTATGACTTTGGGTATGTGCAGAAAATACCTGCTGTTGCCGTCGGGCTTGGAGGCACCGTTCTGATTCCATGACCCTCGAACGCGTTGATGTCGTTGACATAATTAGCGTATATGATGCCAGCAGCGACTAGACCTCCGAGGAACTGGGCCAGGAAGTAGATAGGAAATCTTCGCCATGGAAGCTTGCGGAGCAGACAGTTGGTAAAGGTAATCGCTGGGTTCAGATACGCTCCCGAGTCACCAGCAACATAAACTCCGAGCATGACGCCAATCCTGATATCATCGTCAACGACTGCTTCAGACAAGGAGTTCCAGCAAATACTCACGCCCATCCCCAGGAAATGGATTGGTAACCTCCATAACCATCTCCACCGGGAGCTGTTCTGTCGTTGGCACCCAGGAGCACCTGAGCTACTGAGCCATCGCCAAACAGAACGAGGATCATAGTACCGAAGAACTCTGCGAGAGGCTCTCGTAATGCTAATCGTACTTTGGTCCACCATAAGCTGGAGTAGTTCGTCGCGTCATGTTCCTCTGCGATTGGTGCATGCGGATTGAGACCCAACAACTTTGATCGGGTAAATTGCAAACCCTGAGACGACGATGTTGTGTGGATGTCCAAGGGTGCACCACCTGCATCTCCATGTGCACCGATATGCTCAACATGGTCACCTGGTCTTGTCGACCATTTCTTCAGCTTCATGCGATCGTCATCTGTGTCATGAGACTGGCTGTACACGGCATCTGGAAGTTGAGTCATTCCCGAGAGCTGTCTGTCGTGCCTCGTAGAAGCTTGAGACCATTCTTCGTACGGCCTCGACGTCTGAGCATTGGTCCATTGTCCTGAACTCTGCTCGTCTGGATGGCCGTTGCTCATATTGCTGTAAGTATAAGCTTGCCAACTATGTATAGCAAACTTCCAAAAAGAGTTGTAAGTCGTGTATAAGAGTAGGCAAAAAACAGGTTTGGAGGAGAAATGGGCTTGACTGCCTGAACAGCAAACAGCTGGAGGTTTAACATATGGGAAGCTTACGTGCGCCCTCTATGTCACCAAGGTCGTCAGTCCGAAACCAACATGAGATCCTTCTTCGCTTCGAGGGTCTGCATTGGCTCGATTCTTGTCGATATCATCGCTACCGAATCACAGGTATCCGTTTCTGAGTATTACTTACCCCGCCTATAACTCACCTGCTCAAGCATATATAGAGCCGCTTACTCCCGCCTAGCCGCGCTCATGAGACATATATCCTGGACGGTTTGGGATAAAAGTATGGACGATCGTTCTGACAGCTGACAATGTATCTCTTTCCACCGTTTCCTGTCTGCACTTTTTTCCGCACCTCAAAACGTTTTTGCCCTATACTGATCTCTGTCCTCACAACGCCAGCTAGAACGGCTTCTCATCTTGTTCATTTTTTCAAGACACACTATTGCTTCCTTTGGACCGCTTGAACAAAACAAAAGAAGTGATACCCCAGATCGTCCGCCCCCATGGGGGAGCCGTCGATGTGGGGTTGCGCCTCATGACGTTTGGGCAGTTGAGAAGGATGCGATATACAACCATTACCGAGCCATTCCTCTATACCAACTCCTCGAAGTTCATTCACATATATTGAGCGTGGTGTTGAGAGCCGAGCAACACAATCCAGGAATGTTGCAGAAGTTGCTCAGATCTCGCGTGCGTTTCAAAAATCAACTGGAACATAGACGAATACATTATACAGGAACCTCCGCGTACTGCAATATTGAGACAAAGTGCCGTTTGATGAGTTGGTATGCAGCTCAGCTGTTGGCGCGTCGTCATCTACCTGTCAAATCTACAAGTACCATTGTACCATATTATCGAAAGTTCAACGGCCGAGATGCTCCGGACTCAGAACCCTATTTTATGTCCCTTCCTGTTGTATCTCCCTTGATGCACAGATACCAATCCACGGATCCGAGATGGAAAACCATATGCTGTTGCTTTCTATTTTGCTCAGTTCTTCTAGCATGGATTGGTGCTTGGATTGACAATAACTCGGCCTCCAGCTTCTATTGCTGACTTGATCGCTATTGTGGCATTATTCCCGGGACTAAATATGCTGAAAACTTGTATCCGCGTATTCTGTTATCACAACTATAGTATGCTTGTCCTTCACGTTCCTTGGTCTCACTATAGAGATTTTGTCTCGGACATCATACCAGATAAGAGCCACAGGGACCTGAAAGAACAAAACGACGTCAGAGAAACAGAAGCCGTGTCCAGATCTCCGTATCCATGTGCTCATAGCATGAAATCTAAACGGCAGAAGATAGGGCTGAACAGTATTTGGTTCGTTTCGATACATGTCTCTGATACTGCTTATGCGGCTTCACATCAACGACTTGATCGTTTCTCGCGTGAATATCTTTTCCTGTTGTCTGTAGGTGTCATCATCAGTTTCATGTTATACTGTAGCACCGAGTCTATGATGCATGCCTTGAAGGGCTTCTCTGACGATACTGATTGCAAAATTGACTGACGACGAGCGGAATGATGGAAACAAAGGTCATGAATCTTTATATCTGCGTTGCAGCGGATGAGTCAATCCGGACGCAACGGTCGCTTACTATATAGGGATATGTATGTTCAGCATCGCGTCATCTCAGGATCTCATCTTCTCGACGTCTTAGCATCTCGCCATCTCTTCGTCTTGAGCCCCGTCTAGGAAGCGGCAGCTTCAAGGATAGCATCGGACTTGCCTTCCAGATCAGCACTAGTAGCTCTCTCGCAAATCACAACAAACGCTCTTCTCTTTTGCATCTCTTTGTCGCCCTTCTCCAGATTACTTGTGTCGAGCTTAGCCCAGTACCTATCGAGCACCTTGGCCAACTCATCGGGATGCTTAGGAAGACCCAACTTTTCAATGCCACGCGATGATTTCTCGTCCACAAATGGATAAGCTTCTGGCCACAACCATTGTACACGACGGAAGAAGATATCCAAGCCAGTCTTTCCGAGACCTTTGATGTTCTCTTGCAGCAGATCGCGCTCCATATCCCAGTCCTTGGAAGCCTGTTCGCGCAGTTTGTCAAGGCTCGTATCGGTGTCGTTCTTGCTGAACTTGTGCGCGACTACATCGGCGACGAGACCAATTTGTTCAGCGGTCTTGTCTTTGTGCTGGGTCTTTGCGTCGTCCAGAGCTTGGTGTCTCTTTTCCTTGCCAGCAGAGATGATGGCCGAGGGAGTCGTGAAGGAGTAAGGGGCGTTCAGGATTGTACGAATGGCGCGAAGACCGAGCTTGTGGCTGATGGGACGGCTCAAAACGACGGCGCAGATCAGCTCTTCGAAAGCAGACAGGGCAGACGAGGAGTAGGTCTTGAAGTCTGCACCTTGAGACTCAACCACAGAAGATTCGTCGTCGGGGCGGCAAAGCTCGGTAGAGGCGGGAGAAAGCAGGTAGTTCAGGAGTTGCTCGGTGGTTGGTGCAGCCTTCTGGGCGCCGCGACCAGATCTGCGCTCGCCTTCTCGGGGTGGGGGAATATCAACCTTGCGCTTCTTAGGCGGCTTCTTCCCGTCCACCTTGGTCTCGGGGGCAGCTGTCTCAGCATTGCGCTTCTTGGAATCGCTCTCTTCGGGTGCAGTAGTGGGCTCAGCATCAACTGCAGGTTGCGCCTCGGATGCTGCATCAGCAGCGGGCTCCTCAGCCTTGGGTTCCTCAGTCGTGGTTGCAGCTTCAGTGGTAGGTTGCTCGGTTTTGGTCTCTTCAGCGACAGATTCCTCTGTCTTAGGCTCTTCAGCAGCAGGTGCCTCCTCAGCAGGGGCTGCCGTCTCCTCAGTGGTCTCAGCGACACCATTGGTAGCAGGTTCAGCTTGAGGTTCTTTCTTGGCCTTGCCCTTGGGCGCAGCTTTGCCTTTTTTCGGAGGCATTGTGTGATGTATGAGAGTGTGGAGAGTGTGGAATGGAGAAGTGGATTGTTTACAGGGAGAGAAAAGAAAAGAGAAGGAGGAAATGCTGATACGAACAGCAGCAACGGGTGCTGGTGGCTGGCACCTACCCCAGACGAATCAATGTCGCACTCCCGCGGATGACCATGACATCAAAGGAGCAACCCGAAACGAATTCATGTCTACGTCTTTTCGAGGCTGAAACGAGTACGAGGTGGTATATAGGTTGTGCATGTAACCGAGCCTTCCAATCATTGTCCAGACTCGACTATCACACAGCAAGCACAACGACGAGGATGGAAAATGCGGCGGCTAGATCGATTCTTTTTGGTGAGACGCGCCGCGAAAAAAGATCTGGGGGAAGCTACAGCCATCAATCAACGGTTTGGAGCTGCAGTACCTCCCATAGCAACCGTCATTTTGTCATCACCTTGGCTGTCTGGGGATGATAAAGATTTTGATCAATGATTATCATCAGATGAAGCATATCTGTATCTCCGAGTTGAAACCATCGCATAATGGCAAAGTTTGCGCATAACGGACAGAGTACCAGGATGCTCCTTGCCCAAGAGCTGACTACGTCAGCGACTTAATCTACGCGTGTGCACATACAAGAACACGGCACAATCTGCCGGACTCTACAGCTCAGACTTCAGCTTTCTTTCGTAGCTCAATTGATACCATTCTTCTTGAGATAAGTCATAATCTTGCCGTCAAGCATGCCACCCAAAGGACCAAGGAAGAGAGCTGCCGATGCTGAGGCTTCGGCATCTCAAGCTAAGAGCACAAAGACCAATGCCTCAGCTACTGCTGGCGCGGCCTCGGACGAATCAGCTCAACAAGAACCAGATGTTCAAGAGACCCAATCTACCTCGCAAGCACCCAACAATGACTCTACCGACTCTGGCAGTGACGATCACGAGATGACGGAAGAAAAGCTCAAGCAAGATCCTCACGCCTACATCACGAACTGCCTCCCTCGTTTCGAGTTCAAGGACCGCTACAACAAAAAGCGCCAGGACGATGAAGATTATGACGAAGGAGATGGAGAAGCGGGCAGAGCCTGGGCCAAAGAACATAATGAGAAAAAATGTCCTTGCTTCGACAAGAGCCGTACTGACGGCTGGGCTATGATGCGAAAAGCCTTTACAAGGAAGATTGATGTTGAGACCATCGAGGTCCCACATCGCGACCCTGACTGCTTCGGCATGTACGTCTACAATGACTTTGCTGGTTATGGCTACCAAGAAGTTGTCGAGAACAACATGGCCGAGTTCAACAAAATTCTGAACAGCAAGAATGGAAAGACTGAAGAGCTTTGGACTATCCTCGAATCAATGCCAATCTGGCTTCTAGACGAGCCCAATGTTCCATGGCATATGATTGACGATGGCGAACGCTCATGGTTGACATACGGTCTGCTCGGCTTCATGCTCTTGGCCGGACTGAATCGCATTGATCAAGAGGGCGAACTGAAGCCCGATTCCAAGTACAAAGACCTCTCGCTGGTCATGTCGCTTTGGGCTAGAGTAGCTGATGATCTTGGCGGAGATACTGACGATCCTTTCGACGGTGTCAAGGGTGGTGGTGACTCTAGCCTCGGCGATTATGCCGGATTCAGCTTGCTTTGGTTCCGCTACCTTCTTGCTCTTGCAAAAGAAGCTGGCATTCCCATCAAGGGTGTCACACATATCGATGACAAAGTCGATGAATGGTTATCGCAAATCGAGGGTAAAGTAAAATTGCCACCTAAGAAGGCAGACCGGTTTGGCTGGAAAACAAAGGTTGGTAGTAATCTTGCTTATATCCTGTGGCCTATCCGCTAACAAGTCTCAAGTTCTCTAAATACACTAAATCATACGGAGCTGGCGGCAAGATCGGTGGAGAGCAATTCAAGATCACAAAATGGACTCGACAAGAGAGAAAGAAGCACGCTTTCGATAACGAAGATCCTTTGACTGATGAACAGATAAAGGCATTGAAAGATGGTCTGGTCTTGCAAATAATGTGATTTGCGACTTTCAGTTGTACGACTCGATATGGGAGGGACAGCGACCTTGGCGGTTGAGATTTTTACAAATGTCGCTATCTTGCTCAACTTTCATCGCAGGCGTCGCAAAGCCATAGCCATGTGTCTGGCCTTGATCATTGCCACGACTTGTATAAGCAAATTTGGCTCTGTTTCTGGACGAGCCCTCATTGATGTGACTCAGCACGCCTCGCTCGAGGTAATATAAATACACACTCCGATCTCCTTTCTTCTATCTCTTCTTCACCAACTTACAGTTTCCTCAACTCTCATCCAAGCTTTACTACAACACACAAACCACATCTACCAACATTCAAGATGAAGATCTCTACCTTCTTGACCTTCTGCCTGGGTATGGGTATGCAGCTGGCAACTGCCGCTCCCATCAACACCACCAACACCGACATCACCGTCGGCAATCCTCTGTCCACCAACCTTACCACCACCGCCGTCATCAACAGCGAACACGTCAAGCGCGACGGCATCAACTGGGAATGGTGGTGTGACTTCTGGTGGGAGCCAATCTGTGGCGGAAAACCACCGGCATCAGCATTCAACGCTCCTTTCAACGAGACCACTGGAGAATTTATCAACGTCACCACTGCAGAAATGTTCTTCGAGCTCTCCAAAACAAATCCTATCAAACGTCACCAACCCAGCTTCTGGAAAGTGCTGCACTCTCGTCTTTCGCCACAGGAAGAATGAGTGTGATACTCCAGAGCGGAATGAAAGCCAATACTATCAGAGATGTGGTTGGTGTGACAACTGCGTTCCTCCCCCTTGAAACGTTGGAGATGTTATTGACAGGAATTGTGCGTGGCATTCACAATAGTACTCGAGCTTTTGACTCGGTACGGGGAAAGTGCGGGAATCAAAATTGAAGGATAAGGATATTTGTAATACAAACAATCGAGGTCATGGTTTCGTCTACAAATTATATCGTGCCCCAGAAGTGTTCTCATTGTAGCTTCCTAAATTCGCTGAAATTCGATGATACTGCGAGGAGAAATGTAGCACAACGCCAGCAAGTTTGCTCAGCAAGACGATGCTCCCTCGAGCATAAAACACGAGCCGCTGCACCAACGCACAATGCTACTGACAAAGTTTCCACTGAGAAGCGACAATTGATTGGTCTTCTTCCATCTTCATATTCTCAACCCGCCTTGCTCCCGGTTCATAAGAAAACGATGACTCGAACTCCATTTCAAAGACCTCTTACTCCAAACCACGCATCACTCAAGCACCAGGAGGCTTTTCGGGCGAATCTGTGGGACTGACTCTCCAACATCTGCCATCTTTACCGCAACAGATGTTTTCTTTGCAGCTGGCAGACTCTTCCGGGAAGTAAGGCTGAATGGATGGCTTCGTGCGAGTAGAAGTTACTGATGTGGTTGGTGTAGTTGAAGTAGGCGTAATTGTGCCGACAAGCTCAGAGACGTCCCGAGCAGTCGATGCCGGCACAGCAACAGTGAGAGCTGCAAGGCTGGTGAGAAGGATAGCGAGTTTCATGTGGTTTATTATCGTGTGGAGATTCTGAACTCGAAAGGCTTGATCGGGGTTCGTGGCAGCTTGAGGAATAAGAGTTCGCAATAGCCTTGAGAGATCTGGTTTGTCGTTCGGATACAGGCCACTACATGCAAAATTCTGTCGGTCGTTGTGGGTTTGTCAGAATTTAGAAACCACCAATGAGAACTACCTCAATGGTGATAATACATAGGAACGCATGATAGCTTTAGTGTGCGGTTCGATGAGATAGAATTGCACGTGTTTGACGAAGCTTAAAGTTCTCGCATTTGTCTGCACTCGCTAGAGGATGATTGTACAATTGTAGCTTAGCCTTCGATCTACCAAGAACTCAGTGAGTGTCTTCACTGTTTACTGGGTCAAGGCAATCGGCAGAAAGTTGCGAGTCTTGCACACCGTGTCGGCCGTAGGTATACGAGAGATGCTCAAGACGGGGGAGGAGCTTGTCCTGAACGTCGTCTTCACGTTGAGGATGATTTGTGCCAATCTCTGTCATTCAGACAGCGACCGGTGAGTCTTGATTGGCACTCCGCATGCGGTCTGATCAGTGTGGTTATGATAGCTCGTTCAGACCGATCTGTATCTTGGCTACTCACCAGAAGGAGCGAGCCAAGCTATGCGCAGGGCCAACAGAGTCTAAGCTTCATGTTGGTTGTTCAACTGCTTAATGCATGAATGTCAATCAGTAAGCTGCGCCTGGCGAGGCGTGTATGCGCCTTCCAGATTGTGCCTCAGTGTCTCAAAACAATCGCGAGCAAGCTGCAAGGTCGCCTATCAACAGCCATACTCAGCGACTGTTATGTCTATCCTGTATCTCTGTGACGATGCGATGAATCGAACTTGAGAAAGAGGAAGAAGAAGGATTGTACACTACCAAGATGAATAGATTGAAATGCTTGGCGAGCCAGGTCAGCAAGGGTCTGTTACAGTATTACTCCACATTCCTCGGATAAAAATAGACTGGCCTTCTTATAGCTGATCCTTGGTGCGTATTTGTTGGGTTGAAGGAATACAGAAGGAATCGTGCAAGAGCCGCCAGTGTTGCAGTGCTCGTAAGCAAATATGCGTACAACATCCGCTCCAGCTTGGCAGTTCACTCAGAGGCCGAGTGCATGGATTGACGACGGACTCACGTTTCTCTCAAGAGGATATATAATAAGGGCCTTTTCTCGAAGACCTACCTCGATTATATCTCCTCACTTTCGCAACTTACCATTACTTGAATTGAAGTATACCAGCCATTAACAACCGGCATCATGGTCAACATCACAGCTTCTCTCATGACTCTCCTAGCAGTCACCTCTTTCGCCGCAGCTGCACCCGCTCCGATCGAGCCTCAATCAGAGGTCTCCACCAACTTCTTGGAGAAGCGTGCTGTTAGCTGCAGAGACGATGGTCCCAAAGGCTGGAAAAGAGGATCGGTATGAAGTATCATGCCAATCACGGGCTTCAGAGGGTTGCTGACACAGATCACCACAGTCTGCAGATGCAGCAAGATGCATCACCGAACTTGCAGCACTCGGAAGCCAGGATTGTACGGCTTCTGTCTCCGGCACGCTTTTCAAGAAGTGTGGAGACACTATCATCCACGGCCAGAATGTTTGTGCTCCTTCAGAGGGATTGACAGCAACAGCAACCTGGTATGTTTTCAACACAGCAGCTTTGTGTGATTCTGGTCGCTGACTTTTTGATAGCCAGGAGGCTGCGCGTGGTGCAGGTCTTATCATGGATCAATGCTCCAGAGGTGATGGTACCGTGATGGGCGAGAACCATGCCTGGGCAAGCAGATGTCTTCTGATCCACATCCTTGCCGAGTAAATTTATCTTTCCGGATCCTGAGTGACATGGTCGAACTGGAGTCTACAGTTGAAACATGAGACCATTTGGAATGACAAGAACAAATATTGTGATACTCTCTGGATCTTACTCTCACGTATCAATAGGTAGACATGACCGAAGATCGCGATCAGCCGGGATCCCATGCCTTGTCAATAGCTTTCCCTTGAGTGATAGATACAAATGTTTTGAGAAATATTTTGTGCACCTTACCGCAACAATAGCATGTTTCGATAGTAAAGCTCGAATGAAGAGAAATCCCTGTACGTGGAAAAGGTAATCAAGCAAGGCATGCTGGTTAGCTTTTGTATGCAAGGGAGACTTTTCATTCAATATATATACTAAAAGTTCCAGACCCCTGCCTTCTGAAAACCTTTTAGTTGAACACATAGGAATTTGGAATAAAAAGTCTTTACAGGATGCTAGGGTATAAAGTTGTACTTTAGAAAGAAGTCCTATCACGATAGAGATCATCATTGACTAGAAAGAAATGAATCTGTACCGGAAAATATTGTCGTCGTTGTTATCATCGTTTTCTTATCGACGTCGACGTGAAACATTTGCCGGGTTTTGTCGAGAAACTGAGCGGACTAAGATTCGACGAGCTTCTCGTCGACAACCTGGACACTTGAAACACATATCTTGCTCTTCTTGAACGTAGCCACTATCATCACAACTTTGCAACTTGCACCACCGCACGTAGTATCTCTATGACACCAGAACTGTTCCACACTAATATTCTTCTAGCAGTCCCTCCAACATGGCACGCACCAAAAGAAAGCCAATCCAGCTTGCTACACCTCCACGCGCAAAACCTTTGTGGTTCGAAGGTCTTAGTAGCCGGGACATTGACCACCTCACTTATCTCATCGAGTCGGGAATGGACAAGAATAGAGTCAAGATTGAGCCTGGTGAGTCTTTATTGCAGACCCGAACTACCTTTGCACGAGATCAGCCATATACTAATGCCGGGCTTGAAGACACCGCCACACATGCCGAGCTCAGCATGGCCAACTCTCAGACTGGCTCTGGACACGAAGATGTCGCTGCAGCCATACAAGACTCTACCAGCACCCACGAGCTCCCTGACGAGCAAGAAGAAACAGACGAAGAAGGCCACACCGTAGACGAGAACGATGTTCTAACTTTCGATTTCGGAACTGCTTCGCCTGCCGTCGAGGAGCCTCCAAGTAAGTTGACGTCCCTCACCATCCTGTACATAAAGGATCTTCGAGGCGCTAACCATCTTCAGCCACGGCACGAGTCTTTCTCAAATGCCGCAGATGTCAAAACACATTTGCGCGCCACTACCAACTTGTGGCTCACTTCTGGGAAGCACACCTGGAGCAGGAGAATGTGGACTGGTTGCCAGGACCCGTTCACAGCCGTCAAGAGGAGATCGTGCAGGAACTCATCGGATCCTTTGTTGACTACGAGAGCTCAGCTGGACTCCCTCCTCCTGTCCTCACCCAGCCTTCACCTCCTCAAGGCCCTCCAGCTGCAGCCCGCATACCCTTTTCGCGTCCCCCTCCCTCTTATGCAAGATCGCAGTCGAGTATGATGAGTGTTTTCACCATCGGCAACCATGCTACCACCAGCGGCTCGCCAGGCAACAATGCTCGTCGTCTACTTGCTCCTGATCGGCCTGCTCAGCCTATACTTCCTCAGCCTGCCATGCCCTCTGCCACGCCTGTTTCTGCAGCCGCTGCTCAAGCATTCCCTCCTGGTGCCTTGGAACCGGACCAACCCTTCAGACTTGGCCAGCCCGCCCCACTCGGTATCAAGCTGCCAACCAACCGCAGCATGACTACTTTCAAATGGGAAGTTTACAAGCGCAGAGGAGGTTCGAGCGCATTCAACTGGACCGACAAGAAAGACATCAAGCTTGCAAATCGCTGGCGCTCCCGTGTTAGCCAGGCCACCTTCAGAGGTTTGGGCATCAGACTCGATCGCCGCAAGAAGAGTGCCGCTGTTGCTGAGGTTGATGACGACGAGGAAACTGAGGACGACGAAGCTCAGGCGGAACAGGGCGGTGGGGAGATGGACACCAGAGAGGAATAGGACAACAGTTAAGGAGAATGAGGTCTAGAATGGGTCCATGGAACGTTCGCTGCGCAACTCTTGCCAGCCTCTGAGAGCCAACTCAGCGCTTTCAAAAAGATTCTCAGAAGGAAATTGATACAATAGTCACAGCCGCAGCAGCGCAGCTGGTGTTCTCAAAAGCATACTTTACATAGCTCAATGCACCCAAAACCTTGCCGTCGTTACATCGGCTAAGGTCCGGTTGTTTTCAATGCATCAATCTTTCTGCATAGTCGTCGGATAGGAAAGTGTAACGTGTGAAGCAAATAATTGTCGCTGTTTCGACCGGAGACAAAGCGATAAGGTTCTTGGAAGCCCGGATCAGGATATGGCAACAGTGTCTGGACAGATGCAGATGAATACGGAAGAAAAGTATAAAGAACAAAGATGCCATGACAAGTTGTTGATGGGACAAAGCAAGGAATGTGCCACAGATTGGAGTTTCCCCTTTCTCCACAACTTCTTCCGAGATTCTTCCTCGCTCGACGACATGCCTTGCAGAGCTCGAATTCATATCAATAGTCGCCCGGACTACTAGTGTCTCAAAAACCTCGCGAAATTCATGGCCTGAGATGTTCTATCTACCTGATTTGCTCATATAGCCTGGGTCCTTTGATTCAACTAGCCAACGAGTAAAAGAGAGGTATGGGCAAGTCAGAGGACCACCGAACGATGCATATACTTAGGCGCGGCACGATAACTTGGTAACAGCAATGGAGCACTCCTTTGATGCTCTCAAGCCCGAGATGCTCTGCGCTCATACATGGGGGTGCGAGTGCGAGAAGGAATCGGGACACAGTAGTAAGTGCATGATTCCACAAGACTTCAAATAGTATGATTAGAAAGAGAAGGCTTGATGGTGAACAACAAGTTGACACGGATCTTCTTCAAGAGCTAGAACATGGGTCTTGCCTATGGCACTTTCTGGTTTAGCAACACTAGTCGAGAGCCAGAAGTTCAAGGGTGAAGCTGGTGAGCCGAGTCTTCTCGGAGCAAAAGAAAGCTTGACCGACCTGGCTTATGGGTCGAGAGCCTATGATAGAAGAAGATGCAGAGCAAGGAACGAGGCCGTAGAGATGGCAGTCTAAGGTAGGTGACAAGGCGTAAGAGAGGACCGGTCTGTCCATCATGCAGTCAACAAGATTTTCTCCCAAGTGGCCCACATGCCCCTGGTCGTATCATGCATGATGTCTGCGAGCGAGAAAATTGAGTCTTGGCGCTATGTCGGTGATTTCGTCGCTGCAGATTCGCTCGTATATGGTTGTTCGCAGCTTCGCGGTTTCCTTTCCATCAACCACTCTCATCGCAACGCAACCACAAACCATCACACCTCTCATAGAACTGCCTTCATCATCCCTGTAGACATCAGAAGAGTATAACCATCGGAGACGCGCTTTTGGTACGTGATTTTGTGTTCGCGCACACTTTACCCCTGACGCACCTCCATCGACTTCCTCCTCGCCCATCACACTTTCACGCAATCACTCACACTCCCTACAGCGTGCATCTGAACCGTCTCTGTCCTTCTTCCTACACCCATTGCACGTGAAATTTGCACCCAATATGGACGATCAAGTTATCGCTCCGACTGGAGCCGATCAAAACAATGGCCTTGTCACCACCACGGCCACTACAACTTCTACTTCCACCACCACTCAACTTCGTCGCTCACAGCGTCTCATTGAGAACCAGAACCAGAACGGTCAAACTGCTACCACAGGCCCACCTCGCGCAACACGCGCCCCACGTCCCATCGACCCCGTCCAGAGAAGGAAGAAAGGTCAGTAAACCTCCATCTTCCTGATCATGTTTCATCCTTGTGCACTTGATATATACTCTCTTGAATGGCTTCAAGGAAATCGCTAACATCTATCAGCATGGCCGCAATTGTGGGAGCCCTGGCGCATCGAGGCAATCGCTACCTACCTGCAAATGTCTGGTCCCGAAGCTGTTGAACGTCTGAGAACCACGTTGGATGAACTCTGGAAGACAGATCCCCAACAAGCATCTGTCTACGAAGACGCCTTGCCGGTCTACGATGCAAGAGTTCGTGCTGCCAAACCGAATGCCGTTGCTGCCCCTGAAGCAGGGCCTTCCTCACAAAACAACGACACGGCTGCCCCTGAAGCTGAAGAAACTGACTCGGAAAGCACTATCTCTGCCCACGGGACCCAGATCACCTTCAATGACAGACCTGTCGCATCTGCTGATCACGAAGCTGCACTGACTTTGATGAGCTTGAGATCTGCCGGCAACACTCAAGACTACATCGGGTATGGGGCTAGTGAGCGCTTGAAGGGTCTGCAACCTTTCAATCCAGTGGATGCACCCACCACCACAAGCAAAATCCTGCCTCTGGACGGCATATTTGAGACCAACGTCACTGGCGAAGGAGTGCTCCCCCCTGTGCGCACTCAAACTCCCGATGTCCCCGGTGTCTCCACTAGAGGGAAGGGCAAGCAGCCGGCCACTTACAGTACTTTGACCACCTCGCCCAAAAACGACGATCCAACTCTCAAGAATGCCAACAACATCTCCAAGGCACTCTCAGAAGTCAGCAGATTCGTCAAACCGTTGACTCGTTCTACCAAGCCTACGGGCAATGTCATTCCAATTACTTGCAAACCTCGCTCGTCTCGCACTTATATCATCGACAAGGATGCGATCAAGATCGTGGAGACACCCACTATCTTGCGTCGCAGCAAGCGCAAGATCACCCATGATTCAGAAAACGAGGATACTGTTGTTGATCTCACTGGTCATGACCGCCCTGCCTCGCCCAAGAAGCCGAAGGCCAGCTGCAAGAAGGGAGAGACCGTTGAGGAGTCATCAATGCTGCTTCGCTCAAAGCGTAAGGTGATTCATGTTGAGGAAGTAAAGAACGACAACCCATCTTCCCCTGAGGAGAACACCGAAAAATCAACCAAGTCTCCTGACAAACAAGTCACTCAACAACGCACCCTGAGGCGCCGCAGCGCGCGCAAGATTGTTTACGACTCAGACGACGAGGCTGAGGCATTCTCGACCAACATCAAGAGCACAGCTGGTTCCCAGAAGGTCAAGAAGGAAGAGGCCGAGGAGAAGTCGCCTGTATTGCGTCGTACCAAGCGCAAGTTGACTCGCGTCATTGAAGATGAAGATGACGACTTCCCTCTCCCTGACGATGATCTTCCCACCCCCAAGAGATCCAAGAAGGCTGTGAAGAAGGTCACGAAGGATCTAGCTGATGAAGAAGACTTCGATGACTCCTCCCCCGAAGATGTTCGTCCTACACCCAAGAATTCCTGGAAAGCTATCAACAAGTCAAACGAAACTTCCATCGATGAAGACGAGGATGATAATGATGACGACGAAGACGAAGAAGAAGGTGCTCCTGTCAAGAAGCGCAAGCAAGCTACCAAGAAGGCAACTTCGACCCTTGTCCACCCTCCCGCCAACCTCCCTCTCAAGGCTCCTGCAAACCACCCTGACATTCCTGACGGCGCTCTCGCCCTCAACGAGCACTTCAAGAAGAACACTCCTCGTCCCCTCGGTGTTCAGCTTCCTATCAACAGAAACCGCACCAGATGGGAATGGATTCCTTACAACACCCGCAAGGTCGCCAACGCCAACTTTGACTGGGCAGACGACCAGCAGCGCAAGGACGCCAACCGCTTCCGTCAGCAGCGCATTCGTCGTCGTCTTACTGAGCACGGCTACATTCACGATGGCCGCAAGAACCACTGATTGGCCTGATCTCCTTTCCTTTGCTCGGCACAAAGAACGTTCTTGGACTCGGCTCGGACGCATTGGGCCACTTTCGCTTTGTCAATTTTTCTTTGTTCTTGGGTTTCTCTTCTTTTGTGATGGATTGATGGGTATGCATGGCAGCACAGCATTGATTATTGAAGCATGAATACGAGGAGAATGACTATGGAAGACACGAACGCGGCATGGGCATGGGCATGGGCAATTGAAGCATGATTAAGCGAAGCACGATTAACAAGGTATTGATCACGAAAGCATCATGGAGCACGAATGGAAAAAGCATGGGCATGGCGTACATGAATAGGTAACGAGCATACCCCAAACAAAAGGAATACAAGGAGTATCTGTTACAAAAGCTCAAGTCATAATCATCAAGGCCCTGTTCCACTCAGATGACCGTGAGGTATCTTTTTTGGAATCAAGGCCGTTTTTTAAGTCTTCGTACGTGACCGAATGTATACTTTGATCTCTTCTGGAACGCCAAAGACACCAGATGTCTGCTTCAGATCCTCCTCGGGATGGACCAGTTCAATCTAGATCTCGTCAATCAAGTACTCATCTGCAGGGGATTTAGTCAAAAGGTTATGTAGTGACTTACATCAAAATTCATGATCAGAGCTGGTATGACTTTCTTCATCTCCATCCAAGCAATGTGCATTCCAAGACATATGCGCTTACCAGCCGAGAAAGTGAGATTTGCACGATGCATCAAGACTCGTTGTTCTTCAGAGGCCTCGAGCCAGCGTTCTGGTCTGAATGCTTCGACATCTGAGCCCCAGATGCTAGTATCTGTATTCAGGCCCGCCGTGTTTATGGCGACAATTGTGCCTCTAGGAATTGGCATTCCGGCAATCACGGCGTCGTCGCTGTTCACAACACGTTCGCCCATGATGTTGGCCGATGGCTTGAGGCGTGCGGATTCCTTGATGCAAGCGTCCAGATAAGGTAGCTTTCGCAAGGCAGTCGTTTCCGGGAGCTCCCAGTCTGTTTCGGTCGCTGGCATGATGGATTGCAGTTCTTCTCTGAGCTTGTCGTGTACACGTCTATTGCTGAGGATGAGATACATGCATATAGCCGAAGTGTATGCAGTAGTCTCTGCTCCTGCATGGATAGTTGTCATAGTAAGACCAAGTATAGTAGATGGTGTGTAGAGCTGCGGATCCTGTCTGCCAGATTCCATGTATAGATCTAGCAAATCGTGATGAATGCCCAATCCTCCTTTCGTCTTACGATCCTGAACGACCCGTAAGGCCAATTTTACTAGGCCTGATGGCGCTGCTGTCTTGCGATTCTTGACGAACCAGTTCTTGTACAACAGTGCGTCCAGCCAGGGAATGGTCCAGTAAAAGTTCCAATGATCAAATCTCCGCTGTGCTGCCTTACCTGCGCCACCGATATCTTCTTGTTGTCTCATGAACCCTTGGTCTTCGCTGAAGCCAATGCGAGTGATTGTGTCGAAAGCAAACCACGCGAACCAAGGAGCGAGATCAGTGGTTGGTCCGACGTTGCGTAGATGACTTATCAGTTCGGACACCGTATGATCAACATGAGATTCGTATCGCAGAACACCGCTAGGACTGAAAGTTGGGTGCAGAAAGCGCTTGAGCCGCGCCGCCTTGTCGTCGTCGGTGATGGCAATAAAGGAGGCAACTTCGCTACCATTGACAAACACCTTGAGAGGATCATAGTTGCTAGCCTATAGGAATCTGTTAGAACCTCTAACATCCATTGACACTGAAAAAGTCAAGTCTGTCTACGGACCTTGGGAAGGATGTTTGATGTTGGAAGTACAGAATGCACGGCGGAAATGTCGCTGAACATGACTCTGTTGGGTCCATAACGTTGAACGGGTCCGTACTTCTGATGAAGTCTTTTTCTGACATCGTAGAACTTCTCCTTGCTGTTCATGCGTGTCATAAGCCAAAGGTTCGTCCATGCTGCAAGGAATGGCCCAGGTATGTGTCGAAGACGCCAGTATTGTAGTACTGAAGAGAAGACTAGATATACTCCAGTGGTACCAAGAAGAAACAGGATCAAGTTTAGAATATGAGGTTGATCATAGGTTGGCGTGAGTGCGAACATCATGCGAGAAATCTAATTGTACGTGATTGCGGTGAAATGAAGGATTGTGAGCTTGGGGAAGAGACGCGGCTTTATGTTCTCGGCTGATCAGCATCCTACGCTTGTATCAGGATTTCAAATGACCGTCAGCGTCAGCATTTAATATAATCTCCAGAAGGCCAAGCACAAGGATGGTATACCTCGTTCCGCACGCGAGGGAGTACGATGGATTCGCATTCATGTCGGCACACAAGCTCATGCGATTTCCATGCCTTACATACCGCCTAAGCTAGTTTGAGATGAGAAGAATACACTGAACACGATGAGTCGGTGGCACAGGAGCTTGTTCAATCCTTCCCCAGGTGATCTTCAAGTTTCCCCGCAACCTTATTTTTCACACGCGGTAAGGTCTTGCACTCTTGGTCATGTCGCTCGTACCGAGTGCGAGGAAGCTCAGGTTGATGAACGACGTCTTACGGTATGGAGGTAAAGGTGACAGAATAATCAGTCGAAAGATGAGAGTAAATCATGGTTTGTGTGGTTTGGTGGACTGTTGGCTTTCGCTTCATGGTTCCTGCTTCTTTACCCCGCTCTGACCCATTCGAAGTGCTTCACAATGTATTGATAGGTGTATCATAGACATGAAAAGACAATGAACCTGGAATCACCAGCATGAACTGCACTCGTAGAGGCAGCAGCTGATCAAAGATTCGTTACTCGCTTGAAGTGTTCCTCGATTCTTTTCCACACGCACAGTTGCACACACAGATCTTGCAGTTCTCATACGGAGTCCACCATTGATTCTCGTTGGAGAGGACGATTTTCGGCAGGAGGTCTCTGTGAGGCAGTCATACAGAAGTCGACAGTCATGTAGGGGCATAAGTCGTTCCTTCCTGGGCGATCCAACGCGCCTTGATCAAGGTGGGAAGATATGTCTAGGGCTTTGACTATCCCTGCTTGTATCACAAGTCAGATGATTCGAGGTGATTTCATACAGTCTTTTCTTCCTGGACGGGAAGACTGACGGGATTATCAACACCATTTCCAGCGGTTGTACTTATCACTAGTTCAAAGCTGTAGGATCGACGTCTACCGAGCTGCCCATTTCCTGACACTCGTTATAGAAATTCTGACTTTATTGTGCTCGATCATCATGTCTAGCGATGATCAGAACCTCAATACCTGCATACCAAGTGGCCACACGATTTCGCCTTGGATATAATCACTTCGTGGAGCAAGACAAAGCAACTAGATCTAGACTTAGTCGGTCCTGAGGACAAAGAATTGATGTACAGGATAACGATAAAAAGTATGATGACCGGATGCGTCGACAGCCCATTGTCTTTGTTCTGGACGACACCCAATGCTGTATGCTCTATCAAGATGTATTGCATCTATAACTCTAGCCTCCCTCTCAAGTACACGATTTCCAATTAGTCCATCTATTCACCATCTCGCCATCATGGATTCACCAACATTTCTATCTGGCCGACCTAGCAAGAACACCCTTCCAATGACGGGCAAGGAGCATGCGGTAAAGTTCGGAGATTCTCGAGTCTCGCTTCTGGATGTGTTGAAGAAAGCGCGACCGTATGAGATTACCACTCAAGCTTTGGAGGAGAGAGCTGAGTTAGAGCCTAGTGGGCCCGTTGCGGGTAAGCGATGATCCTTTTAGAAAAGGATATCTTGAGCTGGGACTGACATTGCATAGGTGACCAACCCTTGAAAAAATTCACCGAAGAGGATTGGTACCGTATTCGCGAGGATGCCTTCCACACACCCGTTCCACCTGCTGAGATAAAGCGCAGAGAACAGCAATCTGCTCGTGATCAGAGGGCTCAACGTCGTTCTCAGAAACAGCCGGTTGCGCCGCAAAGTGGAGGAGTTCGCCGCTCAAGTAGACGTCAGAGCAGAAAAGTTGCTTATGAGGCTTCCCCTCCCGACAACCCTTCTTCCGAGGACTCCCAAGATTCGTTCGTAGCAAGCTCTGGGTCTGAGGAATTCTTGCCCCCTCGCCGTGGAGTCAACCGCAAGCGCACTGTCACTTTCAAAGACACTAAGGAGAAGGTTACCGAGCCAGTCACCAGACGCACACGTAAAGTTCTTGCTGACAGCGACGACGAGATGGCTGAAGCAACTGGCAGTCGCAGTCGTTCTAATACTCCCGTGCCCCCTATCAAGAAGCACAGCAAGCATGGCACGACCTTGGCAGATAGTGATGAAGAGATGGGTGAAGCATCTATGAATCGTTCCCGCTCTCTCACTCCACTGCCACGCGTCAGAAAGCGCAGTACGCGTCGTACAACTTTGGCGGATAGCGATGATGAGATGGGTGGGCCGTCTGTGAGTCGTTCTCGCTCTGTTACACCTGCGCCTGCGGTCAAGAGGCGCAAGGTTGAAGGCAAGCAGCGTGTTACTCTTGCGGACAGCGATGATGAGATGGAGTAGAGGGTGTTTGGATACAGCTGATAGGGACTTGACCTCGAGGTGCATCTGGCGAGAAGTACGAGCCAAGGCCATTGCTTGTGGGTGACGAGGGTCGAGGCCGATGTAAGCTTTATTCTTGAAGATGCTTTGAGTGAGGAAGGTTCAGTTGATATTGAAACCATTAGAACACAGCTTTTGTAGACATTCAAGGCCAAGAATTGATTATCATATGGCGAGTGACTCGAATAGGTCTTTGAGTGAGGCTGGCCCATGTGAAGTTTGGCCTCTTGGGATCTTTGGCGCTGTCGAGCCTACCTTCGCTTTCAACAGACGATAGTATGATCTTCTCGGCCATCTCGAAATTGAAACCCGTACCACGACTTTTACTTTCTTGTGCTACAATTTTCTGGTCATTGTCTTTGCTGGCTTCCTGGCCTTTCTCATATTGGAGAATTTCAATGATTGCTAGAGGTTCGGAAGTGTTGTGTGAAAAATTCGGTCTTCCGCGATGAAATAAGACCAAAGATGAGATGGAAAAAGAGGACAGAAGAGGAAGCTTACGGGGTTTCTTTGTGATACTGTTCTCGGACACTTACCCCGTTGCCCTGCCATAATTGCTTTGTAATCTGACTTTGTTGTTGGTCTATAGTCTCGCAGATCATTGGTTGTGTTTCTGATGTGACAACATTCTTGAGAAGTGCAGTATTTCCTCCCGGTGCTTCGGAGTCCGTGACTTTCATCGTACTCTGCTTGCACCGGTAAGCTAAATTGTACATTATAATAAGACACAAATGCCCTTGGAGAAGGAGAATGTCCATCGAGAGGATAAAATGTCATATCTCAGTGGACATCTTCCTGTTTTGTCATAGTATTATGCATTTTCATAGCTACAGGAAGTAGAAGATGGAGAGTGGAGATGTGAAGTCGAGCTCGAAGCCTCACCGCCTGGCACGGGGCCTCGGCACATGTTTCGACCGATTCGATGCTCGTGCACCAAACATTCGAGGGGCTGCATCATCACCAAGTCCATCTCCTTTCACAAGACCATAGACGCCTTTTGCGTCGCAGTGCCGTCGAGATGAAGTCAACAATGAAATACCTACTGCTACTCGCATTGTCCATCTGCGCATGCGCGACAACACACACATCCAACTGGGCCGTCCTCGTTTCCACGTCTCGTTTCTGGTTCAATTACCGTCATCTGGCAAACACCCTTTCTCTTTACCGTACCGTAAAGCGCCTCGGCATTCCCGATTCGCAGATCATTCTTATGCTTCCTGACGATATGGCATGCAACCCTCGCAACTCATTCCCTGGCTCCGTTTTCAACGACAAGTCCCGCGACTTGGATCTCTACGATGCCATGGGCAGTGGTATCGAGGTCGACTACAGGGGCTACGAAGTCACAGTCGAAAACTTCATCAGACTGTTGACGGACAGATGGCCAGAGAGTTGGCCCAGGAGTAAGAGATTGATGACAGACGACAGGAGTAACATCTTGATTTATATGACTGGACATGGAGGAAACGAATTTTTGAAGTTCCAGGATGCCGAGGAAATCAGTTCGCATGATTTGGCTGATGCTTTTGAGCAGATGTGGGAGAAGAAGAGGTGAGATGAAAACGTCACAACCATATCCAGCACAGCTGACAGGTCAATCACAGATACAACGAATTGCTCTTCATGATCGACACTTGCCAGGCAAACACCATGTACGGCCAGTTCTACACGCCGAACATCATCGCCACTGGCTCTTCAGCTCTTCACCAATCCTCGTACTCCCATCACGCCGATCAAGATGTCGGTGTTGCAGTCATCGATCGTTGGACCTACTACAACCTCGAGTTTCTGGAAGAGCAGATTGGTTCTACAAGCAGCAACGTCACTCTGGGACAACTCTTCGACTCATACGATCCTGTCAAAGTTCACTCTGATGCAGGTATCCGCTACGATCTATTCACCGGCGGAGAACAAGAAGCAAGAAGCAGAAAAGTCGTCGACTTCTTCGGCAACGTACAAGGTGTCGAGGTTGATGGTTCAAAGAGTGGAGAAGATTCTCTGGCAGAATGGAAGGCAGATCTCCAGGCTCTGAAAGCATTGATGGACAAGTCGAGGGACATGATGCGGGATCTTAACAACATCACTACCGATGTCGATTATGCTGAAGCAACCGTCTCTCCATCGCAAGCCGAGGAACACGCTTTCGGAACTGCGAAACTCTTGGATCAAGCCTCTACATGGAGCAAACAAGCCATTGGTGGCGCGGCTCTGCTCGCTCTTGGCGCCCTCTGGACTCTCAGCTCTGTTTTTGAGTGAGGCTCATACCTTTACAGTAAGGAAACCATGAGACATACCTGGATCGAACGATTCGTCGGATCAAGGAGTGTTTCCCAGGCATTCTGCCATACACGAGACTATGGAGCTCGGAAGTACCCTGGAGAGCAGAGTCACACCCACTGAAGCCATTTTCTTCCTTCCATCACTCTTGCTTGGAACCAAAGGTCTTCATCGCACCATCGACTCCACTCATCCATCTAGCAGCCCTCTGTAACGACACAGGCAACACACCCAACCACTCAATCAACCACGCATATACCGGCATGCACAAAACACCATCTCTACCATCCTCAACCATCTCCACAATCTCTGTTGCCAGATCTTTCGCTTGCACCACTGGGCCAAAAAAGTCTGATGGAGACTTGAGCGTCGAAAACATTGCCGTGCTCAACTGGCCAGGCTTGACCAGTATCGTCTTTGTGTTTTCCGCACCTGGGTAGTCGGTTTTATTGCCAGCCATCTGCTTAATCTCAGCACGTAAAGAGGTGTGGAAAGCGAGAAGTGCGGCTTTGGAAGCTGTGTAATCTGTGAGATGTGAAGCACCTAGATGTCCCAGCACAGATGATACAGTGACGATTGTACCGCCGGAAGGAGAAGCAAGCATGCCAGGTAGAAACGAGCGACAGGCGTGGAAATGGGAAAGCGTGTTTATGGAAAAGCAGCGAGAGATTTGGGCGGAAGAGAGGGAGAGGAGGGGTTTTCCGTTTACGATGCCGGCGTTGTTGATGAGGATTGTGGGGGTTCCGAGCTGTTGGTGGTTTATATCAGTATTTCGCTCAAGTATCAACGGAAAGTCATAAAGTGATTGCTCTGTCTTTTCAATCCGACATGGAAATCGAATTGACGTGAAATGATAAAAGGAAACAGCGTACTACGTACATCATTCTGCACTTTCTTGTAAGCGGCATCCACTTCCTCGGCATCGCCCACATCAACTTTATACCACTTGATTCCCTCATCGTCATCGTCTTCGTTCCACTCTTCATGAGCTTTGATATCCCACACCACCACTTCTGCACCTTTGAGTTGCAAAAGCCTCGCAACCAACCATCCCAATCCCCCTGCTCCTCCCGTCACAACAGCAATCTGGTCGCTCCAGACAACCTTTCTGGCTTTTCCGTGGCCTAGGCGTGTGTTCAAGGCAGTAGTAGCATAGAGCAATGTATACCACACGGCAACAACAATAGGAGCGAGAGGAACAGCAGAGTTTATGACTAGGATGGAGAGGGTGTAGCCGATGCAGAGGGAGTAGATGTGGCCGAGAGGAGGAAAGACGATACGGGTTAGGTGGAGGAGGTAATCGAGACTTAGGGAGGGGGTGGTGGGGAGGGGGGAGAGGGTTAGGAAGTACAGGATTGTTAGAGACAGGAGGGTGAGCAGGAAAGTGAGGTTGACGTAGGCAATGGAGATGGGGAGGTTGGAGGGGAGATTGGCGAGGATGTTTGGGAGGGTGGTTAGTGGATCTGGCATTGCGCTTTGGTTTGTCTGGTTTAAGAAGTGTAATTGGTGGAGTGAGAAAGTCGATGAAATCCACTTTGTAGTTTCCTGGTAGTGGATGTAAATAGACGTAACTGAAGTTCGTATTTGATTCACTTCTGATGATATTATGTCGATGTTTCGAATTCTCGATGGTCGCGTATGGGGAAAGCGCGGTTGCTGATTGTGGCTGACTAAGCACAAATACGACCTAACTTGGTTGTATCGAGCTCAAAGATGTGTCTTTATGTTGACATCAGTTGTTGTACGGCCAAGCCATTTATCATTTTGGAAAGGTGAAAAGCCAGAATTGAAATGCTGAGTTTGGTACCATGCGATGTCCGTGGAAGAACCTGTGAAGCTTGACTTCCGAATGTGCTTCAGATAGTCTGAGTGTAGCTGCAGAAATGCACAATGCTTTTGTGAAAACCATGGCCTCCACAGAAAGGAATCATCACAGGCTTTCTCACATTCAGATTGCAATTGTGTGTATTCGAATTTCTTGACTCGAGATGTTCCAAAAATCTATATCTTCCCGACCACCCTGGCTTCGGTAATGAAGCTTCGCCGCATTCAGGAACGCCAATATGGCTTTGTATACGGCCTCGGATGCTCAACAAAGACGAGAGGGGTATGAGGGGCTAGAGAAGAGTTTGTTGCTCCTGTAGTCGAAGCAGGTGATAGTACGAGAGGCATGTGGTGGTGTTATTGTTTGTCGGGAGTGGTCAGGAGGTCGAATGGGTCCTCATGCCGGCGGAACGATTGACGATTGGTCCGAGCCGCATCCCACATGTCCGTCATTGTTCGTGACCCCTCCATGCCCGCTAGCATCATTGTCTTGTATACATCTCGCATCATTTCGCCTACCACTTCAAATCTCTGAGCTTGCAACCCGCAGCTATACAACCGTCATAACCAGAAAGAACAACCTTTTGCGACTACCAGACTCGTCAGCGCATCCCGCTCTGAACAGCAGTCGCCACTCGCACAGCTTCGCTCGAAACGTTTCCTACACCACACAAACTCGCCTTCGCCGCCATCGCAACAGACACATACTCTGCCTGATCGACTTGAACCGACTACCGGTTCTCTCCTTCCCCACTTCTCCCCAGTCGGCACTGCCCATACACCTTTAAACACGCCTTGATCCCCAGTGATCATCGCGAGGTGTCGCAGAGCCAGACCATTCAATCCCGGCACATGAGCAGCCATCTGTGGAAGTACTACCTTCAGGATGATGTCGATCGCTTTCGGCATTTACTCGAGACGGCCTCGTACAATGTCCGTCCACACCAGAACAGGGCCCAGTCCATGCAGTCCACCGCCGCCGTGAGCTCGAGTCCTGGTACCTTGAGTACTTCGCCTACACTCACCGCAAAGGCACGCAAGCCTTCGACCTTTTCACCACATGCAGGAAACATCCCTCCCCTCACCAAGGCAGACATCAACTGGCGCGATTCGAATGGCATGACCCTACTCCACCATGCCGCATCCTCGACATCCGAGAATGCTCTCGAATTCGCCCAAGCTCTTGTTGAGCATCCTTTGATCGACCTCTATCTACAAGACGCCGAGAATGCATGGACCGCCCTACATCGCGCCTTCTACTTTGGTAACATCACTATTGCTCGCGCAATTCTCGAGAGGGATACCTCAGATGCTCTTGGTAGAGGAATAGGAGGAGGTCTGGTCAAGATCAAGGATCGCGAAGGACTTGGTCCCTTGGATCTATACGCTGCGACAATCAAGGATCGCACTTTACGACCTGAAGGACAAAAACGACCCAGAGCTGGGTCCGATGCCAGTGAAGAGGAAGTCATCATGAATGACGATGATGATCAAGAGGTTAGAACACGAGTCATTGAATTTGCGACAAACATTTCCGGCGACGAAGTCTACACTTTCGGAAGCAACAAGAATATCACTCTAGGCTTCGGAGATGAAGATGATCGACAATACCCGGAGCGCATAACTCTGAAACGACCTGATCACTTGCTGCAGCGATTCTATCGCGAATACGTTCGAGAATATGAAAAGACGTGGGCCACGTTCGACCCCGTCATCGCGCAGACAGGCCACTCTGCTTTGCCACGCTCGTTACCCGTGGAGTCAATGCCTTGGGCTGTCAAAAACCGCCCTTTGATCATCCAGGACGTCTTCATGTCTAAGCTTTCAACAGCAGTCTTGACTACCGACCCAGAGTCAAATTTGTACATGTGCGGTCACGGGCCTGGAGGTCGTCTAGGTGTTGGAGATGAACAGTCGCGTTTCAGATTTGTCTGCATTGAGGGTGGTGCTTTGTCGCGCAAGAAGATTGCCACCGTCGCACTTGGTCAGAACCACACCATGGCCGTTGATGACCGAGGTGAGGTCTTCTCATGGGGTAGCAACAGCTACGGTCAACTCGGATACAGTCTACCTAAGACTGGCCTCAAGGACGAAGATCCAGTGAGCTGCGTACCAGCGCAGATCTTCGGTCCCCTCAAGCGTGAAATCGTGATTGGTGTCGCCGCATCCCGCATCCACTCAGTTGCGTACACTTCCACATCCCTGTACACTTTTGGCAAAAATGAGGGTCAGCTTGGCATTGTCGATTCTGATGCTCGTTCTCTAGAGTATCAAATCACGCCTCGCAAGGTTGCGGCTTCTCGCTTCGCTGCACCAATTGTCTCAGTCGCTGCCATCGACCGTGCTACTGTCTGTCTTCTGGAGAATCACGATGTGTGGGTCTTCGCGAACTATGGTTATGCGAAGATACAATTCCCTCTTGACGGCTCAAGCAGTTTCTTGAAGGACAGCTTCCGCGTCACTCGATATGATGATACTGTCAACCACATCTGCAAGATCACGGCAGGTGGTGATACCATTTGTGCCATGTCAAGCAGCGGTGAGGTCTATACCTTATCTGTCAGTCAACGTCAAGACCAGGCCAATGCCTCCACAACCAACCCGACAAAGATCAGAGGAGCATTATCTGCGCCACAAGAGATTTGGTCACTGAAGAAGAACAACATGGCCGCTCGTGATGTTGGTGTAGATGCAGATGGCTCCATCATTCTGACCACCGAAGAAGGAAGTGTCTGGAAACGATCAAGAAGAACAAAAATCAAGGACGGAAAGTCTCTGGAAGCCGTCCAGTACAAGCCAAAGGATTACAAGTTCTCTCGTATTGCTGGTCTTTCTCGCGTTACAGCAGTTAGATCTTCTGCATACGGTGCCTACGCTGCTGTTCGAAGAGATTGCGATGTTACCAAGACTCAAACACTGGTTCAAGAACAGACTATCTGGAAAGACCTGTTCCCACTTCTTTGTTTCAACGATCTCGTCGTTTATGAAGATGTTCATGATAGTGAGAGTGAGGAGCCACAACCTCGTTTCTGGCAGGGTCGTAAGAAGCCTGATGAAGTACAGCTTCTTCGCAAGGGTTTACTCCAGTCGAAGGATATCGAAAAGGATCTTGAAGAGCATTTGCGCCAGGCGTCAAACGACAACTTCAGCGAGTTTGATGCCATCATCGCATCCAACGTGTCTGAACTTCGCTTCCCTGCTCACCAGTTTGTTCTCGCGGGACGAAGCAGGATACTCAGAGCAGGCTTCCAGGCTGTCAGAGATGGTGGCGACTTTACCGTTCCTGACCTTCTCATCTGTGAGCGTGATTCCCTTGGTCGACCTGTCATGATCTTCCAAGGACTTGATGTACTCACTTTGGTCGATTTCCTTCTTTACTGCTACACCGATACTATTGTCGACTTTTGGCATCACACTCGAGGATCTCCCTTGGCATTCCGATACCGACAAGTTCGTACTGAGCTGATGAAGATTGCTGCCAAACTTGAACTTCTCAAATTGGAGCCAGCAGTCAGGCAAATGATCGAACCCGAGCGCTGTATGCCTATGGACCTTGAGATTGCCGCCAGAGATCAGGATTACTTCGCTAATGGCGATATTCGAGTTCAGTTGAGCGATGGCGATGTACTGGTTCATGGGCCTATGGTCTGTCAGAGATGTCCCTTCTTTGAAGGTATGTTCATGGGACGTGCTGGTGGTCGTTGGCTTGAAGCAAGACGTGGCCTCTTGCAGAATGCTTCCGATGCTGTGGATGTCGACCTTCAGCATATCGAGTCTAATATCTTCCGCATGGTCCTCCGCCACATCTACGCGGACACTGGCGAAGAGCTCTTCGATGACATCGTGAGCAATGATCTTGATGAGTTCCTCGATGTTGTCATGGAAGTCATGGCTGTTGCAAACGAACTTATGCTGGACCGTCTTTCTCAGGTCTGTCAAAGAGTTGTTGGCCAACACGTCACCACTCGCAACGTTTGTGGTCTGCTCAACGCCATCGCTCCCAGCTCTGTCACTGAATTTAAAGATGCCAGTCTCGAGTATCTGTGTTTGAGTTTGGAGGCCATGCTTCAAGGTGGTCTGCTGGATGAGCTCGATGAGGATCTACTCCTCGAGCTGGACGACATTGTTCGTGCCAATCAACTTGCTCTTATGCCCTTCGCTAAGAGTGGTCGTGCTGAGGCTCTTCTACATGAGCGACACCCAGAGCTTGCCGCTCTCATTGATCGCGATCGCCAAGTCAAGCTTGATTCGATCATGCTACATGCCAAACACCAAGATCTCGATGGATGGGGTCCAAACTCTTTCAGAGGCGGTAGCTTGGATGATGGTGCATACGGAAAACAGAAGGCTCGAAGGAAGTCTAAGGATGCCCAATCATCCGCCGTTGACTCTACACCTAGAACGAGAGCCGCTGTACCGTCTTTGGGCACGAGCCTCGAAGAGAGCTCACCACTTGATCTTCGTGGCGCTCCTTCAAGGAATGCCGAGACCGAGTTCGAGAGGACATTACGTAGAGACACCGCGGTCGGGACTCCCACAGATTCCTGGCTCGACTCTAGAGGAAAACCAATTACACCTAATGATGCCACACCCAAGCAAGGTGGTCTCACCCCCGCCATGACACCTGCAACTCCTGGAAGCTCTTCAAGTGTCCCTTGGGCGGCTACTCCTTCACCTGGCGCGAAGCTGGAGATGAAGGATATCATGGCACAAGCATCTTCGAGTCGCGTATCTAACCTTTCATTGGGTATAGCGGCAAGCAGACAAAAGGCATCTGAGGATGCTTCGGCAGCCAGATCAGCAGCGAAAATATCGCAGAAAGAGCGCAAGAGAATGCAACAAGCCCAGCAATCAGCGGCTGCCGAGATTGAGGAGAAGATCGCAGCAAAAGCAGCCTCACCATGGCAGGTCGTTTCTGGTCAGAAGATACCCTCTCTTAAGGATGTTATTGGTGACAAGCCACTTTCACCCAGTCCATCGAGCAGACCTCAACCCACAGCTCGTACGAGCACTACCCCTCAATTGACCATGCGGCAAACAATTGCCAACCCGAAGCCCACACCCAAGCCTGCCGCTGCTGTTGCTGCTTCACCTAAGAGCTTAGGTCCTGGTTCGCCCATCACATCTGGTCATCCATCTCCAAGGTTAGGACCACAGCGCGCATCTTCAACACAGGCAGGAGCCAAGTCACCTGTGCCAGCGTCACCGCGCATCCAGGCCCAAGCCGGTCCCTCATTGCCTGTTCGACCATCACCTACGCCCCGTCAGTCTCAATCACAGTCACAACGCAAACCTTCAACCCAAACGGCAGCATCGACGCTTGCACCTCCACCACCTCCAGACCTCTCATCCCAATCCTTCCCTTCTATCCAATCCATTGTACACAACCCTCGTGCCGCAGAACCTGCTCTGCAGCTGTCCTTGCAAGAGATCCTGGAACAGCAGCAATACGAGAAAGATATCATCAAAGAAGCAGCAGCGGCAAGAAGTCTGCAGGAGATTCAAGCGGAGCAGGAGTTCCAAGAGTGGTGGGACAAGGAAGCCGCCAGAATGAAGGAAGACGAGGAGTTTGCGAGATTGATTGCTGAAGGTAAAACACCTGATCAAGCTGGCGGTGCCAAGAAAAAGGGAAATAGGAGGGGTGGTGGAAAGCAGAATGGCCATGCTTACCAACAACATGACAAGAAGAAGGAGGGCATTGCAGCTGGGCAGGTTACACCGCAAGGGCAAGGGCAGTCATCCAGACCCAGAGGAGGAGGAAGGAACAGAGGCGGTGGTCGAGGTGCCGCTGCTCCTGCCCCAACCCCAACTCCCACTGCTGGAAGTAAAGCTTGATAACTTTCGATCTCATCTTGATGAATAAACGTTCTAGACTGTCTTGTACATATATACACCTCGATATTATATAATCGCATCTCACAAGAATCCAACGTACCTCATTGACGAATACCTTCCTGATCTACCTTTTTGCATGGGAAATTACTTGTTTTCTCTTCATGTTATTCTGCCATTTCTACAAAGTATATCACGACACTCGTCGACACGAGGAGTGGGAGACATCAGATTGGAGGGCAAAATAGACCTTAAGAAGCGTGCTTTGCTACGCCCGCCTGTCCTAGACTCCTTCGAGGCTATCCCAGAGGCATAACATTCTTGATTTTGTATGCAATCGAAATGCACGATTTCTATTCGCAGGAGAAGGAAGCTCTAGAAGGACAGAAACATTTCAAGCGTCTCCCTCTGGACAACACCATTTTCACAATAACATCCTGCGTGACCACAAGAACACCATTTCACATCTTCAACGTTAGGTGGCGGTAAAGACAAGAAATAGATTGGGCAAAGGGTTCTACAGCTCCTCACCACCGCCGTTCTTCGCAATCTCCTCATCCTTTCTCCAATCGTCTAGGAATTGCCAGCGATTGCTCACGCTACCTTTGCCATGCTTAGCTTCTAGTCTTCTGATTGCGTTTGCGTCACTGCCTTCCACGATGCGGTCTTCCTCTGCTGTCCATACGCCTGGAATATCCACCTCGCCTTCTGCTTTTAGCACGATAGAGGCTAGTTTAGGATTAAACGATGTTTGGCGCAGGGCTGCGATTACGTCTTCTTCGGCGTGACCAGCAGCAGTTTGGGCATCAATCCAAGGCCAGAACTCTTCCGTGCTGAGGATTTGCGAGTCTGATTGTGCTGCAGCATAGGATTGTGTTTCTTCTGCGAATTCTGGCGGTGGTAATGGGACGTCGATATCAAATTGTTGGGTCTCGGCTTCGTAGATTGCTTGGGTGGATAGTCTTTGAGGTTGTGGCTGGGATTGGGAGGGTGCTGAAGAGATTTCCCAAGGCTGAGTGGTGGGGGCATCGAGGCGGATATTTGGATTATTGGCTTGAAACTCGGCTGAGGAATAGTAACATGGGTCGTCGAGGTTTGGATCAATCTCGTGCTCGCCTTCGTGTTGGTAGTTGTTCATGACGGTATCCTCGTCGTCCTCGTCCTCCTCGTCTTGCTCATTTCGACGTTCATTCGTTTCAACAGTTTCCACTGACTTGTCTGCCATGCCTGGTGGTAACATGCTTGCAAGGTATTTAGCGAAATCGGCTTGATCATCGTCTTTGTCATCTTCCTCTATGTCTACACCTCGATGTTCGTCTGGCAACCCATTTTCTGCTTGGATGCGAGCAAGATTTGCTCTTGTTAGTTGATGACGGCTGTCCTTATTTTCCGCCATCTCACGTCGTAACTGTTCGGCCGCCTGATCTTCAGAGATTTCTCCTTCTTCATCAGAATGATAGCTTGGTGTTGGTGTCCTTTTGCTGGAAATGCTGACCATATCATCATCTTCGGGCTGCTGAACAGTGTGAGATGGAGTGAGGATCTTGCTTGGTGCAGACGGCGGTGTTGCTGTACGTCGAAGTTTTGGGGTTGGTTGTTCTTCCGCGAGATTGACAGAAATCTGCTGTTTTCGTTTGGCAGACTGTGGTGTAGCGTTTCTCTCGACTTCCACGACATGATTCACTGTATCTTCCATTTCTTGGTCCTGTTCCGTCGACTGTGTTTCTGAGGCGTGAGGTAATGACTCTCCTTTGGCTCCAATTGCTTTTGGTGGAGCTGGTCGCGTCTCGGAAGTGGTATTTTGCTCAAGGTATGGCAAAGTTGTGATCGGTTGACCCTGATTCTCCCAAAATTCAACCCATCCGATGTCGCCTTGCTCTTTGAGATGTTCAAGATCATCCTCTCTCTGCAAGGCAACAGGCAAAACACGCTTTTCGTAGAAAGAGCGCCATTCGACAGCAGTGTGAGACTTGTTATGGTTTGCCCAAGTAATCCAAGACTCCTGATAGCGCCCTACACGAACACTCTGTATGTCAAAAGCCACACTCAGTAAGTCTTTGAAATCTTTCTCTGTGAAAGTCGAGTCGTCATGAAACTGAGTACCAAGGTCTGTTTGTATTGCTCGGTGACGTATTGGTGGACAAGAAGCTTGTGCAAGTGCCTGTTGTGGTTGTGGTTGTTGCGACATGACAGGCGAGCTCAAGTTACCAGTTCTCGCCATTGGAGTGTTGGCCTGATTCTTTGGAGTCACAGCTGGGCGCGATGTAGATGCAGTTGGTAGAGGAGCTGCTGCTGCAACAAGCTGTTCGCGAGCGGCGGAAGGAGGTGGGGCAGCAGCTGCAGGTGTGCTTTTCACTGCTTTTTTGGTACTCGCAGTTGTTCGTGGGACATGTGTTCGAGGGGTGGTGTTCTTGAAACTCTCTGCAGATGCTGATGCTCCTGGTGGAACTCTGAAAGTTGGACGCTTCACTGGGGGCCTGCTGATTGGTGGTTCAGGTGAGGGATCCTGACGAGTAGAGATGTGATCATCCTCAACAGGGGCAGCATCATCAAGACCTTCTTCTTGCTCTTCGTCTACTGGATCTCTGAGCGAGAGGTGCCTGACCCAGCGGTCTCTCCAAGAGTGATATGTATGACGTGGGTTTCTTTCTTCCAACTCCTTATATATGGCGTTACCATTGAGTGAAGCTCCAAGTTTACCCTTTTTCGTGACCCAGGCTGCCAACTCTTGATCATCTTCGTGGGTGAAGGGATTGTATAAACGGGCTTTGGAGGGAGATTTTGTCGCCGAGGCTGAGCGGGGAGCAGATGTGTTGATAGCAGTAGAACGAGGGAGGGCAGTGGAGGGGATCTCGGCGGTTGGCGTATCGAAGGTGGGTAAATTGTCGTCAGGATATGCTTCCCATCCAGGAGGAGGTCTTGTGGACAGGACTTTGACATAACGGTCGCGCCAGGAATGGAAGGTGTGTCTCGGGTTGTGGGCAGCGAGTACTTGATAGAGGGTGTTGCCTTGGGTAGCGAGACGTTGCTCATGAGCCCTGTGGACCCATTTATACAGCATCTTGTCATCGTCGTCGGTGAAGGGGGTTCTCGTTGATTTCTTGGAAGATGAAGCGACAGCAGTGGTGACGGGCATGGCGGATTTACGGCGGCCGGCGAGGAAAGGAGAGTCGTCTTCGGGGATTTGTCCTTGCTTGACGGTCTCTTCGATGAATTTGTAGCTCAGAGAACCAGCGGGCGCATCGTGTCGCAAGTGGTCGGCAATCAAGTAGTCGGCCTGAGCCTCGAGTTTGACGATTCTGCCGCCATTAATCTCGACCAGCGAGATGTAATGTGATCGTGACGGCACTCGCTGCACAACAAAGAACTTGAGGTTAGCGAACACACCACCACCTTCAACATCAGCTGAGTTGGCCATGTTGGTATACACGGTGGCCGGCGGCATGTTGGGCAGTGAGTGTTAGACCGAGTTGAGTGAGAGACGCGACGGGACGCGTTCAAAGCCGAAGCTCTCCACTTTCGGCCAAATGACGTGCCAGTCGTTCCTTCCTCCAAGCAGCTTCCCCGTCAATAATAAACTCTGGCTTTCTTCACATGTCAACAGCAACAGATGTGAAGATGAGAGGCAGCTTCGATTTAGCATCATGATCGCCTTCCGCAACACCATCATCTTGGTCGTCGTCATTTCCCTCTTCACCTTCATAGCTCTCTTCGGTCGACTTCCAGCTCTACGGAAAACTCCCATCGGCTTCAGTCACAGGCTTCTGTGCATTTACATTCCCAATGGCTTTCGACGCTTCGATGCACGCTACACTGGTGGTCGCATGAACACAAACCTAGCTCGCTTGAGCAACTACCTCTTCCACCAAAAGAACCCCCTCGTTCTACTCCTGTTCCTCTTCCTCTTGACAGGAAGTGCGACTCTTTTCCTTCGTGCCACCCTTCCTCACCTCGACACGAACTTGATCCTGCCAATCCCTCTGGTGCTACTGCCTCCCTACATTTTCACCTATCTCTGCGTCACGAGCAAGATCGACTACATTAATCCTGTAAATCATGCTTCGGCAATGCGACACTACCCCTACGATCACATCCTCTTCCGGCCCGACCACGTCTGCCGTACCTGCAACTTCACAAAACCCGCAAGAAGTAAACACTGCTCGCTATGTGGTGTCTGTGTCGCAAGATGTGATCACCACTGTGCATGGATAAACAACTGTGTTGGAAGGCATAACTACCGATATTTCCTGCTCTTGCTGCTGAGTATTGGAATCGTGGAACTCTATGGCGCGTATCTGTCCTGGGCAATTCTGTCACCACACCTTCATCTCGGTCACTCAAACCACGGCTGGTTCGAGAAACAGTACTGGGCAGAATTGGGCAATGCTTTTGTCTTTGCTATGAGCATTGGTGGAATTAGTGTTGCTGGTGTCGGTCTCCTTGCCATCACTACTTCGCCCTTACCCTTCGCACTCTTAGCATATCATATCTACCTCATCTGGGCTGGCATGACGACAAATGAAAGTGCGAAGTGGGCAGATTGGCGAGATGACATGACAGATGGTGTAGCATGGATAGGGAAGCGCAGTATCGTCGAAGCTCACAACAAGGAGCGTAAAGCACGCCATCTGCGGAATCGCAATAGACTGACTGGTATGACCGGTCCAGTATCAGACTCTGAAGAAGATGATGAAGAGGAATACGTTCCTTGGCCCAAGCACAGTGATCAGATCATTGTCAGCACAACAGACGGAAAGGCTCCTACAGGACAGGAACAGCTCTGGGAGAGGTGCACAAGTCTGGACATGGTAGAGAACATCTACGATTTGGGCTTCTGGCAGAACTTTGTCGCTGTCATGACTGGTAGGTAGATGTGATTTCGTTGTTCAACCTATTCCTTTTTACTAATAATCCTCATTCGTTATCCTTGGCCTCTTGTGACTGTCGTGGTATGCACTCCTTATGACTTTCATCGGACCCAACTCTGATCTGAAAGTGCCTATGCATTTCTACAGACAGCACGTCCAAAGCTCTGGTTGATTGAAAAAGCGGTAACTGCGATCAAGAGCTCGTCACTGCCAAATTCAATGCGCGTAGCGGAGCACGACCTTACCTCACGCGTTGGTTGACACTGAATGTCGACCTTTGAGCAAGATCTTTTTCGAGACTGTCTGATCGTTCTGAAGTCTTTGTTTCAGCTTCTGCTGACTTTCCACTGGCTTTCATCTCGCTTTCAATCTGCACGACTCTCTTCTCCCTCTACCCACATCGAATCTTTCCCTTTTACGCCTACCATTATGGAAACCTTGCCCCGGGACCTAGCCCCTCAAGCAAGTCGATAGCTCGCGCACGCTCTTGGTTGATACTGAATGTCAGCCTTCGATACCCAGCTTCACATCACCCAGTTTTGTCAATGATTTCCCACAGAATGGCAGGCCGCAAGCAAACTCATCCGAGCAAACAACGCACAAGGCCAGTAGAAGTTTGTGGAAACTTCAAGGTTGTTGTAAATCTGGAAAGCTCTGGAAAAGCTTTGTTTTGTTTCAGCTAGGTATATATGCTGATCATCTCGCCAGATCTGACTTTCTGGTCAGTTCATCTTCCTTTCATTGCTCTCTTGAAGTGCGATTTGTACTGTGCCCTGTACATCGGCTTTCTCTTATATATTCCTCTGGTTGCTTTCTTGGACCACTCGCCTTCATACGTAAGAGATCTGCTTCATGATACGCTCATCACACCTCTTCTTGACTCCTTCAACATCTCTACTACTATATACCGCTTCTTGAGTCTCCGGTACCAGAGACTCAATTGCTTGACGCTGTGGGCTGGATCGACAAAGCCAGCACAAGATGAACGACTTCAATCATTTGCTTGTCTCTTTCCCGGAATCACGAGTCTCCGCCGAGGAAAAGCTCATGTTCCATCAACAAACCACAATGCTGTCAATGTCGCTCGCCCAGTGCGCGCTCGCCGCCGTTCTTCACAGACGTCTCAGCAGTCCTTCACCCCCAACGTAGCTGATGCACTCGTCCATCTCTTGCCTGCTGCAGAAGACGCCAACTCACGCGCTGGTACAAAGAGCGGCGTTCGAGATCTGATCTTCAGAGTTCCTGGATTTGACTAGTTACGAAGACAGAAGTGCATCAACAAGAACACTGACTACCACCACCATCAAGCATCAGTATATCTTCGTCGATTCTCAAGCCTACCAGAAGAGAAGTGGCAGCTATTCTCGACGAGATCAAGTCATGTCCAAAAACGCCAATCACTCCTCAGCAAGTTACAATGTTGACTTCGAAGAAGAGAAGACGCGCGCCATGTAGTAGTAAACGTCTGGAAACAAATCGCCAACAAGTCGGCTCCTAAGACCGGACTCTTTGACAGCACAATGCAGAGGTTTGCTGATTCTTGCTTACGGACGATGCGCAGAGAGTCCAACTTCAACTGCTGGAACAACATTCTTTCTTTGTACTGCGTGACCCTCAATCATACTTCTCATGGCGTTTCTGGTCAACCCTGATATTGGTCCTCTTTCTATATACCTGATCGGGAGTACAAAGACCTGGATATCCGTCTTCTCGACCCCCAGGTACCTTCATGTTTGCGATCGAGAAGTCTCGCCTACAAGACTCACATAGTACAACCTCCGATGGTGGGAAATTCCGGCGATTACCAGGAGCATGACCAAGAAGAGCGATCAGACTGCGACCGTCAAGCCTAGAAAACTTCTGTCAATGCTGCTAGAAGCAAAGGAGCTTTCACCAAGAACAGAAGCAAACCCTCATCTCGCCCATATGTCAGTGCTGCTTCTGCTGATCGACCAGTCACTCGTAGCTTGGCAATCAACAACGAAGAGCCCTCCAGATCTGCACCATCTGGATCTCCTGCTCGGGTTCAGACAGACCTCACCACGGCTCCTCGCCACATCACTAGACAGACAGCAACTCAGAACGCTCTCCCCACTACCTAGAGGAAGTATCAAAGGTGCTTTGGTCGCTATGTCGATATATATAGAGACATGTGCATCCCCACCGCCTCCGCGACTGCCAGATGTTAACAAGTATAGACCTTACAGTCATGCCATGAGCATAGCAGCCTTGTCCTGACCTTCCTGCTCCGCTCATGGATGGCTCGCCACCCTCGTACATGGACAGCAGAATGGATATGGAAACGAGCTTTTCCAATGAATTCTTCTCGTGACTACTCGGGCTCAGCTCAGTGCTCAAATCCATATCCAAGCAGCCCCTCTATTGACTGCTCCACCTCCCACCACTTAGATAACCCTCCGACTTCAACGGCAATTCTGGGACAGAAGTTTTCTCAGCGCCAATACAGCTAAGAATTTATATATAGGTAAGTTCTCGTTTAGGGATATGCATGAAGTGTTCACTGACCAAATCCTTACTTAGTACATTCTTGCTGGGCAGACCTCCAGGAGCTGATTGCTTCACTTGCGAATGGAATGGTTGCAATGCAAAGCCACAGCGCGATAACTTTTACACCGGCATGTACATTTCAGACGCAAGGGATCTCCAGTGCTGCCAGAGTCAGGTTCCTAAACTTGTCGACCACTTCATCTTGAGGCCAAGCGACAAGGACAACATCAATGCCATGTGCTGCTGCAAGAACGACTCAGTGTCCGCCTCATCCTTCTCGTCCTTCTCAAGCGACGAACCCAACGCTCGTCCCATCGAGCTGCCAACCATCCGCCGCTCTACCGCTGGTACCAGTCGCACAACTGCCAGCATGCCTCAGCAGGCCCCTCAGCGTGCGGCTGGCCGCGAGACTATCCTCTTCGTCGAAGAGATTAGTATCACCTAAGACGATCAGCACATGTATTTCGACAAACGTGACTCTACATCCGCTTACTACGGCTCATCCTCGTCGAGGGGTTGTCCCATTGAGCTGCCAACCCTTCGTTGTTCGTTTGGTCGCACCACTGCAAGTATGCTTCTGTAGCGTCGAGTCGAAGCTCTGGTCGCTCTCATCTCACGTCCTACCGTTACTGTATATATCTCTCTGCAACTATTGGAGAGACAGATGCACTCAACCACGAGGTCGGCTAGAGTTCAGGTTCATGACTCTACTTGGGGCTCTTCCATCTCCCTTCTTTTGCCCTACACATGAGGCCAAACGTACACACAGATCTTGGAAGAGTCAAACACCAGTGCCGTGCCTGTTGCTCCAGCAGTCCCTCAACCACCAAACAACCATGTCCAGGGAGTAACAGACGCCTCTGACGCCGAGGTTGACTGGGCTCCTCCCGAATCCGCCTACTCCTTCATGCCAGACCTCAACTTCATCGCTGAAGCTGTCAACATTGCTGTGACCTTCGCCAACGCCTTCAACGACATAGAGGTAATTGATGGAGATTATGCGCAGGTACAGGCCAGGATTTACTGTGCCACTGTGAAGAAGCTGGGGAAAATCGTGGAATCATGATTGGATTTGTGAAGCCGCAGGCCTGCAGGACAAGACGGTCTGAAAGCTGAAGTCAAGGAGATGAATTGTTTGAGCTGTAACATGATGCGGAATCCTGCCACTGCATCACCACACAAAGCCATGACTTTAAAGCATCATGTTAGCGAGAACTGCAACCAGAAGACTCTTGGTGGGAAGCAAGGGAAGCAGACCTGTCCACAAAATACAGATACTGGCAGTCCGTCAACTCTGCATCGACCAACACAACTCTGCCAGCCATCAACGAAATCGAGCAAAACACCAAGCTCAAGGACCACTTCAGAAAGCGAAACATGTTCATCAACAACATACAGGCCAACGCTTTCTTCAATGAGAAGGAGTGAGAACCATGAACGATAGTCCATCTTCGACCTTCGGCAATCGCGTCCTGCCAACAGATTACACCAGCTACAAAGAAGTGAATATTCTGGCACCGTACTTCTGATGCGCGCTCTATTGTGCCTCACTTGTATACCGACACAAGAACAAGAGGATTGAGGGGGCTATGGCCTGGAGCGAGTCATCATCCCTCGCAGCAAGAACCACGAGACTGTCATCAGGACTTTGGTCGACCATTATCTCGGCTTTTCTGAGGTTGATAGCGCTGGCATTGAGTGAGCGAACTTTGAGCCGTGACTTGTGATTTCTTGTCCTTACTACCTACAATCAGCTACATACCCGGCTACTTGCAGGGACCAAGCCAGACCCACCTCAATATCTCTCAGATCGATATGAAGTTCCTACAATCTGTTCATATCTTCGTCTGCTATCGACAGGTCTGTCTTCCATCATGTTCGAATATGCGAATCCAGTCGAGGGATATGCCCATCATGCCCATCGATCTGGTCGTTTGAATAAATTACACCTACGACAAGAGGTTAGTCAGCCCATAGTGGTCAACGATGATATTGTGGTTTCAACCAGTCCTAGGACCGTCCGAATCCCCGATACTGAAGCTGGACGGTCCTAGGACTGGTAAATTCCATCTAAGTATCTTCCCAGTCCTAGGACCGGTCGGTTTTCGTATTGTTGAGTTTACTAGTCCTAGAACTGGTAAGAGTCAGTGATGTCGGTTTGTTCAGTCCTAGGACTAGTAAAATCGCGGCTTTGAAGCCCTGTCCGCAGAAAGGCTTATTCATCAACTAGGCTAAATTGCTATTGTGACTGGTCTGGACAAGCATCAACTAGGCCAGGTTGATATCGTGGATGGTCTGGACAAGCATCAACTGAATTTAGTTAACAGGACGATTGCATTGAAGGAACATCAACTAGATTTCGTTGATGTAGTGGTCATAAAGACCAGCCTCGAGTTTTCCACGCGATGAACACGATTCCAAAACGAATGTTCGTTTTCTGCAGTACTGTGTGAGAGCTCAATCAACCAAAGTTCATTAGAAGAGTGGTTATCCAAGGCAAAAATCATGTTGTTTCAAGCAATGGACACGAATTCAAAACGAATGTTCGTTTTCGGAGGTACCATGTTAGAGCAAAAATCGTGCCCTCTGTACAATAAACATGATTTCGAAACGAATTTTCGATTTTGCAAGTACTGTGTGAAGAGCGTCATCAACTCAACAATCGAGGTGGTGTGGGCATCAACTAAATCTAGATGATAGAACAGTCACGTTGATGGAGCAGTCGTGTCAAAGTCCCTTCCACTAGAACAAGTCGACTGAGGGGTGTAAACCATGGTTCAGTTGTTTCCACTAAGATCTTGCAGTCTTGATACTGTAGTAGTAGGCAGTGGCTGTGCATTTTCTCGTGCCGCACAAGAAAAAACCAGTGTGAACAATTTTCTTATTCCGCACAAGGAACAAGCCGTGCAACCCATTTTCTTGTGCGGTACGAGAAAATATCAGTTCAAACCATTTTCTTGTGCCGCACGAGAAAACAAAGGAAGTGCAAGCTACTTTCTTGTGCCGCACGAGAAGAGATCAGTACAGGCTGCTTCTAAATCAAAATGAACAAGAACCAATCTTCTCCAGGCTAAGTCAAAACACGGTATAGAGAATCAACATAACAGGTTGACCAAGACAATAAAGGAGTCAAAATTTGTTAGTTCAGGACTAAGAGAATAAAGGGGACCAGAGTTCTTTAGTCCAGAACTAAGAAAATGCAGCAGTCAAAATTTGTTAGTCCAGGACTAGAAAAATTCTGTTGTTTCGATAATCAGGTCGGTCACGAACTGACATCTGGCGTATCAACACATGATGGTTTTCCACGTAACTTGAGTCAGTGAGGTCGGCGGACACACTGCGCATGACTCACGATTCGACTGCCGCGCAGCGCGCAAGCGCGGAAGTCACTCCCCACAACTTCACCATGCGCAACACCTCTTGCCTAGCGCTACACGCTGCCAACCGATGCGTGCGCTCACAGGAAGTGATGCCCTGTGAGCAAAATCGACAACTACCAGATCTATAGTACCAACAGTACTGTTAGATGTACTGGGATCCCTCGCAGGATGTCATGGCCCTGCGAGGTTAAGCCCGTCGTCTCAAGCTGATTCGACACTCCTCCAAATCACAACCAATTTTCAAAGATCTTATGTATGCGCTTCGCTCTTACAGTTCTAATCAGTCTGCTAATCAAGGTTCGGGTGCAGTGTCTTTTGCGCACTTGAGTGCTAGTAATCCCAAGCCCGACTCGATCATTGCAGTAGCAATAGATCCCCCAACTAGGGAACTCAGGTTGCTATCTATCAAGTCGCTCCTTTACGACAATTTCTTCAGACGTTCAGTTCCTTTCATTAGGTATACTGTTCGAAGCATAAGGTCATGAACAGACGTTTTGTAGTGCGACCTCGCCCTGTGACTCGAAAACGAGGACACCGCGGGGCCGTATTACCAGACGCTCTTTCCCATCCAGACAACCCTCCACCCTCATCTTCACGACCCCGGATTCTCAACATTGCAAGTCGCAACTGCCGCCATCGTGACTTCCTCATGCGCTTCGACACGGTCAGCCAGGATGGCTGCCTGCACGAAAACTGCGAAGCCCGAGACTTTACCTCAGCACATAATCCACATCAACTGTCATCCACCCGATGGATTCTCTCATTGTGATTGATGACGGTATCCCAGACGGCACACCTCTTGTTTCTCGCACGACTCATGCAAACAATCAGTCTCTCCGCCCTCATCATGGATCTCAGGCTCGCGATGAACAGCATTACCATCGGAGAACCAACCTTCTGGAGCAGCTCAAGTCAGATCTGGATCTTCTACAGATTGACACGTCCGCCATCGATGCTTCCGACTTTGAGTGGCTTCCCAAGAGCGGCTTCGATCATGAAATGCTAGACAATATGAGAGCGTGTCCCATTTTGACAACCAACGAAGAGCTCGCAGACATCCTCGACCTGCAACTGTCCACTCCAGACTCTCCTCCTCTACCCACTGGAACGCACTACTACTCTCGTGCTTGGTCCTTCCGGCATGATGAGCTTCTGGCCGTCATTCGATACATGAAGAACGACGACCACTTCTCGCAGGAGACAAGAACATGGCAAAGCATACTTGATGCACACCATGACGAGCCTGGAATCATCTATACCATCAGGTACATCGGTAGCGTTCAGGGTCCGCGTCGACCAATTAATCGCTATCAAGAAGATCTCGACCTACGTACCTCTGGTCTTCTTGCCGAGTTTTCCAGAGCGATATCCGCTGTCTGTCCTCGCGTAGAAACAGAGGCTGAGGTGTTTCTCATCTCTGGTGCGTCACTGCATGAGACCATAAGCAGTGAGCGCAAGGAAAATGTCGAACGCGTGCTCATCGCCTTTTTCGATCATGCAAGTCTCCTCAATCGTCAACCAGGCGGCTACCTTGTGTCATACATACCTTCGGAAGTCGACCTCCAAGCCTTCCATGACCTTCACACCAACATTGGCGCTCAATTTTCTTCTCGCAGCACGCCGGTCCCTCTGTCTGTTGAACGCTCCATCGAAGAACACTTTGTCGACCTTCAAGCCTTTGCGAATGCGAACCCGCAACTCTGTGGTACCACCCGGCACCCGATTACAGATGAGCTCCGCTCCATCATGGTTCGTCAAGCTACACCCCGTGAGTATAGAGGCTTTACCTTGGCTGTGTTCGTTGGCAAAGATGCCCCTGTCGAGTCTTTCACGTCACCAACAGTTTTCCTCGACGAACGTACTCACGCAGGAGGTTTCATGAGACAAATTGTGCAATCTATCGCTCAGTCAGAGGGTTCAAATTATCAAAAAATCCTGTCAGCAGAAGCCATCTGTCCATACAAGGAGATATTTTGCTTTGTCGACTTGTGGCCGTGGTTGAACCATGATCACCTGGCACCAGCAGCGAGATATCTTCGTGCTTACCTCCAGCTGGTGAAACCTCTTATCGTTCCCGTGTTCGGACTCCAGACTTCTGATCTTACTCTCAGCAATTTTGATGCGGACTGTGACAGAAGACTACACGCTCTGTCGCCGGTTGTGGCTGTTCCCTCCATACAGTACCATGATTGTCCTCGATCCAATGAAATGCATGATCCAGATTCTGCTTTCATCGCGATTCCAGCGTTCCATCCAGGGCGCGATAAGCATGGCAGCGATGGTCAGCCAATTCGCAGACTGATAGATCTGTCCACGAGGTATATGTATCTTGCGGTCCAGGTTGGCATGGATGTTCTTGACGGGTTTGCCGATGATGCAGCTATTCCCGACAGGCTCATTCTTTGTCAAGAGATTCTACGTCGATTGCGAAACCTTTCGCATGATAATCGATTCTTCTTGAATCTCCTTGCTCAATCAAAAGCCGATGCAGAATCTGCCTTGCGCCAATCCATGACGAGATCGGAGACAGAAAACACACGATCCATGCTAAATGCAGAAGCATGCGAAGTCCTTGTCTCTTTTGGACTCGCTGAAGGAGAGCCTGATTCCTTGGAGCGCGCTGTTCAGGTCGAGCAATTATGGCACGCAAACATCCCTCAATTGCACATGTCAATCCCTCATCAAGCAACATTCAAGGACGCATGGAAACGGCAATTCATGCAACTCCGTTCACGCCAATCCCTGCTACTGGCAGCCGTGACTGGAATGGATCCTGGTATATACGAACAGACGATCATCTCCATCCTCAGGCCACAGTGGCAGTTACCTGACTCATGGCTACACAATCAATCCTTTACCGTCGAGTTTGGTCTTTGGATCCATCGCGGAGAGCCCGGGTCCCTCAAGAACAAGAACCTATTCCCAGATCGAGCTCTCTCAGCTTTTGATCTTCAAGCAAAGCCTGTTGGTTTCCAGCCGAACGGAGTCGCTCGAATCCGCTAGAAGCGAGATGACGGCCAGATTTCGAACATTGTGCTTTATCTTCCCAAAGCCGCAGTCACAAAGAGCGTCTCCGAAACGAGAGCGCTGATCTACACCAAACTAGGAATTGATCTTGTGGATGGACGAGGTCAGGCTTTCCGCACTGAACGGAGTGGTGGAGCTGCACTTGGAGTGACAATTCCAAAACAAACCTTGCTGTCCAACGAGACTACTAAACAGCTTTGGCTTGCAGTGCTCGAGGCCCATAGCATTGACCCAGAGCTTGAACTTGTGGACAGTGACGACGACGAAGCTGCGCAAGACTGGGGCCATAAAGGTACAGGAATGCTCAGCGCAAGAGCGAAATCGATTACTCCTCGACAGCATTTGCCTCCTCGTCCGAACGATGCTCTTTATCCTCTCTATATCTTCCTTCAGCAAGAATTTCCTCAAGGAGGTAACTACGATTTGGCATCCGTTGATAAGTACTGCGACTCGAAGGAGCACACTCGAGCTTTCGTTCGCTTCCTCAAGACTGCCAGCTTTCGAAAACATCCTTTCGCCGCGGACTGGCTCGAGAAACTGGACAGATCGTTTCCATCAACCGGCATCTTGACCAGCAATTTACCACTCCTACGCAATGTCAAGAAGGTGCAACGCCCAACGCACAACAGAGATGAATATCTGGTCATTGGTCCCCCAAGCTCTGCCGTCTCCGATCCCTTCAACATTCAGCACGAGCAGTGCTGCATCCCAGCAGACGTACTCAAGGCATGGAGGAAGAATGGAAAAAAGCCTCTGCCAGCTGAGAGCTCCGCTAAAAAGAGGACATCCAAATATCCCGTCTCAGCCCCTCAGAAGCGCAGCAAGCAGAGAAAATAGGGGCTTGGGGTACGAGTGTGAGGCGAAAGTATCGTTATTCAGTGCTTCAATATGGTCAAGCATTACTTCGCTATGCATAGAACTGCTCAATCACAATCAAGTTTTCATGTTCTATCTTGATGTGTTGTCCTCTCTTCTTACACATTATTGACGATATTATTGCCTGTGGCCTGTTGTGTATTGCTTGCTAGCCCCTTAGGTCGACATCCAGTGTCAACGCCGATGCAGATGATTTACTGAAATGACAGCTTTGTCCAATCCCTGGTCAATATTCCTAAGCACTTATCTAGTGTTCTTGGAAAGCCTTTGCGTCAACAGGATGAGTTGTGGCGACCAGCCTCCCCATGTACTGAAGTATGCAACGCACGTAGCTATGGAGATGCGCAATAGCGATAGGAAACAAGACGTTGTCCACTGAGAGACAATAAATTGTCGACTCTTCGTCGATATGCCTCTGCGTTCTGAAATAATTGTGCCTTATTATACAGCAGAATAGTACAGATATCGACTTGGAAGGGACGAAGTTTCGACCAATTTACTTAACAGCCATACAACATAAATATAAAAAATTGTCTACTACGCGAAGATGGTTGGCTCTGTTTTGAAAAGCTCTAGAACTCATGCGCAGACCAAAGGTGAGGGGTTACTACTCGTGTGACAGAAATGTTGGCCAACAAAGCCTGTCGACAGAAATTTCCTTTTCACCAAAAACATCAAGCATTTCTCTTCTCTTGTTACGTCCTGGCAAGACCTGCTCGGTGATGCAGACACTTGAGGCTATATTGTAGCAGTCTGCATTCGACGATCTTCCATCTCGGCAGGCTTCGAAGCCTCGATGTGTGCTTCACGCTTGATTCTGGCCAATTCGTCGGCTAACAGTCTTCGTCTCAAATTTATGAGATGAGCGACGCTGTGCTCGGAGGCACTGTTGATTGCAAAGTGAAGCCTCATACACTATGTGAGGCTTTGCCCATTCTTGTATACCTAGCATCCAAGGCAAGTCTTACCTATACCATCTGAACACCATTTCGGCTAAGATCCGGCTCAATGGTCTAGTGGGTGAGTTCGATGGTTCATCACTGTCATCTACGATCATAGACTAACCTATTTCGGAAGTACGATTGTAATGCTCTCCAATTCCTCGAGGTCTCGATCTTAGACTGACCAATAACAGCTCGCTTCGGGTAACACCGCCTTCTCTGAGGGTCTAAATGTGAGAGGCCCCGGGTTCGAATCCCGGTTGAGCCCTATTCTCTTTTTGCATTTTTCCGAATGGTACCTGGCGCCTATTTTCTTGACTATAGGCAAGTGGTAGCTTGGTTATGATCATTTATCTGGCTCTGAAGCTTGGTACTCAACACACTCATGCGAGACCATATTATGCCTTTGTGGCAAGGTTCTACCGTTCATGTTTCCTCGGAGTTTGTGGTCATATGGTTTGGTTGGAAGCGTGGGACTCCCAAGACGTCCGGTGCAGATTCGAGGCTTCGAAGCCTATGTAGAGAGCCAACCCTAGCCAAGGTCGATAAGGACATCGCAGTCTTTTAAATGCACAACAACTTCTTCCTTCTTAAGAAAACAGTTGGTCAATGATTTAAATTCAAGGAAATTTTCTGATAATTCGCTTCTTGGCCAAGGGTTTTGTCCAGAATTGGATGTGTTCGGTACTCACTCCTGACTTGCTCAAGAACTTTGGATGTGCCTGTCACGAACCGTTAGTCGAGAGAAAAGATGCAAACTCAATCTAGGAACGGTCCTATGATTTGATATTCGGCCGAAGAGCCTCTATACTGTATATCACGACTGAACGAAAGACAGTATCCAAGCTCGTACTGCAATTGACAAAGTCCGTGTCTGCTACGGCCTTTTCGAGATTCCTTGGCCAGCGATTCGTTGCTACGTAAATGTTCCTACATCCTGGCTGAGCCCATTACCCTGATGAGCTCATCTGGATGATGGTGTCTTGTGTTTGACTACAAGCAAGTGGTGACTTGGTCGTGGTCATTATTTTGACACTCAAGCCTGAGTTCCAACACGCTCACAAATTAAAGCACGCATTTCCTTCCACAGTAATATCTGGACCATGTGGATGTAACTCAGGGCTCGTCTAACACTTGCTGGTACCTATCCAATTTATCATGTCCCGAAAAAGATCGAGGAACGGACATACGCCGCTTCTGGACACCGCCATCGCGCCAGGCAGCAACGTGAGTTGGCAGACCGCTGTCGTTATATTCGGAAGTGCCAAGAATTTCCCGCAACACTATTTATTGCCCTCACCGCTCGCAGCTGGAAGTTCTTTGTGATACTCCTACACTCTTCTGTTGCCAGCACATCACTAGTTCGAGGTTATATGCAAGAACGGCTCGGCATCTTATCTTGTGAATCCAAGGATGGTCGACGATACTTTCCACCCCTTCCCGCGACTGCCCACTGAGCTTCGCGAAGAGATATGGCGCTACTGCCTCCCACATCGGGTAAGCGAAATGGACAATCCTGCGGACTTCATGGTCTACTTCACCCGGGAAGACTACGATGACGGCAAGCGTCCCTGTACACTCGGAACGACCACTTTCAACAATAATCGCCCGCCATTACTTACGCGAGTGTGTCATGAATCACGCAGAATTGCCTTCGAATCAGGCAACTGGGCTCCAGTGATCTGGGAGAAAGTGAACTCTCACCGGATGATTGAACCTGAATGGGTGGCCATGAACGTCATATACTACGATTACTGGCAGGACCCTTCGCGCGACTCTGCACATCTGAATTGGACCATCGCTTATGAGGCAGACTTTGGCGGTACGACTGATGGTCACCCTTTGAAGTCCTTGGCCGAGAAATCGAAGCTACTGAACAGGTCAGCATCGATCATGCTGGGCTACATGACTGACAACCTTTCAGAGCGGGAGCCTTTCGACAAACCTATCACCCGGCCGCTCGAAAACATACCAATATGCCAAGACAGACAGGAAGACCTAGCGGCACTCAAGCTACTGCCAGAATGGCGGGTAGTTGTGAGAGTCATCGTTATACACCTTGACTTTGCACGAGCTGCTAAGTCCGGCCTCTTTGGGCTATTGGGCGATGAACCTGTGCAGGTAGTGGATGCCACTTCGCCCTTGGTTTCGCAGCTGTATGAGTTAGCTGAGACTTGTGAGCGTGAGGCATATGCGCTCACAGCTGCTCAGGACTTTACTCGAATGTCTGCAGGCGACATGGACGCTATGGTTAAGCGTGTGGCGTTCAAGACTTTCCATGACCATGAGCTGTCTAAGCGCATGCGGCCAGCAATAATGTTCAGGCTGTGTACAGAAATGTGTAATCACAGTGACACACTAGAAGGGGAGCCAAAGGTCTGGACCACTTGAGCTGGAGCATAAAACCCAAGCTGTACAGTGCATGCTATTTCGAACGCGCATGGTAAGTAGTAGAGGTTTCACATACGTCACGATCTGATACATCAATGCACATCAAAAAGAAGCTATATGGCCCAGGGTATCTTGTGATTGTGGCTGCTGCCGTCGATACGATGCATTAACACGTTTCCAACCCACTTTGTCTCGAAGTTATTGATGATGTCAATGATCCTTCGCTGCTCGTCAGGATGTTTTTGCAGTGTCTTGTAGATATTGACATCCGTCCAAGAACTTTCCTGACCAAGGCGATTTCCGGTATCGACATTCTAAATGCATTCATGCAAGTACCGGCTTGCAACTGCATGGTTGACAAGCAAGGGGAAAATCAGGATCAGACAACATACCGATCTAATACCTTGTTTGTGTAGCTCATCGTTGATGAATGGAGTGCGGTAGTCTGTTAATTCAGACAAGCAAGCTTCTGTAGTGTTGGTAATTGCCAATCTCGCGTTCTTGAGCTCCCTGGTAAAACGGTCATCTCCCGATGCTTGACGGGCGGCTCGAATCCGGTTTGTCACCTTCTCCAAGACTCCGCTCAGCTGTACTTTCCCGCGAAACTTCGTGTTCGCAATGCACGAATACAGGACTAAAATGTGTTTACCCAGAATCTGGCAAGGGGTGGTACTAATCTTAAGCGATGGACTACTCTGTACTCACATGAACAGATGCATGACTTCTAGCTATATCGCTAGGCTAGGAGAGAGACTAGCAGAGATGAAAGTCGTTCTCTTGTTGTCAATAACTGCGGATCATGCTTTCGAAGACCCTGGGGGTCATGCAATGCAGATTCGTCTTGATGCATCCAGGCGGACTCCTGATCACAACTCCAACGATACCTGACATGCGAGGATCTAAGAATGGGACTAATTTTCGTTGCAGGATTGGTGTCAAGAACGGGAGCATTACAGACACTGGCTTCGTTCTGGTGGTTTTTTACTACCAGTCTTCAGAGGATGCACAAACCGAATGATCAGCTACTTTCAATCCCGAACTCAAAAGGAAAAGAAAGACGTCTGGTGAAAGAGCTGCGGGGCCACGAGAATATAATGAGAAGATTGGACTTCGAACAAATCCCACTCAACCACAAGACATACAGGATACGGCACCAAGCTTAGGGTCAAAAGTTGTCGACGCTCTGGGGGACGAGACGACCCATCAATTCCCGGTTGAGCCCGTGCATCTTTTCTTTCTGCGTTTGTCTGAATGATGGTACTCGATGTGTATTTGGGTGCTGACTTGGTTATGGTCATTTTTAGGCTCTATTACTGAGCTCTCATGGAACTAACACATCTATCTTGTGGGAAGGATATCTGTACATAACATCCCTGACGCCACTCTGCTTTACTTCTTCAGACGTACAGACATTAACCTCCACATCCGACATGTCCGCTTCAACGCCGTCGTAGATCCAACTTTGGGTGGTTCCAATGCTAGATGCAACGAGCTCATCCGAGATGTAAGACGTGGATGGTTTGAATGCGTGCTTGATAGTGAAGAACTTCCAGTACTCAAACCCAGGGATTTCCTCTGCGACATCGCCTTGTGCTTCTTTGGCTTGGAGATACTTCAGAAAGAATGGGTTGGGAGATTGTTCAGCTTCTCTCACAAGGGCGGCATCGTGTGGGGGATCGATTGTCTCGAAGGTTGACTGGTAGTTGGCGACTATACATGCCCGCGCCGCCTGCAACTTCATCTCAGGCCGCAGCCGTGCTAGTTCTTCATAGACGTCCGGATAAGCGGCCTGTGGGAACCATATACAATAGGGCAACTCGTCCCAGGGAGTTGTGGGCGTGATTCGTGATAGATCATTCGTCATGATGAAACGGGCATTGATTGCCCGTCGTATGCGCCAGTGGTTTATCTCGGTAGCTGGTTGAAGTGACCAGAACTTGGCAAACAACGGATCATGGTAGATACCTCGGATCAAGCACTCGAGTTCGCCTTTAATCTTTTGTGGACGTCGCAGGCGCATGTATCGATCAATATTGCCGTGGTAAGCCGCTGACAATATGAGCATGTCTTTGTCGACTGTGGGAAGATCTGCTGGAAGTGGAGAATAGAGTAGTGGTATAACCACTGATTGATCGACTGAGCGAGGCTCGCTCCGCTTGAGGTCCACTGACATGTCCTCGCAGATGTCGAACAACCGGCTCTCAAACCCGTTGCGGTCGTACTCCCATGTAGACTTTGCTTTTGGTCGCTTGAATCGTTGTTTCGACTCCAGGAGTGCCGTCACACAAGTGTTGCCGTTCATCAGAGAAATCGGTGGGTTCTCCAAGACGAGGGAGTTCGAGTAGTCGTTGAATACAGCGTACTTGACAGGCTGTTTGACAATCGCCGAATAGATGGCCTCGCTTCCGTTCTCACGAGCTTCCTCAGCAATGCCTACTTCAGGCAGAATATCCAGTTCTTTATAGAGATCGTCATAGTTCGCCACGGCACAAACCCGGCCAATTTGATATTTCATCCGCGGATACTTGGTGATCAGCTTCCGGCATGTATCGCGATCGGGCGTCGAAGGATACCATATGCAGTACGGAAATTCTTCTGGGTCGTTCATGTCAGGGATATCTCTGTTATACATGATAGCTTGAGCGTTGAGTGCGCGAGTGAAGCGAGGCGTAAGACCTCGAAGGTCATGGCCAAAGTCTGGATGTCGACGAATACCCGCAATGACACAGAGCTGAACGACCTCCAGTCCAAGGTAGTCGGGTATACGAACACCATTGATGGCATCCTGTATTGGCCTATAGTGGAAACGGAAGTCTTGCAAGGCAGACTGTCGCGGATGAGCCATGGCGTTGAGTTTGAAGTTTAGGCCAGGGAAGAATATTACCAGCGAGACGTGTTGACCTGGTTTATAACTCCCTGTTAGTTTGCTGAAAATTAATCAGTCAAGCGCCAAGGAGTTTTAGATTGCAGGCGGCGTGCTCAATTGGGACTCCGACCGACCCAAAACTTTGTACAATCATTTAATCTAAGTCTATACCAACACCACATGGAGTACGCGAGTTGCGTCGAAAAGCAGTCGATCGATTGCGTTGTGATATTTTCCTTTTTTTTCCTTTTTTTCCTTTTTTTTACAACACATTGCATTGCTTAGTATGTGCTCCTCCAATGAACTACCTAATCTTGTCAATATAACTTGCTACGATTATACCTTACTGACGCCGCTACAGATCTTCCTCTACTCGTATACCTTATTATCGTTTCCACTGTAACCCACACCTTCTTTCTCCACCCAGGGCTCCGCACTAATGCAGCTTGTCTTTCCATCTATCATCTTGCTGGAAGAGTGTAGTAAAACTCGAGATCTGTAGTATAAATCTCCAGTGTTCGCTTTGTAGATTCTTTAGAATATATATCTATGAGCACCACGCCACATAATATATTTGTCCGCAGTATTCTGCTCTTGCTCACGCTCCACTCTTATTCTCTCCGCTTCTTCTATACCTATCGGCCAATTTCCAGTTTCAGCGTCAATTTGATAAATCAGTTCCGGTGGGAGGCAATGCTTGGCCGCTCCAATCGCTTCAATTGCGTCTTCGACCCACCAGTCGTGTCGTTGTGGAGGTACATTCCTTGTCGAGCATATTCGATAATGAGGATCTACTAGATGTAGAGATATGAATCTGCAGTGTCCTGACACGGTGGGATCAAGCAGCTGCATAGGCTCCATACGATGATGTAGAACATTCGGCCACACCAGCAGACGGCCTTGAGGTGCAACGACTGACCCCAGATCCTGAAGAGAGGGCGGGTGACCACACATGAGGAAGTCGTACATGTCTTCTTCATCGCCAGGAATCGCAAACACCTCCATTAGTTTCTCCATTTCGTATTGCTCATAGTGAAATTCCTCTTGTTCCATTCTAGTCTGTTGGCGAAATGAAAGTCGTGCCTCTGTTACATTTTTAACATCGAACACATGAAGAGCGGAAGCCACAATGTGGTCGTTTAGCATCCCGTCGAGGTGCCAATCAGTACCGCCATAAGCTGAGTCTTCTGGTGTCAACTCGACCGATGAAATCCTAACGACAACTTGGAGGCCTTTTTTGCGGAAGCTGTCTTGCAGGGCAACCTTGTAGAAGTTGTGGCAAGTGTTGAAGCCAGGATCGTCGATCTTCCTGTCGATAATTGTTTTTCCCGCCCGGCCAGCCTTCCAATCGTTATAACCAAACGCTGTGCCAGGCTCAGGATGCCGCCAGGTTCTCAGTCTTCTCCACTTTGTGTAAAGTGCTTCCCACAAGCCTTCATCCTCAGTTTCCCATGTCAGTGGGATTTGATACCCTTCTCTCTGCTCGAGCTTTTCAGGTAAGGCGAGGTACTCTTTGATCTTATCGACGGCTTCTTTGAAGGCGGTGTTGTTGCGGTCGCTCTCCAGCTCTCTCAAATTTTTCCGAGTAGCCCACTTAGGCCTCTCACTATCAGGTTCCGGTTCAACACCGTATGTCCTGATCCGCATCGGAGTGCGACCACGATTCTGTTTGATGAGGATCTGGTTCCATGGTTCAATCAATTGGGAGATGAGTCTTTCAATTGTCCCATATAATGCGCGGGATCGGATCGGGTGTAGATTGTTCACGTAAGACGTAATGCGCACGTCTGTCCCTGAGTTGTTGATGAAATCCACTTCACAAGGTAGCCATTGGTATCGGGCTGACCATATTCCATCGTCGTAATTCTCTTCTGTCGGTGTAACCTCCTCAGACCATGCTGAATATGGCAGAACCTGCCTCTGACGGCGGAAATAGCCAGGCGGAAATTCAGGCACAGTTTCACCCCGCCCGTAGGAGTTGATGGTATTGTCGAGACTCACGCGGCCTGAGTCCATCAGAACGCGTGTTCTACCGTAAACCAAGGGGAAAAGGCTTGGATCAACGAGATTCAGCACGGCCTGCTGCCTCGGGGCATTCTCCTCCGCTTCAAGTAGCTCCGCAGCGTCCCTCAACTGAGTCTGAATCATTTCCGCAACTGCATCAGACTTGACAATTCCTGCTCCAGTGTTGAAGACCACAATGTTGCCAGTTTGTTCGAAATACGGAGCTTTGTCCCGCAGCTCGGCTAAGCACCAGTCCCATGCCTTAGGACTAATAAGCGGTCTGGATAGTGCTTGCTTACGCCAGTCTACCATCAGATTATCGTCGAATATGTTTTCGTGCCAGCCATGCTCTTCAGTCAGGTCGTTCATAAGCCCAAGCATGGCAAGTTCTCGTGCGGTCAGGTTCGGCCATTGTGCCCATTCGGTCGCACCATGAGTAAACCGATTCTGAGGGTAGAACTCAAGATCGAGCGGAACGTCGGAGAAACCAGGCACTTTCAACGAGCCATGACCATCGTTGTACAAGCATGGGTCGATCATTTGTCTGTAGCTGTTGACCAAGTGAAGATGATTTGCGGAGTGTCATAAAGATGCAGAATAGATATCTGTACTGCCTGCAGCATATATAATGCTCAATGCCGCCTAGGCCCAGTACCCTTTTCGTATTTTCCAGTGTCTAGTTTGATTACGGCCCACTAGGGAATGGTCTTATCTGAACAGGGACATGTCTTTTTAGCAATATGGTTTGTGGTCTAGAACGTGGCTCGATTAGCGCTTATTAGCGATATGACGAATATATTAATAAAGCTTGTGTACGGTCGACAGATGCAAAGTTGCCAGATCGTCAGAAGTCTTTTCCATGTGACATGAGCTGTGAAAATGTAAACCCATGTATTTCGAAAGTCTGGAAATCAGTACGTCTAATCCACAGTCGCTCACAGCAATCTCAAGCATACTCAAATGACCAATAAGCCTCGAACAGAATTCGTCTGTAGAGATCTCATTTCAGATTACATTCATATTTTTTTTCCTGGCAAAGTCAAGAGCTTGCAGTCACCCTGGCTTCCCCGCCTTTGCCGATCTCCATCGCAAACATCACTTCCTTAAAACACCACTTCTTTCTATCTTGCTATCATCAATCACACCCAATACAATGTCTCTATCATCGAATTTAGAATATCTCGGTGCAGCTACAGCTCTTCTCCTCACCTACAGAGCCATCTCCTTCTGCAGCATCTACCTCAAACCCAGCAAACTACACCGCTACAACCCCTCTGGTAATTCTTGGGCCCTAGTCACCGGCAGCACCGCCGGCATAGGCGAAGGTTTCGCCCACGCTCTCTGCGCCAAAAACTTCAATGTCGTTCTCCACGGCCGCAACTCCCAAAAACTCTTGGCTTTGAAAGCGACACTTGAGAAGAAATACCCAGACGTGCAGATCAAGATTGTGATTGCAGATGTGTTTGACCTTGATGTGGATATTAGTTCCATCGTTATGGCTTGCGAAAGTTTACCAGGACCTTTGACGTTACTGGTTAATAATGTCGGAGGCGCGCCTTTGAGTCCTTCATATGCTACTTTGGCAGAAGTAGATGCAACCTACGTGGACCAGATGATCAATCTCAACGCTAGGTTTCCCACCCAACTTACTCGGGCTCTACTTCCTTTACTATCCAAAAACTCTCCTGCTTTGGTTATGAATGCTTGCTCTGTTGCTGGCTTTAGCGGCCCGCCTTACTTATCGGTCTACTCGGCTTCTAAAGCTTTCAACTATGCACTCAACCAATCTTTGGTTTCGGAACTCAAGGCTGAGAAGAAAGATGTCGAGGCATTGGCGATCGTGATTGCGAATGTGGTTAGTGGAGGGAATAAGACTACAGAAGGAGCATTTACATGTACGGGACTGCAGATGGCAGAAATGTCGCTGGATAGGGTGGGATGTGGACAACCTGCGGTGTTTGGGTGGTGGAGACATGCTGTACAATGGTGGTGTATGAGTTTATTGCCCGAGTGGGTGACTGAAAAGATCTTGATCGGCGTTATGAAGGAGAGGAGAATGGAAGAGCAGAAAGGGGAATGATGTATCTTCGACAAGTATGTTCACATGGCGGATCTCTCCCTGCAAAAAAAAACAAGATAATAATCTCATCGCAGCGAGTAAAACTCAAACTCACATCTCCTATGTTTGTGTTTGCAAGCACGGTTATTCGCCTCTCCTCGGTTGGCCTTGAAGAAGAGTCATCGGAAACAATGCTTGTGTCAGCAAGCTCATTTGATGGTAAGGCGCCCTAACCATTGGGCCACCGCTGCTGTTGTTACAAAAACCCCCATCCCTTGTGGTTATGATGGTGTTTTCTAAATTGGAGGGTCTGTTTCCGATCCGTGGAAATGTCGTTGGGTATATTGTAAAGTTCATGACAACTTTATCTCATGAGTACTGCTATGTACTTGAGATGTGTCTTTTTTCCAAGACGAGGCTCTCGAGACTTGGACTTGATATCTTGAAACTGGGTAAATCGCGATGCATGGTATGCAAGGAGCTGATCTGAATATGTCCACGACCATCACTACAATCTCACCATCCCCATGTGTCAAACACCATCACTTTACACCTGTAGAAATGCACGATACTTACCAAGTCTGAGCATTGTCCAAGGAGATACCCAAATCTCTCGGCTCTCGGTGGAGACAGATACTTTCCCGATAACACCGTACATTTTTGCAACTGGTAAAAAAACGCCATACACTTTCATGGGAAGCGTAAAATATGATGAATAATAAGTAGCTAGTAACTCCACCGTACTCCAGCGACCGGCCTCGCTATGATCATACGTTACCAATGACAATCATAAATCGTAATTTGTTGGCGTCTCTGACAGGTACTTCTTCGGGATTGACCTCATCTCCATCGCCGAGCATGCCATCGTCAAGCATCAGAGTACTGCTCTTCCATCCCCAGCTTTGACTGAAATTGAACGTATCAGGTGCGCTCTCGTAGACACTCAGCATACGTCCGCCTTTACTGGGCGAGTAAATCTTGAAGTACGTCTTGATCGTCGGTCGACTATCAACGTAGGGCGGTAGTGTCGGCACGCGTATGCTACGTGTAAGCTTTGCAATCTCCGGATCTTCGTCTTCAAGTTCCGAGTCTTGCTCGTTGTCATAGTATGCAGGCTTGGTCGGGAAGTTGGATAATACATCCTGCTCACTACTCTTACGGTAGCCACTGAGTCCTCGAGATCCTCTTGGTGTTGTGTCGGCGCCGGCAGGGCCACCATCAGGATCGGTGTCGTTGCTACTGTCCGCATTATCTGCATCTGCGACGACATCACCGCTGCGTTGACGAGCTAATAGTCGCCTTCGTTCTTCAGCTCTGCGATCAGCACGTAGTATCATCTCACGCTCAAGATGACCGATACGTTCGTCCACACGCGTATTCGGCACAGGCTGCCCGCCAGCAGCCAGAGTCTCCTCCGTTTCTCGCTCTTTAGCACGATGAAGGTATACACCAAGCTGAGGATTCTTACCCCTTCGGACTTTCTGGATGTATAGATTCCACCAAGACCCTGAGTAGAATATGGTACGACTGTACACTCGCTTCTTCTCTTTGAGCAGACGAGGGCTTGGGAATTCAACGGCAAATCTGAAAGGTGGGAAGTGAGAATAGCTGACCGGACGCAGCTCGGATGCGTTCGAATCAGCAGCAGAGTCTGGTCGAATGATCTGAGGGATTGAACGAGTGTCTGACGGGTTGGCAGCAAAGTCTGAAGCCCATTGTACGTCTTCGGGTTGAACGGTAGCGGAGAGACGGTTCGATTGTGTGCTTGCTGCAGACATCATTGCGGGATCAGTGGCTCCTCCCATAACGATGTTACAGTCTGCTGACGGGATCCAGAACTTCCGAGGTTTGCCATTACCATCCCAAGAGTTGGAAGCAATTTCATCTTCGCCGATATCTTCAAAATCGTCGTAAGTGTCAGCTTTTTGTTTGCCCTTGACTGAAGTTTCTGTCAAGGAGGCTGCCCTTAGATGTGGACTCCGCAATTCACTGATTCCTTCGCTCAAGCCAAGCTCCATTTCAGTATCCTTGGCATTCAGTACTTTCTGACGAAGTTCCATTTGCATCCAGAGAGCATTTGAGATGACTTTGTCAGGCATCATAGGGAGACCAAGTATGTCTCGAGCTCTGCGAATATACTGCAACTGCTCAAAGTCCAGGTGAATATAGTGTATGCCCTCATCCAGAAGTACTAGTAAGGGCTCGATGTCTGGATGAGTGTAAAGGCTGATCCATTGGTGCAATCCGTCTGGAGCGGCACCAGCTGCCATAGCATTCTTACGATAGACCGAGTCAAACCTTACAGCCATGAGGTTGGCAGCTTCTGGAGCTTTTCGCACTTTCGACCAGGAGACAGGATCGACCAATCCAGCTTCGACAGCGAGTGCTTTGAGATGGCGATCCAGGAGTCGCTTGGCGAGTACCCATCTGTCCCATTCGCCATTGATGAAGAAGCCATCACCACCGACAATCTCTCGAATAATATCACCTGGTATGCCGTCCCAGAACTTTGTTGGCATTTTCCAACCATCGCGACATAACATAGCCTTGGCTGACGCAAGGATCTTGTCTCCAGACCGGCCATAGTAGTTGCTTGTGACCAGCTTGATGAGAGGTGCTAGAGTAGCAGTTGACATTTGCCTTAGCATAGACTCTATACTCGAGTCGATGAGATCGGGCATTTCCAGCCAACACGCTGTAGCGAACAGACTGACCGCTTCAGCATCCTCTTCCTCCGGTAAAGCAGCGCCATAGAGACGTTTCAGGGCCAGCTCGAATGAGACTTGAGTGATGTTGGTGTCGATGTCCTCAGGGTGTAAGGTGATATCACTGGCTTTACTCTCGAGCCATGGTCCAGATAGAGCAGAAGCGAAGAATGTGGCTTGATCGAGAATCAGGCGGTGAAGCTTATAGGGATAGCCAAAGACATGGACAGTAATGTCTGAGTGTCGGCCACCTAGAAGACCTCTATTGTAAAGGTGAGAGTGTAAGGGTGCGGTGTCACGAGTAACAGCAGCTGAAACTAGTCAACACAAGGTACTTGTGACAAGGTCATGAGATGAGGGAGCAGGTGATAAGACATACATGGAACAGGCAGACCATTCGGGAGTTGAGAGTCGGACAGAGGACGATATTCAGGAGAAGTTGCCGACTGGACGGCAAAGAGACGACTAAGGGTAGTGAGGGTAGTACTCTGCTGCCTGTTGACCGAGTAGCGGCTAGACGAGACCGGGTTACTGGGATCATCAACATCCTTCTCGACGCGAGGTATTCTCCGGCGGTTGATAGTAGCACGGACATGGTCCTCTGGAGATGATGGAGAATCCAGATTTGTGCTTGAGTCGCCGCCGATGGCGCGCGACGAGTCTAATGTGAGGAGAGCGGGGGCAGGAGTGGGGGTAGAAGGGGTTGGAACAAAATGATTAGGCGATGAGTTGAAAAGCGAACGACGCGGAAGGGTAGAACGAGAATTAGAAGAGATAGTCTGATGCAGCGACGAGTTTGGCGAAGCATCGAAAAATTGGTTATCGTCGGCCATGATGTCAAGGTCACTTGGAGAGATATGTGCACTGAGATGCGAGGAATGAGGCGGATGCACGCTACACAAGCTCTACCTCATGCGTGATAGCTCGGTGGGCGCAGGCAGGCAGGTAACTGTGTACCGCGTGTCCTCTGAGCGAGCGGGCAAACGAGCGTGCTTATCAAACAAAAAAGTGACGGATGTGGATGTGGTGTAAAGAGTGTTGGACGTGACAACCAGGTCGACACGAAGATTACAAGAGGGGGAAGATTGCTAGCATCGAGGATGAGCGAAAAATGATGTTCAGTTTGAATCAACACCTGGATGGTCGGTGCAGCTCGCTCGGTCGCAAAAAGAAGTTCAAGCCACCACGCGGAAGGGACTGGATGGACCCTTTTTGCGGAGGCTTCTGCCATACCAAACATGGTTAGAGCGAGCGGCGGCGAAGGTCAGTGCTTGGCGTCACGCCAGATGACCATTGGCTGTAGCGTGATTCACGACAAGAGATTCCACGATTCTTCGTTCTTTCCACTTTCTTGTTTCAACGAGCATTCACATCCAAGATGCGCCCACCGTTGGCAGTGTTTGGAGCGCTGCGGCGCACTCTTCCAGCTTTCAATGCTGCCGAAGCCTTCGTCTGCCGCAAGAGCGTGCACAACAAGGCACAGACTGGATACAAATCTGTCCGCCAAACTCCGTTCTTGAACGCCTTCCGTTCTCGTGCTGCTCCGGCAAGACAGCAATCAACAACCGCTCCTTCCTCGTCCCCGCTCTCCGAATTGAGTCAGAAAATCGGTCAATCCTCTGCTTCCGCCAAAAATGCAACAAGAAAGAGCTCGTTCCCTGAAACTTCGGACAAAAAGGTTGGATACTGGTTGCTTGCTAGCTCTGCCAGTGTCTTTGGTATCGTCATCTTTGGTGGTCTCACCAGACTGACTGAATCTGGGTTCGTGGCCAATTCTGTTCCTGCTTCCGACTTTGACTGACTGAGTGTGGCGCAGATTGAGTATCACCGAATGGCGTCCCGTTACTGGTTCCCTCCCTCCTATGGACGCTGAGAAGTGGGAATCCGAATTCGCTCTCTACCGTGCCTCGCCCGAGTTCAAGCTCCTCAACCCTCGTATGACATTGGAAGAATTTAAACAAATCTACTGGATGGAATGGATTCACAGACTGTGGGGTCGTTTCATTGGCATCACCTTCCTGCTACCTACCGCCTACTTCATCGCCCGTCGCCGTGTCTCTGCTGGCATGGCTCTTAAGCTTACCGGTATCTGCGGTTTGATTGGTTTCCAGGGTGTCATTGGCTGGTGGATGGTCGCAAGTGGTCTCAAGGATGATTTGTTTGCTCCTGGAAGTCACCCTCGTGTCAGCCAGTACCGTCTCACTGCTCACTTGGGTACAGCTTTCATCTGCTACCTCGCCATGTTCTGGAACGCCTTGTCCATCTTCCGCGAGAACCGTCTTCTGGCTAACCCACAAGAGTCTTCTAAGCTGCTGAAGCAAATGATGGTTCCTGAACTCAAGTTCTTCCGTCGTAGTGTTGGTGCTCTTCTCGTCTTGGTCTTCATCACTGCCATGTCTGGAGGCCTTGTCGCTGGTCTGGATGCTGGTCTCATCTACAACGAGTTCCCGTACATGGGCCTTGGTCTCACGCCTCCTAAGAAAGAGCTGTTCGATACCTTTTACAGCCACGTTCCTGACCACTCTGATCTGTGGTGGCGCAATGTTCTTGAGAACCCCTCGCTCGTTCAGCTTGACCACCGTATCCTGGCAACTACCACCTTCACCGCCGTCATGGCTCTTTGGGCCTACACTCGCTTCGGTCGTGTTCGCACTTTCATGACTCCAGGTGCAAAGAAGGGCATGCGTGGTGTTGTCCACTTGGTCTGGCTGCAGGTCGCTCTCGGCATTTCGACCTTGCTGTATATGGTTCCCATCCCTCTCGCCTCCGCCCACCAAGCAGGCGCTCTAGCCCTGCTGACAGGCACAATCGCACTCGGCAGCCGCGTGTGGTTCCCGAAGCGTGCAGCCAAGCTAGTCGCACAAAGACTTGCTGCACCTCATGTGTCAGCCATTGGCAAGAGAGGTCCTGATGCCATGCTTGCTGCCCGCATGGGTCTGCCCGCTCGCTCGTAGGTTGCCGCACATGTACGATTTTCTTTCTTTTTTGTATCAACACTTTCCACTCTTCTGTTTTTGGTTGTTTATTTGTTTTTATAAAACCGCATAGCGAGGTGGTGTACCATATTCTCTTATTATAGACCCCCTAAAGGAGTTTTAGCTCCTTTTTCCATGTATACACTACAATTTTTTCTACTCTGCTTATTGCTATTCGAACAGCTGTCGCAATGCAGCAGGGTTTTTGAAAAAGAGGCTGTGCCCGTGGGGAGAGAACGTTTGATGGGCTCTCTCTGAATACATCCCGAGTCCGGATATTATTTTGCATTTTGATAGTCAAATCATCGCTGCTCGTCATTCTGGGAGCGATGCCTCCAGGAGGTATGGTAGCGTGCCCCCCTTTCCTCGTTTATGGCAGCCTTACTGTCTGACCGCCATGTCCCTCTCCCCGAACTGCACTTACATGGAGGTTATGCACTATAAAAAGTCACAATACTTTTCGAGTGTGAGAGATGTCCATCGAGAGCGATCATTTTAGTCACTCTCGGTGGACATGACTTCAACTACGAAACATCTGTGCCTTTTCATAGGTACAAGGGAGGCCTTTCGGCAAGGAGAAAGAGATGTGGTTTAGGCACGGGATGGTCAAGCCATCGATGCATCCAGAGTGCTTCCCCCTTGTGTTCATCGTTTTCATTCCTTGGGTATTCCACCTGTTTCCAGCTTATCCCGAGAGATTGTGTCATAATTGACCCATGCAATAGGACCACAGACAACGTTAGTCAGTAGAAGGTCCTTGTGAGTTCGCCACGGTCGCAACTTGAACTCAGGTTGCTGGCGAAGGTCCGCGTCCGGCTGAAAGTAAGAGCTGTCGACCTCGGACATGGCCGACAGAGTAGGAGAGGGATCCTTCAGCGCAGCACTTGGACGCATACACTCCCTCAACAGCAGCTCGAGTTTCTTCCATCGACCATCGTCTTTCCAGTTCTTGCTGTAAATGTCTGTTGCCCTTGTCTTGACGGACTCGTCTAGACTGATTTGTGCTGGGTCCAGTACCGAGGAAAAGTTCTTCTTGTGTAAATCTGCACATTTGGCTTGGAGTTCTCTAGCGGAAGTGTAATGAGAATGGACGAGATCAATAAAAATCCTGGAATCGAGTACTAGACGGAAAAAATCAAAGAAGAATGATAAACGAATGTGTAGTGCGGAGTAGGTTTGTGCAAGTTAGAATGAGCTGAGTGTCATGAGGTCTAGACTGTAGGTTTTTTCGAGTCTGATTGGACCATCTCCATGATATAAGATTGTGGTATGTCTGGTTCGAAGGGGTCATTGTTGGATTTATCAAGCCGGCAATCGTGGCGGTTGACGAAGCTCACTTGGTCAGGAAAGTCGTGCCCGCAGTGTTCTTGCCTTTTCTGAATTGACCGGATCTCAGTTCTCCTCTTCAGCATCTGCAACCAGCATTGTGCAACATGACAGCTGACTTGTGTCAAATGTCTGCGCACTGTGTGTAAGGTCTGTTATTATTTTCATTCAACTCCACATCTTCACCAGAATGTCAACTCGGGCGTTGGCTTGTACCACTCAATTCGTATCTGCGATGTATTCTCATTTTCTTTGCTTCACAACTCCTCTCTTGCACTTTCTTCCACAATCCTACGCATTCCTTAGCAAAATCAATCAACAAGCTGCAATTCTGCAAAACTTCAGGCTCCAAACCCACCCGAAAGCACCAAATATCACGACCAGCCTCCCATTATCTCTTTCCCTTCCCCCTACGCCAAAAATGATGTCTTGTTAAGCAGACAAATGGCAAAAGAAGGGTCTCGCCGGGAATCGAACCCGGGACCACTCGCAATTGGCTTAGAGTTTTCAAGATGCTGTGAAGCACCTCCCTAAGCGAGTATCATACCGCTAGACCACGAGACCTGATCAATTGATCTGCTTGATGAGGAAGATTCCACCAAGATAATATATATTCCTCGCGTTCGAATAATGTTGAGCGAAGTCTGGCAACAATTGTGGCTGAGTTTTGCAATCTCACACGTTTCGCTTTTTTGACTTTTGTGTGAACGCAGACACGGCAAACGGGTGCGCAACCGAAGCGGCAGAGGAAGCGGGGTGGAAAGTGTTCCATGTGCCACACGATGCAAAGAAGGGAAGCCCATGTGCTTCGCATTCGCAAACAAGACAAGGCGGTGAGATGTGGTTTTGGATTGATAGACAAGCAGAACCGAGAGAAGCCTTTGCATGTGCCTCTTACCTGCAATAAACCCAGCACCAAGGAACAGATCTGACAGCCAAGTCGTGGTTCCTGGGAATTGGCAAAAGAGGAGGATGAGAAGGTTTAAACGGAGATTAGCGAAAGCATCCATGAGACTCCTAACGGAGTCTCTGCAGATCCTCGTTATACTGAACAAGTACATGTCTTCTTGTCGTCACTACTGTACTGTCGGTGAAACTTGTAAAGTCTTTAGATAACAAGGTTAAGAAAAGGACCTTTTCTCTCCGACGGATAGACTGGAGAAGGATGCGAAGCGGGGCACTTTGGGGCCTCCGTACAGTTACAGCATGGAGTCGGTGGTATGTCGGCCATGTTGAAGACATCATGTGCGATCTGATGGAACAGGTGTCACTATCCGAAGGTAGAGTATTGAATTAGGGCGTATTTAGGGCTCGAGCGTTAAACAGTCCTCGAGGATTAGAAGGTCCAAACAATGAGTACGGAACGGTCCCGTGGTATTCGGCACCGAGTAGCGAGCGCTTCGCAAACCAGCTCCCGATCCTGTGACAGATGTTCGGGACCAGGTCAAGCAGAAACAGACATGGAAGTCCTCAGATAGCAAAGCCTTACGACAGTCCAGGCCTTTGTTCAAGCGGCATGAAACAGCTGCAGCAGTTGGATGTTTGTCGCTGGTTGGATCAAGTTGGGTCATCTGAGCAGGCAGCCTCGGTAGCAATCTCCAGATGCAGGGACGCACAGAGCTCATGTGGCTTGTCTTTGCCCCGCAGCTCGTGTACAAGGAGAGTTCGAAGCGGTCCAGAAAGTTAGACCAGGTCATTGCGGGGCGGGGCCGGGGGTTCGAAAGAGGGACAGAGATGTGATGTGAATCGTTTTCCCGAATGTTGTGTTTTTCCATTCACCCTCTCATCAACCCGTCACACACGACGAGACATACAATATGACGACGCCGCCAGATACGACGACTCACAGGCACGATGTGAGCCACAGCCCTGGAGAGGACTCGACATCGCCGGGTGTCAAGCGAGACGCTCCACTGGACGATGAGGCCGAGAGAAGCAAGAAGCGACGCATCACTCGAGCATGCGACTTGTGCAACAAACGTCGAGTCAAGTGTGACGGACAGCAGCCTTGCTCCAGATGCGCAGGACACGACGTGTGCGAATACCAAAGAGCAGTCTACAAGCGGGGAAAGCCCAGTCGTTCGGCCTTGCTGGAGCGACAGAATGGACACAAGCAGGAAGCCGCGCCTGCACCTCCTGTACCTGCCCCTGCTCCTGCTCCGGTGCAACAACAGCAGCAATCGCTACCGCCTCAACACACGCAGCCGCCGCCTCCACCTACCGTTTCCCTTTCCGCCAATTCGACCATAACAGATCCAACACAACAATCTTCGGCATATGCTCGACACAGCTCCTTTGGGACCGATCATGGCATGCAACCATTCATGCATCGCCCCAGTCTGGGAGAACGCCACGCTTCGACCGTCACCTTGGACAGCAATGCAAATATGTGGAATGGTCGATACTCGATTGATTTGGGAACCGCTGCGTTCAACACATCAATGACCGCTCCTGTCTTTGGCGCTGAAGATGGCGGTTCGGAGACAAATTCAGGGGGTGCTGGACATCCCAAATATCCTGTCCTTGTTCCCCTTCTGCCATATGTTGCCTCCATCTTGACCGAATCTCAGGCTGCAAGTCTGCTCGAGCTCTACTTCACCAGCCAATTCAACACTTTCATGCATCCCGTGTGTCGCCATATACATGCTTTTGTTTTCCGAAAAGCTTCAGTGATGAGTAAGGAGAATCCTCGAACTTGCAGTCCAGCTTTACTCGCAAGTATGCTGTGGGCAGCTGCCGAAACAGGAGGTCCGGAAACTTTGTCTTGGTCACACTCAAAGCGCATCAACATTTGCAGGAAACTGCGGCTGGTCACAATTCGCTTGCTTCACCCCTTGGTTCACTCGGATATTGGCTGCGTGCATGAGTTGACCGATGGACCCACCAGAAAACTCCAAGAATCGAGTTCGGGCACGCTGGACGATGTCATAACGTATATTCACATTGCTGCCATCACATCTGCCAGCGAAGAAAAGGCAATGAGCATGAGATGGTGGCATGCAGCTTTTGCTCTTGCGCGAGAACTTGGTCTGAACAAGGAGCCCATTTCTGGTTCATCCATCCCAGGGGTTTCTCCAACAGCAAATAACCAGAGCATGATCGAATTTGAAAGCGACCCCTGGCTTGGGTTGAACTCGTTCGACTTTGACAATGGTCTTGCACAATATATGGATGCTGCAGATACCGCACAGCCCGAGGTGGATCAAGAAACGCTGGAAGAACGAAGGAGAACTTGGTGGTTGCTCTACATCCAGGATCGCCATTTGGCACTCTGCTACAATCGTCAAAACGCCTTATTGGATGCTGAGTGCGAGGATCTCCTATTACCACTGGATGAAGCGTCCTGGCAGTCGGGCACTTTCTCATCACTTACGCAACGCCCACAATTTCCTTCTTTTGAATGTACCGGTCACAACATTTATGGCTGGTTCCTGCCATTGATGACAATCGTCGGTACCATACTCGACTACAACCACCTGAAAAACCATCACACTCTGGGCAAACTCTACTCAGATGGCCAACGCGTGCAATCTCAGGTGTTGCTGCAACTCGACAACTACGAGCAAAGTCTGGTTCGATTCGAGCAACAAGCATCAGCATTAGACTATCAAGACATCCATCACACGAAAACCGTCGTCGCATACGCAAAACTCGTCATTCAAGTCTCGCGAGTGTTGCTAGCAGGCAAATGGGACCCTATGTCTCTGTTCGACGACAGGGACCTCTTCATGGCTACCCCTTCATTCACCACAACCATCGCAAATGCCATTGCAGCTGCGGACAATGTCTCGCATATCCTGGATGTCGACCCAGATCTCGGCTTCGTGCCCTACTTCCTAGGCATCCAGTTGTTGCAAGGTAGTCTACCACTTCTCTTGATTGTAGATCGACTGCAAACAGAAACGGACCCGAAGATAATCAATGCTTGTGAAGTCATCATCCGCGCGACTGAGGCTTGTGTTTCGACTCTAGATACAGAGTATCAGGTAACTTTTCTTCCACCTTCCGCTCCAGGATTGCAGTACTGACATTCTTCGCACAGCGTAATTACCGTCAAATACTCCGCTCCGCAGTCACACAAGCACGAGGCCGCTATGTACCACAAAAAGAAACACAATACAGACGACACACCGTTCTCGCTCTCTACCGCTGGACAAAGAACGGTACTGGTATTGCGCTACGATAGATAGAAGGAGCAAAGCAGAACAAACGGGGATTTGACACGAACGATCATGACATTTGGGGCGTTTGGTTGGAGCTCACACGACTTTGCTGAGCAGCGGAAGATAAACTAGCACAATTGTTGGCTACAAAAAACCACTTATCTTGGAAAAGTTTCAGCCGCGGTGTTTTTGCTGGAGCTGGTTTTGTTATGCATACCCTCGTTTACCATTCTAATGTACATTTTTTGGACGATATCAACACCTTCCGTATCAGTGTTCAGAAGGTTCTTTCATAACTTTTGTGCTTGGGAGTATGTTCCAGACAACATGCCACATCGTGTCTAGCACATCGTTTGGATCTTGTTGTCAACGATAATCGACCGGACAGGGTGCTACTATTCACAAGTCTTGCAGTTACTGTCGACGACATTGCTCGACCAACAAGGACTTGATTCTTCATATGTATAGCTCAGTAGACTCTCGATGACTCTGGACACACTATGCAGTGCTATAGAAAGCCTCGCTATCCGTACTTGCCGCATTATCGTCCAAAACAACTTTCAGCTCTCGTAGTGCCAGTCTCTCAACCAGGTTCCATACACCACTAGCCGGCCACACAGACCCGAAACAGAGAAAGACAAAAGAAACAGATCCTCGGCGATGCAAGCCGCTAGCCATCTAGACCGTAATGCAGTTGTCAGAGATCCTACCAAAAATCTTCCGAAAATTCATCAAAGCCTGCCCAGATCTCAGCACCACCTCCTGGAGCAAAAAGAACATGCAGAGCATCAGCAAAACAATGATTCCGCCCGGGTTCGAACCGGGGACCGCCTGTGTGTTAGACAGAAGTGATAACCAACTACACCACAGAACCAGTTGATGTGGGCGAGGTTGAGTTTTGAGTACATAGCCTGACAATTAAGTGAGGATCATGGGCTCACCTCGCATCTACTCACGTGCACAGCGTCTTGCTTGTGGCAGGCCACTCTCGACCAGCTATCGACGGGCAACAAACAACCGCACAAGCATCATCACATCTCACAGCCTTCCAACACTGGAGATCTGTCGGCCGAGCTCGCCCACACAATCATCACCTCGTCTCCAGTCACTCTCTCAACGCATCACTGAACGATGCATATGATGATGGAATATGATGACGGAGGTGGTGGTCCTGCAGATGCCCCATCGGCGGTGCTTCGGACAGAAGTTGGAGAACTGAGCTGCGTTGTCACAGGCAACAAGCCGAGGTGGAGGACCCTCACAAAAGAATTGGAATAGGCACTGGCAAGGCGGCCTGTTGCGATGAAGGAAACATGTTCGAGCGTTCTTGAAACTTAATGCTTGAGTGACATCGATCAAGCATTAGAATCGTGAAGATCATGGCGATGGAAGAAAAAAACAATAAATGGGAGAAAAATCATGACGCGATCGAGTTGCTTCCAGCCGAGGTAGGTCACGATTACGTGGGGAAACCATGATAGCTTGAAGGCACTCGAGTCCAAAGGACAAGCCAGATCATATCACAGCAGAGCCCATCATGTCAAGTGCTCCAATCGAAGTGCTCATCTTCGGCGCAGGCGCCGTGGGAGCTTTCTATGGCTCTAGACTCGCCCAAGCGCCAAACGTCAAGGTCTCGTGTGTGTGTCGCTCAAACTACAAGGCCGTCGCCAGCAATGGCTTTGCAGTGAGCTCGCCGCAATACGGTGACTATAAATGGATGCCTACGCGTGTGTTTGCCAATCCGAAGGAGGCTGAGCAGAGTGGTGTCAAGTGGGAGTATATCGTCGTCAGCACAAAGGCATTGCCAGACGTTAGCGACGATTCTGAATCATTGGAGGGACTGGTGCATGAGGGAACAGCAGTCGTGCTAATACAGAATGGTTTGGGTGTCGAAGAGCCGTATGCGAAACGCTTCTCTTCAGCATGCATCCTCAGTGCCGTCACAGTGGTCTCAGCAGCTCAAGAACGACACGGCGAGATCAAGCATAACCGCTGGACTCGCATCAACATCGGTCCTTACCTACCAAACCCATCCGCCACCTCAACCCACGCCGAGCAGCAAAACGCAAAGTTCGCAAAACTGCTGCAACAAGGCGGTGTCAAAGATGCAGAAGCCTACACACACGCAAAACTCCAACTCGTGCGTTGGCACAAACTCGCCATCAATGCCTCGATGAATCCTTCCAGCGTCCTCTCCAACGGCAGCACAAATGCAGCAATGGCAAAAGACCCAGAACTGTCTCGCCATCTGCACGCAACCATGCTCGAAATCCTTCACACCGCGCCCAAGATCATTGGTCAAGAGTTCCCACCCGAGTTCGCATCAGCCGACAAGCTACTCGCCAGCACCAGAAAGAATACTTCGGGAAGCAGACCTAGCATGTGGCTTGATTGGGAGGCTGGCAAGAGAATGGAGCTGGAAGTCATACTCGGCAATCCTATACGCATTGCCAGGGAGAAAGGCTTTGAGATGCCGAGGCTACAGACCTTGTACGCGTTGTTGAAGATGGCGCAGACCAACAGAGACGAGCAAGCTGCCAAGGCCAAGCTGTGAGGTGGTTTAGGTATTTAGGCAAGAGCTAGGCAAGAGCTCGCAAGAGCAGCCGAGCTGTGTGCTAGACAAGAGCGGCTGCGGTCCGGCGGAATACTCAAGGTACACGCGGCTGAAGAAGGGCTAAAGAAGACTAGTAAGAAGAACTTTTTGTCTTTCTAGGTTTTCCATTGGCGGACTTTCGGAAAAGTGTGTTTTTTCTGTGCCTTTTTGTGGTGGCTTTTTTAGCAGCGGCTGGATCCTTGTCGGACAGCTGTTTCGCGAAATCTTTCTCACCTGCATATTTTCCTTGTGCATGTCTTTGTACCTTGCTGCGTTTCATCTCCGACATCTCGTCCTGCATTAGAGCGTGTTAGCAGCTGGTGTCTGACACCTTGACACCATGGAATTCAGCGCTCTAAGTGGCTAGTCGATCAAGTGGCGAGGTGCATAGTGTAAGGTGTTAACACCATGGTGTAAAGGCCGTATAGTTAGTAGATCTTACCGAGTTTAGCTAGTTCAGCAGTAGTTCAATTAGCGTACCGGATAGCTAGCGTAAGGCCTCTAAGCTCTAAGCTTTAAGCTCTAAGCTCTAAGGCCTCTATATACAATGTCGTCAACATAAACAATTAGAGTAGCTAGAGCTCGTACTTACTACTAAGTTAATAGAGCTCGCCGAGCTAGCTAAGTACTTAGTCGCTACCGTCGATAGGAGCCCTCGGCTTTACTACGCTAATCTAACCGAGCTAGCTAAGCTAGCTTAGCTAGCAGACCCCTCTAAGTACGTAGAGCGCGTAGAGCGCGTAAAGCTAGTAGAGCTAGAGCTAGAGCTTAAGCTCTTAAGGAAGAGAGAGTCGTCGTAGAAGAGGTAGTAGAGGCTCTCGTAGCGCGCCGATAGCTCTTAACGACGACTAAACTAGCCGCTACTAGACTAAGTAGCGTAAGAAGGAGCTACTCGATATCGCTTAGATCTATACGCCGGCGTATAACACGATGTTAGTAGCGAAGTAGTACCGGCGTATATAGGCGGATTAGAAGAGGAAGACTAGCTATAATTACTAGTCGCTAAGAAGGCGCTTCGAGGCCATAGTTAAAGAGCGCCGGCGCGCGTAGCGACTAAGGACTAAGACCTCTAGTACTAAGAACGAGACTAACTATATAGTTAGCATAGATCGCTTTATCTAAGAGGTAGTTAATCGCGTAGTAGAGGCTAATTTAGCTACGTAACAGACTACTAAACAACAAAGGCGCTAGAGCCGTCGTATAGAGCGTAATCGACAGCGTATAACTACGCGAGCTACTTAGTAGCGCGTAATTAATTAATTAAGTGATAAGGACTTAACTTTAGAGGACTTAGAGAGCCATAGCGCTAGCGCTAGCGATGAGTTTAAGACTAGAAGTGTTAACATAGAGCTAGAAGTTAATGTTAACATAGCGCGTAGAGGCCGAGGAGTAGCTAGCTTAGTTTAGCGCCGCTAGTAAGGAGGTAGTTACTATGGCTTAAGTAGTAGTTACTTAGGGCTACTAACGTAGAAAGAGGCGATAACTAAGCTAGTTACTATTGCTCGAGCGCTTACTACGCCTTAAGTAGCTCTAATATTAGAGCTAACTAAGCTTTAAATAGAGGTTAGCGAACTTAAAGGTACTATTTAGCGATAAGAGGCTATGTTAGCATAACTACTTTAGCACTAGTAGTAGCTAGCGCCTTAGCTAGTGCCTTAGCCTTAGTACTTATTAAATTAGTATGATTAGAGCTCTTAAAATTAGCCGAATTTTTAATTGCTAGCTTACTATATATAAAGGTATGTCTCTACTATAGGAGGAGGGTATACAAAGCGAATAGACGACTAATTCTAGCTACTAGTACATGTATATAAGTTAGTCAATAGTATTAATACTCTAAAGAAGGCTACAATAGCTTATTTACTAAGCTCGAGGCCTTTAGTAAACGCTATATACGTCTATAACGACTAAGTCCTTCTAAAGGCATGCTTAACTGCTATTCGAACCTTTAATAGCCGTCTATTAAAGGCTCTCTGCTCGGCTATAAGGTATCTAAAGCTAAATTAATGTCGATATAGTGCTATAACTCTAGGATGGTTACTATACGCGAGGTCTCTATATACATAGTACTTCTCGCGTAGTAGTAGTAGCTTATTAAGCTTCGAAGGCACTACTAAGCTCTACTATATTAACTAGTCGTTATCTTAGCCATAGAAGGGACTAACTAGCGAGCTAATAAGGCCATCTAGAGTAATAATAGCTTAGTATTTAAAGCTATAGCCATAGTAATAGCCTAAGTAATAGTCGCGCTATCGACGAGTTAGTCGACTAAAGCCTCTAAAAGTACCGTTAACAAAGCCCTATATACTAACTCTACCTCCTTTGCGGCGTATATACTCCTTAAACTATTAAATACGTAGAAGCTCTAGCTAAGGATGCCACTTAAGTTACTACTAATACTTCCTATTAAGGAATTTAATAGTATCGGTAAATATTGTACTTAGATAGCTACGGTAGCGGCTAAAGTGGTTATAGAGGACGGCCTAGTTAGTTAGATAGCGAAGCCTCGCATAGGTAACTACTAGCGCGAAGTATAGCGAGGGAGGCTTTAGTCGATTGCTAAATTCGAGCGTATCGAGCTTAAGTAGCTACGTTAATCTAACTACCTCTTCTTAGTTAAAGCGACAGAAGTACTTAAATTTATCGGTTAGCTAGCTCTCGAGGTGCTAGTCGAAGTAGTTATATAGTAGAGGGGGCTTATATAGCTAGCGGCGAGGGTAAGGGCGCTAGTATATAGCGATCGCTACGATTAGTATAAATAGCATACGACGGCGAGCTTCCTCTATGGCGTCTATATATAGTAGTTAGTAGTAGCGACGACGACGACGATAACGACGACGACGTTAACGAGGGGTACTATACGCTAGCAGTAGCTACTAGCGCTAGTAGAGTAAGTACTATGGCTTAGAGGCCTCGGAAGTAGCGTAAAGTTGCTTGCTTATTATAAGGTATTAGTGTAAAACACTAGCTACTAACACGCTCTATTGTCCGAAGGCTTAACCATGCTATATCACTTTTAATCCTTGTAGAAACCAGGACTTTAGCTGCTTTGCGTTCATGCGCGACAGTAAGCCGCACGAAAGGAAAAGAGCTAACCCTAAAGCCTCGAACCCTTACGATCTTAACGAATCGTGGTAACTGAAAGAGTTAAACTTCGCAAGTCTTTTGGTTCCTTAGACAAAAGCCCCAAGTCGGTATAAAAGCCCTATTAGTCAATAGGGAAACCTTACCAAAGAGGACACATAGCACTCAATATTTGTGTATTTATTGTAGAGAGACTCACGCGGGAGCTATCGATAGGACAGATAGTGGATAAGAGACCAATGGAAGTTTGGTTTGGGCGCAGTAAAGACGACGAACCGCCGCCGGTCGATGGTACACTTTTCCGTTGCTTAGTGACCCAAAATCACAATGTTCGCACCACGTTGCCCATGCATCTACCGTGCCGGTCGGCTGTGTTGTACTGTACCGAGTTGTTGGGTCAGCTGCAGGCTGCCGACGAAGAACACTTGTGGATGTCTTCTCCGAGTTGCGCAACACAATGTGTAGAAGGGCCACGACTCGAGGCAGTCAAGCATGTGAAGGCGCGAAGACTCCGCCGAAGAGCAAAACCCACAGACAACGGCTTTTTTAGTGGTGATGGGAAAAAGTGGAGGATGTGCCCGCTCCACTTTTCGCTAAAGGAAACTGCTCTTGTTGATGGAGATCAAGCTCTTTGCGGCATGACCCAAAGAGTCGAAGATGTGTTGCTGTATGTCGCGTGCGTTGTACCTCTCATTTGCTGTGCAGTTAGATCGAGGATCCTGGCTCTTCTCAGATCCCGTCCTTGCAGGAAGGACAGCCGCCTCGCTACGAGTCGAGATTCGAAAGCCAAAGAGATGCAGTTGAGAATGTCAGCAGAAGATGTGCTTGTCACACCTGCGGCCTAATGGATGCATACGTCGCAATGTCAGCAACCCTTCTCGAACAGTCTTTGGTGAAGATGCAGCTCGATGTCACGCCGTTGAAGACAAATGGCAAGTATTGTTCAACCGAGACATCGAAGACTATTCAATCGCTCTATTGATCCTTCAAGCCAGACGGGCGGATGTTGAGGCATCTGAGACAAGGTTGATAGATTCGATGATTGAGGTCGATAAGATAGAAGTCTATGGACCTCGACCACTTCTCACACGACATCCTTGACTACAGGCTCCCCATGTATTGATCTGCTGTCGTCGTAACCACGTGTGGAAGGTGCGACTGCATGTAAGCGCTGAAGTGCACCTTGCATATGTCGGTCGATCGATTGACCTTGCAGCATTCTTCCCACCACAACTTCTGACCTAGCCAAAGACCACGAAGCACACGACTGTCACAATTTCTCAAAATTGACAACGCGCGGCTACTTCCACTCATCAATTGAAAATTATACATCCGGCACTTTGTTGTTGACACAAGGGCCCACACACACCAGCAGTCTTTTTTTTTCTGTTAATTGTCCGATGCAGGGCGCGTAAAAGCAACCGAAGAAAACCACAGTGTATTGGTGTGGATGGGACGGGTGTGTAGCACAGGCTGAGAAAACAAGGTTTGGTACCTGGACACCAGAAAAGTGTATTCTGCGACATCGTTGGTACCTGAAAATCAGCGACGCCAGTACCTGAGAGCTTCGGAAGCCATTCCAACATGTGCATCTACACAGTACATCCATGTCTGTCATGGGCCGCCGGCGCACGGAGTGTCTGATCCGAGGCCTGTTCGATTCACAAGTGGATGATGGCAGCCTTGCCGCGCGCGCAGCTCAATCGCGGAACCTGGACATGATGGCCAATCACCCAGGGTACGTAGCGGAAAGATGTGGACCTGGCCGCAGCAGGCAAGGATGGTGACGCGCAAGACCAGAGCACGGCGCCATGTTCAGAACTTCGAAGCGCTCCGACATCTCATGCTGTCGGCGAGTCAAAAAACAACCACTTCAAAGTCTGGTTACCGTCAGGTACTCCCGTCCAACTAGCCAATTTTCACCAAAACTACGAGTTGTGTACGCGGCAGAGCAACGGGCGACGCTTTCCCCTTTTCACTCCCATTTAGCGGGTTCTAGACTTGAGTTGAGTTGCCAGCAGAGCAACAAGTGTTCCAAACGTCTAGACAATGGATATTCGGACTCGATTCTGAATTCTCATTGGTTCGCGGCTGAAAGAGAAAATTGGGGCTTTCGGTCCATGCAGTCCCAAAGTGTATGCAAAGCACAGCTCTTCCACAAAGACAACAAAGCATGGATCATTGTCTCCATCCTGGCGCATTGACGAGGCGCCAAATGATGGGAAACGGCTTGATTACGTCCACTGGGAGGGGGAGGCCCACGAATGGACGGGCCCTGCAGGGCGGCAACGGCTTGATTAAACATTGATCAATACAGCGTGTGGAAGACGCTCAGATTCATAAAAGAACGGTAAGCCCATCCCATCCTCACTCTCTTTCCTCTCCCAAGTCACTCTCTTTTTCCTTCTTTTGGTTGTATTCCAGTCGACGCCATCGCGGCCACACATTCACTTAACACCACTATCAAACCAAAAAACCAAACACCAACCTTTTTTCACTACCCACACAATCGTTTTATCAGCCGTCAAGATGCGCTTCAACCTTCCTACCGTCCTTCTTGCCAACCTGGCCCTCAGCAGTGCTGCCGCCATCCCCAAGCCCGTCGTCGAGGAGCGCGGTCTCATTGGTTCCCTCCTCCAAACCCTCGGCTGCCTGACTGGTCAGAACGCCAACTCTGCCTCTGCTGGCCACGCTTCCTGGATCGGTAACGACGGTGACTACGTCACCGAGTTCAACAACGAGTCCGGTGAGGACGTTGTCCTTGTCATGTGGGGCCCCGTCGGCTCCTGGGTCAACGTCCAGGCTCCCCTGATCACCTACCAAATCAACAACGGCAGCTCTGTCAACATCTCCACTGTCACTGGCACCTCGGGCGGCTGGGCCGCCCTCTACCCCGACACTGAGCTCGTCAACGGACAAGTTAGCAACACCTGGGGTGAATTCACCTACAACGGCGAGTACTCCACCGTCGATGTCTCTCGTCTCGTCAACATGAACGGCAACAAGATGTCCATCGAGGGTGCCCAGTGCGTCTCCGACATGGAGCAGTGCGTCTTCACCTGCGACTCTGGCGACTCTTGCGAATTCGGTTACACCCTTGAGAACTGCTCTTCCCAGCCCGGTGCTCAGTCTGGTACCTACGCTGGTGCTGCCAGCGGTGGTTGCTTCGTTGGCCAGAACAACAACTTCGTCCGCACCACCTTCTCATAGAGAATGAACACTTGCGACAACATCTTTTCATGACTGGATTTGAATCCAAACTCAAACACTACAACCAAAACGACCATCTTCATTTCAAAGCTTCATGTACATACACACTTTGATTCGCTTCTATCTGGATATCACTCTTGAACAAACAAATTTCAACTTTCTTTCATTTCACTTCAATTTCCACCTGTCTACTGTTGTCTCAAAGTCGCTATTGATCACATGTGATGACATTGTTTTGATTGTACCTATGTATCGAAACTGCTGCCCCTGAAGCTTGTTTTCTAAGCCTCAGTTCGTTGCACGTTGCGATCGACCAACAGCGGTTGTCGCGGTTGTCTCATTTCCCCTGTGAATCTCAGAAAACTGTCGCAATCACGCCTAAATCACTATAACAACGCAGCCACCTATCAAATATAGGATTACATCAATACAACTGCGCCATCTTCAAATCTCCCTCTCGATAAGTGGTCGAGACTATCGTAGAAGCTTGAATGGTACTTGTTTCAAGAGCCGCCTTTCTCCTGCTGCTGCACCGTTTCCCCAAGGTACAATAGGAAGTATTTTTAACGGTGCTGTCGGAAAGCGCGCAAGACACAGGGGCTCGTATGAACTCGAGGATTCTGAAACATTAGGCACAGCTTTGTTTGGGGATGTATACGCAAGTATCTCTCGCTATAAGCACCTCCTATTTCAGGGAGAGACAAGCTTACGACGATGGAGTGTTGATCGATTGGATGCGTTGCGCGGCTGTCGAGGCTTCCGAGGAAAGAGAGGGAAGTGGTCATAAGTCGCGGTTGGTTGCAAAGGCTTGCTTTGTTAAGAACGCACAAGGGGTGGATCAGTTGCGCATTGGTTGTCAACGTGGTTGTTGGCTTGTGGTTGTTGCTCGCTTGCTGCACGCTTGGAACTCACTCTTTTAGCAGTATGAACAGACTGTTTCGATCGTGTCGTTCCCTATACAAGGTGACGAAAAATGGCAGTTCACTCTTGTCTTTCGTGAAAACCATCATATCGATCTTGCCCTTCACGTGGTTGAAAGAGGCATCTCCGCTGAAATTGGTTCTACCCATCGCTCACCACACCAGGAAGTCTATGTGCTACGGACGGATTCAATGCACGACCATCCCTACATCCATTTCTTCTACGACGCTTTTGATGGTCTGAACTACTCCCAGAGTCTCGAATGTCGTCGCAGCGAGCGCAATCCTGTCGTAGCTCGAGACAACCAACATCGGGCAAGTCTCTCTCCTCGACTTTCCTTTTCAATCATACTGTTATACCATGAGCAGCATCTGTATCTTTTTCTCCATAGTACACTATCGCAGCGCTGTATACCTTTATCTCATATCCGCACAAACACACCTATCAAGCCGACTCGGGCGAGGGTGTTGGCCGGATGACTAAGCCGAAATTCAACCATCTCTCCGCCTACTGTGTTCACATCTCGTGGCAACGCGATCACAACTCATAGTGCTACTTTCAGTCCGCAAAGATGTTTGCGGAGGTGGCTAATTATGCTAATGATGCGGGTATGTGCATTTTCTTTTATCTCATACAACTGCACTTTTTCACGCTGGCTCGAGCCTCGGGGTAACGCTTTCCCGAGTGAGGTTTTGGTATATCAAGATTTTGGTTTCAGCAGCGTTCAATGTGGAAAATGAATGGTAAAAGGAAGAAGAAGATGGGTTCTTGGTAATCTGGTCCTGAAAAGGTCTCGGATCTCATGCTCAACAAGTCAACTTTTGGGCTTACCGACAGAACCTCACAAACATTCGATTACCACAATTGCTGTAAAGGAATAATACTGACATTTACCATGATAGCTGCGGTCGAGAAATCATTAAGACTACTACAGGCACTGGTGCAAATAGCAGCTGGTACTACATCATCGGCTGCCGATGCAAAGACTTGGAACACGGCCAGAGGACAATTTGCACTCGGTAAGCTTTCTTTCATCTCCTTGCCCCAATCTGGTTTCGATAGCTTTGCAAGCAGTCCTCTTCTGGCTTCCTTTCTCTGGCGGCTAGTGTATATGAGTGACGAAAAGAGGAATCCTACCCCTTGGATGAAGTTTGGACGAAACCTTGGCTAATGAATATCCCATACACAGCACGCCGCTACCTCCGCCTCTTCAAATGGATAGATTTTAGCCAACTCACGCAGCAAGCCTTCGCTTCCTCTGAACACGATCCTACACGACGTATCCTCAAGACTGCAAAAAATGCTCTGCTGGCCCTATACTTCTTCATGGAGATGTTTTGTATCGTAAGTTTTGCCATCCCTCCCCTTCCTCAGTCACCGGTATACTAACAGGGAATATCTAGACCAACGCCATGAACGTTACCCACTCTCCCTTCCTAGTCTCGCTGCAACACCACGCCCTTCAAGTATGGTTCTTCGCCATCAGTGTGTCTTTCCTCTTGACCTGCTATGAATTGCTGTGTTTCTCTTCCTCTGGATTCACGAAACCTCAACTCTACTCCAATCTCATCATTGACTGCTGCGATATCCTAATCCCCGGTTCTGCGGTAAATTGGATCCCGGTAACTTCAGTGACTGTGGGTATTGCATCGTCCATCTCCAGCTTGATCGTCGGGAAACAGATTTGGGAGCGTGTGCAGATGGAGGCATACCGAAAGGAACAGAGGAAAAGAGAAAAGGCAGCTAGGAAGGTCAGGTTTGATGCTGGGACCAAGCTATCGGAAGATGAAAAGGAAGAGGCAAGAAAGAACGAGGAGAAAAAAGGAAGTAATGGTGTTGTTAATGGGAGTGTTAAGGCGTTGGTTAATGCTGTTGGCGATGGGAACGGGAGTGTAAAGAGACGTTCGAAGCAGGGATAGAGAAATCCTAGGGTTTTAAAAGTGCTTGCTCTCAGAGAGAAAAGTAAACTACAAGGTAATCTACAAGTCGTAGGATTCTAGGTCTACAGCTGAACCAGTCTCCAAAGCTTCCTTGATGGCGTTGCAAACAATCAATGTGGCTAATCCTGCCTGAGCCGAGCAACTAGGAGGTTCTTCACCCCTGATCACATTGACAAAGTGCTGCAATTGAAGCTCAAATGGTACTGCTTCAGACACTGCAACATCGTCTTTGACCATCTCCGAGTGCCATGATTTTTCGATGCCGCGATACGACCAGATCGTCATGTCTGGGATACTGAGTGAAGCTTCCGAGCCAAACACACGATAAAAGTCTTTTGCAGCTCTTGGAATCAGCGGATTCTCGCCGGTCCCGGCTTCGAAGTTGTATGGCGAGGGGCAGTTGTCAGACACGACAAATGTTCCTACAACTCCGGAGGCAAATCGGAAGATGAGAGCAGCTCCCTCTTCAGCTTTGAAATTACGTCTGGTGATTGTCTTTTCAGCGTGAACCCTGGTGATCAGTCCGAACATATAGTGCAGCAGATCAATCTCGTGAACCAGGTTGATCAAAATGACACCACCGTTTTCCTGTCGTCGCCATTCAGCCGGAGGGTCAAAGTAGCTGTCTGGCTTGTATGTGGCCCACAACCCATTCACAGCAGTGATGTCGCCTAGACGTCCCGAAGAGATGATTTCCTTGGCGGCTACCATATATGGATTGAAGCGGCGATGATGGCCAACCAAAGACTTGACTCCAGAAGTCTCGAGGTGCTGGATAAGTTCTTTGCCATCTGGAATGTTGGTGCTGAATGGCTTCTCAATCAGTACATGGATACCAGCAGCAGAAAGTTGTTTGGCGATAGCCACGTGAGTGTGATTTGGTGTGCATATAATCGCAGCTTCGGGCTTATGAGGGGAGTCTAGCATCTCTGAAATGGTCTTGTAGTGGTTCGTTTGTAGCTCTGTAGCTAGCGCTGCTCCTTGAGGCAGGGGATCGCAGATGGCTACCAAGGTTGTGTTGCTTGATTTCACCACAGTGTGAGCATGCCGAGGTCCAATTAGCCCAGCCCCTATGACGGCAAAGGTGAGCGGTTGATTCGTGAGAGTAGTCATGATTGTGGATCGTGAATTGGCAATAGGAATTGACAATAAAGTAAAGAAGCACGTCAAAGACAGCAGCAGGCAAGTATCAAAAGGTCTTGCGAGTTACACTAGATGTGGGGTAACTGTATACCATGACTACCTACTCACATGAAAACTATCACGTTATGTTGAATTCAAGACCACTGTCCAGCCAATCGTCGGCCTAGGGCGAGCGAATTCTTGATCCATACATAAACACGGATGAACTCTCTACCATGTGTCGGACTAATTCTTATCCGCACTGTCGATCTTGTTTTTTAAAGAAGCCATAGGATGTGGCAAGTGCATAGTTTTACCACTAGGATTCTCTAGGGCTTCAATGACCGCGCTGGCTTTTTTAACCAGCAGGTCGTGAACGAGATCATCTCCGCCATTCAATGTGCTAATCGGCACCAGAACAAGTGGTGGCTTGAAAAAGTGCTTCAGACCAGTTAGAGCCTCTTCTCTCGTGTCGCAAAGGTCCAGCATGCATATATCTCCTTCGGAAAAAGCCACAGAAAGGGCACCGAACACTGTTGGTGTTATGATATAGTGAACCACGACAGACTGATCATTACCATATAGATTGAGACTGCTCGACTGAATCCTGTCACACTGAGTCTGAGCAAGAGCTTCGTTGTTTGTGCCAAAGCCTTCGTCATCCTGGAATAGCACCACTGGGATCGACCAATTCGAAGAATTTGGTAAATTATCAGATCGATTCCATATTATGCAATTCGTTGATTTGACGCCATGGCGGACAGCCGTGACTGCCTCGCACCAGTCCGACGTACTCTGACCCGTCGCCGTGGACGGCGATTCTGTGGATGCATTGTCCTTTTGGGTGATCATCGATAGGTACGCTTTGGGCGTGAGCCCCGTCACCCGCTTGAAACTACGATGGAAATGGAACTTGGTCAGCCCAGCGAGCGTAGCCATATCTTCCAGCTTCGGCAAGGGCTTTCCGGGTTTCAGGTTCAGCAGTCTTTGACAGACTGCATCGATTTTGTCGTTTTCTGGTGAATGAGTTGGTAGTTCGGGTCGACATCGCTTGCAGGCTCTGTAGCCGGCATTCTCGGCCTCGAGCGGAGTGGCAAAGAACTCTACATTGGCTCTGCGAGCAAGTCTGGCTTTGCAAACCGGACGGCAGTAGATGCGTGTGGTACGAACGCAGTACACGAATTTGTTGTTGGCCGCTGGGTTGCGGGTCACCAGGGCTTGCCCGCGAGATGATGGGGTCGAGAAGTCGTGCATCGTTGGAGGTTGAGCTAGCTATCCGATGTTACGTGTATGTTCTGTAGCTGCTTGATACCATGGCCTTGTGTATCGCTAGTGTCGCAGGCAAAGAATATTCGACATGTTTAAGTTATTGCTCGAACGCTTTCCCCGACTCTGTCCGACAAGAGGTCCAGTTGGTCACTTCGGGAGCAAAAATGTTTTCGCATGGAGTACTTTCTATATTTCGAGACTCTGATGAGTTTTAACCCGATTCGCCAATTCAGCAGCAATGTTGACTCGTATTAATGATGAAAGTCAACCCTGGTGTCTGCCTGGATCAGTCGGCGCGTCGCGTGTGAGGGGTCTTGTTGCTGTCAAAGTGACCAATCAATTCCAACTACAAACATCATGAACCTCCAAGCCTCTACTCCAACCACGAATATACCGTATCAATAAATATTCGGCCTTTCCATAGAGTCTATCCTTTTCTTGCATTCACCTCTATCCCGCAATCCACCAAAAGAAAAATGGCACAAAAAACCTCTCCTTATTTCGCCAAAAAGCCTACAAGTAAAGCTCCACAAACCACTCATATCTCCACCCTTCTATCCACAGCCCCCATAACAAATTTCCAACGAGTAAGTCCAAACTTCCAACTCTCCACTCCTTCCCCTTCTTTGCCAACACAAACCCCACAGCGCGTCTACACCTCCCTCCTCCTCATCCCCTCTGGCAGCGTAACGTCCTACGCGACTCTAGCTCAGCACCTCTCCTCCTCTCCCCGCGCAATCGGCGGCGCGTTACGCAAAAACCCTTTTGCACCACAAGTACCCTGTCATCGCGTTATCGCTGCAAATGGGTTTGTAGGGGGTTTTATGGGGGAGTGGCAGAAGGCGCCTAGTGGGGTTAACCAGAGTAGGAAGCTAGAGCTGTTGAAGGAGGAGGGCGTGGAGTTTACAGAGGAGGGGAGGTTGGTGCTTAGGGAGGGGGTTTGGTTTCGTGGGCCTTGGGAATGAAGGAGGGGTGGGTGAGGCCACTTGGTTGACTTATGAAGGCTATAATTGCGAAGACAGCAATAACGAAGGACTGTAACTAAAAGCTTTGAGAGTTTGCAGGAATATTGATCGGATGGGATAAAATTCGTACAACAGTATTTACACTATACATTGATTGTACTGGTTACTACTATAGTACTAGCGACTCAGAAAATCGTCTACTGCAACCCATCTTCTCGATCAGGTAAATAGATTGTCTACTAAGTTCCTGCTGCTCTGTGTACACAAAGTGCTGTCTGACGTTAGACAGTCACAGGAGGAATGTGACCTCGTGAGATTCCTGGTTTGATTGAATACATGGTCGGCGACAGCTGAGATAGGGAGAGCAGAAGAGTAAAATGCCTTGAAGACATCCACTTCAATCTAGTCAATCCAGTCCGTGATTTCCCTCAAATAGGGGTTGGAAAGAGACTTTCGTATGTGCAGAGCATTGTTGGCAGCTAGGTCTGTGGTCATGGAAGCGACAATGAACCAAACCATGGTCTTGAGCGCGATCCAGCTCGGTAGCGTCATGCGGTTGAAGATTTTATGGTTTACTTGATCAGATGATCGAGTATTTCAACCGATGAAGGTACCTGTGCGTTGAGGGGCGGCAGCGAGCTTTGAGTTGATGCCTTGGGCAATGAGGTTCATGCGGGTCTCTTCAACGGCGCGCAGTTCGTCCTCCCACTTGGCCTCCTTGTCTTCTGTCTGGCCACCTGGGAACCAGCTGGACCACGAAGAGGAGGTAGTAGGCTTGGATTGAGACTCTTTCAACAGCTTCGCAACCATGGCACCCCAGTTGGCGATACCGGTCTCAAGGCATGCTTTGCACTTGTCGCGATTTGCGGGCAGAACATCATTCGAAGAAGAACCACGCTCAGCAATGGCGACAGCTTGCTTGGTCCAGCCAAGACCTTCGTCTTCGTGACCTGATGAAGCGGTTGCGAAAAGGATCTCTCCAATGTAGAGCATAAGTTCAGCTTCGGCACAATCAGGGACGGAGTCAGGTTGACGCAAGAATGGCTCGTCACCAGAAGGAGGTTCAGCAGGGTATTTAGGAGGAGTAAAGAGAGACTTGACGATGTTGATGAAGGAACCGATGTCGGTGTTTGTTGGATCCGAGACGTAGAAGGGGGTATACTCCGACCTGGTTGCAGGAGCAATGTCAACTGGAGAGGCGTGGCGGGCACGAAGGACAGACAAGAAGATGGGAAGAGCGGAAGTAACATTGCCAGAACGAGCACGATGGGTAGCAAGAGCGGTTGCGGTACGGAGGAGGTTGGGGCTAGGAGGGGTGGCTTCTTGTACACGAAGGATGGAAGTGTCCTTGTCAATGACAGCATCTGGTGCTGGCAGAGCAGAGGCAGCAATGTCAACAGCCCACTTGTAAGTCTCATCAGCCGAATCGGTCAAGCCCTTGATCTCAAGCCAGTTGGCGTATGCCAGAGCAGCCTCAATTCTCTGACGGCTGGAGAAACCAAGACCAGTCAAGACCTTGAGGTAGAAGGTCTCTGGAGGAGCATACGCTCTCTCGCAATCTTCCTCGCGGGGAGCAGACTCGGCACCAGGAGGACAGGGGCGAGGGTTGGGGTTTGAAGGACCAATAACAACCTCTTTGGGGAAAATGATTTTGCGGGTAGTGTCGAGAACCATGTTGTCGATATGTTCGGAAGCACGAGCGCATTGCATGACGACCTGGAAATAGCCTTCTTTCCACGCAAATGACTTTTCAGAGATGTCAAAGGCAGACGGGTTGATGCCACGAATATCATCCATGCCAGGGACAAGGGGACTCGTGCCTTTGCCATCAATCTCGGGATTCTCGAGTCTCTCCAAACATCTTCTGAACTCAGTTGCGACCTGGGCCCAGTCGGTGTACTCGTGGTCTGGCTTCACGGCGGCATTGGCGCATCGGAAGTGATTGCGCGAGAAGAAGGACCACTCGTCAGGGGAAGGAGTCTTGCGTTCTAGCACTTCCTGGTTGATGCCGTAGAGAGCGACGACTCCGAGGAAGAAGAAAGACCATCCTATAGCGGACCACTTGGCAGCCAGCCAGACCTGCTCTTTGACATAGTTCTTGTTTTCGGTCGTCAAAAAACGCGCTGTCTGTCTCGAGGCGAAGGCGTTCCGTGAAGGTTGCGACAAATATGGAAGTTGCGGTCGAGGGGACGATGTGCGTGTGATGAGAAGGAGCGGGTGGTTTTGGGTAAAGAGTCGCAAAGACGACTGATTCGGCAGTCGCCTAAGTCGCAGTGGCCGTAGCAGCGACGGCGGTCGTGATGCCAGCATTATTTCGTGATGTCTCGAGTCGTTTCTCGAGGAATGTCAATTGCCAATTCCATCATCGAATCTCGAAATGCCAAGACTCTGGAGCTTTCATCCTCCGCAGCCCCTCGATGCTCTTTGTCCCTGTACGCCATCAACATTCCTTGAGGCAGAATAATGGCAGACGCAGTAGACAATAAGACAGAGTTGAGCTTGGATGAGCTTCGCGACCAACTGGACTCGTTGTGGGAGAAGCACCTCACCCTGCTGGACTCGTACCACCAAGCCCAACAACAGATTGCCCGCCATTTCTCCTCAGGCTTCTTCAATCTTGCTCAGGCCACTTTCAAGTCGACCACTCGTGTTCGCTATGGTCAGGAATATTATGATGACCGTATGCAAGCAATTACCCGCTTCGACGCTTCGATCGACGACCACGAACTTCCCCATCTCGCCCTGAAAATTGATGACACCACATTAACCACTACCAAAAACTCGAACAAAGACTCGACCACCAAATCGTCGAATGATATTGTCGATGAGAAAGAGGAGGATGCACCTGCTCAACAGCCTACTCCGCCCTCAACACCACCGACCGAGTCCGAGGAGAAGCGACCCGACGAACAAAGCCACGAAAACAAGTCTGAGCAGGCAGATGGCAAAGAATCAGCACAAAAGAAAGTCCGTGACCCGATCCACTGGTACGGCATCCTGGTGCCCCCTTCTTTGCGTTCGTCACAAACCTCTTTCAAGTCTGCCATTCAAAACCCTATCATAGAAGCTGCCAATTCCGCACAAGCTCTTCGTCATGTCAGCATGGAAATTCGCAAACTGCGCAAAGACATCAAGAAGGCTGAAAAACGTGTCTCTTAACATTACTACGTATCTGATCAGTACGAATACCTGAACCGAGGGTTCTCAAAGTCTGTCAAATCCTCAATCGTCTCCTCGGCTGTGTCCATGTCCGATACCAGCCCAAACTGTGCATCTCTCTTCTTGTTGCGGTGAATCAGCAGTGCTCGCAGCGCAAACACAAGCACCACCTGGATAGCTGCGCACGCGATAATAAATTTACATCCCGTCTCGTACACTGGAGCTTCGCTTGCCAGGAATGCGTGAGGCCCACAGATATTGCCGATGCAATATGCTAAGAACACAAACGCTGTCGCTGTCACTCTCTTAGTGTATCCTCCAACATTGTTGGCGGGCATCTGCAGAGCCAGTACGAGAGATGCGACGAAAGAGCCAATCTGTGTCATTGTCAGCATCACGTATCTCATATCGCTTCTGTGGTACACACCAAATAGTACGACACCAGTAAACCATTAGAATTGGTCCTCGGTAAATTCCATACAAGACTGGTTCCGATAATGGTTGGCAGGAGATACAGCGCCATGACATATGTTCGGATGTTCTTGAACTTGGAAGCCAAGTATGGCCCAGTGAATACGAAGAACACTTGGAACGCTCCCGAGGGGATACCATATGCTGTCGTCTTGAGCGCATCACCATGTGCGATACCCTTGACAATCAATTTGCCAAAGTTTGCGAAACCTGTGTACGTCAACATCTGCATATCACAAAAGCTCTTTACGCGACATTACGTACCTCCGTTGATGCCTTCATTGCACAATACGAAGAGGAACAGAATCCACATCTGAGGATCGAGCAACGCTTCCTTGACCTGCGACAACTTGATCTTGGGGTTGTATACACCAGTTCGGTTCGTCTGGCTTCGTGCGATGAGCAGTGCTTTTTCTTCAGTAGAGAAGAATTTGGCAGTCATGATGTTGTTGGGAAGCAAGAAGAAGAGCACAATACCCCAGACGATGGTCAAGCCTCCACAGAGCAAGAAGATGACCCCTGAGTGCTGTCAGCCATATTCTCGCAGTTGATTGAGGAGATATCAACGTACTCCAGACTGGGAAACCGTCTAGTTGACCCACGCCGTAGAAGAGAATGCCTCCGACCATACTGCCAACTCCATTAAAGCAGTAGAAAATGCCAGCACGAGCCGGTTGTTCCTTACGAGTGAACCACATGCCGACCAGCATCATGAAGCAAGGAGTCTATTTGCCATGTCAACGGACCGAACAGCTGTGAAGCATAGAATTACTCACGATAGGAGCCTCAAGACAGCCCAGAATGAATCTGCAGATGGCCAGGCCAGTGAAGTTGTGACATGCCGCCGTCAACATCAAAACTGAGCCCCAAGTGATGACAAAGTAGCTCAACACTCTTCCAGTAGGGAAATGCTGCGCCAGATAACTACTCGGCCATTCAGAAACCAAGTAACCAAAGTAGTTATACTTGTCAACCAAGCATACTCGTCCGACGTAGTCTTTGTCGATTTAAACAGATCGAACACGGCGGCATAGCTCAAAGCTTGTTTGTCAATGTATTGCAGCAGATAGGTTCCGCAGAGCAGTGGCATGAGCGTCCAATTGACTTTGCGGACGAGTTTCTTGCAAGCAGCCTCGTCTTGAAGCAATTCGTGCAGGTAGGAGTGGGAGAAGTTGTTGTCGCGGAGGAAGACCTCAGCTGCATCGAGATCTTCAATCACTTCGCCAGCTTTGAGATCCATCTCTGTGGTCTCTGGGGCAGCGAGGGACTTTTCTTTGATAGACATGTCGTCTGCACGAGGGGTTTTGTCAGGCATATTCTCAGGAGACATTGTGTGCCTAATAGAAAGAGACACTGGTGGCATGAGGAAACTGAATTGAATTGTGCAGATCTGCAGAGGACTTTTGTATTCAAAGCACTTCCTATACACTCAGCTGCCAAGAGAACGTGGTGGTCGGGAGATAACCTATCTTTCCCCTCTTTCTATCTGCATAGGGCTAGAAGCATAACTTTACATGGATCTACCGGCTCTCAGCAGGCCTATCGAAAGATATCATATCGGATGACCGAGAACTCACATCTTGAGCTTGTTCATTGATGGACGTTGATGATGGAATGAATTGCTCAGTTGTTGCAAAGCTCGTCGCTATACCACGAACTAGCTCCCCAATCATTATACTATTGTGCTTTGACCTCCAGCCCAACTGTCCAAGGAGCGAGCATTGACACAAGTTCGAGTCAGTCAATCTGTCTACCTATCTTAATTCCTTCGGAACCTTATTTGTCTCTACAAGCGCACTTTCTCTTGGCCGTGCTTCCTTTTGTCGCTGGCCGAAGGCTTCCCCGCGATAGGGAGTTGCCCTATCGATAACACCAAGTACCTGAGTACCTCCGACCTCACTCGTTCCCTATCTCGACATCGATTACCAGGGCAAATAGGTCTCCCACTAGCATCACCGAGTTGCCCGCTCGGCCATCGTAACCACATTGATGGCCGTCACTCTAGCTCCGATGTCGTGATCTGCATTTGACTCCAATAACCAAAAAGCGCCCATGATCCTACGCTCCTTGACGTTGATAGTCTTATCCAAGAATTATTGATCATGTCTTCCTCGAATCCAGCAAGGCATTTTGCCTTTGCTCTGCTCATTCCTTTGGTCCTCGCAGCGGCAAACTTTGCATCTCTGCAACAACAAGTGCTGGGCTCTGTCCAACGCTTCCTTGGCTTTGAAAGTGTTGCTCCACCCGTCGTTACCATTCCTCAGGCTTCCCTCGTTGGAACAGTAATCGAGAATGACTTTCCCGTTTCCGTAGAGGCGTGGTTAGGTATCCCGTACGCCCAATCTCCTATCAACTCCCTCCGCTTTGCGAAACCACAACCTTTGGCGCCTAGCAATAAGACCTTCTCGGCCAAATCTTTCGGTCCTAGATGTCCTGGAAAACAACTACTTCCTCCTGGCGGTGGCCCTGATGTTTGGTCTGAAGATTGCTTGACTGCGAATATCTTCCGTCCTTCCAACATGCCCACAGACAAGAAAGTGCCTGTTATGGTATACGTGCATGGAGGAGCTTTCAATCGCGGTACTGCAAAAATGCACAATACGGCTAGTATGGTTGGATGGGCTACCCAGCCTTTCGTGGCCGTGAGCTTCAACTATCGTATCGGTGCTCTTGGGTTCTTGAATTCGGAGCTGACGCAGAAAGAGGGCTTGCTCAATCTTGGGCTTTGGGATCAGGTGTTGTTGCTTGAGTGGGTTCAGGAGAATATTGGAGCTTTTGGAGGTGATGAAGGGGATGTCACGTTGGTTGGGTTGAGTGCTGGTGCGCATTCGGTAAGTTTTTTTCTCTCTTTCGATGCAAGCGGAGTGAGAAGCACAAGGACTGACAAGGTTTTCCAGATTGGTCACCATATCATGAACATCAACACCCCCTCCCAACTCTTCCACAAAGCCGTCATTGAATCCGGAGGCCCAACGTCTCGCGCCCTCCATTCCTACGACTCATCACTCCACGAAACACAATCCCAACAATTCCTCGAACAAACTGGCTGCAAGGATGTACCGACCTCCTCAATCCTCTCATGTCTTCGCAACGTCTCCGAAGCCACAGTCGTCGAAGCCTCGAATAATATTTTCTACCACTGGAACCCATCAGTGCGCTGGGCATGGCAACCCGTCATCGATGGCGAACTCATTAGTCGACGCCCACTCTCCGCCTGGCAATCTGACAATTGGAATAAAGTGCCCATACTTACTGGGTTTAATCACAACGAAGGCACCATGTACGTCCCCAAATCCGTTTCTACATCCGCAGACTTCCGATCCTTTTGGTCAACACTATTACCACAATTGTCTGAAAAAGAATTGGATAAGATCGATGCTTTATATCCCGACCCAAGCATCTACCCAGACTCCGAATACACGGATACGAGAAAATTGGATGTAGGATCCCAATACAAACGCCTCGAAGCCGCATACGGCCATTACGCCTACGTCTGTCCCGTCCGCCAAACCGCTGTCCTAGGCACCTCGTCCCAAAACCCTCCTATCTACCTTTATCACTGGGCAACCAACCGCACCGTCCTCGGTGGTGCAAACCACGGCGATCAGATGTGGTATGAGACCTTCGACCCTTCTGTGACTTCCCTCTCCTCTTCGCAAACAGAAATCGCAGGGACTTCACGATTACATTGTTAGTTTTGTGATTAGTGGGGATCCGAATAAAGTCGAGGGACGGTGGGCAAGACCAGAGTGGAAGGCTTGGGGTGAGGGTGAGGGAACTATGGTGTTTGGGAAGGGTAATGATGAAAGAGCTGGTGGTGGGGATCTGGGGGTTGTTGCGCAACTTGTCGAGGATAGTTGGGCGAGTAAACAGTGTGAGTTTTGGTGGAGGCAGACTGGGAATGTGGAGGATTAGATGTAGCATGGCGGGATGTATCTATTGCTAAAACATCATTATGCTTGAGTGCGATCGGTCAGTATACTGCGCATCTTCTTGCTCTAGTGCTTCAATCTTTGTATTCGTTGTTCGAGGCAAAACAGAAAGGAGAAGTAAGGACAAAGAGAACTCCACTTCCAGACCTTGTCCCGCTTCCACCAATTCCTCGTAATGCATTCTTTGTTCGATCCTTTGAAAAAACCCACATCCCACGCTTTGAGCCTCCATTTGACTCATCCACCTCATTCATGCCATCCAATTCTAGCCCCGTCAATGCTCACACCCCGTTCCAGCGGTTCCTCAACTTTTTTACCCTTGGTCACCTCCTAGGCCTTATACTCCCCCATCCATTCCTCAATCTTCTTGACATCCCCATCTGTCCTCATAATCCTCTCTCTAGCCTCAAAAACCACACTTCTCATACCGACTCTCTGCAGCTCCTCCTTCATACCCTCCAGCTTCTCCAAAGTTGCCATCTGATGGTTGCTCAGCACTTTCAACAACTCTCGAGTGTCTTCGAGTGCGGCCGCCAAGGTTTGGGAGTTGGCGGGGATGGATAGAAGGGAGCCGTGAATGATTTGCAAGGGACGAACTGCAGAGCGGGAGAAGTGAAGGTGGGTGTATGGCTCGAGCAGGGCGAGGAGTCCGTGGACTAGGTGGTCGAGGTTGGTTTGGTCAGCGAAGGAGACGCGCTTTCTGTCGTTGCTGGACGTGGAAGTGGCAGCAGACTTCTTGATGGCTGAGGGTAAGGTGTGGCCTTGGGATGAAGTTTTGATGGAAGGTTGTGGAGATGTTTGTGAGAGCTGTTTGTACGATGCTGCTGAGTGGAGCTTTGCGATTCTTCTTACGGCTCTGTCGCCCCGGTTGAGATGTTCAGGATGCTTGCTGACTTTGTAGCTTCCTTCATGATCGACGGAGAGCTGAGGAGCGTCATCAATGGTGTCGCAAGCATACTCAATGCCCCCCTGTACCTTAGGCGAGAGAGCAAAGACCTCAGCGCGGCTTTCAAGGACCATACAAGGATTCAGAAGTTGTGGCCCTTCCTGTACACTGCATTCTTTGCCGAGAGAGGAACCGTTCCCATCAGAAAGTGTCTTGACCCCTTCGTGAGAAGTAGCCCTCTCCATCTCCTTCTCAATCTTCTCCTTCTCAACCTGCCAGAGCCTAGCTGCCATAGCCCTCTTCTCACCCTCAGCAAGACCAAGAAGTCTGGAACCACATCTCCAGGGCACCATGCTCTGCTCGTCCGTCTGGTCATACTTTACAACAGGCGAGCTGCCAGGAACTGAGTTAACAGGGACTGAATCAACAGACACTCTTGCCATCTTTGCTGAAAGTCCAGTAGAGGGTGGGGAGCTGGCTCTGCGCTTTGTACTCGTACGAGTAGCTTTGCTTCGCTTTACTGGAGGAGAGGCGAGAGTGATGGTGACTTGGGAGGTGGTGTTAGGTAAGAGGATAGGTGAGTTGCGAAGGGTGATGATTGGAGGGCAAGTTACATTGGAGATGCGAGGACAGCGTGGACCCAGGATTGTGTTGCCCAAGCCAGGTACACCGCTGGGCCAGCGAGGAGGACCATTTATGGCAATAGAAACACTGCCATGGTTGATTTGAGAAGGGACAGCAGCAGCAGAAGAAGACGCCTTAGAAGTCGAGATGAGAGCGTTGGACGCTTTTGTAGAGTGGGCTTTGCTCTGGAGTGCGGTCAAATCGGTTCGCTCCAGTGTGAGGCATATATTGGCCCTTACCTTGCTGTTGCGCATAGAGCTGTCATTGAAAGACTTATTTGAGGTTGCAGGCGATGTCTCAAGGTCGAAGCTGATACCCAGGCCCATAATGTTGCTGTCTCCTGGAGTGACTGCAGAGAGGAGTTCGCTTGTGGTGGCAGCATCGAGGCGTGCACGGCTGGAGGAATTCTGAGACACCATTTCTATCCCTGAGCAAGACGGTGGAGCGATCTCGAGCTCCATTTGACTCGTCAAGATGTACAGAGAAGATGCTGAGCTATTCCAGAGGTGCTTCCTGGTCTCTGTAGGTGGGAGCAATCCCAAGAGAACGCGTTCGAGGTCACGTTGAGAAAGGTCGTGAGGTTCTGATGTTGTGCTACGCGCGCCGCCGAGACTCAACAGACGAGATAAAGACCTTTGATTATAACAGAACAGAGAGTTGGATAGTACTCTTGTCTAGGAAGGTGTACGCATCGTTGGTGAGGTTGATGAGTATGGTTGTTGTAGTTGGTGGGAAAGATCATAGAATTTCGGGTGCGTCGAGGTGTGAAACTGGGAGTCAAACAACCAACTTCCACCACGAATTGTCACTTTTGAACCAGCTTACTCCTGCTCGACAACAACAACTCGCGATAAGCAGAGTATCACCAGCGAGAGTCAACGACTTCAGACAGACTTTGTTGTTTCTGCTGTAGCTACCCTCTTCTCCCTTCTTCCGCGGCCATCACACATCTTTATCTCTCTCGCGCTTCTCTACCGTCACAACCACCATCAAGTCACCTTGCGCAATGAGTCACCGCTGCAGAGAGTGCCTGCACAATGGCAAGATCGTCAACTGTGCCTCTGATGGCAACATGAAATCCCACTTGGGTCTGGTCCATCGTATGGGCCCTTTCAGATGCTCTGTCCCGGACTGCACGTATGTCAGCGTTAGAAGGTATGATGCAGAGCACATCTCCAAAAAGACCCTTTTTAAAGATGAATAGAGAACCGGTGGAAGCCCACATCAGAAAGGCTCGCCGCAGTGGTCCTCAACGGGGTAGACATGCCCAGGCAACGTATTTTCGCTGTCCAGCAATGGCCGACGCTCTTCAGGACGAAAGCGACCTCTGCCTCCTGCCACACACTGTGCCCTGGCCCACCCTCGCGCCCGCAGCTGCTGCCCCTGTCGCCTCTGCCACTACCGTCCCAGCAACCAATGTCACTGTCGCGCCTTCTGGCAACAACCCAGACACGGATGACGACGAGGACGAAGAGATGGCCGACGAAGACGATGGCCTGGAACCTGCTCCGCTTGTTTCGCTCCGCTCCATCCTAATCGACAAGATTGTAGACTTGATCTACAAAGCAGCAACCATCGGCGACTACTACAACGATCGCATCGATGAGCTATATATCCCTGATCGACCTCGCAATGTCGTTGGTCCTGACGGGAGCCGCATCGAAGTTGACCCTGCCGGGATGCAGCTTGATGCATCTATGATCATAGACTACGCCGTTAAAGAGCTAAGAACTGCAGCCGAAGGTCTGAAACACAACGATTTGCAGAAGCATGAGCTGGAAAAACTGGCTTTGAGCACCTGCAAGGCGATGGGTGACATACCTGTTGGCCTTGAGTGGTACTTGAGATGCAGTGCACAGGCTGGCAACACAGAGGAAGACATGGCAAAGCTTGTCTCGATGCAGCAAGCCATTCTAGACGAATTCGAGGCCGTGGGGGAGGACGAAGATGAGATGGAGGAGGATGAGTAGACGATATGAAGCTACAGAAGCCAGACTTTCAAAAGCAATTCCCATTGTTCTCCCGCATCGTATAGACTGTCTTTTTATCATACTAAGGGCTATTGTATGAACAAGAATGATGCCAAAAGATGATACAATAACATGGGTGATGTCATCTATGGTCTGAAGTGGTTGAAGGTTGCTCGAATGGAAAATTCGACTGCTGTTACTTTTAAGCCAACTATTTCGCAGCAAGCTCCATCTTCATTCCACACACAACTCTTGATCCTGCACAGCGCCATCTTATTGACTTTGTTTCCAGAGACTACTTGAAGACTCGTAAAGGAGCGCAAGTCTCTCTTCTTGTCTGTCTTCTACACGATCTCTTGTCGACTCGTTCAACCCAAAACCTCATTGCGATCGTCATCGAACCTACAACGTCGTTGTTCTCTGGACAGCTACTCTGTCTCCTTTACATTACAGACCTATCTCTCTTACGCTACCATCACATATTCATCAACACGCTTTCCTTCGCCAAATTAACGATCAGATCTTCACGTGGCACTCAAAATGTATCGCTGCAGGCAGTGTTTCCGCGACGGCAAGATCTACGAGAGCGGCAACAAAAACAACATGAAGGCTCATCTAGGCAGCAAGCACGACATGGGTCCATACAGATGTTCTGCTTGTCCCTATGTCAGCTGCAGAAGGTATGATCTGAAAAGCAGCTTGCAGAATATCAGAGAAACACTTGATTAAGATCTTGAGCAGCGACAACGTGGAAGCCCACATCTCAAGAGAACGCCGTAATGGCTCTCAGACTCATGCCCCTGGGACCGCTGATGCTCGATATGATGCAAACATGAATCTCGCTGTGCTGGACGAGAGTGACCTCTGCCTCTTGCCTCACATTGCGCCCTGGCCCGCTCAGTCTGCATCAGCTGCAGCACTTAGTGCTCCGCCCACTATTCACGCTCCTCCTGCCGCTGGTCCCTCGAATGCGACTTCCGACAACATCTCAAACTCGAGCAGTGATTCAATTGTCATTGATGAGGACGACGGGCCGCAGGAAAGCGGAACTGTTGATCTGACCTCTCCAACACCTACAACTCCCATCGACCCCGTGCTCCTAGACCGCAGCACACTTGTTGACATTCTAGAGAGAGCCATAATCATCGGTAGGTACTACCTCTACCGAATTGAAGAGCTCGGAAGTGAGCATGGTTGTCGTCACATTCTCAGTACCGACGGTCTTGAGTTCAACGAGAGACTGCGAGGCATTGCTTCAAGATTCCTGCGCGGTGCTCTCGATGGTCTCGATACCGCATCTGCAGGCGTAAAAGACTGTGATTTGGAAGTGAATCATTTGCGCAGATATGCACAGCGGACTTACGATGAAATGAATCTTATCTCGGATGCGCTCACCTGGTACTCTAATACTCATACCATCGGTGCAGTAAACACTGAAGATGACAGAGAAAGGCTCGCAATCATGCAGAGATGCCTCCTTTCCAGATTCAGATTCAAGGAAGTGACAGTGGATTTGGATGAGATGGAGGAGGCTGAGAACAACGAGTGAGGCGATGCTTCTGCACAGTAAAGAGCTTGAGAAGATGCATATACACAACGGTCCTGTGCTTCGTTGAATTCGGATACACAACAGAGGGATGGCACAGATTAGAGCTCTGAAAATTTGAGGAAGACGCAAATCAAAGTGGTAACGACATAGATTGAATTGGAAGGGATGCAGGGAGGACAGAGCAAACAAGAGAGTCTGATTGAGACTATGGAAAGATCTGCACTTCGACGAGAACCCCTGATCTGTTTTAAAATAAATCCTGTTCCCATTCTGCTGCTTTCACGTACAGGCAATGGTACCAGTCCAAGGTAAAGACATAGAAAAGATCCATATCAAATGAGACTGTTCTTTTGCCAGTAGTCGTCCAGATGACCCATCACGCTTGGCGGTTGCTCGACCGGAATATTCGTTTCGTCTGTGACTACTTTTCTCGCAGCTCCCTCGTTACCGGTGCCGATTTTTCATCACCTCAGGTAGCCATCTCTGAGCTTGCGTTCATCAACGGCTGCTTTTGCTCAGGTCTCGACACGCGAAGAAGGATCTCGTTCCTCTTCCTGAGTTCCTATCGTCTACGCAGATCTTCGTCGCCACGCCTGAAACACAACATTCGCGCCCTCACGCATTGCGTCGTGTCGCTTCGCCATCGCACACTGCTTTTCACACGCAACCAACTACTCCAACCTACAACCAACGACACCGACCAGGTACGTATCTTCTTACGTCTTGCAATATCTCTCAGCTCACCGACCTTGCCTCAGAATCGATCAGATGGCTGCCAACAACAACTCTGTCTGGCGCTGCCGCGAGTGTCTGTCCAACGGCACGACTACGGACTGTGGAAGTGCGCCACACATGAAGTCGCACCTCGCAGGTCACGGCTACGGTCCCTGGCGCTGCACCGGCTGTGGTCACATTGCTAGAAGAAGGTAAGCCTAATGCAAATGATGTACATCTCGATTGTGATAGCTGACAATCATGCGCAGGGAAGCAATCGTAACCCATCAACGTCGTGCTGGTGAGGTAGGCGCTGGTGCTTACTTTGACCCGGCTCTGAACACTCGTGTGAACCAAGAGGTTCAAGAGTGTCTACTCCCTCACCAAAACCTCTGGACGGGCCAGACTCCTCTACCTCCTCCAGATCCAACTGCGCGTGCAAGAGCTATCGCTGCGCTTCAGCAACCTCCACAGCCTGTTCCTGTCGCAGCTGCTCCCCCAGCAGTTCCCCAACCGTCAAGCAGCCAAGCTGAGGTAGCAACAGATGCCTCTGACGCCGAGGTCGACCGGGCTCCTGATTCGGCTTACCCCTTCATGCCGGATCTCAACTTCATTGCTGAAGCTGTCGACGTCGCAAAGAAATTCGCCAACCTCATGGACCAGGCAGAGGTAGTCGATGGCGATTCTGCGCAGGTCCAGACCCGGATCGATCTTCTTCTCCAGCACGTCCGCAACATCCAGGGTGCACAGACGGTCGAAGAAGCCGACGAAGATCTTGAAGTCATGATTGGAGTCATGGACTTCTTTTGCAACGCTCTCCATGGAACGACCGATGTGGTAGACGTCCTCAAGAACGAGGTCAAGAAGATGGAACGTTTGAGACGTGACATCCGGGATGAGTGATGGAAAGCCCCGTCACTGCATCGACACACGAAGCTGTAGCTAGACAGCCAGGGCACAAAAGGGAGCAAGGGGACGCCTAGCTCCAACTGGACGACAGTAAAGATTGGGAAAGGAGGTCCATCAAGAAGGCATACGCGAGAGGTAGCATCCTTGGGAAAGGCAGGCGAAAGAGCTTTGAAAATAAAGGCTCCTTGATTCTTTCTGAACTGCTTGAACATTGCATTACTCAAGGACAGCCGGTATAAATGCAGAATGGAAACAGATAAGAGATCAAACCAGATGAGACTGTTCCTCAGCCGTGAGTGTTCTTCTGGGAGGTCCGCTACGACTACCATCCCCAGGCATGAGAGGAGTAGCGTTCTCTGACCATCTCCACTTTTCTTTCTGCTCCTCTGTAGCCGTTCCCTCGAAGTTGTCAACCACATAGCGACCCAGGATTGGTAAAAACTTGAACGCACTGATCGCGGTTAGTACCACGCTCGTCAAAGATACAAGAATCAACTTACTGTCCACTTCCACCAGTAGCCAAGAAGAGGTTCGTGTACTCGGGATGGTAGTCGACGATGAAGTCTCCCTTGGGTGTGTCTGTGTACCAACAGAGCTTTGTCCTCGAGAAAACGCGATCTCTGAACTTGGGGAAGAAGAGCGCAAGCCCATCTCTCAAAGCTTGCTCTGCGTCGACAGGCAAGTAGTCAGCCTGGGTAGCCAGATTTGGTGCCGAGTATTGGGCAGAATGAGAGGTATGCGTCGTTTCGAAGCCATAGCCGTGCCTTGCCATCTTCAGGATATTGTCGTTTTGTGACGGAGGAAAAGCGAACCAGCCAGTACTCAAGTTGATCATGACTGGATTCCCTCGCATCTCCTCGGCTTCTTGGGGGGTGAGCTGCATATAACCCACTGGCTGCCCAGTAGATATGAACCGGCCTCCAGCTTGAATGAGATGTGGTGTCCAAGCTCCAGTAGCCAAAATCACTGTATTGGCGTCTAAGACTTCTCCATTTGCTGTTCGTATCGCAGTTATTGCCTTACGACCGTCGCTCCTGGTTGTGACAAGGTCGACGACGGTACTGTCCTGGCCCACCAAGAATGTAACACCTGCTTCTTCGCACAGTCTAGCTAGGTGCTCAATGCTCTTCCCAGCATCAACCCATCCGGCGTCCAGGTTGCAATAGCCACTAGTATGCGACAAGTCGCCATGTATACCTGGATACCGTTGACTTGCTTCTCGTCCAGTATACGCCCAAAGATTGACCTCAGCGCCGATCTTCTCGAGATTCGTCTTCGCTTCCTTCAAGTAAGCATTGCCAAACTCCGTTCCGGATTGAGCACAAAGCAGACCGCTGCGATGAAAGAACTGCGAAAAATCCTTCTGCCAACCAGCTAGGGCTTCCATGCCCATCCGCGCATAAAATGCATCGGCATAGTCGGGTCTGATGATGCGAGATATGTCAACTGAGGATCCATCGGGAACTGGTGGAACGTGGCGGTCCAAAACAATAACGTTGCTGTATCCGCGACGGGCGAGCTCCAAAGCCGTCGAAAGGCCGAAAACGCCAGCGCCGATGATGAGGATTCTTTTGTCTTTATCCATGATAGTCTCTTGATTCCGTACAAAAAGTTTCTGAACGAACAAAAGGTGCGTCTTGGCTTTGTAGGAAGGCCTGCCAGCTTGTCAGAATTAGGGCGTGAGGTTTGGCGTCGGCTTGTGGGTCGTCTCCACATGCATGTTGCAACATCACTTCATGATAGAGTATAGCGACATTATAGTCTCTCTCATACCAGCACTTAATTTTGACAGTTTATAAAAATGCATGGTTCTTTGGAACATTAAGATGTGTCCACAGAGAGCCTCTTCAGTAGCATATCTCAATGGACATTGCCTTCTTTCCTAACACTATCGTGACTCATTATAGTCGCTTGAGTGCGAGCCTCTTGAGCGGGAGATCAGTATTAGGTCCACTGAGTACACTTCACGTACATTCAAGATCAGGACACCTCTGTAACAAGGTCCCTGAAGAACGCTTTACAGTCTCAGACTACTTTGCAACTTCTCTCTATACCATTGAGTTCTGTCATAATGCATAGTATGTCGCTCTCAGAGACTTTGCTGTTCTAGAGGTAGGTTGCAGAGAAAAGCAGGTTCCACAAATAGTCGTCGTGGGACGGAAGATTCTACCACGACCTTGAGCAAACGCAACAAACGGGCACGCTCACAACACATCTATCCATACACTCTCGTAGCATCGCTCCCAAAGTTTCATCACTGTCTCTTCTCTCAATCACAAACCAATACCACCATTTCTCCACCACACTCCTCCTCCTCCATCACCACCAAGACCGCCTACCATGGCACCTCTTTTCCGCTGCGCCCTCTGCTGGCAGTCAGGTGACGACAGGCAATTCAACAGCAGCCACTACATCAAGTCGCACCTGGGGGGTCTCACGACTCACAACTTGGGACCCTTTGCCTGCTCTCAGCCTGGCTGCGACCTCCGCAGCAACAGAGCGTATGTAATTCGTCGAAACATTCATCGCTGCAGAACGCACGCTGTATATTAGATCTAACTGTCCAAATGCAGCGATCGCAACCTGGTGCACACCGACGCCAATGGAGTGCACAATGCTCTCTGGGCAGAAGACTTGGCCCTCAAGGCCCAAATCGCGGCGGTCGTTAACGCGAGTCGTTACGACCCTGCTGAAGAGGAAGACGAAGACGACGACGAAGACGACGATGGCCTTGCCCCTGAGCCTCGCGCTCGCCGTGACGAGGACCTGTTCGCCGACAGCACTGGCGATGGTGCCAACCTCACCGTCAAAATTGACGGCATCTTCATCAGAGAGACGGTTTTTGAGGCGATTTTAGAGGTGATCGACGATGAAATGGGCGAAGTTGAGCCAGGCGAAGTCACCGCCGAGCTTGCAGACCTCAAGATTCGCTTGGAAGACCAGAGAGAGGCCTGCGTCTTCGCAGAGCTCGTTGACCTGGTAAAGGCTCTGGCAAAGGCCTCAAGACTCGAAAACTCGTTGAGAGTACTGGCTGTATGGTAAGAATAGTAGCAAGCTGTCTCAGACGTGGCCATACACTAACATATGAGGATAGCCACAACGAGATCAAGAACACGTTTCTCCTTCGTGAGACGTGGTAAGAATAGCGATCAAAGAATAGAACCCGAGAATATGAACACAGAAAGGAAAGTAATGGGAAGAAAGAGCAATTCTTCGATTCATAATGGCATCAAAGTTTCAGCAAACCATATCTGCTCCTCATCATCTGTAAAGCCTATGTACCTACTTACGACTGCAGTCTAAGCCTATCCGACACGTTTCTCCCAAACGTAGAATACTCAGGCTCTTCATGAATTGACCCAGAAACAGTACAAACTCACGATCGTACACAATAAGTCAACGGGATATTAACGTCGACCATTGAGTGGTCTAAGCTTTCGACGAGGAGGTTTGTTCAACACCGCGACTTTCTGACATTTTCTTCTTGCGCGCACTCACATCAAAGTTCGACCATAGCACTTCCTTCTTACTTATCAACCACACCAAGAAGGTAAGTCGCCCTTACACTAGTTACAATGTGCCTGTTTCTCCTCGATCCGCACGCTTTGGGCGCCCCTTTGGATGATTCATACTGAACGTAAGCAGCAAAGATGGCTCCTACCACTCGCTCCGCCGCTCGCAAGGCCACCGGCATTGTTAGTTCCCCTCCCAACGCCCCTGCCAGTGCCCTTGCCACGAGCCACGCACCTGTCCGTCTCGACTCCACTACCACTGGCCCCTTCCGCACTGTTGACGACGACCCCAATATGATCATGGATCTGGACGGCTTGAAGAACGTCGTCAAGGATGAAGAGGACCTGAAGCTCCTCAAGCAGGTCCTCGAAGACGTTCCCGCCGCCGACATTGATGTCAAAGAGTGGCTTGAGCAGTACAAGAGAGACCAGGCCGAGAATGAGCGCAAGGAGAGCGGCGCCTCGGTCAAGGAGGTCAACAAGTAGGTTGAGCTAACATGCTTCCTTCAGGGTTCGATACTGATCCACGCACATAGGACTGGAGAGACTCCCGCTGCTGCTGACAAGACTGATCCTTCCACCCTGGAGGTCAACTGAAGGTCTCCTCATACAAACCTCTTCTTCCTGGAAGTTCAAGCTCGTGGATGGGCGTTCATCGAGTTGCTTTGTTTCGTCGGTCTCTACAAGAGCACACTTGAACGGTAGAAGACTGCATGCATGCATGATAGCTTGCTGCCAACCCAGGTGGGTGTAATAAAAGCTTCATCTACCGCCAGAGACTTCCAAGTTCGTGACTCCGATTCAAGCTCTCCTATTGACCATGCACCACTCTGATAGCTATAGAAAGGCAGAATGTTGTCTGGATATATGATACTGTCCGTTGAAAGCTCTGAAAGCAGGGTGTTTCTATGGATGCACCACCGTATTCTCATCGTTTCGTGCATTTTGATAGCATACTGATAGCTGTTTGCGTCTGTTGAGAAGATGTCTGGTTAGGCCCTAGCTCAGTGGATATATCTGTTACAAAAAGACTCTCGTGACGCCCGTTCACTTCATAAATGCTTATTGAAATGCACAAAGATGATGAGATATGTTGTTCTCACCACTGAAAGCCCTAAGGAGAAGGACCTTTCTGTGGACAAGCCGTCATGCCAACATTGGTTCGTGCATTTTGATAGCAGGTCAAAGACCGTAAGCTTACTTGGAGATTCATTTCTGTTGCTTTCAACAGCTTGTGAACCTGCTGTGCTTGACTTTCACCGACGTTTTGTTTGTTTGCTCTCATCTCGTGGACCATATATAAACTGATCACTCGATCTTCCAATTCCACCACCACAACAACCACAACAAGAGTAAGCCATCCCCATCTTGTCCTTCTCGTCTCTTTCTTCTTTCTGAACTGACTCTATACAGTCTACACCATGGCCTCAAACTCGAAGGTCCGCTCTCGCTCTGTCAATGACAGGCCCAACGCTGTCAATGTCGCTCGCCCGGTGCGCGCTCGCCGCCGTTCTTCACAGCAGTCCCAGCAGTCCTCCAACGCTGACGAGAGCAGCCACAAGACTTTTGCTGATGCTATTGCGCATCTTTTGCCTGCTGCAGGAGTCGTATCTAACTCTCGCACTGCCACAGAGCCTGTGGTGATCGAGGACAGCGACGACGAGGCTGAATCATCGGCCTATCCTGTTACACCCGTCTCTCCAGTCGCTCCCACTTTTTCGCCTTTGACTCCTGCTGGTGTCAACGATGAAGTTGGCGCTGATTCTGTTCGTGAGAAGAACACTCCTGAACGCTCTCCAACCCGCAAGTCCAAGAAGCGTAAGGCCACTGAGGAGATTCCAGCCACTCCGCCTCCTCGTAGATTGCGTCTGAGAAGCCGTCAAAGTACTGCAACCTCTAAGACCACCTCTGAACCCAAGAAAACTCCGATTCCGATCCTGAAGGCGCCCAAGTCCGCTTCTACAACCAAGGGCAAGGGAAGAGCCGTTTCTGCTGCAGAGAGCACTGCTCAGATCGCGACCTCCTCTGCAGATGACTCTACAGTCCTGGAAGGCGCCAATGTCCCTCAGATCACCAACCCACTCCTTGCTCTGGCACGCAACATCCAGAACCCCAGCGACTTCATCCACTCAATCATCGAAAGCGACGCCCTTACCCTCGACTCCGATCAACGCGGTCCCAGCAATGCTGCAGAGAAGATGTCCGCTCTCAAGCGCCGCAGGAACAGAATCGCAATGCTCGTACACCAGATGCTCAGACGCCAGCGTGCTTTGATCCACAGCTACGACACGTACGACGTCCAGACCTATAACCCCGGCGACAGCGTGGATCCTAGCACTGCCGCACTGAGGTATTTTGTTGGCGTTCTGAGAGAGGGCTTAGACGAGGTGGAGTCTACATGTAATGCAATTCTTGCTGAACTAGATGACCAGTAAGTTGTCTTTGGTCTCCTTGAGCTCCAAATAATGATGCTGATTGACGCGAACAGGATCAATAATGCTTGATCTTCCATCTCTCATCAATTGTCTGGATGACTCGAGTCTGTTTGCTCGTTAGTGATGCAGCAGAGGACCCCAAACAAAAAATTCAGGATACGGTACAGAGACTTCGGTCTGGCATGGAGTGCGAGGAGGAGTTGGCGGCTTTGGTTTTGCTTTTTGTTACCTTCTTTCTTTGTCTGCACGAAAGCAGAAAAATAATCGATGAGAGGGATGGTGGTTCATGTTTTCTTTGTGCCGTTGCTCTCGGTTTCAGCACAGGGGCATAATTTCTTTTTGTAATTCAATAGGAGGCAAAGAAATCTCAAGCTCTTCTCGAATATTGCTTTCCATACTACTTGCTCTGGCAATTACGATGTGCTTGAACAGACTCCAAATGCATCCTCAAACGGCACAGCGTCGATGCAGGCGCATGAGCTCTCATTGCTGAAATTACCAGATCTGTTCGTTCGCAGTCTGCGTATCCAAGCTAGCCAGCCAGTCTAATTCACTGTAAGACAATCCGTTGCCGGTGTTCTCAAACATCTCGATGTTCGCAACTGGTATATCCCACATCATATCATCAAACCAGAAGTTATTCATTGCAGCAGCGCCATCTGGTGACAGGCCCCAGATATCTTCGGTCAACATATTCGAAGTCGGATGCGGCACTTGAGAATTGTCAAAGGCATTGGCCGGGTCGATCTGGCAACTTACAACCGTTCCAAGATTCAGAGGTGCGCTGTGGACCCTGGCAGACTGATCCTGAGCAGCAAGGATGTGCTCGGAGTCGCCATTGGCCAGGATCTTGCTGGCTTCGTAAAGTCGCGATACTACGTCGTGCGACTTCTTTGCCGCCACTGACCAGCGATCCATTCTCTCGAAGAACTGCAAAGCCTTTTCAATCAGGTTCTGCCACTCTTGCATTTCAACCTGCTCTGGGCGCCTGGAATCCTCGCCATCAGTCTCGACGGCAGTGAAGTCCGTCGAGGCAATATTTTGCTTGTCATCTGCGACTTGCTTTCGCGACTTCCCTATCGAAGAGAATATGCAGACTAGCGGAATCATGACTGCTTGATACCTAGAAGCACGTAAGCAAAACGCTCCTGGTCTTATGTGGATCACTCTGCTCACATGAACCAGACTCCATTCCAACCAGCAAGTAATTCTTCAGGACACATATAGCTGATATCCTCTATCGTACGAGCCGCAATAGCTTGACAGCGTGTTGATCCGACTTTCTCTTCAGCAGAGAGTGAGTTTATATCTCCATTGCGCAAGGCAGTGGCAAGGAGGTAAGGTCTGTGCAAGAGAAGTCTGAGGTTTTGATACTTCCAATGCATGATCATGCTCGGCGTCTCAAGTATCTTTGCGATGGTGTTTCGTCTCTGAGGCCGTTGACTATCTGTCGTGGACGAGCTCGCGGGCTTCAAGTAGATTGGCAGGCTGGTATGCCATTGCAGCAGCTCTTTGTCCAATCGATTCAAATCATCGAACGGCAGCAGCGGAGACGCAGATAATACGTCTTGGATCTGAGAAGCTATTCTGCAGAAAGCAACATTATGTGCCAAGGGTAAGAAGCTGGCCGTTGCTGGGTCTGAGACATCTTTGACCTTCATGCTTAGATTAGCTACGACTGCTGCGCTTGAGGACCTGAATAATCTATACTCACATAGGGCACTTGGACCGTTATCCCTTTATCCTGCTGTCCAAGAGAGGGCCTACCGGTGGTTGCGCTTTGAAGCGTTAGTGATCCTATAGATCAATTTACTTTGGACTCAAAGGACAGGTCAACTTACTTTGCCCATGTGTCAAGGACGTATAGGCTCCACCATGTCCGTCGTTTGATATCAGCAGACATAGTTTTGTGTGCTGATATTCCACTGTCTGCGATCACGTCTGTGTACTCTCGGTGTAAGCCTAATACGGTGGCTGCCGCAGTGTTGCGCCCATCAGACTGTTTGCCAAATTTGGCCTGCTGACATAGTGAAGACTATATATGTTAGTCGAGCATACACAATTTCTCGATGATACTCTAGACTTACTAGTATCCGCTCAGAAGGCCCAAAGCTTGGACGACAAGTAAGTTGCCACTCCCCAGGCTATCAAGATCTAGAAGTTGCATAGCGCGTTGGTAATAGGCATCATGAGAGTTGTCTGTACAATCTGACGACATCACAGACCCAAGAGCCAGCACTGTATTGAGTAGAGCCATCCAAGCATGGTCTTTGCGTTCTCCATAAAGCCATGTCTGCCAAAAATGTTTCTCGTCCAGCATGGGCATTAGTGGGTGGACCTTTCTGAAATATGTCTCAATCAAGACTTGTCCGAGCTCTGCAGGTGGTAGGTATGCAGGATCAATACTAGTCACATCTGGTGAGTCCGTACGACTGGGTAGGGCGGTTTCGGTATGGCCCAACGCTAGCAGTCTTCGTGTTGCAGGAGCCACTCTACAGATGACCTTCAAAGCAGCCGTGATAGACGAGACACCAACATATGAGGAGGGCCTGTCCAATGACAATGATAATCCATTGACATCATCGGAGATACCCTTTACTCTGGCTTGATGTCGCGTGGCCTCGTCGGCTATTGGATCTTGCTCTGGTGCTTGAATAAGCGTCTCAAGGCTTTCAGCTCCTTCGGATCCGAGAGTAGATATTGGAGAACCCAGCTCCGATATCTGGGTTGATTGATCATTTTTCGCTGGCGGTATCCCGATGATGGCGATGAGATCGTCCTTCGAAAGTGGGGCCAGCTGTTCAATACTCCGACCAGGGAAGAGACGCTCAAAGACTGAGCGATATCGGTCAACAGACGCTGACAGGTCTTCCATCAACCTGAGAAACATTAGCTTTGGTCCTTTGAAGTACCTAGACTGGAATCAAATGTACTTCTTGGATAACACGACACGCGGTGGTGGCTTGGAGTAAAAACAAGCATCTGCTTGCTGAGATAGCATCAGCATAGGACCGCTCCTTCTTGCTCATTGTGAAATGGTCAAACCTGATAGTATACACCTGAAATACATTCAGTAGACGCCCAGATCATCTTGCTGGGTAATATATGTACTCACATTGCCCGCAGGGTGTAGCACCATCGCAGCGTATCTTTCTGCGCCTGCAGGACCCTGTCGCCGAATGAGCCTCCAAAGGAATGAGAATATACGTCCAGGCCGAACCTACCACATGCGTTACTTGTTGTGATACGTCTTGCTCCTAATGGTCGATGTAATTTGGCGGCATCGTTTGTATCCTCGCCATTGGTCTCGGTGGCCTGGAAGGTATGAAACATCGCGGCGGGGTAATTCCTATTGACCTGGATGACGTTGCAGCCTTTGGGAAGTTGCGAACATGGCACTGCCCGCCACCTGACTGCACATTGAACAAGTTTTAAGGAGGAAATTGAAGCATTTTGATCCGGGGTTGGAGATCTTTATATGTTAGGGCATGGAATTAAGCTTTCTGTGATCGTCCTTGCTGTGCGGCGTTGGACTTTCGACCCCGCGCACTTGCAAGGTAGAGATAGATATTCCGACCTCGACCAACCTCCGCGCCATGCAACGTCATGATGGTAGCTGTTTTGATTGCTCTAGTTTACTGTCCGTAGTATCGCCATTTGAGAGGCGCATCACCAGATTTCAACCCTCTGACCGTTATGACCTGCTCATCTCCAGGTACGATGTCCACAGCACTGTCATTCACAAGAACGCCTTCCCGTTCCTCGAAGACCAACCCCTTTGTCGGCTTGTTTGATGTCACTGTAATCTTGCCATCATTGAAGCTCACCTTGACGCCTCTTTTCTCCATGTTCAAGTACTTTAGTGGTTGAGGCCAGTCAACGTCTCGCGATACAACCCCACCGTCGCGATCTACCCAGATGCGTGCTGCAAGGACATGTGGTTCTTCTTTCTCGTTGTCGATTACACCTTCGAATATGTTCGTCGTGCCGTTGGCTGTGATCTTTATGCTCTCCCTGGTCATGGCTTGCTTGATCTCTTTGCCCGTAGCGATAGAGATGAACTTGAGCTCGACTTTGCTCGCCGTCACATCTTTAGTGCTATTGCTCGATACCCAACATTCGTAAGTACTTGTCTTTGCAGGCCGGGCATGGACGACGCTCCAGTCGTGGTGCGCGCGCTTGACCGCAATGGCGATTGGAGCCAACACTCTTCGCATAGCATAATAAGCAGGTTTCTTACGTTGGAAGTAGTCAATAATAGCCCATGATGTGACAGGCCAACAATCGTTAAGTTGCCACACCAGCGCACCGCCGCAATGCCGCTTCTGGCCCCATTGCCGTCGCCAGCCACGGTAGCCATACATCAGTGCGTCTGACTGGCTGAGTTGCGTAAGATGTATATATGCTTCAAGACTGGGGTCCGTCGTCCTGAAATTTTCAATCAAGTATGTTGCGATCCTTCTTTCGTGCCCATCTGCTTTGTTGTGGAAGTCGATCATGTGCGATTGTGGATAGAGCTCGGTCGGGTTGGTGACGTAGTATTTGATGGTGTCGATATGAGGGAAGGCTTCCATACCAAATTCGCTGTTGAAGCGGCCGCCAAGGGTATCAAAGATCTGGTACTTTTCTTGTGTACCGTGCCATACATTCCATTGATGCATGTCACCAACGGTCTGGTCAGAAGATATCAGGCCGTCACCCCACGGTGACCCCGGATGATAAGGCACATGAGGCGAGTGCGAGGCAATCACTTCCGGTAGCATCTGCCAGGATGTCAGTCAATGTAGCAGAAATACTGACTGTAATAGTTTTATACCTTCTCGTAGATGTATCTTGCAGGAAAGTCGGTCTTCAGCCAGTTTTCGGGATTTTTGTCGGAGTAGTCGTATGTAAGGCCACACTGTTCTTGTACCTGGTAATCTTCGTTGTTGCCAGCATAAATTATAATCGATGGATGATGGCGGATGCGCTTCACCTGCGCAACACATTCGGCTTCGACTGAGTCTCTGAACTCCTTGATCGCAGCAGGATAATTTCCGCAGCCAAACATGAAGTCTTGCCATACGAGAATGCCGAGTTCATCGCAGGTATCATAGAAGATATCCTCTTCCCAGATACCACCACCCCAGATTCTACAGGCAGCGTCAGTTGATTATCCAGACATAGACTGGAGACTGAACATACCTGATCATGACTTGATAACCATCAACCATGGTTTGCAGCCATGACTGGTACCGTTCTTTCGTGATGCGGGGCGTGAAGCTGTCGGCAGGAATCCAGCAAGAGCCACCACAGAACACATCGATTCCGTTTATCCTGAAGAAGAACGTTTTGCCAATCTCACTTGGCTCCTGTACCAGTTCACCACGACGGAAGCCAATCCTTCTGCTACAAGACTGCACGTCATGTCCATTCAAGACCAAAACAGCCTCACAGGTGTACAGTGATTGTTCGCCGTAACCATGCGGATACCACAGTTTTGGCTGAGAGATATGGAAGTCTGCTTTGGCGAAACCCTTGCTGTCAACCGTAACCGTCTTTTCAAATATCAGATCTTTGTGCGAACGGATGGCAATCTTGACATCGGTTTCGGAGGAACGCTCTGTAGAGACCGCGACTCGTACAACAACGTCGTCCAGGGATTCATTGAGATCGTAGTCTACTCGCATATCCGAGATGCGAGCATATGAAGTCTCTAGACGAACTGCTCGCCATGGACCGCAAGTCATCAGCACGGGACCCCAGTCCCAGCCCCTGAACTACGTCAGTTTTGCAATACAGTCTTTGATAGGAGATTATTACCAATGATATTGAGCTTTCCTTGTAGCGAGCCTGGCCATATCTGCATTAAAACCGACCCATTTGTGTTCGGGATGAGCGTCCTTGATCTTCCGGCCCTCATAAAGTGCCGAGCGGAAGTCAATTTCCAAAACATTAGCACTACCGCCCTCGAGCTTCTTTGTGACGTCTATCCTATGCGGAATGAACATGTTGTCGCTTTCGAGAACAACACTTCCATTGACCTTAACCGTGGCGAACGTGTCGAGGCCATCGAAAACAAGTTCGTGAACTTGGCCTTCTCTGGTAGGTCCAATATCCGGAAGCTTTGTTCTGTAGGTCCAGCTTTTGTCGGCCACCCATTCACATTTGAGCTCGTTGAAACCTAGGAAAGGGTCTGGGATACTGCAGTGCTGAAAGTTAATGATGCGTTGTACGGAAGTGCAAAGTTGCGCTTACACATCATTCGCAATCAGATCATGGTGTACATTGGTAGGAACAGACTTGACTGGCATCCAATTGTCCAAGTCGGTCTGCTTGAACTCCCAGTCTTTGAGCTCTTGCACCAGCACGGCTTGCGACATCCTGGTATCTGTCATGTCTGTCTGTTATCAGCCCGCACGGCAAGCGTTTGCATCTTATAAGAGCTCCAGGATAAATTGTATGGCCTCGGGCCGGACAATCTTAGGCTACATACCACCTGCTCTTCGACGTCGACAGTGCACCGCGTTGGGACAGGAAGCTGCTCTCCAAAGCTCCGTGCCCAATATGGTTAGCGCACCCCGCCTTCAACCTTGGCGTGAACCCTAACCGAGGTTTCCCAATCAGGAACGGAGCTCTCTCCTCCGAAACCAATCTGCCACGACAAGTCATACAATGGACGGACGCACGCTGAAGACGCGGTCTATACAAGTCGATCGACTCGTCTGAGGTAATCACGTGTCTTCGAAAATAATCCGATCTACGGCTCCAGTCTGCCGGCAACATTGAACGCGTCACTGCTTTTCAGGTATCAAGGCATTGGCATGATTGCGGACATTTATAGGACAACGCGCCAAGTCTGGGTTTCTTGATGAAAAGGTAGTAACCATGTCGCTGCAAGTAACCAGTCAAGCATGTTTGTCAAGGCAAGTTTATTTGACAGAGGCATCGAGGGCCGCAATTCCTGGGACGAGTCCGATCTTGACCTAGTCATCTCGCTTTGTGCTCTAGCCGCTGTTCAATATACTTGGCAATGTCTTGTGGCCACGAACTAGGCAAAAAAGTCAGGCGAAGCGCTTGCGCCGATTGACATTAGGACCTTGCAGGATGCATGTTTGCGACTCGACCAGACCAACGCATGACATCGCTTGTGAGTGATCTTCGATTTGACTTGTAGCGCAGCTCTCGATTTTGAGAGTGAAATTCAACCATCCAGACACCCAGGGCTGTCAGCCTTTCCCTCATTCAAAACCGATCCCTGGAGTCTCGAGAACTCGATATATGCTGTGTGCTCGCATCCCGTCATCATCACCAGCGACCATAATCTCGCTACCGAGCACCAGATATTGAACACCTGACATCCATGAAGATGGGCTACAATGGCGTTCCCCGGGGTCGGTAAGCTTCAACGGCTCCTTGTATGCATGCGGAGGGCTCGCCTCCGTGTGAAATCCTCCCAAGTTGAAACCTTCTTGGTTGCCATGCGGGGTGCATGCAGATCTATATCTATCCACTACATCCCCACAGTCACTGGACACATCTCTACCCCGGATCTGGAAACCTCGTTCATCATTATACCATCTCTGTCAACTCACCCCAGAAGCCATTGTTGACCATGACCAGCGACGAGAAGAATGTGGTGGCAGGCCTTTCCGTATGCCATACCAAATTCTTGAGCATATGAACGAACGCTGACGCAAAGCAGAAGGTTTCGACCGCCGAGGCAGACAATGAACACATTGAGACGATCGTGGGTAGTACGGGTTTCAACGATGCTCTGATTCGAGAGCACCCAACTCTGATGAGCTCCACGACTATGCTGCTTTTTGCGTGCAGCATTCTTGGCTGCTTGTGCCAGTAAGCCACCAATGTGCCATTTTCCTTCTGCAAGTATCGTCTAATATCATGCACAGAACCATGAATGGTTACGACGGAAGTCTGCTCAATGGTCTGCTCGCCAATCCTCAGTTCAAGTCTTTCTTCCATGGTTCCAACGCAGGAATCTGGGCTGGTATTGTGTCATCCATGTATCAGATCGGTGGTGTCGTCGCACTTCCTTTTGTCGGTCCCGCTATCGATACCTGGGGCCGCAGATGGGGCATGTTCATCGGTTCTCTCATCATCGCTGTCGGCACAATTATCTCCGGAACTACCTTCAATGATGGGAAGGTTGGACAATTCATGGGCGGCAGATTCTTGCTCGGTATGCGTACTGAATCACATTGTTTGTGCTAAGATTAACCTGTTGCAGGCTTTGGTGTTTCGATTGCGTCCTCCGCGGGACCCATCTATGTGGTCGAAATGTCCCACCCTGCATACCGTGGCAAGGTCACAGCTTACTGCAATACTTTCTGGTTCACGGGAAGTATCATTGCCGCAGGCTGTGTCAGAGGTGCTTTGAACTTATCGGGTAACTCATCCTGGCTCGTACCTGTCTGGGTTCAGATGGCCTGTCCCTTGATCATTTGTCTCTTCGTCTGGTTCATTCCCGAATCACCTCGCTGGCTCTATGTGAACAACAAGCAAGACTCTGCCATTGCGACCCTCACCAAGTGGCATGGGCAAGGCAACCGAGATAGTGCTTGGGTCAAGCTTCAGCTCTCCGAGTACGAAGACTTCTTGAACATGGACGGTGCCGACAAGCGTTGGTGGGATTACAGCGCACTTTTCAAGAAGAGAAGTTCTCGCTACAGACTTGCATGCAACTGTGGCTTCAGTATCTTCGCACAGTAGGTTTACGTCTTTTCTTAGACTTGCATATGTCCTAACATTGGCTTCACTTCTAGGTGGGCAGGAAATGCTGTCTTAACGTACTTCATCGCGGCGGTGCTGGACACTGCTGGCTACCACCAGGCTATTCAACAAACCAATATCAACTTGGGCTACGCATGCTTCCAATTCGTGTTTGCTCTTGCGGGATCTGCATTCGTCGACAAGATTGGCAGACGCCGCCTGATGCTCACCGGCATGGTTGGTTGTGCAATCGTCTGGGTCGGCATGACTACTGCCAGCGGCATCTTCAACAACTCTGCAAACGCAAGTGCCGCCAAAGCTACAGTCGCCATGATCTTCATGTTCGGCGCTGTCTTTTCTTTCTGCCTCACTCCGCTTCAAGCGTTGTATCCAGTTGAAGTACTGTCTTTCGAGATGCGTGCCAAAGGCATGGCGTTCTCGAGTCTGGCTGTCAATGCTGGTGGTCTGCTCAACCAGTTTGCTTGGCCCGTTTCGCTTGAGAACATTGGATGGAAGACTTATATCATCTTCATTATCTGGTGTGTTGCTCAGACCGTCATCATCTGGTATTGGTTCCCTGAGACCAAGAATCGCACTGTAAGATTTAATGATATTGCTGCGTATAGCTCACTTACTAATTCGTTCGCTCACAGCTCGAGGAACTCGACGATATCTTTGAAGCTTCCAAGCCCGTTAAGAAGTCCCTGGAAAAGAAGCAGGTATTGGTCAGCGAGCAGCACGGTGTTGCTGTGATTGAGAAGGTTGTGGCATAAGATTAGCGACGCTAGCAGGAAGAGAAGGATGGACAGACAACTGAACGAGGACATACGGACGTATATCAAAAACACTGACTCATGTTTTCCCATGACGCAATGAGAATCCTTCGTACACTAATTCAGACACCGCACTTGAAGATCAAAATATGCTGGAAGCAGCATACCTTGTGCAAGTCAATCTCTCGCACAGTCTCCAAAACCATGATACAAAATTGGGCAGAGAGCCAGCGAAACGACAAATTCTGTTCATCCAGACCAGAAGAACAAAACACCATATCAATCATTCAGGACCTTCTTGACAAAGCCATCACTCCCGTACCAGCGGCTCATGGCATCGCGACTATTTATGAACCTCGTATATTGAAAGGCGAAAGGATATCAGTCTACCCGTTCTCGTTGCTATCTCGCGCAATCATATACCCAACAACCACATTAGAAGACCATCAAAACATTGTTGAAATGCTTATACATCTCTCGAGATTGCCCGATGTGATTGCCGACGGCAGAACGTGCAAGGAGAACGGACGAACCTACTGGCAAGATATCCCCGAATTCAGTTTCTGGTTTTCCGAAGAGGCTCTTCGTAAGTGTTCAACATCATACCTCTCCTTTAAAAGGCTCACACGACCCTCGCAGATGTGCACGCCATCCACGATATAGATCTAGGAAACTGCCCCTTGACCTGGCAACAACAAGCACAACGATACAAAGCCGCCAATACCTTTGCTGCACTGTACCTTTCTGCCCTCACACCCTCCATCACTCACGAATGGAAAAGTATACAACGTATCACTAGAGATACTCTTACACAAGCTCTAGAGGTGGAAATCGTGAGTTACTCTCAAATCAGAAGAGCAGGCATCTACATTCCCGCAGCAGCGCAATGGCTCCTTCATTCTGCACCTCTGATCTGGGAGTTCTGCAAGAGAAAATGTTTGTGTAGCGGGGACATGGAGGAGAGAGATTGGATCGGCGGCAGTGATGGCAGCGAGGCTTTATGGCAAGGCGAGGATGGATTCAGGGTTGAGCGCTGGGTGTTTTGGAAAGAGAGGTTTGCAGATGTGGCACGCTTGAAACGGAAGGGCTTTGCTGGGCGCGTGATTGACGATGTGGTGATGTGTGCAAGAGATGCGGGTAAGATGATGGGTGCGGTCGAACAGGAGGATGCGTTTGCGCTGGATGGACTGGCGATGGTGTTTGACGGCGACGGGGCCTCGAGCTGAGGTCCGAGGGGCTGCGGCGTGGCAGAATCTCGGGAGATGGAAACCATCAACGTACGGCCATGTAGGCGTTTAGACGAGCAGAATAGCTGTCTGCAACTGATCTTGATGGCTCTTCTTTATTCATATAGGAACTGGTTCGAGAGCATCCCTAAGAATATTTAGTAGATGTATCTGTCACGAAAGTTGCGTGCAGCACCATTCATTCAAAATCATGATGGCTTGCAAGAAATAATTACGCTCTTTGCTAGCCATTTCCAGAGAAACTGGTCGAAATCGTGCAAAGTGAAATTGAACAACCACATCGACCTTGAAACAACATCGATGTATATCAGACTAAGCACCTAATGCAGCAGAATCATTTCATGACATGACAGTCCTCATAAAGTCTATACAGATCATGTTATCGCCTCTAAACTGTTCTAAGATGATGTTTCTCCTGTCACCCTGTTTCTCACGGACCACAATCCGTCTCCGCAAAATGTCAAAACTTGACTGCCGTTGCCGTGCCGCCCACATACGTCAACTCTAGCCTCTTATCACGCGTTTATTTAAACCTAGAATTCCTGCTTTTGGTCAGACCGTTGGTGGTGCGGCTCTAGTTGTTGATCTGTTTACGCAGCCACGTGTATTTGCTGTGATGTAGGTGGCATGAGGGGCAGCAAGCTCTCCCTTTTGTTGAGAGGGGCTCCGCAAGGTCCGGTAGGTTGTTGAGTTGTCATATACCTGTTTACGACAGAGTGCTGTCATATCTGGAGCTTCACTCTATTGTTATCTTGGTGCCTATTCGCATCTTCCTTTCCTCTGCTTCGCTTCCTGTTCTTTCACATCACTACAGTCCTAACTCACCAAGAACATACTCAACATGGGCGGCGAAGAACCTACACCTGAAAACTACACCTTGCTCCAGGGTTTCGAATGGAACGTCCCTGCTGATGGCAAGCACTACAAGCGTTTGCAAGATGCGATGCCCGCCTACAAGCACATCGGCATCTCCAACATCTGGCTTCCGCCCGGCTGCAAAGCCAGCTCTCCCAACGTACATCCCCACCACCTCACAACTGCCAACACAGAACCAGACTGACTTTCCACACAGGGCAATGGCTATGATGTGTATGACCTGTACGATCTCGGCGAATTTGATCAAAAGGGCGGCGTAGCCACAAAATGGGGCACCAAAGACGAACTCCTCGCCCTTTCCTCCGCCGCCAAAGACGCCGGAATCGGCCTCTACTGGGACGCCGTCCTCAACCACAAAGCCGCCGCCGACAAAAAAGAGAAATGCCACGTTGTTGAAGTAGACCCTAACGACCGCGACAAGCAAATCTCCGAGCGCAAGGAGATTACCGCATGGCTGGGTTTCAACTTCGACGGCAGAGGCGATAAATACTCGAAGCAGAAATACCATTGGTATCATTTTGGTGGTACGGATTACGATGCTGAGACGGGCAAGAATGCGATTTTCCAGATTCAGGGAGAGGGCAAGGGATGGTCAGAGTCTGTTGACGACGAGGGAGGCAATGCTGATTTCCTCATGTTTGCGGACTTGGACTACTCGCATCCGGAAGTCTGCGAAGATGTTACCAACTGGGGCAAATGGATTGTCAAGGAGGTTGGCTTGAAGGGTTTCCGTCTTGATGCTGTACAACACTTCTCTCAGCGCTTCACCAAGGAGTGGATTGAGGCATTAAGGCGATCGCATGGCGATCTGTTCTATGTCGGCGAATTCTGGACTGGCAACAAACAGGATCTGATCGACTGGGTCAACGAGATGGAGAGGAAGTTCTCGCTGTACGACAGCCCACTCCTGAACAACTTCTCGAACATCAGCAAGCAAGAGAGCGCGGATTTGAGAAAGGTGTTCGATGATACTCTGGTCCAAGACATGCCTGTCAACGCCGTGGTAAGCATTATCCTACAGCCAAACGAATCACAGCAGGCTAACACAAGTTCCCATCGATCAGACAGTAGTAGTCAACCACGACACCCAACCCGGCCAAACCGTCGAGACCCCCGTCGAAGGCTTCTTCAAGCCTCTCGCCTACTCTCTGATCCTGCTCCGCCGCGACGGCTACCCCAGCATCTTCTACGGCGACCTCTACGGCATGAAGGGAGACAACCCCGAACCACCATCCTGCGGCGACAAACTCGCCGATCTGATTCTCGCACGCAAGCTCTTCGCATACGGCGAGCTCAACGACTACTGGGACAACCCCAACTGCATTGGTTGGGTGAGAAGAGGAACACACGACAGAAAGAATGGATGCGCGGTGGTTATGAGCAACACCGGACCTGGAGAGATCAAGATGCATGTTGGACCTGAGCACAAGGGAGAGGTGTGGACGGATCTGCTGGGCTGGGAGCAGGGAGAGGTCACCATTGACGATGAAGGCAATGGTCTGTTCAAGTGCCCTGGTTGCAGTGTTGCTGTTTGGGTCAACAAGGATGCAGAGGGCAGAGAGCACTTCCCCGTCAACTTCGACAGCGACATCTACAAGGAGGCTGGCAAGCAGAACGGCGACAAGGAAGAGAAGGCAGACAAGAAGGAGTAAGGACGACTTTACCACCAGATACCGATGAGGAGTAGCGCAAAGTGCTGCACATAATGCCAACGGAAGAGAAGGATATACACGAAGAGACATAGACGAACATCTCACGAAATAGGCAATGACAGAAGCAACAGTTCTTCGAAATCGCTCATCCAATTTCCGACCGACTCCGCTCGCGAAATGTCCAAAGCGCAACAAAGCCATCCGATTATCCCTCGCTCCTCAGACCTTTTGTGCAAGAAGATTGATAGTCATTTTGGCTCAACATCCTCTCTCGCACTTGACATTCTGACATGTTTCGCGAAAAGGAAAATGATCAACACACGTACCTGAAGATCGCGATCCATCATCACGAAACCGGCGCGCCGGAGATGTCCTTCGAACGGTCACCTGCCTTGAGACCGGGTCGTAGCGTAACGGTCGGTCATGCCGGAACATTGCACTGGGAACGAAGAAACAGATGTGAGCGCAGGTGAACCATGAGGCGATGGAATTTGCTGGTCATGAAGAGACAATGGGATTCGAGCTGAGGTAATGGATTTTTCTGAATGCGCTTCTGTCGTTGAACAACAACTCTATTATGCGGCAGTGCAGCTGCACCGACAAAGCGCATGGTTGTGCGCTCGCTTGTGCTCGGCTAAGATATCAGACACAAGGGCAAGGTAATGATTGAAGAAGGCTGACGAGGTTCAAGTGTTCGCTATGACCAGCCCAGATGAGTATGTCCAACATTCGATCGTCAAACGCATGTTTGCTAGACAGTTGTGAGCGATCAACAGATGGCATAGATTCACCCATCCCAGCAGCGCTTCAATCAACAACGGTCGGCTCGTATGATAGCTGCCGTTAGACATGCGAGAATTCTGAAAAGATCTCTGATGAATCTCCGGAGCTCGGAATCTCAGCTTGCTGTTGTAAAACCATTGTCTCATTGCTGCCCAGGAACCACAACAACCATCACAGACCTCAGTGATCTCGCCACCAACTGGACTACCGACTTCAGCTGATGAGATTAGCACAGATCACGGAAGAGCTGCACCTTTGTACCATGTATCTCACAGCGCATCTCAGAGTACACGACCGAGCCGTGGTAAGAGGGGCGACTTGTATATTCCAAGCACAATGTGAACTAGGCCATGCAAGGCACAGCTGTTTACTGTTATGCTACCTGCCGTCTGCGAACCTTCCTTCAGCGCTGGTGACTGCCTATGATCATAGCTATGGTCCAAGCAGTGGCAAGATATCGCCGAGGGAACGGTCACAAACTCGACCGGAAAGAAGAATTAATCTTGAAACAAACTTTCGGTACTCTGGGCCGAGCACGAGTCGTGCAGGGAAAGACATACCAAGACATTTCACCACAGAGGACAAGGATTCATACGGAACTATCCCAAAAGCGTTTGCCAAGAACAGGATCAGCTTGCTAACCAGACTTCCACCTTTTTGGCAGTTCGAAAGGATACTATCCTGGCCGGAGAGCCCGAACCATCTCACCGCACAACACGACCGGGTCGTGATTAGAGGATGCGGTTTGGGTAAGCAAAACTGCCCAGCTGTCAATCTCGAAATGGAGAAAGGGCCTAGATCTAGCTTCGAGCCTGTTGTCTCTTTCGTGGGGATAGGTGAACTGAGAGCATCAAAGTCGTCAAACTATGCGCAATGGGCGTTTGTCGTAGAGTGAGTCTATTCGACGTTGTCGCTTGCCAAAGGATATTCTTGCTTGCAGATAAATTATTATCGGAGAATAATACTCGACATCTCTACATGTCGCGAAGTATTCTGCAGGAACAGAAAGATACTCGAGTACAAAAAGATGACCTGAACGGAGTTCCCTCGGGTGAGTAAAGTTTAGGCACTAGCCATTCCTCGGATGCAATTTCGCCAAATTCGATCGCCAAAGGATCGCGCCTACCCCGAAGGGATCTTTCTCCCGCTTCCTCAGCTTCTTTTACGCCAAGCGTCTCCTACCCAAAGGTTCTTACCCCGTGATTGTCAAGCCTCCTCAAGCCTCTTCAAGCCCCCTGAGATCTCAGCTGCTGTCTACGACTCCAAGTCAGCAAATGGTGGACCTTAACTTTGCCTCAAACGCCTCATGGCGGCCGCAAGAGCATTTTCTAGTACTCGGACAGACCGAGTTCTCTGCTATAGCAAATTCCCAATGAAGAGGATGCTGTGGTATATAAGGTAGGATGACTGCAACCGACACAATTCAGAATCAGTCTCATCTTCTCTTCCAATCCACAACCATCTTCACGAGTTCAAGATGCGTTTCTCCTCATATGCTCTTCCCGCGTTGGCGGCCAATTTGGCCGCTGCTATGCCCAGGCCTCAAGACATCGATCTTGATATGGTCATAGATACTCCTGATCCGACTTACACCCAAGCTGTCGGTGTCGCTGCTCAAACCGTCACCTACGACACCGCTTCCCTCATCGCTGCAGCCACCTCAGCCGTCTCTTCTGTCAGTGTCGAGATCAGTGATGTTCTGTCTCAGACCGCAGTTGCTACCAATGCGAAGAGAGCCGCTCCCACTACTTGTGCCCCTCAACCTTCCGGAGCAACCTCAGCCCCCACCTACGCAGCTAACGCAGACAATGCTGCCAACTTCCTGGCAAACACCTACTACGCTTCCGTCGCTTCGGCCGCCCCAACTCCCTCTGGCTACAGCCAAGCCTTCGTAGCCCAGCAAGCCTCTAACAATGCCTTCGGGTATATGGGATACGACACGTTTGATACCTACGACGTCGTAACGTGTGCACAGCGTTGTACTGCCAAGGATGGTTGTGTCTCCATCAACATCTACTTCGAACGTGACCCATCTGGTAATTTCTCGACTCCTCCATTCTGTTCAAACCACAACTGATTTCGAACAGTCAATCCTGATGATACATCGTGCTCGAACCCTTCTTCGGTAACCATGATCAAGGTGAATATCATCGCTGCGTCTCCCTCAAATTTGGGACTGACAAGTCATAGTGCGTGTACTGGGGCGGACCTGTCAGCCAAGACAATGCAGTCAACCAGGGTCAAACCCGTGGTGGTTTCACTGTTGCGATCGCTGGATCCAACGGCTATGTCACCACTCAGATCAAGACCCCAGCTGGTTACCAGGCTGGTGTTCCCTATGGAAAGTTTGCCATCAACGCACCCTACGATATACAAGGCTACAACACTGTAAGTGATGCAATTACATCTCGGACCTAAGCTGTATGCTTACACCATCTACAGTTCATGGGCTCTAAGCTCTTTACATCTACCTGGGACACAGCTGCTTGCGCTGCCTACTGCGATTCTCAAACTGCATACAACAAGGCAACCGCTCCCAAGGACGGCACACCATACAAGATTTGCAACTTCTACAACACTTATGTCTTGACTGCACACAAAGCTGATGGCTCAGTCGTCCCACAAGGACAGTACTGCGCTCTCTACACCGAGGCATGGCCTATCAAGTACGCCACTAATGGCGGACAGTGGAGAGGACAGGACCAATACGTCGTCAGCTACAGCTTTGGCTTCCCTAAGAACAATCCCGGCATCGACCCTACCGTCGGCGATTCGAATGGTGCCGTGTACCAGGCTGTTGCCGACATCAAGTGGTCGAAATTGCAGCCCTTCTGCTCTGCTTATCTTGGATACACAAATCCTGTGTCAACTTCGATTGCCATCTCGACCGTCGTACCCGTCGTCACCTCTACTGCATACTCGACTACGACTGTTTCAGCTGTTGCCAAACGTGCCGCTCCGTCGTCTCTGTCAATCCCTGCTGACTTGAAGAAATACCAATCCTCAGTTATCTCCTCAGCGTGCGCCATGCAGGTCACTGCCGCGTCCTCAACATCTGTCTTAACTACCTTCTCAACCGTCACTGCCGCTGCATCGACCACCGTCACAACAATCGTGTCTACTGCAACTGCTGCAGCTGGCCCTGCCGTGAACAATGTTGTCGTTACCGCTCCCGGCTCTACCTTTGACGGCCAACCTCTTCAACTATCGGGCGACAACTTCCGGGATGGCTCTGTTGGCGCCGGCCCTGGAATCAGCATAAGTTCAAATTATTTCCTCGCCTTCCCGGATAGCTTTTACGTTGACCAATCTGCACGAACCAACTATCTCAAAGACGGCGTAAACAAGTTCACCGCTGCAATCTCTTTCTTGAGAGCCGACGCCAAGTACGTGCTCTTCTGCTCGGATGCGTACCTCGCCCAGCAGCCTGATCTCGTTCCTCTGCAATGTAACATCGAGACCCAAATGGGCAGCACATCTAGAACTGGCACCCTCTCATGCACTGCGACCGCCAAACAAGGAGAATTCAACACGTTCGTTGTTGGCCAAACGCCGGATGGCCAAAGTAATTTGGTTATGGCAGAAAGTGGTGTCCCCGTAGTAACAGCTGACGGAAGCACCTTCTTTGACGCAACTCTGACCATCGGCTTCTAGTCTTGGAGTTTGGAGAGTTCAAGGACTGGGAAGTATGTGCATGGAGTTGATATGGATTGGCGCAGACTAAAATCGGCGGGTGGAATTGATCTTATACTTTGCGTTCGTTTATTACTTTCTGATTCTAGTACTTTTTGAAATCTGGCATTTTGTTTCTGACAGATCTTTCACTGATCCTTCGCGTCTCTCTTTCACTGCATTGCAACCCTGCGTCTTATGAAGACAGACCCTAAAAGCCGCTTCAAGTAACGCTGTGTCGAATATCGAATTTCGGGCACTACCCTGACATGTTGTGATCAACACGGCGTTGCGTCGGTTCAATTAAAGTTGAGGAAGGATTTAAGCTTAGAGATGACACAGGTACTTGTTGCATGTAACCAATGCTTACCAAAACTAGCCAAGTAGCAACCCGAGGTGCATGGGGAAGACACGAAGCTTAACACAAGACAAGATAGCAAATTGGTAGCACAGTGATGAGGAAACCTTGAATTTAATCATGAACGAGAGTGGCTTGCTAAATTAACAAATATCCCATCCCCTATCCTGTTCCGACTATCTTGATATGTACAAACTTCTTTTCTCTCGACACTCAACCCAACCCGATGAGTAGCTTAGTTGTAAGTGTAAACCTGCTCAGGACCAAGGTTTCCCCACTGGCGCTGGCTGTCAACATTGCTGGCACCGAACCAAGCCAACTCGTTCTTAGCATCAACAACAGTGATAACAGCAAAGGCAGGAGCAGGGTTAGCAACATAGCCCCAAGAAACGGTGTAATCACCGTTAGCACACTTCTGGTTGGAGAAGGATTGCTTGGAGGCGTTGACAATAGTGCAGTGCTCGGTCTTGCCGTTGGCAACGATGTCGAAGTTGTAGTCACAGGTGGAGCTGCCGTCGGCGCAGTAGCGGACGACGTTGTTCAGGGTCCAGGTGGTACCATCGACCTTCTTGGGGTTGGAGCCGGGGGCAGCGGCAGAGACGGCAGCAGATGAGGCAGCGGCAGCGGAAGAGGAGGCTTTGGCGGTGGAGGTGGCCATGGTGGAGGCAGAGGCGCTGTAGGGGATAAAGCTTGAGATCAGGCCGCCTGTGGAAGCAATGGGGTTCTCGCCGAGGCAGCTGGCGTATTCAGAGGCGCATTGAGCCATATTGGCGGAGAGACCGTCGGGGCCACGAGTGCTTCTGCAGGTGTTGTAGGCTGCGTAGCAAGCACCCTGGCAGGCAGCATTGTCGGCAGCACACTGAGCCATGTTGGCTGCGAGACCGTCCTTGCGAGTGGTGCGGCAGATGTTGTCCTTGGACTTGCAGTCGGAGGCAGCAGAAGAAGTGGCAGCGGCTGCAGCGGTGGTCGAAGAAGCCTTTGTGCTGGTGGGTGTGACAAGGGTCAAGGCACCGTTGGTAGAGATACACTGCTGGCCGCCGGGATATGAGTGGGCGGGATTGCAAGCGTAAGTGGTTGCTGCGGCTGCGGATGATGAGGCAGTCGCTGTGTAAGGAACGAACGATGAGATGATTCCTCCAGTAGAAGCAATAGGGTTCTCTCCAAGGCAGTCGGCGTACTGGCCAATGCATGCAGCCTGGTTAGCTGAAAGACCATCAGAACCACGAGTGTTCTGGCATTTGATCAGGGTTGCGTAGCAAGCGCCCTTGCAGGCTGCGTCCTCTGCTGAACACTGAGCCTGGTTGGCGGAGAGACCATCAGGACCACGAGTTGTGCGGCAAGCATTGGTCTTAGCAAGACAGTTGTCGTTGTTCTGAGTTTCGCGGCGGAGAGCAGGGGAGGCGGAGACAGCGGAGGTCAAAGCCAAGACGGAAATGAAGGATTTGGAAAGCATCTTGTTGAGTGAGAGAGTTCGTGATCTGTGCAGATGTGTTCGTAGAATGAGATATGAGATGGAGAATGATCTTGTTGTAGTGATGCTTGCTGTGTTGAAGAAAGGATGTGATATGAGTTGCTGAAGGATCACCTCAAGGTCTTATATATCCCACTCTCCTACCTCGTAGATAGCACTTTCAACGTGTGATGACAAACGTCGAGAAGAGTTTCTCACTTACCGTCGCCATGTCTGAGATTTTACGACCTTGAGGTCAATGCATGTGCTCGTACAAGAGATCGACCCCACGTTTGTGGTCATTCTTCCAGCGATCTCCTCGTACAAGACCCATTTGCCAAGCAAGAGGCGGCGGAGGAGTGACCTTCCGACAGCTCCTCAAATCAACTTTGGTGATGGAATTGTCTTGGCCACGAAGAAACATCCAAACGGTCGTCGAAAATAGAAATTCGCAGGGTCTTTAGCCGAGGTCGATCTCGAAACCTTGTTATTTTTGGCCATGACATCAGAGCCGTTCGCCTAGTCCATCACTTCAACTTGCTTTCTGTGTCGATGGCCAAATCGTTCTTAGAATTTTTGTGAGGCGGTCAAGAGCAGGTGCTTAGGCCGCATGACTGATGCAGGCCTTGCAGTGGTAGATGCAACCTCGTAAATGCAAGCCCATCGCAGTCGACCGTGCGCTCGCGATTTGTCCTCATCTCTGTCATGGTCGGAGATTCGGTCTCATACCTTTGTTCGGCATCGACGGTCGCAGACAGTCTGCTCGATCATTACTGCTTGTCCAAGGCTCCGTGATATGATCGCGCATATGCAGGCGGGACCGAACGGCTTTCTGCACTTTCCGACAGGACCACAAATCCGCATACCTCTAGAAAGACAGTATAAATATTCGACTGCGACTTGGCTGTAGAGATTAATGCCAGGCATTCAACGCAGAACAGATCAGCGCAACAATGACCATTCGACTTCACAGATCCAAGCTATCAACCTGTACGCAGAGAGTAATGCTCGTGTTGAACGGACTTGACCTGCCATACAATTTGATTGACGTCGATATTGGTCAAGGTGAACACGAGGTTGAATCATACGAGCCCTGGTCATCTCAACCGTGGCTGATCTTCACTCCCAGAGATCAGGGGTTTGTCCATGACATACATCCTTTTGGCAAGCTTCCAGCCGTTGAGGACGGTACTCTGCACGTGTTTGAGTCTAGAGCCATTTGCAAGTATCTGGTTGCATTTTCGGACTCGGTGCTGCTGTCTCCGGTAGACTCTAGAGAGCTCGCTGCGCTTGAACAGGCCGCATTAGTCGAACACTCATACTTCAACACGAGTTTTTCCAAGCTTGCATGCGAGAGAATCTTCGAACAGTGGATGATGTCCCAATTACCGCCGACCACAGTTCGGCTGACTCATTACCGCGAATCCTTTGATCGCGACGAAGCGGAACCTACTGTGGTGTAACTGATGGAGGAGAACTTCAAAGAAGTGCTTGATCACTATGAGAAGCTTCTTGCCAGTCAACCATACTTGACCAGTAAAGTTAGTCCACCAAGTCGAGCCGTTCTGGCAGATACCCAACTCACCATCCTACAAGAATGCTCGCGTGTGGATATGAACCATCTTGCGTGGCTACATACTCTTTCCCACCTTTCGATGGAGCATGAAATCAGCTCTCGGGGCAAGGTTGCAGCTTGGTATCAGAGGATGCAGCAACGGCCGGCATGGCAAAAGGTCCTGAGCGGGATTACTGCATGAGCGGAGTCAATATCCAATAGACTCTCAACTTCAGATGTCGATAACTCCAGTGTGTCATTATAGCATTGCTGTTCACCGCAGCCTTCTTGGTTTGCAGTTTAAGGGAAGAAGTGGCTGAGAGGATGAGTCCGGTGAGTCTTGTCGGTCCCGTCGGTTCCGTCGGTCCCGTCGGTACCGTGACGCCGAAGATTCCGCTTCCGTCGGCCGCTCTTTCCCAGCCTCTCTACAGCCATTGCCTCCGAATCACAAAGATTACTTTCGATCAAGATGACCATTGTCATCAACTATGGCTCCAAACGTCACGCGTTTCCATAGCTGTACGCGATGTCAGCATCGCAAGGTTAAATGTGATGGCGCAGATCCGTGTGCGACTTGTCAAAAAGCCAACGCCGAATGCACACGCAACCATCGCAATTCGCTGGCTACAAGACGAAGGAGGGAAGGTCTTATATCCGGACATGCAAGATTTCAAGTGCAGCCTGAGCCCGAGCAGACAGGTTCATCCGCACCTATAGAGCTTCCGTCCTTCAGTGACTTAATCTCTCCGCCCGCAAGTGACAGCACACGACAAATCCCGATATCAAGTACGCAAACTCCTGCAGATCACGGCGAGCCTCTTAGGGTAGAATCTGTTTTATTCAGCCATCCGCCTGATCAGGTATCGCCAAAACTCGCATGGCCTCAGCCAGTACAGATCTTCCAGCTATGGCAGACCTACATCGACAATGTCAATCCTATGGTCAATCTACTGCATACACAAACTATGCAACGCTTGGTACTCCAGGCGACTGGCTGTCAACAAGAAGACTTGCCCAAGCCCTCTCGAGCACTGCTCTCGTCTGTATTCCTCGCTGCCGTCGAGTCCCTTAGCGATGAAGAATGCTTCAATCTTATGATGTTACCTAAGCATGAATGCATTCGTGGACTATTCGAAATGACCAAGGAGTGCCTTCTTGTTGTCAACTTTATGGATACCGCAACAACAGAACTGCTTCAAGCACTTGTTTTGTATCTGGTCGGTACAATCTAATCCCATCCCGTGCGTGTGCTAATCTGGTGTTTGAGTCAGATGGCCGCTCGGCAGCACAGTTCTCCTCAGAGTCTTTGGCTGGTGATAGGTGTTGCAGTCAGACTAGCTCACCGCTTGGGCATCCACCGAGAGAGAAATCTCCAAGGCATGACTGTCTTTGCAGCAGAGATGAACCGCAGGATTTGGTGGCAGGTCTATTTACTGAATCGCCATTATGTCAATCTGTGCGAAGACATCGACAGCAGTGATCCAGCTCACGTTCTGATTTTTGACACCAAACGACCACTCAACCTCAACGAGGCAGACCTTCATCCAGACATGACTACATTGCCTCCTGAGAGACAAGGTATGACAGACATGGTGTTTTGCTCAATCAGATATGAGATCGGCAGTTTTGTCCGGAATCTCAGTCTCAATGTCGAAGGCCAAAGTAGAGTACAAGCGATCCAGCAGTTGGAAGCCCGTCTTGAGGAAAAGTATGCCAGACATTGTGACGGCTCAATACCACTTCAACGTGTTTCCAGATGCCTTGTTAAAACAACTGGATATCGTCTCGCTCTTCGACATTGCCATTCTACGCATGGCGTGAATGATAACTTGGCAACAGGAGATCGGCGTCAAGCTTTTGATACAGCTCTGTTGCTTCTACAGACTCAGCATTCGAGCTGCGCCAGTCAGATGTTGGACCGCTATAGATGGCACACGAAGCTATTCTATTGCTTCGAAGCCCTCTTTCCCGTACTCCACACTCTAGCATTCCAGGAGCTGAGTGAGCCGACAGCGAGTGAGGCATGGCAACAAGTTTCGCTTGCGTATCGTTTCAACCCAGAACTGCTAAGCTTCGAGCACAAGAGCTTCTACAGCAACTACTGTCGCAGCCTCGACAGTCTGGCTCTCAAAGCTTGGAGTCGTAGAGCCTCGACTGATGACTGTATGCCCGATTTTGTGCAGCAGATACAGCTACGGCAAGGTCGACCAAATGGACAAGATGCTGTCGAGAATTTGAGCACGCATGTCCAACAGACCGCGCAATCACCACAGCATGCAGCAAACGGATACCCTTCGACCGTTGAGATTGATGGAGAGACATGGGAATACTGGCTCAATATCTTTGACAACGAAGAGCTGCTCGGAATATGAACACCGGTTGCATCGGACGGCCTGACACTTGCCCACTCAAACTAGCTTCTGTTCGTGGCAGATTGTGCCACAGCCCGGTCAATCTACGTTCGCTTCAGCCCCATTGGCATATGCAGACTACGACCAGATCAAAGCTGCATCTACGCAGCTCGGACAGAGAGATGTTCGACTGGAGTCCGGTCAAGAGGAAAACGACATGCAGTCGTAAAGGAAAGGAACAAGTAACTCAGATATCTCTGGGGATCGGGGGAGCGCTCCTTCCTATGCTGGCGCGCTTAAACGAGTCCATGTGACGGCGCTTCCTTCCGAAAACAGTCAAGCATTGATTTGAAGCGTGAATGCAGCCTCTCCGTGTGCAGAACACGGTTACAAGATAGCTATAGAAATGCACAACACTTCGATAGAGAACGTGGTTGCCATGGACAAAGTTCAAGTTCTATCAAGAGTCATCCCAATGGCTAGGCCTACATTCCGGCCGCAACTATGCATGTTGATAGCTTATAACAACCACTGCACCTTAGAATGGAGAAGGCTTAGGTGCAAATTTGTGACTGTGTTTAGCATGTAGGCAAGGAATTCATAGTACTTATCCGTATCGAGACAGGAGGCTGAACAAGGGGCTACAGGATTTATGTTCGTTCCTGTTGTACTTCGTAATCATCCATCGAATCTGCACCGAGACACACAGGACAAAACACAATCGAAACCCAAAGCAACAAGGTGTGATAGAAGTCTATCTAAGGCCTATACTGACAGTGGCTATAAGAAAGTAAACAAAGAAAAATCTATATCGCTAAAGAAACAAAGCAGAGAAAAATAAACATGTACATATATGGAGAATTCTCAAGTCTCCTTGCCAAAAGCAGGGAACTTGGCACCCTTGGAAGAATCACAAGGGAACATGACAACATCCGCATTCATAACACCAGAGTTGGAGTAAGGAGTTGTTTGAAGGATCGTAGCGCCGTCTGGGGCTGTCATGGTGAATTGGAAGCCACCTTGGCCTCCACCGTTCGCGTACCAAAGGCGGATAGGCGTGTATGTGTTTGCAGTGAGGAAGAAGCCCAGAGTTGCAGGGGCAGGTGCACTCCAAGTCTGAATGAGTTGGGCGTTGGCACGGGTGTAGCCAGAGAGCGCATTAGGACCGACCCAGAGGAGGGTAACATCATCTGCTTGAGGCAGGTTGATATGGTAGTATCCAGTACCATGGCCGGCAAACACATAAAAGACGTGATTGAGAGCCAAAGTCGTAAGTGTGGAGGCAAACTCGTAGTTACCATACACATATGTGCCGAAGATGCCTCCATCGTAGTACTCGCCAATGTAAGAAATGCCCGTGGCTTGTGCAGAGGGCGTTGATGTCTTCATGACTTCTGGCTTAAAGGCTGGGTATTGCGAAACTGCTTGCTGGCCTGGGACTGGATTGCTGTAGAAACCGGCGGCAGCGCCCTTGTTACCGCATGTAGTGACAGGAGTAGGGTAAATGATTGATACAGTCCCGGTCAAGCCCTTGGTAGGAGTGATGGTTTGAGTCGCGATTGTGGATGCTGTGCCTGAATCGGCTGTCACTGTGACATAGGTGGTTGTAGTTGCCGCTGGGACCGAGCCCGAGGTCTTGACGATGACGGTTCCGGAAAGACCGTTGATGGTGGTAGTTGTAGTGCTGCCTGGCCCAGCCCAGACAGTAGTAGTCGTGGTGTACGATACAGTTCCTGCCACGGTGTAGGCATTGAAACCGGCATAGGATGAAGGCATCCAAGCCATATCGACATTGTAGTTGTTCAACTGAGGTGTGCGCGATGTTCCAGTCAGGTTCTTAAAATAGCACGTATTGCCCAAATACGCGAAGCCATTGCAGCCGGGATAGTTGCCACTATCACAGACAGCGAAACATGAGTAGAAGTCGGGTGTGGTTTGGTTGCCAATATCCGCCGCATACTGAACATCATACCCACAACCAAGAGTGTAGTTGACGCCGTTATAGTCGATGAAAGAACTACCAGCTTTTCCAAGGGCAGAGCAAGTGGCGTTCTTTCCGGTTGGTGCAGGAGTCCATGTGACACTAGTGAGACCTTTGTCTTGAGGATAGAGCGCATAGCCGTAGGAGTTGGTCAAGTTATATACTGTGCCGCTGGAGTCCTGTGCTGTTCTGTAGGTGGCGTAATTTGATGCATTGGCCGTACTGAATAGATAACATCCCATCAATTGAGTTTGTCCATTCAGAGTGAGGTTGAAGACATTGAAATAGTTGCAAGGAGTGTATGTTGAAGACTGGGCGTTCTGTGACTTGTTGTTCGCAGTGTACGTGTTACACAAAGTACTACACTGACTGACATCATACGTGGAGAAGTACTTCTGACCCAGGTAGATATTGGAGCTGTAAGCAACTCCACTGAGAGCAGTAGGGCCCTGGAAAGAAGAGACCGACGCTGGTACAGGGTTGAGGTTGTAGCCGTTAGAGCCTTGGATAACAACCATGAAGTCCTTGCGGTACTGGCCGATATTGGTAGCTTGCGAGGCATCCACGGCACCACCATAAAGTGCGCAGGTAATGGAGGCACCGGCGGTAGGATTGGGACAAGAGTCATCAGGAATGAAAGTAGGCGTACGCTGGATGTAGATGTTGAAAGCGTTGCAATCAGAGCGAGCATTGCAGTAAGCAGCACATGCACTAGTGTCGTAGGAAGCCAGTTGTTGGTAGCCAAGGTAGTTTGGTGCGAAGAGACCAGCCAACTGGCTGGTGAAGCTTGTGCTGTATCCGGCAGGAGGATACCACTGAGCAGCAGCCAAGCCAGCCAGAGTTGTGTCGACCAAGAATTGGGTGGGCGTGTTTGGATTGGGCGCGTAGTTATACATAATGTTGTTGGGGTTGCTGCAGGTTGTCGCGGTGGCACGCTTGACCTTGGTTGAGCTTGACTTTCGGGTCGAAGTCGAGGTCGAGGCTTTGCTAGAGATCGATGTAACCTTCTTGGTCGAGGTGCTGATTTTAGCAGAGGATGATGATGACTTCTTTGTTGATGTGGTCATCGATTTGGAAGACGACGTGGTGGACTTTAGGAATCCTGCAACAAAGTTCGTGCCAGCGGCAACGGCACTGCCTGCAGAATTCTTCAACCAACACGTGCCTTCGCCGATGCCTTGATCGCCGCCAACGTATGTAAAAGCGACACAACCAGATGTACCATCGCAAGCGGTCATACAATCTGTGAACGATTTGGTTGCGGCCTTGTTCGTGAATGCTCCGACATTGGTGTCAGAACTACACTTGATGGTGTAGACCTTGCCCTTAGCATCTGTGACGTCCTTGTTGATACATGAGCTGCTAGAAGCAGCAGCGGACGAAGATGTCTTCTGAGTCGACGAGGATGATTGCTTAGTCGATGATGTGGCCATCTTGGTACTCAATGTCGTGGCCGATGAAGATCTTGAGGACGACGTAGCCGACGACTTGGGCATGCTGCTTGAAGAAACCATGGTTGCTGCATGCTCAGAGCTCAACTTCGAGACAATAGAGGATGCAACTGATGAAGTCTTTATTGACGAGGTCGAGGACGCAGCATTACTCGCTGACTTGAGTTGCGGCTTGACCGAGTAGACTTTGCCAAAGTCAACATTTTGGGCTTCCACAAGGGTGGACAAGCCAGCCAGGAGTGGGATGGCAGTGTCGATGAAACGCATGTTGATGGTGCAAAATCTAGGACAATCACTTTTCACCAAGGTGCTGCATGGCGAAACCGAGGTTATATAGCATGCCTGAGTATGGCTTGACCGGAAGGATTGGATGTTTCAGCGAGAATTTTGATAGTGCGAAGCCGCTTTCACCGGCTACTCTGCCGTCGAGAGGCATTTGAACCAGTTCTTCGTATAGATCGTTGACGTTATCGTGCTTTACCACAGGGTCGGGTCTTCGAGAAGGTGGTCAAGCAAATTGAAGTTGTGCTCTAGAAGACCGTTAGGTCGTGGCGTCTAATTTTGTATATCACCGTTTTAGCCCTGTCCAACGTCTGACCCTTTGTAGTTCGCCGAGGTTAGACTTGTGTCATTGTGGAGGAGATGTGGGAGTCCTTATCTGGTTCCATAATGTCTATGGCTTGCAGGATGGGGTTTAGCAGATGGTGCCTCTGACGTATCGGAGAGGAAATGTTCGCATGAACAAAACTAATGTTGTCCCTTTCGAGATAGAAAGATGCGAACGAAAACAAGAGTCAAGGTGTTATCATGTTCGAATCCAGAGTTCGTCCCCCAGGTTACCTGTCGTCAAATAACGAACCGACCCCGCAGAAGGGTTCCGTGGAGCAAAAGGGTCTGTTTTCGTCGAAGTCTAGAGCAACGAAACCGTTGCAAGGTCTTACCTTTTGGTCTCGCTCTTGTCCGAAACATGACTTTCCCAGAACCATGGTGCTCGCTTTCCAGCAAGTTTACGGCTCCGTCGCCTGTTGAGCCGTACAGAATTGGCCAAGTCATCGAGTCGTGCGATCTCGGGTCCTGATGCCGAAGCTGCTATCATAACGGCATGAAACAGAAGACGAAAAGGCTCCTTAACGGACAAATGCAAGATAAGCAGTCTTGACGATCGAGGCGAAGGTTGCTCATTGTGATGGCCTTGCTCTTTTTGGCTCCGCGATGGACAGGCTCTGATGATGGCATCGACAATTGTTGTCAGACAGATACTCCTGGTTGTCAAAGTTTCAATCACTGATCCCTTTGACCTGGTCCCTATGGGTGTTTGTCATTACTCAAGCCAGCGAGGGGACTGGGGGAGGCGCAGGAGAAGAATGCCAAGATGACTCCAACCTTCGCTGCCCGAAGATCAACCGGTGTCCGGACTCTTCAGCTCCTCGTCCTGCGACTGATGATGCAGGAAGTCATGAACACGGTTAATACGATGGTTGCGTTTCAGGATTCGGTCGAAACGATAGGGTATCAGTCCGTTCCCATCGCTCGTCAATTCGCACTCTCAACAGCTGTCTCAACATACCTTAACATATAACAAGCTGCTTCAAGCTAATGTGCTTGTGCAGCGTTGACCAATCTATGCCGTATCCGTTACGAAAACACTGTAGGAAATGTCTCATGGTAGGTAGACCTCAATATCATGTTCAATCTTAGAACACGGCGATACGGTGTATGTGCGCAGCACCACAAGCTGTTGGGTAAGTGTTTGTTGACCATAATTAGCCAGACTGGATATATGCTTGGTGCTGTTGGCCACTTTATCTTGATCTTTTGACACTCATCGCGCTTCACACTGTCATCAATCGTTCTAATCGCTCAAGTTTTTGTCGTTTGGACCATACCACACACTCATTTACCAGCTTTTCTCACGACATGCCTTTTTCGTACTACGAATACCTTCCATCCAAAGCAGCTGCTGTGGTTGCTTGCCTCATCTTCATCATCATCACCCTCCTTCACTCCTGGCAACTCTTCCGTACACGCACCTGGTTTTTCATCCCATTCGTCATCGGCGGTCTTTGTATGTACAAAGTAAATCTTCTCGAACCCTAGGGGCTAACATACCCTGCAACAGTCGAAGTCATTGGATACGCCGCCAGAGCTAAGTCTGCAAGCCAACACCCCGATTACACCTTGATGCCATACATCCTGCAATCCCTATTTCTGCTTCTCGCACCCACCCTCTTTGCAGCAAGCATATACATGGAACTCGGCCGCATCCTCGACCTCACAGAAGGAGAATCCCGCTCTTTGATTAGACGAAAACTCCTCACCAAGATTTTTGTCACGGGAGATGTGCTCTCGTTTCTCGCGCAGAGTGCTGGCGGCGGTATGCTTGCTCAAGGCAGCAGTTCTGGAAACAAGATTATCATTGGAGGGTTAGTGCTTCAATTGCTCTTTTTTGGCTTTTTTATGGTGTCGGCAGTGGTGTTCCATCGTTGTTTGTCTGATCATCCTACCAGTAAGGTGATGGCTATGCCGTTACCTTGGAAGAAACACTTGAATGCGTTGTATGCTGGAAGCATTATGATTCTGGTGCGCTCACTTTATCGGTTGATTGAGTATATTCAGGGCGGCAGCACTGGGTATATCGTTCAGCATGAGTGGACATTGTACATTTTTGATGCTGCGCTCATGTTGGGGACTATGCTGGTCTTCTTTTGGATACATCCAAGCGAGATTAGAGCGCTTCTGCGCGGTGGTCCTGCGCTGCAGGGTTGGATACCTTTGAGAGTGTTTGCACCTCTACAAGCTGCGGTATAGAGAGGCACGGAGATCTTGGAAGTAGCACTAGAATTCAGATTGGATTAAGAAGCAGACAGATCCAGGCAATCGAGAACGACTTTTTGCCGGATCAGTTCTCGTGTTCACGGCGTTTCCCAACGCGATAAAGCTTCAGAACATATAGATTTGCTCGCGGCTCAGTGTTGACTTCGCCTACACAGGAGGCTGACGTACCCAACGGTGGCATAGACATTCTGATACAAGTTTTCCTAGTCGTGAGTTGATTCTTGAAAAACAGAATCAGACAAGCTGGATGAGTTCGAAAGTCTCGGTCGCGTTGTCAAACACGCCAAGACCAGACCCACTTTGAAGTGCGCGGCGGACTGCGAGTGCCGTTTCTCGACCATCCATTCATCAATTTTACCTATCCAACCATCTCAAGACTCGATGGAAACATCAATTCCATCTCAAATTTCTACTGATGTCTGACCCCTCAACTCCACGCTCATTCCTGCAAAAAGCCGTCAGTCCAACCCGCAGATCGATGAGTTGACAAGACTGACGGTCTTTTACAGTGTGAGAACTGCCGCCTCAGAAAGATCAAATGTGACAAGCAGATCCCATGTGCGAGTTGCCAGACGTTGGGAATAGCATGTCAAGCAGCTGTTGCAAGGGCCGTAGAGCATAGACCAAGGATCGTGGTGACAAGTCAATATGAACGACAAATCGCCTTGATCCAAGAACGATTACAAGGAATTGAGAGTAGTTTGAAGTTGTTGTCGCGAGGGTCGGTAGTTTCGACTCCGAATGTCGGGTCTGTGGGATCGGATGCTGGGGATGTGCCTGGTCCTGCAAACAAAACGATATCGATTTACGAAGGGGATTCGAGTTTTGGGAGTCAGACTATACAGGCGGGGCAACTTGCTGATGTCACGGCTACGGCAGTGCCAGGAGTACCGTCGAGTGAGTTGTCAAGCGCACTCACATTACTCAAAGACAGTCTGAAGCGACATGAAGCTCTGTCGCGAATACACGAGACACATCTCAGCACCAGAGTTAAGTTTGATTCTGTGGGTCAGCAGGAGCTTCCGCCTGCTTCACTTGTGATCGCTCTGATCAAGACAGCAAAAGGTAAGTGAGCTTTCAATAGGCTCAGTATGTCAATGACTGAAATTAGTCTCACAGCACGTCCTTCTGTATCCTTGGTTGCCTTCTCCTACAAGGGAGTAGCACAGCTGGAAGCACTGTGCCAAAAAGTCTACTTCCCATTGGAACCACCGCCACCAGGTTCAATGACCTTCTTCTATGGCTTTCTCTACTTTGTCATCCGCGACTATTGGAGCCAGCGAGATCCCGCTCTTCAAGGATATGATGCGCAGGCAATCATCGATCTTTGTGAGACGACATTCTGCGCTGGACTGGAGAGTTTTGAGACGCTTACAGTCCCTGTGATGCCTAATATCCAATCACTCCTTCTTGGTGTAAGCAAAGCTATTCTGCCCAAACCGTCAATATACTGACCAGATCATCAGGCAATCAAAGCACAGGAAGAATGCAAACTCTCCTTGAGCTGGACATTCCTCTCTGCAGCAGCGACCATGTGTCACACCCTAGGCTACCATCGCAAATCATCACTCGCCCACGAAGACCAAGAAACTGCAGATATCAAGCGACACCTATTCTGGCAAGTATACATGCTAGACAAGAATCTATCGCTGAACTTGGGAAGAGGGTCGAACTTCCCAGATGCTGATATTGATGCCGAGTTTTACACGCCATCGACGAATTCAGCACAGAGACCTTGGGATTTGATGTCGCTGGCTACGATTTTGTTTGCGAAGCTTCAGGGGCAGGTGTATGATAAACTGTATTCTGCATCGGCGATGGATACGCCGCTTGAAGAACGAAGCCGTGTGGTGGATGAATTATCGTCACAGGTGAATGCTCTTCGAAACCAACTTCTCTCGGTAGGCTTGTGATGTGTCTTTGGGAAAGCGACGCGGACTAACGATACCAGATTGATTTCACGGGAGCCCTTTGTCAGGAGCGTCTGATAGGAATGGCGCAAGCGGCAGACTTTGTTTGCTACTCTGTACTGACGGTCATCTATCGAGCGCAGCCACTCACCAGCAGCACAACAGAGATCAGTCCTCGATGCTACGAAGCGGCACGCCTAGGACTGGAAAACCATCTCCGCTGCTTTGCGCAATTCAGAAACCGTTCAGTGCCTCAGCAAGCCGAATATGTGAATTGGTAAGCATGGATCACGCTGTCGAAAGAAGCGGAGCTTAGAGCTGACACATTCAGGATTTTGCTATATCCATCCTTCACACCCTTTACAGTCGTCTTCATCCACGCAATAGCAACCTCCAGCACCTCCGAACTCCACCTCCTACAGGAAACAGTCCACTCCCTCGACCACGTGAAACTACTCTCTCCAGCCGCAAAACGCCTCCACGATGTCTGTTTTGCATTCGCAAAAGTCGCTGCTGCATTCATAACATCACAACGCACACTTAGTAATTGGCATTGTCGTAATGATGGCACTTTGTCGCTTGCGTCTGCAGAGACGACAACAAACTATGAAGCACCAGGGTTCGAAGCAATGGGACAGGATCAAGATGCGCTTTCGGCCTTTCTGACGAGTTTGGCGACGCAAAATCGGCCATTGACGGATTTTTTGCATATGGACTTTTTGGATGGGGAGATGGGGATGGGAGAGTTATTTCCTCCAACGTGAGGAGTGTACGAACAAAGAAAAGGAGAGACCGCGCGATATTACCTCTTCAGGCATGTTCGGCAGGGATTAACGAACCAAGATTTGGCTGCATGCCATGATGCGCTTTAGGAAGCTGCAGCCGAGTAGCGGTCATGCTGGCTGGAATGGCATATTCGAGGAACAGAGAAGCAAGCAGTCAGATATCGAGTCTTACTTGGGAATGATCTGATGAGGCATGAGTTAGTCGAAGAACAGTCGATGTAGGATAGCAAACAATGATAAGTTAGTATATGCAGGATTGCACATGCGAAGAGGCGGCGGCGAGGCCGAGAGCAGCAGGTCAAGGTGCAGATTCGTGTGGGGTTGTGGCCCGAGCGGTGTGACGGGTGATTGGCGGAGATAATCCATTGCATGACCGTCTGTTAAGAGTACGAGTAACTACTCATTTCAGCTCAGGACAGCCCATGTCGCTGGCAGTAACAATGTCATGGACTTTCTCAAGTCGTGCTGCACCAATCTACAAGCTGTAGTGAGTAGCTCCTGTACTCAATATTCAGGGGGCAAGAACCTCGGAGCTGACAGGTGCGACAGGAAGGCTACTCGTCTATTGACTACCTCATCTACAACCACCAGGACGCGACCCAGGGCCAAAAGACCGACTGGGATGACCAGGACCAGCGCAATGACCTTCTCCTGTGTTTGCGACAGCGACGGGTGCTGGTGCAGTCGGCGGTGCAGCAGAAGAAGGTCTGCGTCTTTGGCGGTTTCCAAGCCGCCGACGACTACATGAAAGAGCTGGGATGGCAGGTGCACCAGCGAGGTCGCCTCGAGGCCGCCGCTCTGACACGGCCCAACAGCGACCCTAAGCTCGTCATGCAGAACCAGCACATCTTCAGCATGTTCCTGGCTGCTGTCGAGGCTTCGCTGTCCATTTCTCTGTCTCAACTTTGTGGCGCTATTCGTGTTGGCCATCTGACGTGGATCCTACCCACCGAGGGTGACCACCAACTGCTGTCCCTTCGCGCGCAGATGACCAGTCAGGGCACTCTTGCTCTTCTACCGCATGCGAACAACACTGGCCTCTCCATCGCGTCCGACACCGACGGCGCCAACGTCTTGCTCGCTCCTTCAGGCACTCCCGCTGTCGTCGCATCCCCCTTGAACCTCACCGACATCAACGACAACGCCTCTTCATACCAAGCTCGGAGGGAGGCCCGTATGCGCCTCAGTCGTCGCGCAAAGCATGCAAACTGGAAATCTTTGGCTGCGACAAAGTTAGAAAAAGCAAGTCTATCACATGATGATTCCTGGTTGAGGGTTAGTCTGCGGTCGTCCAACTCACAAGACCAACTCGAGTGTCTTTGGCCGGGTTCTTTATGCTTGGAGATCCCTTCGCAGCAACTGTCACCTTCGCTGGATCGGACGGACAGCATTCACTGGTTCGACTCAAAAGATCCATACCAAAATCCACTCGACACTGCCGAATCCTGGTTTGTCGGACAAGAAGAGCGAGCAAATCAGGAACAAAAGATGCGACAAGCTGAAAAGGACAAGGAAAATGCTGCTAACAATATCCCTGAAGAAGCTATACCTGATCATTTGTCGGTTACATCTCCAGTCTACTCTCGCAGCGCTCAGGATCAGATTAGTGTAAATGGCATATACCCGACACCGCCTGACGCCATACCCCCAATCATCTGCGCGGACCCATCTATACCAAACGTAATAGTCTCCGACAACCCCATCGAAGCATTACCTGGACTTCCGGAAGAGACCCAAGAGCAAGAAAACGATCAACACATGACACAGAATGACAGTACCTCGGATGTTGATCTGGATACTGAAGATTACCACAAGGAGAATACCGACGATTTGTTTGGAGACGCCGATGAAGAAATGTTCGAGAATCCTGGTGTGACGGATGCTGATTTCAGCTTTTTTGACAATCCTGGAGGTGTTGCTTCGATGCCTTCTATTACTGGTCCGTCCGAGGAAATGATTGATGCAGTTTCTGATCCTACGCCGAAAATGGAAGCTGTTGAGCTCCAGCCACAACCCACCGTCCTCGAGGAAAACATGCCGCCGGAGCAGATCAAGAGCCAGGAGATGCAGGAAGAGACGAAGAAAGAGCCAGAAAAGGAGGATGCAGATGTCAAGCTTGAAGACGCGATTGAGGAGGCTGCCTCGAGTCCACCGCTAAGCCCGCTGAAAATCAAGGACAGGCTTTTACCTGAAGAGCAAGAAGAGAAGCATGTTCCTAGCTTGCGAAGAGACAGCACCTTTCTACCTGTGGTTTTCAAAGATGATCTCTCCAACTTCGATGCCAAATATCGAGCTTTGGGCAAGTTCGATAGCGGTTTTGTCAAAAAGGAAGACAACGCAAACAGATCTAACAGCATCGCACTTCCTGAAAAGCCGTTCAGGGCACGCAATCCCACTTCGCTTTTCCGGAGACGCAACACTGTGGCTGAAGCCAAGTTCACACCTCGGGACGATGGATCGCAAGAAGAATCGGAATCCGAGACCAGCCAGGAATCCGACTCAGAGAGTATGTCATCTGTCGAGGGTAGTCTTCGGTCGCTTGACATCAGAAAAAGGAAACGAGGATCAGCAGACGAAGGTCCGACACCAAGATACCTTGCCGAATCGATAGCCGAAAGCGATGTGGAAAGTGTCGGTTCTGATGCGACAGCTATGACTGATCCTGGACCGATGATTGATCAATTGGTTGCCGCAAGAGAATCTCAAAATCGTGCCACGGAGCAGCAGCACAAATTTGCAGACAATCTCTCAATCTGGAGAATGCCTTCCAAGTCATTGACAGCAACTCAAGATCTCAGTATCTGGCCTGTACTCGACTTTACCGCAGACGATCTCGTTGATATAGCTCAGCTCGTTGCTGAACAGAGTACTTTTGCTGGAGCTTCGGATTTGGACATCAGAGAGACCCCCACTGTTGCCTCACCTATCTATTCCACAGCTCAAGACGCGCTGCGACAAGTGTTTGAAAAGGCGCAAGACTGTGACTTTGCAAGAGTTGGTGCAATGGCTGCTCATCACGCCGAGCAAGCGATTGCAGCTGCTGCAAAAATTCAGCAACGACCTGTACCACGGCGGCCGCCAGGGAACATCAGCTCTGTCATCACGATACCTGCGCCAGCTGTCCACGTCCGTCGAGCGGGACAAGGATGGGAGTTACAGCCGACTGCCGTCAATTTCTGGGATACTCTTGGACTGGAACCCGCGCATGGACCAAAAGATGTTGCTGCATTTGCTTTATATCCTGACAGTGGTGGTTTGGGTGAAGCTGTTGCGGACTTCTTGCAAGAGATCCGACTTGCGTACGAGAATCGGAAACTTGGCAAGCACTATATTGGTGGCGAGACAGGCGAGCATGAAGATGGACTGGTGGCATACCGTTCACATGGTGAACCGTCCATCGTCAACATACTGCAAGGTCTGCAGACGGCTTGCAACACCCTCGGTGATTTGCTTCATGATGCTGACCTTGAAGACACAATCATCATCTACATGATTAACCCGTTTGAAGACGAGTCTTTGGTCAAGTATCTATGTGGTTGCTTCCAAGCAATGCTCATAACTTACTCTTCAGATCGCGAAGATCCGCCACCAATGATCTTGCAAATCGTCCCGATGAGCCGTATTGCATGTCCGACCGCCATGACCGTCCCAGATCAAGCCTGGCTAAACTCGCTTGCCGCTTTCATCTACGACAGAGTTTCGCTGGAAAGCAGCAACGATCAAACCTCCTCTTGGCCCCTGAACCTATCCCCCTGTATCCACCTGGCATCCCCTCCAAGCCGCAAGATCAACTTTGCACTTACAGAGCGCACGCCCAAGAATCTTCTCGAGGAAGCGCAAATCTTGCATGTTGCGTATGCTGTTAATGCAGATAACAGCTGGCTCAGTGCAGCGTGGACGGACAACACAGGCATACATTATCACAAAGCATCATACTGCCTCAGCAACACAGATGGCAGAATCATACTCACAGAAGTCAGAGACACGACTTTGAGTCTCGCACGCGACTCCCCTCATCGTGTTTTTGTTGCTCGCGCCGGCGTCATGCGCGATTGGGAAAAGAGAATTTGGCGGGAGAAGCCTTCTGAAAACTGGAGTATTGCTTTGCTGGACGTGGACATGAGTCCTGCCTTGCAGATTGGCGCTAACACCGATGGCGGAGGTGTATTGGGGATGGGAGCATTTATGACGCCAGCTGCTACACCTCAAGCATCCACCTTTACATCGCCAGAAACCGGAGATACCAAACCGTCGACGCCAGCAGGAGAGACGCCAACTCAACAACAGGAATTAAGTTCCTTGCAGCAAGCAGACCCCGACGCCTTCCTCATCGACAACACAGACGAGACCTGGGGTGTGCTGATGCCTTTCTCCTGCACTCGAAGTACCACCCTCTCTCGCCCTCTTGCCTCTGGTTTACTCCTCAAACGCGGCCCTTCTGACTCGTTATCCAACTTACCATCTTTGGCCGTTGATCTTATGGACGTGATCCCGCCGAGGATTCCTGAGAATGCGGTTAGTTGGCTTGCGCAACGTGCGCCTGAGACGACGCTTAAAGAGACAATGGTTTGGTATCGAGGGTTGGGGTTGCTTGGAAAATTGAGGGGGGTGGGGGAATGTGAGGAGGGGAATGTGCCGTGGCATTTGGGGGTTGTGGTCAAGGGGGCTGAGGCGCTGCAGGGGTTTTTGGAGTAGTGGATGAGGGTGATGAGTTGTGTAGGGGATTTCGGTGTGTGTGCTAGGCCGTTCGGGCAGGGTAGGGTAGAGAGGAACGATGCTATCGGTAGATGGGTTTATTGATCTGTCCTGCGCAACTGTAGGAAGACCTGACAACGAATTCATCTTTCCCTGATGCAGCACGATCTACGAATCTCCTCACTCCTGTGCTGGCCGGTGTTCTTGCCGCGCCTTGTCGTGCATATGACGATCGTGAAGCTTGAACCTCATTCAAGTGCTGTTGAATAGATTGCTTGCCCTGCCCACTCCTTCACCCAAGCCATAAACCTTGACATATTCCTAACACCCAAATGTACAAACCAACCCCTGCCCTGCTTAAAACCACAGCCATGTCCCTAGCCTACTACATACGCGACGGTCATCTCAGTCAAGATCTCGTTCGCATCAAACTCATACGTGGAGTCACTCAACTCCAAATCTCCATCCCATCAATCTCTATCCAAAACACAACTCTAGGAAAGCAGTTTCTTGTTCTGCTGAACGGGTATCTGAGTCTGGAACGACATGATATGGATGCTTATATGCGACCGCTAAATTTGATGTTGGGACACTTTGTACCAGTGTTGGTGGAATTGGCTCCACGAGTTGAGGTAAAAGGATTGAGTATTGGAAGCTTTGTTTATGCGCCGACGTATAAGTTGGAAAGTTTTGGGATGGTAAGTGGCGATGGGCCTGGGATTAAAGGGACTGAAGAGTGTTTTTATGAGCCGGGGTATGATATTGCGCCCTTGTCTGTTCTAGAAGCACCAGATTCTTGGACCGCAATCTTGAAGACAAAAGCTAGGGATTTGTACTTGGTAAGAGAAGAACAAGAGCTGAATCCTTTGAAGAGTTTGCAAGGAAAAGTGCAAACAACAGAGGGAAGAGAGAAGTTCTTCAAACCACGCGAACGAGGACGAGAAAAGGAGTTTACGAGGGAAGTTGAGATGTTGTTACGGATCAAAGAAAAAGGATTAGCTGGATCTGTCCACCGACTTCCTAGTTCTGAAGGTCTAGTCGTGGCAGGGGAAAATCAGGATCAAGTTATCGTGGGGTTTCTCGTCAACTTCATCGTCTCGCCACCACTAGGATCGCATCTCTTTAGTCCAGGCATCAAGACCCAAACCGCCTTACATCAGAAGTGGGAAAATCAAGTCAGGGAGACAGTAAAGACGTTGCATGAACATGATATCGTTTGGGGTGATGTAAACCCTTGCAATGTTGTCATTGATGAGGAAATGGATGCGTGGGTGATTGATTTCGGCGGCAGGAATAATGCAGAGTTTATTGATGATGATAAGGCAGAGACGAAAGAGGGGGATTGGCAGGGTATACAGAGGTTGTTTGGGGAGTGGTTGTCGGAAGGTAGTGACTTGGAGGTTTGATTCGGAATTCACAGCTTTCATAGGGGAAATCTCCATAGATAGAAGAGTTTGCATTGATTGCGGTCTGTAATTACGCGAATTCGTGAAGGTGATATTTCATGATTTCGTGTTTCGCAGCATCTCCGAGCATTAGACGTCGACCAGCCACCCTTGCTTCTCCGACAAGCTTGAACCGGACTGCAGTGTATTTCTGAGAGTCTGAAGCTCAGACTGAGTTATGCCAATCTTCCACAGGTATTGTTCGATACCACCGTGTTTGTCGCGTATGTACTTGTCCAGGGAGTTGACAAAGGGAATGTAAGCATCAACCAGACTATCGTTGGCAACTCCCAAGCCTCTTTGATACTCGAGTCGTTCTTGTTTGGAGTCAGCTAGCTCCTCGTAAGTTTGCATGTAATCGCGATGTATGCTGGCTGTGTCTGCATCCAGAACGAACAAGACCATTGAAACAATCATCGACACCAAGTCCGTGCCATATCTGTTCAAGACCAAGACTGGATACGACGACGGATCCACCAAGATCTTGAAGACAGCTTTGATCTGTGGGAAGGAGTGGTCCATGATGGCTTCCGGTATAGCCATACGTTCTTTGCACATTTTTGTGTCGACAAGCTTCTTGTAGTTCTTGACGCCGCTTTCTGGCATAAAGGCAATTTCCGCAATCGCTTTTGTCTTGTTCCAGAAGCCAATTTGACTAGCCACGTACTTGCCATATTGTGGACCAGCGAGGGCTATGTAATGCAATCGGAGGCCAAGTATGCTGGTACAAGCAATACAATCTGGGTATTGGTAAGTATAGTCGGAGTTGTGCTTGCCGGGCAATTGCCAGGTAGAGATCATAGGCCATGGATTCCTGAGACATGTCAAATTTGGAAGCTGAATACTAGCCGGCGGTCGATCTCACATGCCGCGTAGATCTATTATTGATTTTATCCGATATCTTTCACGAAGATTGTCGAGGTCTTCTAAACTTGCATCATCTGAGAGCCATGATCAGTTGTGGCCTTTGGATAGTGGAGGCTGGGGATGACACTCACCAAGATTCGCACTCCGATATAACAGTCCGGGTTTTATATTCTCGATCAAGCTCGCAACATCACGAAAATTGGCTATGGTCGTTAGAGGTGGTGCCTTTTCTTCCTGGTATTCACTCATATTGTGAGATAGCATGTGAGGAGCGTATGAGGAGTTCGGACAACCGCGACGACATCCTTATACTTATTTCGACAACAAGCTATCATCCTTCCGCGGAACTTGCTCCAGTCGCTAGGAAGATTGAAGTGATGATTGGCTCGGATCAGTCGTATAGGATTCGGAAATACAGCGGGTTTGACGGCAGGCCTATTGTGATGCCAAGCCCGCAGACCATGCTGAGTCAGCGACGATTCCATCTTTAGCAGATGTTGGTGCATGTTTCTTTCCTCCGCTTGTGCACAACAAAGATATTCGGCATACTGCTAGAAGCCACTTCGTCTCAACAAAACAGTCCGCATGACCATCGGGAAGTCTTTCCCGTGTAGAGTGGGACGTAAATCTCTACCCCTCGCGGTTCGAAACTGCCCAGAAAGCTGTATCTCACGGTGTCAAAATATGTCTAGTGCCTCCCGGTTAGTGCTATAAGGTAGGTACCAAGCAACACGACAGCTATGTCAGTCCGATGAATTGAATGCAGCCGACTTGTGCAAATTATCAAGTTCGCAGGGTCCGTCCATTAGACTGCTTACATCCCCACTTCTGAGGCGTCGCAGATATGTGAGACTACATGCCTACCAGACCTGCTTACGTACGTGTTACTGCAGCTTCGTGGATTGCACGACATGTCAGCAAGCGTGATTGAGAACTTATATATACAGACATGGCTCAACCATGAACTAACAAGCCGATACCAAAAACCACGCCTTTCAAGGTGCACATACCTGATGACGACCTTCAGCATCTCGATACACTTCTCCGCATGACTCCCGCCGCGCAACTCACCTACGAGACCAGTCTACCTGGTAATGATAGGAAGTTTGGTATGCGTCAAGATTGGTCGAAGCAGGTGGTAGCAGAATGGCAAAGCGCATTCGATTGGTAAGGCCTTCAAGATGCCTTAGGTATTGTTCTCACACGCTCTCTAGGCGTAAGCATGAGACCTACATAAATACCTTCGACCACTTTCATATAAACATCGAGGATGACCTCGGTAACTTTCACATTCACTTCGTTGCCATGTATTCGAATAGACAGGACGCCGTTCCCTTGTTGGTACTTCACGGGTGGCCTGGCAGTTTTCTGGAGCTCTTGCCTATGCTCGACAAGCTGCGTAACAAGTACAGTCCCGATGATTTACCGTACCATCTTGTGGTTCCATCTCTGCCTGGCTATGCCTTTTCAAGTCCTCCTCCTTCAGACAGAGATTTCGGGATAGAGGACATTGCAAGATTGATGAATCAGCTTATGCTCAATTTGGGCCACGGAGCTGGATACATAGTGCAAGGTGGTGATGTCGGAAGCAAAGTCGCCAGAGTGATGGTGGCGAAGCATGAACAATGCAAAGGTAAGCATCTATTCAGGCTATTTCGGAGGCATTGCTAATTGTCGCTAGCAATCCACAGTAAGTCCATTGTTAGTAAGTTATATCTTATACTGCTAACGTAGCGAGTCAACTTTTGTATCATGGAAAATGAACCTCGGCAGCTTGAAACCGGAAGCTCATACGCTATTCAGCACGCTACAAAGCCAGCCACTATCAGTCTCGTACTTTCTAGCAACCCTGTAGCCCTATTAGCTTGGTTAATCCAGGGCACACGAAGACATTGATCCAATTCTGACTTGTGGCTAGGATTGGCGAGAAGTTCCTCGCATGAACGGAAGAAGACCCACCCATCTCAAACATTCTAGAATCAGTAAGCTTGTATTGGCTTACCGGATGTGCAGCAACATGTCTTTGGCCTTACCGCATCGTTCGTAGATCTTCTCTACTTCCTTTGATCTCTGCTGATCAATTACTTTCATAGTTCTACACTCCTGGGGTCAATGGAAATCCACACAACATGTCTGAATACAAAATCCCCGATACCAAGCCGTTCGGGTACTCTTACTATCCTTATGAGTTGTACCCGATTCCAAAATCATGGGCAGCTACGACAGGGGACCTGAATCTCTTCCATGCTCATGACGAGGGTAGACACTTTGCAGCTTTCGAGCAGACAGAAACATTCTTGAAAAATCTTGAGGAGTTTGTGCAGGAAAACCGTGGGGCTGCCGAGTTTATTCATTTACAGCGAGCGACGATACTGCCTACCAACAAAGCTTCATGGAGATACGGATGTTGTGTTACGCTCAGTGCTTACTTATGCTGTAGGAACACAGTAACTCTAGCCGGCCTTGGCGGAGATGGGTCCAATTAATTCTATGCAGATCAGTCCGAACTTGCTATCCTCTTAGCCCACAATATTGATCATCTATTATCCTATCACTAGAATTTACATAGCAAGAACAACATCTTTAGTATAGAGACAGTATGTAAAATTTCTTACTGGTTGGATTGGCGATGTCATCACAGTAACAGCATCGAGCTCTTGAGCACGAAACTCGTATTATGCGGGTCAATATATGCTGGTATTAGCGCAAGAATCCTTCTGATTCCTTCAAATCCACCGTGTTGTCTTTTTTGTTTTGTTGTTCCCAGACTTCTGACAGGAGATCCTCTTGCCTAGCTCACAGACGTGGAGTTCTCTTGTTCGACGACAATTGCCATGGAAGAAGTGTACGATTTGACCGTCGTCGGTGCGGGTAGGTCTATTTCTCCCAGTTTCCCTTTCCTGACCGGTGTCTGATTGAGATAATTGCAGGATGGTATGGCCTTGCTGTCGCCGCAACATACTTGCAAGTACATCCTACAACCAACATCCTCGTTCTTGAAGCGCAAGCAACTGTTGGTGGTGTATGGAGTCAAGAACGCCAATACCCAGATCTCAAATCCAATAACATGCTCGGTACATACGAGTACCCAGGCTTTGCCATGGACACTGAGACGTACGGTGTCAAGGCTGGCGAGCATATCCCTGGTCATGTCATCCATCGATATCTCAACGACTACGCAAAGAAGACTGGAGTCTTTTCTCGCATCAGATTCAACACTAAAGTGTTCGAAGCCTCTGCAGAGACTAGCAGCGAGGGCTGGACTCTAAGAACCGACAATCACGACTTACTGTTCCTGCGGACGAGCCAATTAGTCGTAGCCACGGGTCTGACCTCTACTCCGTTCATCCCAGCGTTCGATGGAGAAGAAGTCTTCAAAAAGTCAGGTCTTTTGACCCACTCTCGTAACTTCCCTCAGCACACAGATCGCCTCTTCAACAAAACTTCTACTGTCACCGTCCTTGGCGGCTCAAAGTCAGCCTGGGACGTTGCTTACGCTTGCGCCTCCCGCAATGTCCCCGTCAATCTCGTCGTTCGCTCCTCGGGCCAGGGACCGACATGGATGGCACCTCCTTACGTGACGCCTGTAAAAGCCTGGCTAGAAAAACTGGTCCATCGTCGCTTTTTGACCTGGCTATCTCCCTGTATCTGGGGCGACGAAGATGGTTTCGGCTCAGTGAGAAACTTCCTGCATGGCTCTTGGCTAGGCAGGAAACTGGTAGATGCGTTTTGGTGGGTGCTCTCTACTGATGCAAATGCATTGATGGGATATGACAAGCACCCTGAGACCGCGAAACTCAAGCCTAGAAATTCGGCGTTTTGGACGGGCAGTGGATTGGGTATTCTCAATTTCGATGGAGACTTCTTGGGTCTTGTACGGGAGGGCAAGGTCAAAGTTCACATTGCTGATGTGGTGAAGTTGGGACAAAACACTGTATCGCTCAGTGATGGCACTAGTTTGGATACTGATGCTCTTGTCTGCGCAACAGGTTGGAAAGCTCGACCACCGATGACTTTCCTACCCGAAGGAATAGATGCGACAATCGGCTTGCCTTACAGCCCACCAACAACGCCTCAATCACTATTCGAACTCGCAGAAGCAGACGAAGAAATTCTCTCACGCTTTCCGCAACTGAAAGACCAACCTCCAACACCCATTCCTGGTGGTGACATGACTGCCGACGCAACCACCCTCCCCTTCACACTTTACCGTTTCATGGCACCCCCTGGTTATTCTCCGAGGTCCACTATCGCTTTTGCAGGAGTTATAACCACGATATCGACCTCTCTCTGCGCATCCCTGCAAGCTCTGTGGATAACAGCCTACCTCTCAAATTCTTTGACTCGGGTTCCTATATCCCCTGTACTCAAAGTCAAATCAGCGGTCTTGCACTCAAGGTTTGGCAGATGGAGATATCCCTGTGGGCATGGTGGCAGATTCCCAGATTTCGTTTTCGATGCTGTGCCGTATCTCGATATGCTGTGCAAAGACTTGGGTCTGGAGAGCAGGAGAAAAGGGAGTTTGTGGAAAGAGGTGTTCGAAGCATATGGGCCTGAGGACTACAAAGGTATTGTCGAGGAGTGGATTGAGAAAGAGCGTCGTTAGCTGTTCAAGCCGCAAGCGCAGATAGGACTGTGTCATAATCGTTCGGTCTTCTTTGTTGTAGGCGTCGTCATAGCTTGCATTCCAACCAAATCCCCATCATCGTGGCTTTGTTCGACACACGTGGCTATACGCTCATCTAGTAGCATGCCTTCGGTTTCGTTGCTAAGCACTCCTTTTCACCCCTTGCTTCATTATCAGTTGTATTTTGCCACTACATGGAGTTCGTCAACAACTGATCTGAATCACTGCACCCAATCGATCCATATCCCCATGTCGATAACATCATGCCTTTAGGGATCCTCGAGCCCAAGGCGAAGAAAGTTCCAGGCACGGCGAATGTGTTGGATCAAGAGTGGAAACGAGACCCGACGTTGAAGAGAGACAAGACTGGCAACATCATCCTCGTGCCGCAACCAAGTGAAGACCCAAATGATCCTCTGGTACGTCTCCCAGAACTCAAGGCTGATGGATATCAGCTGACAGTGGTTCACAGAACTGGCCGTTATGGCAACGAGATCTAATGCTTTCGCTTCTCTGCATCGTCGCTGCAATCGCAACAACAGCATCGCCGTTGGTTGCTGCTGACACAGTCGTCTTGGCCATGGTCTTCAAAGTCAAGTTTCAGGATGCTGCGCTACTTACTGCATATCATCTCTGCGGCGTCGGTGCCGCTAGCTGGCTTTTTGTACCACTAGCCAGGGTATGGGGTAAACGACATGTCTTTCTGTTTGGAGCTCTTCTCATGGTCGCTTCGTCTGCTTGGGCTGGCTCCACTCAGAAGAGCTTGAATTATAGAAGTCTCATCTGGGCGAGAGTCTTTCAAGGCATCGCACTCGCACCTTTTGAGTCTCTTGTCAACGATGTCGTGGGCGATCTGTTTTTCGTCCACGAAAGAGGCTTCCGCATGGCATTTACCAATGTCTGTCTGTTTGGCGCTGCTTTTTTGACTCCAGTTTGTGGTACGTACGCCACATTCATGCTCTGTCAAAAACTTACTGACCTAGCGTTACAGTTGGCTTCATAGCATCCAACAGCTCTCTAGGCTGGCAATGGTCATTCTACTTCCTCTCAATCTTCATGGGCGCCGGTTGTATTCTTCTCTTCCTCTTCCTTCCAGAAACAGCCTACCAACGACCGCGCTATCTCCAAATCGACATTAACGTGGGTCCAGTGCCTTTCCACGACACCCCTCCCTTCCCGCCAAAACGTTCTTTCCTGCATCGCCTTGCTCCTCTCAGTGGCCGCAAAACAGATGAAAGCTTCTTGAAACTGCTGTTCCGACCTTTTCCGCTATTCTTGCAACCAGCAGTGGCTTGGGGCTGTCTTATGCAGGGCGTGATAATCGGCTGGACCGTCATTGTGGGCGTGATCCTGGCTTTGATTTTTCTCGGCCCACCTCTCTTCTTCACCGAAGAGGACGCAGGAAAAATGTACACTGCAGCTTCTATCGGATCGATCCTTGGTCTGATTCTCGCAGGCATTTACACCGAGCTCGTTACTCGATTCCTGATCCTCCGCAATGGAGGGCAATACGAGCCAGAGTTTCGCATCGCTCTGGTGATACCCACACTTGTGTTCTCTGGTATTGGACTCTACGGTTTCGGCATTGCAGCGTCGGACATCGAGAAATATGGCTGGATATCGATCGAAATCTTTCTCGCTTGCATCACAATTTCTATGGTCATGGGAGCTACAGCATCTGCCCAATACCTGCTTGATGCCCATCGCGATATTGCAATCGAGACATTTACCTGCTTGATCATATCCAAGAATCTTTTTTCGTTTGTGTTGGCTTATTGTGCCTATCAGTGGGTCTTAGAAAGGGGTTTCAAGAGGATGTTTGTTACATTCGGGAATATCGAGGTCGGAATATGTCTATTGAGCATCCCGATGTATGTGTTGGGAAAGAGAAACAGAGAGTTTTTCTATCGTTATGACATACTCAGATGGGTAAGGCTGCGATAGTATAGCTGTACGCAATCAAAGACTTCTTCATAGGACGGTTCTATTATTCGCACTCGTTTTTGTCGTGGTCTCGAGTTCGATCTTGATTGTTCTTCCGGCGGTTTCAGACAACCACTGTCGAGCAAGCGCAATGACTCGTCCTCTTCCCATTGCGAGAATTGATTGGACGTCGATGTCTGAAGACGACGCAATCTACGGGCAACTTTTTTGGCGTCGGCCAAATCCCAAGCACATTGAATTGCAAGCTCGATATCTGCTCCTCTTCTGACGAGTAACCTCATGATTCTGTCTTGCTTTCTAGCAGCAGCACTGGTCAAAGGACATAGGCCATAGCGTTTATCATTTATTTCGGCTCCACGTTCCAGAAGTAGACGCACGATTGCTACGCGTCCGTTGTGGATAGCAAGTCGCAGGAGCGTGTAGTTCGCGGCCGGTCGTGTACCGTCAGTGTTCTGATGCTGATGACGAAAGTATGCCTTATTTACGTCGACTTTGTGGTCAAGAAGGTGTTTGGTGAGGCCCTCGTAGTTCCAATAGACAGCATAGAGTAATGCAGGTATCAAGTCACTTTCGCACGTAACACCGGTTCCCAGTAGTAGACCCACAACTTGCGAATTGTTGTAGCCAAACTCTCTAGCATATATAGCAGTGCTCAAGGCGGAGCAGATTTGGCGTCTAGCAGCGGTATCCGTTTCATATGATTGAAGTGCTCGCCTCGTACATCTGGGTCCGTGATGAAGGAGCATTTGAATGATACCTTGATGACCGAAGATGGAAGCGAGTTGTAGTGGACTGTGTTCGATGTGGTTATCTTTTTCAGTAGCCATAGAGCACTCGACAAGCTGTTCAATGATCGATTTGTGTTCGATCACGGCAGTCAACGTCAGGGAAGTTCCACGAGGCCCTGAGGCGACGAGATTCTTATCGGAGCCAAGAAGCTTTTGCGCAGTCTCGGCATAGTCCACGCGAGCAGCTAATCGGGGTGGTGTGTACCTCTGACCTTCAGAGGTATCGGCACCGCTTTCGAGTAACAGTTTTACGCTCTCTTCTGAGCCCATCAGTACAGCAATCTGTAGCGGGGTCAATGCTCTGGAGAAAACGTCTGCAGCCGTCCAGCATTTTCCATCACCCGCCTTCAGGAGTGTGGAGTTAGGGGAGGTCAGTAACCTTCGCAGTCGAGATCGTCTGAACGAAACTATCGAGAAGGCTATCCATGAAGGAAGAGACTGAGACCTTCCATGTTCATTCACGGTCGCGCCGCCATGTATCAAGAGTCGCATAATTTCAAGGTGGCATTTGCCGGTCGCGATCTGCAGTGGAGTTCCCATTCCCTCCTGAGCCTCATCAACCATAGCCTTGTGCTGCAGCAACATCTCGACAAGCTTCTCGAAGTTCTTCTCTGCTGCTTGATATAAAGCAGTACCAGACGGACCACACTCATTGATTTGCTCGACGTGAAGCAGAATCTCCTTTGCTATACTGTGATGTCCATCGATAGCAGCGGCAAATAATGGTTCATGCCATTTACAGTTGCTTAGGTCGGGACTGTAGTCGAGTACAGTTTGCACAACGTCATGTCTACCTGAGCGGGTAGCCATGGTCAAGGCAGTGCCCAGAGGTCCCCGAGTGTTCAGGGGTGCGCCACGATCCAGTAGCATTTTGATGGTGGCAATTCCACAAGATTGCACGGCCAGATGTAGCACGGTTCGACCATGATCATCCACGTCTTCTGTGCTGACACCGTCATCTAATAAGAGCTTGACCAATTTCTCATCTCCCTGGCCCGCCGCTAACATCAGAAAAGTACTAAGTTTACCGAGATTAGTAAGGACTTTCACAACTTCAACATTCCCAGATTCTAAGGCCTCGCGCAAAGCATGTGTATTGAGGGAGAATAGCGCCCCACCTTCGATCAGGAGCCGAACAGTTTTCATATGACCCCACATAGAGGCTAGATGTAGAGCGGTGAATTCTTCGTTGTAACGCCGGAATCGAGATGCATCAGGACGAGCACCTCGAACGAGCAAGTCTTGGACAATTCTATCATGGCCTCCACTTGACGCTGCTAGCAATGAGGCATCAAGTCGTGTTTGCAAGGCAACAGGTATCAAATCTGCTTGTGTCAAACCCAGGAATCTGTGCGTATCATATCTATCGGTCAAGATCGCAGGAGCATCATTTCCGGTGAGCGACTCGGAGCTGCAGTGATCGACTTCAATGTGTATCAGGTGTGCGCACGAACGCCGAAGTCCTTTGAGGGCCGCAAGATATAGTGGATAGCACTGTGATTTGTCGGCCCAGTATAAGGATGCCAGGCTGTACTGGAAGAAGTGCTCGGGAGCCTTTTGTAAGAAGTCAAGCACAGAGGCAAGCTGATCGTCATCGACAGCTTCTAAAAATCTAGCATGTGCCGGCCAGACAGAGGTGGCCCAATCAGCGAGGGGGAACCTCCGGTCAATTTCGTCTAGTTTCTCGCCCAAAGTGCTCCAGTCGATACAACACAGGTACGTATGGCACATGCTCAAGAGATTCGTCCTTGCGATCCTCTCTTCGAGATGAAACCGAAAAGGCTCGACGACCTCTTCAGACGACAGAAATTCTCGGACTGAAGCATGCGCAAGCTGCAGATATTGGAAGTCCATGAAGCCGGTATTGGACCAAGTTGTTGTCACCAAACCAGAACAGATTCTCAGGATGTCATTGGGGTCGGAGAAGCGATCTTTCGCAGAGAAACCAAGCTTTTTGTCTGGTTGCACAACAATTGCATCATTACAGGCCTCGAGTGTGAGACGTTGATCACACCATAGCAACATTTGCAAGATGAGAATAACTTCTCGGCGGTATGGGGTTGATTGTATCGAAGCCATCATGCGTGCATAAGCGTCATTCAGTGTATTTGGCAGATCTCGAAGAACTTTCTCAACGGCGGGTCTATTGTGACACGTTCGCAGTGTGTCCAGTTGTAGCGCTGCCCATCGAAACCTTAATCATGGTTCAGTACATGTTGAGCCTCAGGAAAAGTGTGGACTTACATGCCCTTAGCTTTGTTGCATATCGTGGTCTCAACCTCATCGAGGAGCACCTTTTGGCTTTTGAGATGCGCAAACTCTTTACTGTGAAGTCTTCGCCAAGTATAGTACTTGATGTCGCGACTAACACCTCCGAGTCCTAGATCAATCACATGTTCTTCAAGAGACCGATGAATGGCCTGTGTTTGAGAGGTAACAAGCAGTTGTGCGTTCAAAGCTTCAGAATGGTGAATGCTTCGACACCATTGCATCATCTCACTTGGACGATGTGCTTCGTCAAGCGCATCAAGTACTATCCTGACGTTTTTACACTGCTCGAGCACAGTCTTGAATGCCTTTCCCAAACGTCTTATACTTGGCTGCATTTTCCCACAATCATGAGATTCAAAAAGCGTCATGATGACAGAACGGGCTGTTGGAGAACCATGGTAGAGCTGTAACAATAATGATCGTAGCATGTCTTCGAAGTGTTGCTTGTCTGGATCGCTGAAATCGAAGTAAAAGTATATCACCGGCGAGTGTTGTTTTTTGAGAAGATGTTGAATGATCGCCGCACTGAGAATTGTTTTGCCGCACCCGGACGAGCCATGAAGCCAGAGGAAGGATTTGACTCGTTTCTTCCATTGGCGAAATCGGAGGCCCTCGAGAAGCCATCTGCCTGTGCCTAGGTGATGGGCTTTGATCGCTTTATTGTAATTAACGGAAGGATCTGTAGCTCTCAGCCATAACATTATCGCACGCGTCCGATCAGAATCTTTGATCTCTCCCAGCGTCGCAGCCACAGTTCGAACATCACTTGACACTTTTTACGATTAGAAAGTGCTATAGAGCAGTGAATATCAGGCGTCACTCACGTCGTTCAATGGCAACTGCAAGTCGTTCCTCTCGTTCGAGCCCTTTGGAAGGAATCTCCATCAGAAGCTCTTTGACGTATGCGGCTGCAGTCATTGCGGCATAACCTTGCCATTGCTTGTTTTTGTGTGAATCGCTGTAGTCGCAGATGCCACGAACCACTAAGCAAGGAAAACGGTTCATAATCCCAGCAGCCTCCATCTCGAAACATAGCATACCCTCCTCTTGCGCGAGCCTGTCTCTTAATTTGGCATCCTTGATGACCCTGTTTCCCGAAGCTATGAGTCCATAATGAATAGCAGGATTATCGTCCTTGTCGTCTCTTGGCCTACGCGTTACCAATTTGACAGTCTCAGTCCCGCAACATGCGTCACAACTTTCCTCAGACACAGAGTGTACTACATCGGCTTTGTATAGTCTGTCGCTCTCTGGAGCTGGACAAGCATAACCTTTTCTCTTAAGGCGCGGGTTCTCTTTCAGAGCATTCTCGATGTTCTCGATGATGTTATGTCCTTTGCGAATATGCTTTGATTCGAGCGCAGAGACTGCAGTGCGGACCACGGTTGAAGGTTGATCTAGGAAGCCAGTTTGTCTGAATCCAGTGTCTTGATTTTCCTTGCCCAAGTCGTAGTGGTATACTCCGCCACGGCCGTCTTTGGGCGAGCTGACGACGACATCGCCCAAGCGTATGTCGTTTGCTTTTGTCGGCGCGCCACCGCCGATGCCAACCATTAGACCAATTCTGATCATGGAGAACGATCGAAGGATATTGGTGATGACACTGGCAGCAGAGCCGACACCATATTCGCCTTTGGGAAGCACTGCCAGCACTACTCTATGACCAGAAATACTGCCCAACGTATAGGCGTTTGTGTCGCTGATTGGGATTGTACCCGCCTCAGGATTTGGACGTTCTTCATCGAGGAAAGTCTGTGCGGCAACATATTCTGTAGTGAGTGCACAAATCCAGAGAATGGTGTAGTCATTTGGGTTCGACATGCTAGGGATTGCTGGAAGCCAGATCAAGGAAAATCAGGTCTTCCAAAGTACGAGGGCTGAATCGCTTATCTTGCTTGTTTCCATTCCTGTTAAGCAGCCACACCATGCACCTCGTCTCCTAAGCATGCGTACAAGCCATGTACTCGACCAATAGCAGACGACCTGGGCTCACATAGGACTGATGGCGTGCAGGTCGTTTGCACGGCCGTTGAATACCGTGCACATCAATGCGTCTGCATATACAAGGTTTGCACCAAATTGCTGGTGATGTCAAGCTCGAAAAAAAGCAGCCTGCGGTGCGGGCTACTTTTACAGACTCTGCAAGCTACGCACTATCCGACGGCCGCGGCCTCATTCTGTACACTGTATTGATGTTGCGTCTCATTGTCATGGCGGTGCCGCATTGACCAGATTCGCTGCACGGGAAAGACCTTGACGGTTGAATCGCAAGACTGTGGCAGATCAGATCACGATTTGATGGGCTTCCACTTCGATAGTGCGCGCCGTCTGTTCGTAGGCACTTCAGCGAGACTCAATGGTTGCTCATAGTGTTGCATCGATGAGTTGCAGGACGTTGGATGCCTCATCGGTTCCAGACGCAGTAATCTCACGATGACAGGATGGAGTTAATTGCATCGATGTTGATGATAGATGGTGATAGACGTCAAAAGTGATTCATTGAGGTATGTAGGCAACGAGTTTCTTTCCTTCCCAGCGCATACTCGCAGGAGAAGATGTGCCAAGACCTAGTGCGCGAAACAGGGTCCTACCATCAACCACTTCGACGAGCAACAAATCGTCTATTCCTAGCGATGCAGGGCATCGGTGAACCTATAACTCGAAGCGCTCAAACTGTAGGTCTCCTACGATATGGTCCTAGATCGAAAGATCCAACTCGAATTTTGAGGTATACGACGCGGTTTTTGTATCTAGATTGTTCTCATCAAGAAAAGCCCTCCAAGAACTCATCTGCCGGTGATATAGCGGTATCCACGACCATATCACATAGAGAAACCGTCCAAAAAGAGACGAAAGGCAAAAAGACGGTTGGAACACTTGCAACTTGAAGCAAAAAGAGAGACACAAAGTACAGTCGCTTGACACTATCAGGACTGGCAAAAATGGAGTAGCTGGGAATCGAACCCAGAACCTTCTCCAACTCAGAACTGCTCGATGAGCAATGCTAAGAAGATGTCATACCACTAGACCACAACCCCATTTGATGGAGCACGTTTGAGACTCAATACAATATAATTCATCGCTCTCCTCTCGATTGAGCGTCATCAGCATGTGAATGCCGCAAGCTTAAAGACCCTGGAAGCTTCTCCACCCCCCCAGCGGTGAAGCCCCTCGAGAAGCTCCTGACACTTTCCACACAACCTTCACCTCTCTATCTTATCCTCGAATCATCCTTACCCACACCCAGCCAGCATGGATTTCGCCTATGACCAAATTCAAGAGGAGTCTTTACCCTCTGACCACTCCAGCCAACAGAACACCACCAACGCCGACGCCCCCATCACCCTCGAAACCGAACTTCAACAAGCCTTCAAAGCCGTCTCTGCATCACCCTGGGGAGCCCGTCTGGGCGGCTTCTTCGCAAGCGCAAAAAAGCAAGGAGAGTCGCTATATTCCGACGCACAGAAGGAATATGCCTCGAGGAGCGAACAAGCCGCAAAAGTAGCTGGAGAGTTGCAAAAGTCGATTGTGGAGAGTACGAGGAACATCAGTATCAATCATGATGCTGCAAATACTTCATTCTCAGATCCGACGTTTGCGTTGCCAGAAAACGTGGATCAGGGGAAGGGAAAAGAGAAAGAAGTGCAAAGGGAGGAATCACAACCAGCAGCACGACCAGACTCACTGCCCGCCGACATCGTCAAAGAAGCAACCTCGCTAGTCTCACTATTACGTTCCAAAGCCACCGCCGCAACCGCAAACATAAATCTGCAAAAGATCCAAGCAGCAGAGGATGCAGCAGACGAAGCACTTCTCAAATTCGGCACAAACATAAAGTCGTTTTTGAGGGATGCTGTCACCGTCACTGCACCTTCTACATCTTCAGATAGTGCGGAAGTGCTCTTTGAGACTAACGATGCAGAGGGCAAGAGAGTTATTCACTCGTCACGCTTTGATGCGCAGCTGCATGTTATCCATACGTCAGCTCAGAGCTTTACTTCCGATCCTGATAGTGCCGAGTATGCCGAGTTTGCAAAGGAGTTCGATATTGCCGCAAAGACGGATGCTATTGCTGCAGACTTGGAAAAGTACCCAGAGCTAAGGAGAGCAATGGAGAAACTCGTGCCCGAGAAGGTCGAGTACGCCACTTTCTGGACGCGATACTACTTCTTGCGCAAGGTCATCCAGGAGGAAGAAGTCAGAAGAAGAGAAGTCCTCAAAGGTACATTTACAACCCTCAATTTCCCCTTGTAGCCCAGATACTAACATACCCTCAAAACAGGAGCAACACAAACCACAGACGAAGACCTCACTTGGGGCTCCGACGACTCAGACGACGAAGAAGACAAAGCAGCCACACCCACAAAGCAAAAAACTCCTGTTCCTACTCCTGCAACTACCACTACTCCCTCTGCTGCATCAACACTCAAGCCCGAAGCTGCCACATCCCAAACCCACGAAGAAGAAACCAAATCCGTGTCTTCGAGCGACGCATCCTATGATATGGTTTCAGGAACCACCAGCAGAGCAGCTGGCTCGCCGAAAGATGAAAAAAGTGATAAGATTGCTGCGGCAAAGATTGAGGAGGAGAGTGATGAGGAGGATTGGGAGTAGGCTTGAGGAAGATCACATACAATCTGGGTAACGCAAGCGAAAGGTTTCGAGTTATGGTGGTTTAGGAGTAGTAGGTAAAGGAAGGAGTACAGGAGTTGGGTTAAATGAGAATTCATATGAGAAAGCCAGGCTAAATGAAAACGCTATGCTATGCTACGCTACGCTGAAACCTTTGATGCCGATGCTGTACGATGCTGCAAATCACTTCCATCTCGATTCCCCTCTTCGCCAAATCACGAACCAGGACTTTCTCGTCCAAGTGGACTCCTAGGCATACCTTCCCTCTTCCTCAAAACACCTTTCCTCCCCTTCTGTTCCGGCGTTCCTAGATATCTCTGCGCCACAGGACTCTGACTCCCCCTATCTCCTCTGATCTGCGGCGAAGGACTAGAAGGCATACTCGAACTACTTCTCTGACCAGAGAAATAGCCCGGATACTCTATACTCTGTCTTATTTCCCCAACTCCCCAGCCTAGTCCTTCAGAAGCTTCTCTGAATCCTCTTTCGTATTCGCTTTCTGTTTCTGGCGCTGGTGTGTTTCCACTTCTAGGATGCTGTAGGTATTCTTCGCCGCGGCGTTTGATGGGACTTTCATCGTAGGGATCAAAGCCAACTCTTCGTCGCGCATCTCTGCGTACCCGTTGTCGATACTCGGCATTAGAGCCTGCACCAGTGGTTGCGCTGTCTTCGAGGAAGAAATTCAAGAGTTCGTCTTCGATGGTGAGATGAGAGGATTGGCGGAACTGTTGGAGGGCGGTTAAACGGATGAGCATCTCGAGAAGGGACAAAGAGGTGCGAATTGTAGTTTGTGGTGTTGGTGTTGAGGTTGGAGCGGCGAGTTGTTGGGTTGAAGGTGTGTTTAGAGTTGGTGAGGAGGATGGATGGAGGTTTAGAGAGGAGAGGCCGTTTGTGAGATCGGGGTCTAGTGATGCTTGACGAGGTCGGGGTGTGCTGATGGGATCTGGAGTCGAGACATCTTCGTCTTCTTCTTCCTCGTCGGACGAAGGTTCTTCGGTGTAGACTTCGAAGGCTATCCATTCTGGATCCAGATCTGGAGGTAGTCGCCAGTGAGCATCAGGGTCGTGTCGTTCCGGTGTCTCTTTTGTCTCAACGTGAGGTTGTGGTGTTGAGTCTCGCAAAATTTGGGCATTGATCTGCGCTTGTTCATCCAAGTCCGTGTCGTCGCTATCTTGAGTCTGCGGGCGTTCGTCTTCTTCGTCATCGTCATAGTAATCTTGCTCCTCAGTGTATCTTCTCTCCATCATGCGTCGTGGTGGTTCAGCGTGGATGTCGCGTTTGAGGAGCAGGATGGGATTGTTAGTTTCGCCTTCGGATCCAATGTTAAGAATCTTGCCAGTATCCGCGTAGAATATCTTGGAAATCTCATGAATGGGAATGACGTCTCGAATACCTGCAAGAGCGACATCCTCGAATGGGCCAGGCTGGGGCTCGTCTTCCTCAAAAGTGTGTACTCTGTCGTCGTCCAGATCTTCAACCACAACTAGCTGGTAGGCGTACTCGACTGACGCGTTATCAGAAGGTAGCTCTTTGGGGAAGTAACGCGCGCCGCTCGGCGTCGTCAGGTTTCCAGGCAGATTGTACAGACTGTCCAGTGGAACTCGCACCAGCTTGACTCTGGCTTTGTGGATGACTTCCTTCCAGGTAGTTTCTCGAGCGCTTTGTTCATCATGTGGTCTATTGGTATGACTGGCGAAGAGCATGTAGACTGATAAGGTATAGACTGGACCAACTTGGACGTTCTGACTAGGAGCCGCAGTATACTGCGAGTCGGCCGCTGTGAGGAAAGTGCTGGCCTGCAAGAGGCGAGATGGCGAGACTGTAGCAGGCAGATTTGTAGACAGATTGACTCCAGAAGTGGTGATGGCGAGGTTGATCAAAGGCACAGCATCTTCTATTCGATCAAGTAATTTCTTGACGTCCGAAACGATAAGTTGCAACTCAAGCTCATTCTGCTCCTTGGACTTTGCCCGCGAACTCTTCCGACGGTACAGCTCCTCTTCGTTGGCAGCATTCGCAAGACGAATGCCAAGAGCTTGAATTTCCCAGCGCAAGTCCTTGGTCAGAGTGACAGCAGATTCCAGAGAAGTGTTTCCACGAGCGGCAATCAACTCTATCATATCGATGGCTGGTGAGATAATCCGGATCTTGCTTTCCAGGCGGACTTGAAGGTTTAGCAGTTCTTCCCGCTTGCCTCCTCTCGGAGCTGTCTTGACCAGTCTTGAACATTGTCGTATGGCATATGTGCTTGTGATAGCTATTCCTGAACGGATGGCATAGTTCATAGCCTGCTGGGTGACTTTGGCTAGTAGAATATCCATGATTACTGCAGTAAAGATGGTCGTCTGTTCTGGAGCAGACTTGGACTGCAGTAGCTGGAGCCAGAGATGATTGTTGAAGTTCACAAAATGAGGTGCAGCGTTAGGCTGCAATGGCGTTTGTTTCAAGCGGACAACGAAGTTCAGGGTGTTTGTTTCAAGTGCCGGGAGTGTTTACACATGGGCGTCATTGGTCCTTGCGCTTGCGGCTCCGGCTCGGCCCGCCGCTGTGCAGTTTATGCAGACGAGCGCGTGCAAATTGATGTCGTCTCCTAATCGCGTCTCCTTGGGTCGCACCTTCCATTCCACGCGACTCACTGTGGCAAAACAGCTAGCAACCGCCAAATCCACGCGTCCCATGCGCCGAGTCAATTGAACATGATACCAAGAACTTCGATACGCCCCATACAAACACCAGACCCAGGCCCGTCATGGTGCTTTGTCGTGTCCGATTGAACTGCGTGGATCACTACCAGGCATATCCCGGACCGCTCGATCCCCCACTATGGGGTGACCCCTCCTTGTTGTCGCAAAGAAATCTCCCTCAAGTTCCTGTGATTCGCGTCTTCGGCGCAACAGAGACTGGCCAAAAGATATGCCTACACATCCACGGCGCATTCCCATATCTTTACATCGAGTACACAGGCCCCATCGATCGCGCCTCTGTCGACGAGTACATTGCAACCCTCCGAGTATCCATCGATCATGCCCTGGCAGTATCATATAGAAGAAACACCGCAGACGCAAAAGCTATCTTCGTCGCCCATATCAGCCTTGTGAAAGGTGTTCCCTTCTTTGGCTATCATGTCGGCTACAAATACTTTCTCAAGATCTACCTTCTCAATCCATCCAATATGACTCGTCTGTCCGATTTGCTCCATCAAGGCGCCATTTTGAAGAAACCTTTCCAGCCATACGAGAGCCACATGCAGTTTCTTGCCCAATGGATGTGCGACTTCAACCTGTACGGCTGCAATTATATCGACACAGACAATCCCTTCTTTCGTGATCCAGTCCCTGACGTCCACGAGCTCACCAATCCTGATCACGAGTGGCACGACAAGTCTATCCCGGATTCACAGCGTCTGAATGTAGACCAGTTCCAACGCCAGAGCCATTGTAGTGTCGAAATTGACATTCGTGTACAAGACATTTTGAACAGAAACGAGGTCAAGGATAGATCATTGCATCATGATTTTGTCGAACGACTCAACCATCTGGCACCTGAAGAAAAGTTCGTACAGTCTATGGCTGGCTTGTGGAGAGACGAAACAATCAGGCGCAAGAAGCGCATGGGTATCACAGATCCCGGCAGCAGTCCCTTCCCGCCAGAAGTTCTCGTCTCCATGTCGCACGATCCCCGCAACACTGAAAATGGCGGTTGGATACACGAGGAGGAGTTTCGCAAGCTTGTCGAAGAGCTTGCCAAAGACGAACGAGAGAGGATGGGTGGAAGCGCTCCATCATTTGATACCTTTGTCAAGCCTCGCGAAGAAGGATTCCCTGTTCAAACTACTCTTGAGAGTGTGGAAGAGCTCTTTCACGAAAAGTGGCAGTTCGCTTCCGCAGATGCACCTCAACACCTCACGCAAAGACTTGCTGAAGGTGGTCTCGACTCTGGAGATGCACTTGTAGATGAATCCAGTATTCTGCAACTGATGGCAGATGAGGAGTCGTACGGTTCTGACGAGGATGTTGCTCGTGAGATCGCCTTGACCCAAGCCAAGCAAACGAATCAGAATACTGCACCAGATGTTGAAGCTGACGATGAGACTCGACCCGATGGCGACGACTACGCTCAGCAATTTCTTGATCCTCTGGACTCCATGTCCACTGCATCTCTACCTCCTACCTCGCAACCTACAAAGGACGAGCAACCGCCTGTTCCCGCACCAATAGCTCCGGCCGTTGAAGCTCAAGCTGGAAAGAAGCGTCAGTTGGCCGATGGAGAGGCATCTGTCAAACGTCGAAAAGTGGTTGGTTTCACCGAGAATGATCAGGGTCATCCTGGTGAGACTGTCAATTCGAGACGCAAGAACTTCAAAGTCAAGGATTGTGTATCGACTTCTCAAGTCATGGCGGAAGCTGAGGCCGATGAGGGAAGTGACTTGCTCAACGACCTTCCTCCTGCATCTACACAATTGCCAAATAGCCAGGACAGTAGCAAAAGGAGAATTTCACAGACTTATCCAGTTGTGAAGAACCCGCATGATACTGAGTCCATTCTGCGTCTCAGTCAAAGAGAGAATGTACCTGGACAGAGAAATACCACGACACCTGCGAAGTCGAGCCAGCTCAGGCAACATGAACTCTCATCCCCGTCCTTCGGCAAATCAAGGTACACTGCAAATGCTACCCCTTCAAGGCAGACCGTCATTTCTCCTGCTGCGAGGAAGCTAGCAAGCAATTATTGTAAGAGTTTCGATGAAGGCGTTAATGGCGTTGTCATCTTCGCTCAAGCACCGCCAAAACGAACGGACGTCTCGACAACAATGATCGATCACGGGGCTCCACCAGTAATCTATCAAGATGCATACTACAGTGATGAAGTTGATGTACCTGAGCGATCGAGAGAGTATGCTGGCCAAGAATTCAAGCTTGAAAGCAACACCGTTCCATTTCTACCGGAATTTGATCCCACAGGCGAGTCTGATGCCTCTCGAGGAGCCAAAGTTCCAATTGTTCTCGACAAAGCCAAAGAAGAGCTTGAACATCAGGCTCGACGGCAAGACTGTTTCCTCAAACGCTGGGAAATCGAAGCTCGTCCTCCGTCTGTCTCGGAAGTACAGAGCTGGCTGCGCGCTAAGTGTCCGACTGTCGAACCTGCTCTGGAGGAGGACGACGGCGAGATTGATCATCCTCCATCTCAGCAAGACTTTCTGAAGCGCAGTAAACAGATGCTTTCGCAGATTGAAGGTCCAACCCAACGAAACAAACATGGCTTCAAATTTTCTCAGAGGAAGAAATCAACAAGTGTGCAGCACGCGGTTCAATACATGTCTATCATGAGTCTTGAAGTCCATGTCAATTCTCGAAGTGATCTGGCTCCTGATCCTGAGCATGATGAGATCGCATGTATCATTTGGTCGTTGAAAGCAGACGATACTGATCTTGTTGGGAATGCTGGACATGACGACAAATACGTTGGAGTCATCGTGTTGTCTACTGAAGAAGATCTGGCTGAACGTATGCGAAAGTCAATTGGCGTGGATGTCGAGGAAGAAGACAACGAGCTGGACGTTTTGAATCGATTGGTTGACATTGTTCGTGAATATGATCCGGATATTCTCACTGGTTACGAGGTACACAACTCGTCATGGGGCTACCTGATTGAACGTGCTCGTCTACAGTACGAGTTCAATTTGTGTGAAGAGCTTTCCCGTGTCAAATCTCAGTCTCATGGTCGCTTCGGCAAAGATGCAGACAAATGGGGATTTGAGCATACATCGACAATCCGCATTACTGGTAGACACATGATCAACATTTGGCGTGCTATGAGGAGCGAACTCAACTTGCTGCAATACACCATGGAGAATGTTGTGTTCCATCTTCTTCACAAGCGCATTCCTCACTACTCTTTCGCGGACTTGACAAGATGGTATAAGAGCTCAAAGCCTCGAGACCTGGCGAAAGCACTGGATTATTTCATCACTCGTGTCCAACTTGACCTCGAAATTCTTGACGCGAACGAACTAGTGCCTCGTACGTCTGAACAAGCACGATTACTTGGTGTCGACTTCTTCAGCGTCTTTAGTCGAGGTTCGCAGTTCAAAGTCGAGTCACTCATGTTTCGAATTGCCAAACCCGAATCTTTCGTCCTTGTGTCTCCTAGTCGAAAGCAGGTCGGCCAGCAAAATGCCCTTGAATGTTTGCCTCTTGTCATGGAGCCTCAAAGTGCTTTTTACAACAGTCCCCTGCTTGTACTCGACTTCCAAAGTTTGTACCCGAGTGTGATGATTGCATACAACTATTGCTACTCCACATGTCTTGGTCGCATCACTCCATGGCGAGGACAGAACAAGATGGGTTTTACAGACTTCAAGCGTGATCCTGGTCTACTTGATCTTGTCAAAGATAAGCTGAATATCTCTCCAAATGGTATGATGTACGTCAAACCTGAGATGCGCAAATCATTACTTGCCAAAATGTTAGGCGAGATTTTGGAGACTAGAGTTATGGTCAAGTCAGGCATGAAAGTGGATAAAGATGACAAGACACTGCAACAACTTCTCAACAATAGACAACTTGCCTTGAAGTTGATTGCCAATGTCACTTATGGCTACACATCAGCGTCTTTCTCTGGTCGCATGCCGTGTTCAGAGATCGCAGACTCTATCGTGCAAACTGGCAGAGAAACGCTCGAAAAAGCCATTGCACTCATCCACTCAGTCTCGAAATGGGGAGCTGAAGTCGTCTACGGCGACACAGATTCCCTCTTCGTCTACCTCAAAGGCCGCAGCCGCGAAGAAGCCTTTGTTATTGGTGATGAAATCGCAAAAGCGGTAACCGACATGAACCCACGCCCCATCAAATTGAAGTTCGAAAAAGTATACCATCCCTGTGTGTTGTTGGCTAAAAAACGCTACGTCGGCTTTAAATACGAACACCCCTCCCAAACAGAACCAGACTTTGACGCCAAAGGCATAGAAACAGTGCGTAGAGATGGTACTCCTGCCGAACAAAAAATCGAAGAAAAAGCGCTGAAACTGCTGTTTCGCACTTCTGATTTGTCGCAAGTAAAAGCATATTTCCAAGCCCAGTGTCATAAAATCATGACTGGCAAATTCTCGATTCAGGATTTTTGCTTTGCGAGAGAGGTAAAGTTGGGCACGTATTCGGATAAAGGAGCTGCTCCTCCTGGTGCGCTGATTGCTACGAAACGTATGCTCAAAGATGCGAGACAAGAACCGCAGTATGGGGAACGAGTTCCTTATGTGGTTATCGCTGGCGGGCCAGGTGCACGCCTTTTCGAACGCTGTGTCGAACCCGAACGATTGCTTTTCGACGAACACGCAGAACTCGATGCCGAGTACTACATCAGCAAAAACCTCATCCCGCCTCTTGAACGCATATTCAACTTGGTAGGCGCGAATGTGCGCGCTTGGTATGATGAGATGCCTAAAGTGCAAAGGGTACGCAATATCGGCGCTGCAGGCAAAGGTGGTGGAAATAAGACTATGGAGTCGTACATGAGCATTTCCACCTGTGTGGTGTGTAGAGTCAAACTCTCCGCCCCAGCGCCAGGAACAATCACCCTTCCCCTCTGCGCTAAATGTGCAGCCACACCATCACTGACTCTTCTTGCTCTGCGCAACAAACTCCGTGCTGCGGTGACCAAAAAGAACGATTTGGATACTGTATGCAGGAGTTGTGCTGACATACCCAACGGCGATGATGTCAAGTGCGACAGTAGAGATTGTCCTGTTTTCTACAGTAGAGTCAAAGCTACCGCCAAACTCGGAGTGGAAAAGGAGAGGTTGGAGGGCGTTATTGAGGCGATTGAGAAATTAGAGGAAAAGAAGGTTAGGGAGATGTTTGAGTGGTGAAATCAAATTACCTGCCAACTTCGAAGGAAGCCTTCTCCAACTATGTACACATGAACTTTAACGACTCTTTCTAGCTTGCCTTGCCTTTGACGCAAATCCTTACTAATGCGATTCTGTAGCTTCTAACTTTCTGTCTGGATTATGTCGGATAGACCAGCAAGCTAGGTTTTGATTATTGACAGGGCATGTATATGTGAGGAAAGCGTGCCAGATAAGACTGATGACCCAAAGCGGTTGTTTGACACAAGGCGATACACGAAAAGGGGGTATCTATATTTCTGTGTTTTGAACTGTTGTATCTAAGAATGCTTGTTTCCAAACCCCAAAAGAACGCCTCATTCCAAACTCCTAATTGCTCAATGCTATGCATAATATGGCCCGAACGCCCTTATCTCTCCATCCAATCTCCCACTCCAATCCATCACACTACCCAACCCCTACTTCATAGGCAAATCCTTAAACACCCTCTTGAAAATATCCTTACTCTTATACAAGTTCACCAATCTCAGTCTCTCATTATCCAAATGCGCAGAATCAGACGCTTGGCCACAAGGGAAATGTGCAGCCGGAGCTCCGAACTCTTTTTCTAGGAAGCGGATGGCAGGGATGGAACCTCCCTCTCTGATGTAGAGAGGTTTGGTGCGTGGTTTTTTGGCGGAGAGTTGGGGGAGAGGAAGGGAAATAGAGTCGTTGGTGATGTCGGATAGGGCGGAGGTATTATTGGGTCCACCATTGGCGAGGACGGACGAGGTGGTAGGCGATGGTTTGGAAATGTTTGTGTTTTGCACTTCCTCCTTTTTGGGGATTGTGACTTTGAGGGCGTTTTCTTTGCTGACAGCTAGAGAAGATTTTCTGCGATGTTGAGGGACTTCGGGAATAGGTCCCCACACATCCATGATTGCCTTGTCGAGGGTTTGGAAGATTTGGTTGTTGAAGTCGCCGAGCCAGGGTTCGGCTTGATGGTCGATAGTGACAATCATGCGGTTGTGTGATCCCAGCTTGTTGAATTCTGATTGCAAGTACTTGATCAGTGCTTCTCCTACTGTGTCTGCTTCTTGATTTGGCACCAGACGAAGTGACAGAGCTGCTTTTGCGAGCCTGGGGATGATTGTCGCATTTGCAGGACCAGACGTTTGGAAGCGGTGGACTGTCAATGAAGCCTCTCGCCAACGACGCATGAGAGAAAGTGAAAGATCTCGAGGGTCACCAAGATCGGGGTTCCTAGCAACCAGAGCTTGAGTAATGTCCTCATAAAGAATCTCCTCTTCCTTGCTCAGTTCGGGAATAGGGTCGTAGAATTCAGGAATCTTGACCTTGCCGTGGGTGCCCGTGAGTGTAGACAGCAACATGACAAGATCCTTCAGAGGTTCATCAAGCTGCGAACTTCCATCGACACCACTGTGCAAATCAGGGTGATCACTCTCAACCTGAACGGTAGCGTGAATAACGCCACGAAGACCATAGGTGACGCAAGGTATCGAGTCGTCCAGCCAATAACTGTTAGCAAGCAGGATCCAGTCGACATCTCCAATGGTCTGTTTGTGCTGTTTGACGGCATTTGCAAAACCGCGCGAACCACTTTCTTCTTCACCTTCAATCAGGAAGATGACATCTGAGCCAAGGGCTTGCTCTGACATGAGTTCGGCGCAGGCAAAAATTGCAGCCATGATTGGACCTTTGTTGTCCGATGTGCCTCTTCCGTAAAGATAACCGTCGATGCCTTCCATGACGAAAGGGTCAGTGATCCATTTGCCTTGCTCGTTGTCGGCAGCAACGACATCGTAATGACCGTAGAACAAGACCTTCTTCCTGGTTGCCGCAGTGGATGGGTTGCCTCTGAAGCGAGCGAGGATGACGGGGTTGGAGCCGTCTTCGGTGGGCAGCATCTCAGTGGCAGCACCAAAGCTCTTGAAGACGGAACGAAGATATGAAGCACCGCGACGACAATCACCCTTGTACTTGGGATCTGAAGAGACGGTACGGTAGGCGATGAAGCGTTTGAGATGGTCAAGCATCTGCTCATCAGTTGTTCTCTTGACAGCAGTCGGCGACATGATGCAATCGCTGACATCCCAAACAGCGACAGTATCGTCGTTGGCACCAGTCACATACAAAGGCTTGCCCTTGTGGTATGTGAAGGCGGAAGTTAAAATCTGACCTTCGTGGGCGCGAAGTCTGCTGGCGCATTGATATTGACGGTCGAATTTCTGCTGCATGTTAGAATAATGTCGTTTCATCGAAAGAGTGCTCACTTACCCTCACGTAACCGGTAACGGCGGCGGAGAACATATACCCGCCGCCAATACAGATTGACAAGACATCATCTCTATGCGCCTTCAAGCTTCGTACGAGCTGTCTCGTCTCCAAATCCCAGACATTGACCTCACCGCCAGTGCGGCCAGAGTAGAGGAAAGTGGCATCAAGGGCAAGAGACAAGATAGATTGGCCTTCCTCTCTGCCATCGTCCAGTGTATAGAGCAGATCAATAGCACCACCACGATTCGCATCCATAGTCCACAGGTTGATAGCACCATCGCCACCAGCGGAGATCAAGACCTGATCGCCCGGAGCATCAGGCACAACACCCTTTGCCAACATCATGCAATAAACATAGCCATAATGCGCAAAGTGCTTGATGTTGTCCTGATCGATCTCCAAAACATCGCCTCCAGCAGCATGTCTCGCAGGAAGACCTTGATCCGCCGGTCTGGGAGTTCTAACACCGCCAGGCCCCCGTGAGTCGAAGAAAGGATCTTCTCTCAACGATGGGTGATCGTTTAGCTTCGGCTTTGGTCTGTGATCCTTCTCTTTCAAGTCATACCACTGGATACTGGTGTTTTGAGCGCCGAGGTAGACGGTACGTAGCAAAGACGAGTATGCGACGCAAAAGACATCGCCGGTATCGTAGCGCGAGTACAGCGAGTAGACGTGTTGGTATGTGTTCAAGTCCCAAACATTTGTAATGCGGTCGGCAGCGGTGGAAAAGAGCAGGTTTTCTTCTGGACAGATGCAGAGGTCGAGGACGCTGCTTTTGTGTGCTTCGAGCAGGGCAATGCGGTCGTACGTGTCGAGCGAGTAGACGAGGATCTCGCCGCGTTGGGTGCCAGCAAAGATGGCATCATCTGAAAGGGCGAGAGCAAGAACTGAAGCATCATGGCGTAATCGGTGGGAGAGAGTGGGTAGATTGTGCTGTTGTTGTTGTTGTTGCTGCAGCTGCGTCTCCAAGTCTTGGTTGTAGCTGCCTCTCGAAGCGGGAAGTGACGGTCGTTGTTGCGGAAGGAGCTGTTCGTCGGTTTCAGAGCCTGCATTTGGAGAATCCACCGTCAGCGACAATCGTAATCGAGACCGCGACGACATGGTGTATTGTCATGTAGAGATGAGCATTTGGTCCGGCGCTTATCGCAAGACAGAGCAATCAATCTCCAGTCGCGTGCTGCTTCTTTGGACAAGAATTGCTCAACTCACCACTTGCAACATCATTTGTTGACGATGCCAATTCGAATACTGGCCATGATCCACCACAATTCATCTTGCAGCTCTCGATTCACGTACTGTAGCTACTGCGGAAACGTATTATTGCCCTTTCTATAACTTTTTGGCTCGCTCCGACCCTGACAGCTTGCACGTCATCCCCGCCAAACTTTGCGACATCGGCACCCAACAAAGTCCAGAACAATTAATCAACTCTTGCAATCCTTGTACTGACATGTTTATATCTTCTGATCTAGTTTCTTCAAAAACCTCCCTACTCCCTTCTCTGTCTTCTTCAACCTCTCCTCCAGACGTCCAGGTTTAGGAGGTTGCACTGGTGTCTTAGGACCATGTCCATGCGCTGCCTCCTGCTCCGTAGGCTTATACGCTTGACTGTGTACTGCATATGCTTCTGTCGGCAATGTTGGCTGTGACGCCTGTGGGCCATACGTGTAATTCGAGAATCCTCCAACGGGGGTTGAGACCAAGCCTGGAGATTGTAGAGGTGTTTGCTGCGGCGCAAACCCTGGTGATTGGACGGGTGTGTGGATGCCATAGGCGGGAAGCTGGCTGGGCGTGTTCGGAATCCCTGGTGATTGCAGGGGAGTGTGCATCTGGAAACCAGGAGACTGTGGGTAGTGTGCCGACTGCTGTTGCGGATACGATGCATACTGCGTTAGAGCGTGCTGCTGTTGAGGCGTAGTACTCTGTGAACTGCTTAGAGGCCCTGCGAATGGATGTGCAGTCTGCAATCCAGGATGTGGAGAGTGTGTAGCAAGCGGTGGTGGAGGCGGAAAAGAGCCCATGCTCACCGCGCGCTGCGGTGGGCCAGGGAAGGCGGGTTGTGGAATTGTTTGCGGATACTGAGCCCCTGCTGTAGTAAAAGTACGAGGTTGCTCGTGAGTCGCTGCAGCTGCAAGTCCAGTCCCACTGGCTGCATCGATAGGCGGTGGTGTCTTCTCACGATGAGCAATCGGCTCAGGGGCTGCAGGTGCAGCTGGATTGTAGGGTGCCACTTGAGATGCTGATGAGGGTGTAGACGCCAGAGCTGATTGCAGAGACACACTCCTCTGACCTTCTGGCGTATGACCATGATGGCCTTGATTCGACAGATCTGACACAGCACTTGGTGCTCGAGCATGAGGAGTGTGGATAGCCATATTCTCTAGCTGTTGCACCACAGGGCTCATGCTGCCATCATGCTCTGGAGGTGGTGCTGCTTCGGTGAGATCGAGTTGTTGATGAGGCATGACGCGCTTTATGAGATCCAACAACTTCATGCTATCGTTGGCGGTCCACAGGTAAAGATCCAGCGTGTGTATCTTATACAGGTACTTGTGCTCATGCGAGAGACCAAAAGCTGGAAGGTGCCAATGCGAGTGATCTGCAGGACGTGGAGGAGTAGCACCATGCTTGCCACCTTCGACAGCTATGGTGAACAAGTTTGGATGCTTGTATGTGTTGGTCAACATGGCATGATCCAGATCTGCAAACGATAATTAGCTACACATAGGGATGAAGAGTTCAAGATCAGACATACAGCCATTGAAAGCATCCTGATCAGGAGTGCCAGCCGAATTGGCTACTTCAAGACGTGTCCGTCGTTGAGTGGAATTGTAGTAAAGATACAGATACGAGCCCTTGTCAAAGCGATGATGGACAGGTTTCGAGTTTGGCTGATTAAAGTACGTGTGTACATCTGCGAAGCTGGATCAAGTCAGAACGACAGACAGACATGCAAACAGAAAACCGAACAACCTACACGTTGAGAAGTAAAGTCTCTCCAGGCAAAAGAGGCATGTTCACGGCCGAGTCTGACGCTCTCTTTGTAATCTCTCTCGGTGGGGTTGATATCTCACAACGTCAACGACATGAATGTAAGCCTCAACGAACTCGACCAGATGAGCGACGTAGTCAGTACAGAGATAATTGAAGATGTATTCGATAGAAAAGGCCGTGGGAAACTTGAGCAGCAGGCCCAGCAGCAGGAGAAGGAGTGGAGACATGTGGATGGTGGGGGAGGGGGACTAGTTATATAAGGCGCATCACAATCGCCTTGACTGCTCGACTCCAATTGGATGGCAGTAGAGATGCCTGCAAGATAGTCGGGCGCTTACTGTGTTGCAAACATGGTCATTGATGTGGTGAGAGACGTGCTGGACCGTGATTGGCCGCTTGCGGGGCTCTCTGGATTGCGGAGACCGAAACGCCAAGACGCGCGACAAGAATGTGACAAAGTCGCAGTTGGACTTTCATGAATTAATTATTTTGCTGCCCATACCAACTGCACATTCGCTCAAGACATCACGCATCACCCTCAGACTTACATCTGCGCCCTTGAAACTCAGACTCGTCTACTCAAACCCAAGACTCATCACAACCCGCGCCGAGAGGGTGCCCAATTACCACCCACCATGTCGCTGGTCAACCTCGCCCACGTCTGCTCCCACATGCAGAACGCCTCGCTCGCCCGCCTGGGCGTAACCTCAATCCCTCTATCACGCATGCACCTCTCCCTCTCTCTGCTACTCCAAAAGCAAGGTTTCCTCAGCACCGTAACTCTCGGCGGTCCCACACCACCCGCAAAACTGCTACCACCCACCCACGCCGACGATGCGACACCCACAAAATCAATCCTCGAAGAAGTCGAAGCAGTCACACAGCAAAACCGCGCCTCCAGAAGGCTATGGCTGGGTATGAAGTACTGGGACGGCGAGCCCGTGCTGCGCAAGATGAAGTTGTTGTCAAAGCCTACAAAGCGCATTTGGCTGAGCAGCAACGAGTTGGGCGAGATTGTCAGAGGAAAAGATTGCAAGTTTGTTAGGGGCTTGAGACAGGTTGGCGAGTGTATTTTTGTCAGCACCGACAAGGGAATCATGGAGGCTAGAGAGTGTGTTGAGAGAAAGATTGGTGGTCAGGTTCTTTGCCGCGTTTGGTAAGGACGAGGAGCTATCGTGTAGGAATACTGTCTGGCATTGGGAACGGTGTCTGGAAGGTCTATGTTTCTGTTGTACAAAAATCTCAGTCTGAACGTTTTTGCATACCTCACGCGACCATACTGGTCACCTGGAAAAAGTCCATCGTGTCATCAGACCGCTGGAGAGAACACCATGAAGACACCTTGGGACCCTTCAGTCTTGCCATCCTCATTCTCGCCAATTGATACGTCGATCGAACTCCTTCTGTTGCCTTCACCAGCACATCACTCCCTGACAGCAAGAATACTCTGTCCTCCATCAGCGCCCAGTCTGCTTCTGGTCTTGAACTTTACACATCCCACTCCTAATTTTTTCTGTTTTCCGTTCTCATCCACCTCCAGAACAGCAGAAGGCGCAAACAGCAAACTCTCACCAACGTCCAGATCGATGATTCTCTCAAATAGTGCAGCTGCTCTGTATTGCTTTCTGTCTCCGACACTGCCGCCATCCCTATCACCAGCAGACGTGACAGCAGTAACAAGATCAGAAGCACCAGCGAGATGTTCCCTCAATGTTGTCATCCAATCTGGAGACGTGAAGCGATGCACAAACGTCATGGAGCAGAGGTCCAGCAGCTTGGGTGAGATGGTTGGTTCTTGAGTGGCAATGACGACGCGACAGGCATTGTGTCTCTGCTCGCGAATGACTGTGAGCAGATTCTCTGTGAAGGTCTCTGCGGCAGGAGTACTCTTCATGAACTTGTGGGCTTCGTCGAGGCAGACGATTAGACCAGAGACAGGACGCGAGGATAAGAAGATGCTAAGCAGGATGTCAAACAGCGTGCAAGTTGTACCTGAATCCAAGAAAGGGTCGCTAAGATCGACGATGGTCAAATTTCCTGGAGAGGTCGAGAGTATATCATTTTTCTTGCTGTGAGCCTTCTTGGAAGTTTCGATGCAGCTAGGGTCCAAGAAAGATTCCAGCAGATTGAGACGCATGGCCATCATGACCTTCTGAGCTGGCTGTAAACCTTCCTTTTCGAGATTGGCCTTGAATGTCGCGTAGCTGAAGGGTGTTCCAGTGATAGCCATTTCGCGAAGGATACGCATCATGACTTCCATGTACAGTGGGACTGCAGTCTCGCCCTCTGCAAAAGCCATCAAGCGGTGCATACGCTCAGCAGTAATGTGATGAGACTGCAAAACCAGAGGCTGGATGTTGAGCAAATTTTCATGCTTCGAACCGACTGCTTTCTTGTATATAGTACTCAAGGTGTGGTAGTTGCTGCGAGAGACCAGGACATTGACTTTGACGCCCAAAGAGACCAATTGAGCGGCTTCACAGATGTTGTGCGCAGAAGCTGTATTGTTGTGGAACACCACACCAGCGAGCGGCTTGGGCAGCTTTCCGATAGAGGAAGAGGCATACAGACAGTTTTCGATGATGGCAGACAAGGTGTAGCTTTTTCCGCTTCCTTGGGAACCACAAATGAATGCCGACCAAGGTGTATTGATGTTGAGAAGGATAGGCTCAGATTCCTCATCGACAGAATTCGTAGAGCCGAACATGCTGTGCGTCGTGGAAGATGTGATGTCTTCTTCGTGCGAGGAGGAAGACTCTGGGATGCGACAACCGAGGAAAGCGTACTGAGGAAACATTGGTGTCTTCACATTTGCTTCGGAGATCTCTTTTATGGTAAGAGAAATAAGTGGTGTGGTGCGTAGCTGTTCATCTGCGCCGGAAGCTTTATCTTTCTTGGTGTGATGAAGTCGCATGAATCCTTCTCTTTCTCCCTGGATATTTCCAGTGGAAGGAAACAGGCTTGATTTGGTCTTGGGTTTGGAAGCGGGAGGTACGGGGTCGCTCGCAGCCACCGTCACTTTGCCGAAGATAGAAGCATTGGGAGTGTCGTTGGACTGGAGCGGGTCGACTTTCTTAGCGGACATGAGCTCGGAAGGATTGACACGTTTGGTGGATTCTTGGGCGTGTCTGGCACTCTGGCTCGATTGCTGGGCAACGTGCGATGCTGGCTTGTGACTGTCCCTGGGCACTGCCTTGACTGTAGGATTGGTGGGAGCCTTGTTGCCAACCATGTTGTTAGGCTCCAGCAGACCAGCGGTCAAATTGGAGAATAACTGGGAAGGACGTTGGCATCCAGGGGCGTCGCCTTGACCGGTCAAAGAAGACTTCATGACAGATTGAGTAGTCAAGCGTTCGTTGCTCATTTTTGAATCTGACTTGGCTAGGTCAGATCCTAGAGAAGAGGTTCCTGGGACTACTCCAAAGATATTTCTGTGCTGGATGCGCATTGACGAGACATCAGAGCCATCCTTCTCAAATTGAACTTGACCCTGAGGCGTTATTTTGCTTGTAGCTCCTGCTGTCTTGACTGCGAAGAGTCCATCTGGTTGATTGTTTGTTTTTTTGTCTTTAGATGGCTTGGTCACAGAAGTCTTGCTGAAGGCGGATCCGGCGCCGATGGTCGTCTTCGGCAGGGAACTGAACAAAGATGTGGTGTTTGCAGCATTCGTGTCCTGTCTTGAGGGTCTCATAGAAGAGAACCAAGAAGAGGTTGTTTGATCGCCTGCAGCAGTTTCTTTCGAGGGAGTGAATTGGAAGATTGATCCAGGCGTCTTTTGTGCTGGCGCGGCTGAAGGGATGGAACTGAACAGGGACGATGAGCGGGTTTTGAAGTCTGATTGAGACAAACCGAAAAATGCTCTGGATGCATTAGCGTCAGCGCCAACACCCGACGCAAATAAAGATGGGACTGCAGGAGCTGAGGTTATGCTCTCCTTCACTGTTGTCTCCTCGATCTTGATGGAAGGCGATTTAGCTACCACTGCAGGTGCTTTGAAGATTGGAGACAACTTTGGTCTCTTGTGCGTGGCTGTTTCATCGTCTGGGAGTTGTGAGTGAGCTCGCGCCGCGGACTTGTCGAAAGAGAAGTTCTGGAATGGATTCATCGTGTGCTGTGATTGTTGTCTTAGACGTTAGATTTGTTAAGGTGCATCCCTTCTGTGCGAATGCCCACTAGTCTGGGTGTAAATGGAAGATCTGTTGTTTGACGCGTTGTTTGTTTGAACCAGCTTCTCGCAGTCCGACAACCTCAACTTGTCAGACGGAAATTCCTCTTGATGCTTTCTGGCTGTAATAGACCTCAGTTTTGTTAACATTCGTCATGTGGAAACGCATCAACTGGAGGATCGAACTTTGAGCTGATAGATTCTGTTGCGTTCAGTGCTTGGGAAGGTGCAAAGCAGGGCCGCTTCCTCACGCTCATAATTCTCCGCCATTGCAAAACAGCTCTCAGATCGTACCTACTGATTCGAAAATCTGAGAACAGGCGCTCTTTCTTTCTCGAAAACTTACAGATTCGAAAACAAGGCGAGAAAACAAAATTCACCATGTCTTCTATTTTCATGCATACGGCATGGCGGCATCAGGGACTGGGGTTCTACTGATTTCTATAACTGCATGGTTCGATTTGTACAAGTCCAAATGACCAACATTGAAGTCGAGTCGAGAAAGAGATTCTCTATGGGGTACACTGGATGCAATGAATCAGAACGACGTTTGAGGTGGAGGTCGAAGAAGATATTGAGAGATGATCAGATAAGATCAGATAAGATGGATGGCTCAGCCGGCTGGGCAGAGACAAGGCCTCCTAACAAACAAGAACTGTAAGACCAGCCTCGTCTGACCAATCGATCTGACTACACAAATCACAACTACCAATCCACGTCTGCACTCATGAGAACTCGTAGCTCGAATACGTGATCCACAGTCTCTCTTTCCCATGTGCAGTAAACGCAGACGCAAGAGCATCTATAAGCGAAGCCGAGATATCCGCGTCCTTTATACGCAAAGGCCGCGCGTCACGATCCTGCAAAACATGAGCTAGTCGCGTCAAAAGGCTTAACAAGGCTTGTCCACAGATGTCACAAAGCTTGTGTATTGTCATCGGAGGACCATGACTCGAACCTAGACTTGATCGGGTAGTTGGTATAAGCGATCTGTGTATACCGCGGGAATAAGAGAAAGGTAAGATGTATAGAGGATTGTGAAGGGTAAGAGGTCTTGTGATATATTGTCCTACCTTTTTTTATTCTGATGCAGGTTACACTTTGTTGTTTACGCTTTTGAAGACGATGGCGCTATACGATTTTATCCACCGATAGAGTTGCTCTCGAATGGCAGAAGCAGGCGGTAGAAGGAGGTAAAGTTATCGTCAATTCAAGCTGATGCCGCTATGTAGATTGATATAATATGCAAATCATCATTATCGTATACAGAGAAAACATGGGTTTCTCACAATCACACCATGTCGCTCCACTCATTATAAGCCAACACCTCTGGGCCTGTCCATCTTTCTCCATACGGATTGACTCTCTCGCCAGAGAAGAATCCATCATGAGCAGATTGCAAAACATCCAACCATGAACTTGGTTCTGGCTCCTTCAGCCATTGGTTATGGATGTGGTATGTCCAGGCGCCGCGGAAGAAGTTCTCAAGTGTGCGGTTATTGGGTGGGTATTTGTCCTCTTCAAGCTTGTAGTCTTTGATGATGCCGGCTTTCCTGAGAGCTGCGACTTCAGATTTGTTGCTGGTGAAACTGTCCATAGGTCCGGGCATAGGAGTGATGTTGATATGGTCGGGCGAAGAGGCAACATCTGGTTTCACATCTCGAGGAAACTTTGCAGAGTGCAGCGATTTCGACACCTGAGACAAGATGCCCTCTTTGTGTACGGATGTGGAGTTGAGGTTCAAGCGCTCTAGCTGAGGGCCATCGTAGCTCTCCCACTCATCCTTGAGACTGTTGGCTTTGCCCTTGAAGACAGCGCTGTAGTCACGTAGACAAGGCACTGTGCAACGGCCTTGACGATCCCAGTTGAACTCGGTCCAAATGGGGTCAAAAGCAGCGGTCTCCAGCATAGGGAACTCAAGGTCGCGGCCTTCCTTCCAAATCATACGACCAATGACACGAGGATGGAAGTTGAGACCCATGCGTACACCCCCTCGTAGGAGATAGCTGGAAAGTGAAGTATTGGCAGACAATGACATGATGGCAGTGTTGTAATCGCCTGGGTTGTTGTGGGCTCCCCATCGTTCAGCAAAGTCGTGCTTTTTAGGTACGAGCAAAGGGCGCATGTCGCGAAGCATCAGAGCATCCATATCCAGATATACACCACCATGTTGATGCAAGATAATAAAGCGTACAGTGTCGGAAATTGCCTGAGGGAAGAAGGTCATTTGCTTTGGTGTAAGAGTGATCCATTGTTGGCCATTGGTGTCCTCAATGAGACCTTCTGCAATTGCAACTTCGCCCTTTGCATTGGGCTTGCCTTTGGTCTTGTAATAGCCAACTCCGTCTGTGTTATCGAATTCCTTCGGCAGAGGCATTCTGGTAGGGAACTTCCAGGGTAACACTCTGATGTCGCCTCTCTCGACCAGCGGCAAGAAGCGAGCAAACAGAGCGTCGTGTTTCAACATCCTGTCGACCGCATCGGGAGCCCTATCAGTATCTGCCCAGAGCCAGAGTCGACTGCAGGGTAAATTTTGGGTATAGAGGTAGGCTTTGACAAACACTTCGAGACGCCATGTCGCGGGGCCGGCCCAGTAGACGTGGTAAGGTATGATGGGACCAGCGCAAGTTCCGAGATTCGTCTTCGAAGGAGCTTTTGCATCCTTGACCGAAACGTACTGCTTTAGTGTGTTTCCATGACCATCTGCGTTCAAATATTCTGCCTTCCTAGGGTCTTGTTCACTTGCACGATCCACCTGTTCAGGCAAGGAGTAGTATTTGTCCTCAGCCCCTGACAAGAATTCCAAGCAGCTGAAAACATCCCGCATCTTTTCAACGCCTGCGTATGAACCTCTGCACTCTCTCACGAGCATCTCGATATCAGCTTCGGTATCGACATGAGGTCTGGGACCAAAGAAGTCGTCACGGGGAACGACGGCGCTCGATGGACGATTGAAGACATTGGCGTGGGGATTGATGGTTACAGTGCGGGATGCTCCAGCGACTTTGACCTTGACATTTCCTGACTTTGTCTGTTTCACAGTGCCAGCATCTGTTAGGAGAGCGACTTTCTGCCGTGCTTTTTGTCTCGCTGAAGGATCTTGTGCTAGGTGGATAGTGGTGTAAATGGATGTGTAGAGAATGAGAGCCAGAAAAAGGTTCCGAAGGAGCGAGAAGCATGCACGAGCTCGTCCGTCAGACATTGTACCTCTATGCAAGGAGAGAGCTTGAGACAGAAGAGCACTAGGATGCAGGTCGCAGGAAATCGCAGGAAGGATATTGAATAGACCAAAAGTCGTCGGGAGAAGGAGCGACCTGATCTCGGTGGTTCAAGAATTGAGCGATTTTTGAACGAGCTGTCTCAATGGCGCATAATAATGGTGAGGGTGGGGTTTTGTGCTCCAGGAATCGGGATAGTTATTAGGTGTTTATGTTGGTATTTGGTGAGACGGTGGGACAAAGGTGGTGGAATCGAGGACGATAAGGACAGTGGGCAGGTCGAGGAATTAGCAGATCAAGCAGAGAAGGAGCGACGAAGAAAGGACGGTTTCATGAGTTCGTGATTGCTACCGTGTTATGGCTGAGGACTCGACAGGTCGATCAACGCCCGCTTTCATCGACCAGGGTCCCTTAGCGCGGCGATCAAAGCTTAGGTTGCTTTTGGTCCTTCCAAACGAGTTCGCTCCCCGCAAAACGTGCACTGTCTGTGAACCAGCCGCTGTCGACGACGACGCCGGCCGCAATCTCCTGCAAAATCTACCCGAAAGTCCACCACAGTGACATCCCCCTTATCTGGAGTTGGTCTGCTCGTTCTGCTTCTCCTGTCTCACTCCTTATGCTTTTTTCTGGTCGCTGTCTGCTGCGCTCTTTTCAGACATGCCCGTCAAAACTACGTCGCTGCCTCGACAGTAATTACTCGACTCTTTCTTCTTCGCACAAAGAGCAGGTGACCATCCCGTGTAGATCAAATGGCCACATCACACTAAGGCAAGTCGTCGTCGCCAATCCCTGCGCCCTATATGCCTCAACGTATTTTTTGTTAAGCACAACTCGCTTGCGTAACACTTCCTTCTAACTCGAACTGCCCAAAAGTTTGTTTCACCCTCGCGTTGCTTCGGGCCCCGCGCCTGCCATCATCTTGTATCTTCCACCGGGCCCTTTATTACATACTGCATTACCTACTGTCGATGCTGGCGCTGCACTTTCATCAGCGACATCAGCCACTGTCGTGCAAATCAATTATCGTTGCTCGCAAGAACACCGATATCCTACTCCAGTTCATGATGTCTTGACAGGATACGATTGGGTTCTGGAGCACCTTATTCCCAGCAGATCCTTTCATCGCCCTGGTCGCTCTGCAAATCACAGGATCAAGCTAGCCGTATGTGGTGAGCTTGTTGGTGGCAGCCTTGCTGCCATGCTCGCCTTGACTGAGTGTCGTCTGCAAGGACCATACGTTGCCGCTGCTGCCATCAATGAGCCCATTATAGATTGGGTCTTTCCTGAAAACGACGAAGCTGAATACGAGACTTCAATCGACCGTCTCGCCTCGTATGTCCAAGGGCTGCAGATTGGTCAAAGATCAAAGGCCAAGTCAAAACCTCGTCAGACAAGTTTCTCGACATTTGGTGACAACACCGTCCTCAACGCCAGCACCTTACTCAAGGCTAGGCATGAAATGTTCAGGCGTGCCGAGGACTACTTTGACACTTTTGCATCGCCAATCCTCAACTTCCGCACTCCAGGCGTCTCTGTGCCACCACCACTACAGGCGAAATCTCCTGCCGACGAGTTTGCAGAACTTGCTCTTTTCGAGCGCGATGAATTTCATCGGCAGCAATTGAAGATGAGCTCAATGTCGAACAGTCTGCAAAGTTCCGAGCAGCAGGACGAAAACACAGCAGAAGCCACAAAGAAGCCCCGAAAATCTTACCGCAGATGGCCTAATGCAGGCAGCGGACTAAGAATACCTCAGATGCGTATTTCTTCTGCCGTGACCAGTCCATTATCAGATCAAGTCGAAGAGTTTGCGAGGCTGATGCAGAAAAGTATCGTATCGCAGGAGCTCAAGACTGTGGAGGCTGAGGGAGATGACATGGCAAAGGAGGCCGCGTATATGCTTGCTGAGCGCCAGATACACCACAGGCAGCCAGATAATCTTCGCTTGTGGTCGCTAGGTCAGACGCACGACTTGCGACACATTGCGCACTGGTTTGAACAAATCCTTGGACAGTGAAAAGGATGGAAATATGGTAGCCTTGTGCTGAGAAGGTCATTTCGATCCCTGCATCTACCGAATTTTGTCAGAGAAAATAGCGACGCCCTTTTTGGTAGCAATGTTGTATTTGATTGCTTTGTGAAACTTTGTTGAGCGCCTCCTTCTAACCTTGAACACGAATCTGCGACTCGGCTCGCGTGACTAGATCAATAACGTTCCTTGCTATAAGACCGAAATTAACAGCTCAATCCAACGAAGAAAAGTCCAGAAGTCCAGGACGTCCCGAAATGCGAAAGTACAACCTGCTTCAATGTCTTTTTGCTCCTCCTCGTGTGCCAAAGTATGTAGCGCGTGCAGCTATACAAATGCACAATACTGTAGAGCGTAGCACAGCGCGCATTGAGAAACGACAAATGATTGACTCTCTGGGGTCAATGTCTCCGTCTCGAACACTATTGTGCATCACTACAGCTACACGCGTTCCATTTTTCTACACACGGTCGAAGGCGAGAGACAGGATGCTCCAAGGCTCGCTTGACTCGTCGCTATTCGTGTTTCAGCGCTTCCCCAGCCGTTCCCCCACCAACCGCCTTTGTTGACAGAACCATGCGGAGAAGAACATGATGCAACACCCACATTGAATCTCTAATCACCGTTATTTTCCACCAGCATTCCACACGACAGTAAAACGGGTATAACTATAAACCATGCCTTCTTCGCCAGATCGAAGAAACGCATCTCGCGATCGCAAAGACCGCCATCAACAGCGACGCAAAGGCCACCGCTACAATGACAGCACAAGCGAATTACTACCTCGCCAACATCACCGACGTTCAGAATCGCAAAGTCCGCGGAAGGAAAGACCGAGGAAGAAGAGATATTACTACCCTGAAGATGAAAGCACAGAAGGCAGTAAAAGCACGAGTAATGCGTTGAGTGTGGGTGCTTTGGAGCATTTGAATGCACTGAATGTGAGACAAGATGTTGCTTGGAATAGCAATGGTGGGATCAAAAGCTCGGGAAAGTATAGGAGTGTTGAGGAAGAGGCGGACAGAAGAGAGCGCAGGGAAAGAAGAGAAAGAAGAGAGAGACGAAGGAGGGAAAGAGCTGAAGGTGACAACGATCGGCATAGGGAAAGACGGAAACAACCAAGAGTTGTTAGTGGAACATACCTTGAGCGTGGAGCTGAGCCTTATGATGAAAAGGTCGTTCTTGTTGGTCAAACTGGACGCATGAGAGGTGGTGCTGGCAGTGTTGAGTCTGACGAGGATCAAGCGCGGAGGCGGAAACGGAAAAGAATTGGCAAGTCTTGCTGAGGAGAGCGTGGACACTCTTCACTAATGGTTCGGCAGGCATCATCGGCATAATCATCATAGTCATATTGGCGATTGTGATACCTGTAGCTGTGGTCTTGTCCAACAAGAACAAATCCTCTACAACAGGTGCAGCCAGCGCCACATCAACTTCATCAAGCTCACCAGCAAATAAGAACTTAGATGGCATGTCAGAGTCAGATATACCGAAAGACGCTCAAGGAACAATTCTGGATCCCTTCACCTGGTACGACACTACAGATTTCAACGTCACATATACAGCAGCGACTGTAGGCGGACTCTCCATAATGGGACTCAACGATACCTGGGATGACTCGACAAAAGCAAACGACAATGTGCCTGCTCTCAATGAGACTTGGGAGTACGGTAAGATGCCAATCAGAGGTGTCAACATTGGAGGCTGGTTTAGCATTGAGCCTGTCATCACACCCTCCCTTTTCTCCGACTTCAAGACAAGCGATGGTGTGATAGACGAATGGACACTATGCAGCAAGTTGGGGTCAAGCAGAGCCCAAACAACACTTGAACAACACTACTCATCCTTCATCACCGAAGCAGACTTTGCGGCCATTCAAGCAGCTGGATTTGATCACGTACGCATACCTTTCTCGTACTGGGCAGTCACAACGTACGATGGAGATCCATACGTCGCCAAAATCTCCTGGCGATACCTTCTCAGAGCAATCGAATGGGCTCGCAAATACGGTCTCCGCATCAATCTCGATCTGCATGGTGCTCCAGGCAGTCAAAACGGGTGGAACCACAGTGGACACCAAGGCGCCATAAACTGGTTAAACGGCACAGATGGCACAATCAATGGTCAAAGAACTCTAGACATCCACTCCCAACTAAGCACCTTCTTCGCTCAACCTCGCTACAAAAACATCATCGCCATCTATGGACTTGTCAACGAGCCCAAAATGACATATTTAGATGTTGACACCGTACTCACCTGGACAAAATCCGCAATTCAGAAGATCCGCTCTAATAACATGACAGCGATAATAACCTTTGGCGATGGTTTCAGAGGATTGGACAACTGGCAAGGCGAACTCCAAGATTTTGACAATTTGCTGTTGGATGTGCATCAATATGTCATCTTCAACAACCAACAAATTGCGCTCGATCACGCTGCTAAAGTCGAGTTTGCGTGTGGAGGTTGGACAAACCAGACTTTGAGGTCCAGCAATAAAGCGACTGGATTTGGACCTACATTGTGCGGCGAATGGAGTCAAGCAGATACAGATTGCGCCACATATCTCAACAACGTAGGTGTAGGATCGCGCTGGGAAGGAACCTTGAACATGGTATCGACACCCGGCGGCTCCCTCGACGGCAGTGTGCTCAACCCTACCTGTCCCACCGCAAACTCCCCTCGCTGCTCTTGCACCAACGCCAACGCATCGCCTTCATCCTATTCTGCGGCATACAAGCAATGGCTCCTCGACTTTGCAGAAGCGCAAATGTACAGTTTTGAACAGGGGTGGGGCTGGTTCTACTGGACGTGGAAGACCGAGTCCGCAACCCAATGGAGTTATAAAGATGGACTTGCTGCAGGCATTTTGCCGCAGAAGACCTGGGAGAGGACGTTCAAGTGTGGGAATGTACCCGATTATGCCGGCATGGGGTTGCCTGAGAATTACTAGTGTAGTCTAGTTGATGTTGCTAAAATACATGATTGTACTTGGATTTGATCATGTCCGAGGAAAGACGTTGATTTAAAAACTTTCTCTCTTTGAGAATAATCTTTGGTCTGGATGTTATTGTGCATTTTCGTGGTTATGAGTTCAGTGTGCTGTTGATGGTGGGATGCCAGTTTTTTGCAGCTCTGGTCTTTGCTGTTGGGATATACAACAATATTGTGAGTGCAAGACACAAATGCTTTGAAGAGCAAAGAAGACATCAAGGTTTCGTAGCCAAGAGATGAAACTTGCCCGAATCTCACTCCAAGTCCTTGCGTGGTTGTCGAGTATGTCTTGAAGACCTCGAAGTTCATACAACTTACAACCTGAGGCGAACATGATTCGTTCAATTGTGATTCTTTGGGTAGTCTCGTCTTTTTGCTCGTCGAGTACTATTGTTCAGTGGGTTATATTTTTACTTACGTCAGATGCTTCAACAACATCCGATATGGTCTAGTGGCTAGGATTTCTCGCTCTCAAACCGTGTTCATCGCGACACAACTAGGTCCGAGGAGGCCGGGGTTCAATTCCCCGCGTCGGAATCTTTTTTTTTTGTTTTGTGCATCATCATCTCTATGATATGATCGACAGAGATCGTTCTTGTTGGTTTTGATAATTAGAAGTGTGTCGCGGTGGTCAATATTTTCGAAGCTGAGTCTTTTTGCGCGTTTATGGAATTGGGATGTGTTTTTCAAGAACACTGATTGAGTATCCCATATCAGGGAATGGTCAACACGAGTGCAGTCATGATATTTGTAGTTGGAGAGATCTGTTTGAATTTCGCCCATGCTATGCTATGCCAGATCTATCAATCCTCAATGTGCTCGATGATAGTGGCTAATCAAGATCTAAACATCATCAACCCAGCCTCCTCATCTCCACTCTCCTCCTGCTCCTGCTCATCCACATCCTCATCCTCACCCAACCCCATCCTAGCACCAAACAAACTTCCAAACAACTCGTCTGCCGCCCTTTCAGCCCAAGTACACCGGTCCTCAGGCGCCATAAAGTTTTGTAGCTTTTCCTGCACAGTATACCTCATCTTTCTGCCTTTCGACGCCTTGGTATCCACATTTTTCTTGGTTTTGGCTTCTCTGCGCATTTGGAAGCCGCTGTTGATGGAAATGGTGGAAGAAGCAGAGGCAGCGATGGAATCGGCACTGCGTTGTTCGAGTAAACTCTGCAGCAAAAGACCGTAAAAGTCTGCGTCGTCGTAGATAGACCCTGCCTCCTCTGAAGCAGCAGCAAGTTGCAGAGGCGCACACGAACGAGGAGTTCTTGCACGTTTGGTAAGACGATCACCGTGTAATTGTTCTTGCAACACGTCCACAATACTTTGACTTGTTGACGAGGTGGTTAACTTGTTTTTGGGAGTGATGGCGGAAGCGCCTCTGGCTTTTTGGTTCCATTTTTCGAGGATGGAGGTGCGAGGGGTGGTGGCGGAGGATTCTTGACTGCGCATGTGGGACCAGAGGTCTTCTGTTGGTGTGTCCAAGGTGTACTCTGCATGTTTGCGTTTATTGCCTGTACGGTTGGATTCGAGGGTTTCGCGGAGGGAGTTGAGGGTGGACCAGAGAGTGAAAGCAGCGGTTTCTGCAGCGCGGAAAGCGTCTTCGGTGTCTTCTGTTGGCGTCGAGTCTGAGATGACGCCAGTAAGAGTGTTTGTGCCGATGAGAGCTTTCTGAAGCTTGATGCGGGTGTTGAGGAGAGAGTCAAAGGTCGCGCGTTGAGTCTTGACAGCGCGGCCTTTTTCGGCGTCTTGCTTTGCTGCTTGGGACAGGCTGGCTGCCACGGTCTTTTGCTCTTCGGCCATCATCTTGCGGAGTTCTGACTTGTCTTCAGCCTCGTCGTCTTCATCGTCCTCCTCTTCATCGTCTTCGTCGCTCATGTCGGTGGCAGGGCTCTCGTCGCCATCTTGCATATCCTCATCCTCGTCGCTGACATCGTCTTCTTCGCCTTCGGAGGCAGACAACTCGGCAGCGTCATCAACATCGTCCTCGTCTTCGCTGTCCTCCTCATCAAATCCCTTGCTGAACGGATCATCCTCATCCTCGTCTTCTCCAATGGCAGCATCTCTGCTGATGCGGGCTCCTTCATATCGGGGTCCGAGAGGCACGACGTCGCGCTTGCGTAGCTTGCTCTTGCCGACATCGACGTAGTGTTCTCTTGCTGCGGCGGCATTGTCGTTATCCGAGACGTCGTCGTCGCTGTCGTCCTGTGGCGGCTCCTCTTCCGGGTCAAAGTCTACGGGTACTTGTCAGAGATTGCTGTATGTTGGATGGCAAGAATGTGCGCATACCTTTAGGAGCAGGGTTGTCAAGCTCAGCAAGCTGCTCAGCCAGGGTCTTTGTTCTGCGTGCCATGGTTGTTTATTTGATTGTTCAAGAAAAAAAGTTGGTCGTCGCAAAAGTTTCTTGAGCTGCGCCGAAAGATCAGCGGAAGTCCCTGCCGACAACCTTTCGCTGCGGAGCCTCAAGTCTTGGCTTCAACTACCAAACAACATCACCACTCGATCACTATCATTTCTACACAAAATGTGAAAGTAATGCCCTCTTGCTCATTCATGATAGCTATTGTCCCATGTCTCATTTCTTCGTCATGCTGAATTTCCCGTCATGTTCTCCAGCAATGTACAGTACCTCCCTCTGAAAACTCCGATAACAATCAACACAGCAAACAGATCTCGTCACCCTTCTCTCGCGATATCATAGCTCTCACGCCACCACCGTCCATCGATATTCGCGTCCTTGAGCACCCTTCATGTCCTCAGATGGTCTCAGATCCATGACTGCAACAGAACCAGCACGTCCAGTCGTTCAGGGTTGATCTCGTCATACTCGCTGGCATAGTCGAATCTGCGCCATGGAAACTTGGAACGGAGAAACTCGTACTCCGTCTTGTTCATCGTACCGTCCATTCTGGCATGTCGGCCCATCACGTCGGCCAGTCGGTATTCAGCCTTCTTCACCTCACGCGCCAGAGATGGATTGGGCACTCTCATGGCTTCTTGAGCATAGAGAACCTTGACTTGGTTGACGGCTGTTCTGACACGCTTCGAACGAATGCCGAAACTTGCTCCAGTAGGGTTGTTGACAAATGGATGGAAGTGGGTTGGGTATCTGTTGTAGCGAGCTTGTTGGACCAAGTCCATGACGAGATCCACGATGTCTCTTCCTTCTCCAGTCAGGTAATCCCTCTCAAGCGCTTCGCATGCTACCTCGCACACTCTGTTCAGCTCATCTCTGCTCATTTTCGCGCCACGAGCTTGCACTGCTTGAGCGAAGCAGTCGATCAAGACAGCCACTGCATCGTCGCCACGATCTGCCGCCATGGCCATGAGTTTGCGAACTCTGCGGTGCGTTGCCATGAACTCAACACCTGATGCTTTGAGTCCAAAGGGCTGGTCGGCAACAGGCTCGCGTCTGTAGCGAGCCTTGCGTGCCCTGCGTGCTTTGTATGCCGACCTTGCTGATGGCCTTGGTGCGCGTCTGGGTGCTGTCGTCGGTGCGGGTCTGATTGGAGGTGCAGGGTTGCGTACGAGGTGACCGAGGACATCTATGACTTGTCAGAGGTGTTCGTGGCGAAAGCTCGATCAACAAACTGTGTTCCTGGATAATCCTTCGGTCATGTTAGCTTGGTTCTGGAATCACTAAACATTCCCAACGTGCATACCTGTTTGAGTATACGCTTGGTAGGTAGCAATACTCGTAATACTTGAGCGCATCAACGGGCTGTGCGTAGGTGGCCATGGTGAGCAGATGGAATTGTAGCTCGTTGAGGCGACGACCAGAATGGTAGGCCTTGGTTAGTATCCAAACCGATTCGTCCAACTGACCGAGAAGTTCCAAGCACTGACCAATGTCAGTGATGTGGTCGTAGAGTTCTGGATCGTGGGAGTGGTGCTCCAGCGAGATGGGACGAGCAGGAATCTGCTCATCCTCCGGAGCCGGAAGAGCCTGTCGGAATTAGTAAGAAGCGAAGCGTATGCTCCAGAGATCATTGGCACTCACGCCTTCGACGTATCTTGCAGGGCGCAAGTAACCTTTCACAAAGAAGAGGTAGGCTTGCAACGGAGAAAGAGCATTGAGCTGGTAGCACCAACTCGGACAAGCCTTCAAGAGTCCTGGGTGTCTCTTGAGGAAATCGTCGATGTCGTTCAAGAAGTGAAAGGAAATCTTGCGCTTCTGGAGGTAGTCCAGAAGTTCTTGGTCGGCTCTGCGAGCGAGTGAGGGCATGAAGTTCAAGTGAACCTCGGATCCATCCTCGAAGCGAGGCTTGAACTTTTGTGAGAGGTCGTTGGTGGCTGCTGGGTGAGCGTGGGTTGTCTCAGTCTCGTGGCGCTGAATGGGTTTCGACACATTGGCGGCGTATGAGTGCGCGTAAGGGTCACCACGAGGAATGGGACCTCCATCAGCGAAGCTGTAAGTGCCTTCCATGCTGTGAATCAGATCAGTCGTGCAGGAACTGATGCAGTGAGAGGAAAACGCACTCAACAAAAGAAAAGTTGTTGTTTGCGTATTGATGGCGTTGATGGTTGACTGAAAGCTCGGCGCGTCTTCAATTTCCACGCCGTGTTTGCAACTCTCAAAGGCAGTAGCAACTCGACGCGTGCTTGCCTAACTAGAGACAAACAAGCGAGACGATGTGAAGCAGAAAAGTGAGCAGGTTGCCTCTTGGCTGAGATAAATAGTACTCTCTCCCACGACGGCTCTAGGCCCATGAGGCTGGTCGGGGGACTGGGTTAGGTCTGTACGAATCACCGCGTGCTTTGGGGCTGTGAACGGAGTGACCGAGGACATCTATGACTTGTCAGAAGTGTTCAGGGCAAGAGGTCGATCAACAACAGACTATGTTCCTGGATAATCCTTCGCTCATGTTAGCTTGGTCTAGGATACACCGAGTATACCAGCGGGCATACCTGTTTGAGCGCAAGCTTGGGAGGTAAGAAGACTCGTAATACTTGAGCGCGTCAACGGGCTAAGCATAGCATATGCCAAAGTATGCAATATATATACCTGTAGAAATGCACAATACTGACAAAAAACGATATAGTGGCCATTGAGAAGTGACTGATCACAGGCTCTCTGTAGACATACCCATGTTTCTTGAGAAGACCATGCCTTTTTATAGTGCATATTGAGCTCTTTGCGTGACCGGAGACAAACTCAGTAGGAAGGAAGTAAAGGTTAACAAATGGAAAGGAGAGGTCCATGACAGCTCATAGCCTCCCCTGTGCGAAAGGTAGTCATGGTATAGCTGTAGAAATGCACAATACTTGTATAAGAACGTGGTTCCGGCCAGAGAGGGCCTCACGAAGGCTATCTCAAAAGTCAACCCTCACTTTCTGGTTGCAATTGTGCATTTCGATAGCTCACGACAAACCTTGTAGCTCGGGATGGAGAAGGGTCATGATTGTCTTTAGCACACAGGAAGAAAGTTTCAAGCAATCAGTCAAAGATGTGATACAAAGAGCATGCATTTTGTACTTGTGAAGCAAAAAAAAGAGTCTAAAAGCTTCCACCAAAAACCAAAGGAGAAAGAACATAAATCAATATGAACAAAAGTCTTACGCTAACATATGGGTATGAACGCCGAGGAGGGTGAGGAAACAAGAATTGGAAGAAAAGGCCTTGTACAAATCAACAACTTAGAAGACGCTGATGTAGTTGCCGATTCTGTCCTTCTGGTTCTGGGCAATGCACTCTGCTATCCAAGTGATGTTGCGGATTTCCTGGATTTGTGTTAGCATATTGATGATGGAGAGTAGAGAAGAGCAAACACGTACCTGCTCCCTTAGCTTCACCCATGAGTAGACCACAGAGTAGGTGAATTGACGAGTGAAAGCAAGCTTGGACAGTTCCATCTCTTTCTGGTAGAAGAGATCTTCCAGACTCTTGCCCTCATCAGAACCTCCAGCCATGTTGCCGACGTTGGAGCCTGAGCCCATGCCAGTCTGATCGAAGAAAGTGCGGTAGTCATGTACACCATCAACAGCAATTCTGACAGCCTCAGGATCATCTGCTCTTGACAACATCAGGGTTCCCTCAGGGTGCAACTTTCCAAAGCCCGGGTACAGCTTTTGTCTGTCTTGCTTTGAGAGATCGGTACCGAAAGAGTTGAGTGTGATGTTGATGCTTCTACGGTCGGCCTCGAACTCGAGAATTTCGGACATGACTTCGGCGGTTGGGCTGCCAGCAACGCCAGAGTGGGTGTTGACCCAGTTGTGGAAGTCCTCGAGGTAGTTCTTGTAGAGAGTGTTGCGAATGATTTCAATGTTGAGCTCGTCAAGGTCTTGGTGGCTGAGAGAGCCCTTGAAGTAAGGAGCCAGAGGAGTCTCGATCAGAACGCTGTTGTACAACTCTTCAATGTTTGTGGCGACGCAAAGGGCGGGCATGGTCTCGAACCAGCCGAGGGGGTGGCATCGATCGAGCAGTTCGCGGGTGTCTCTCTCGTGCAGTGTTCCAGTAATGAGGAGGGCGACATTGTCAATCATGTATCCGTAGGTCAAAAACTCCATGAACTTGGACAGAGAACCAGTAGCGTTGGCCTGAACGTAGCGGAACTCATTAACAAGCTTGTCGAGCAACTTGTCGGCGAGGGCACTCGTTGAAGGGTTCGGCGGGAGGTCGGCGAGGAAGTCACCATATGCTGGGCCTAGTTGAAGCTTCACATCTGGTGGTTGGTTAGCAAGAGCTCGTGATGGGACAAGGCGACGCGGAGGGATGATACCATCGATGGTCTCGCATTGTGCCAGGTTGCTGTATTGTTGACCCGTCAATAACGTGTTTCGGTAGCCGCGCACGACACCCTCAATGTAGCCGGTGGTAACGTTGAAAAAGAGACCCTCGGACATGGTTGCGCTGGATGATGTTCAACTGTCTTGTCGCTATCCCTCAATCGTCGCCTGCTTCTAGAGTTCATTACGTTGGACGTCGGCGAGCCTACTCTGCCAAGCCCGACCTTCGACCCCAGACGTCATCTTGGCAGAGCCTCGCTGAATTTATTCTCCTTTATTTTGTTGCAAACATTTAGAGGATATAAGCACGCGTTTTATCAACTGATTTTTTGCACTCGGCACAGTTCAGCACTTCACTGGATGTGCATCTGAACGGACTTGACCTTTCCTGTTGCCAATTGGAATCATGCTTTGGAATTTCAGAAGACCAATCGCCCTTCCGACAACATCACCATGCAAATGGATACTAAAGGGGCCTCGCTTTTCTTCCTTTTCTTTTCACAACGATAAAACAAGTCCGAGTGAAGTCGAGGATACTCCTCAATCATTCTGGCACCATTTGAAGAAAGAGGACATGGACATGTTTCGAATGCTCAAGGCGGCGAATGGCGCCATCACAAAGGAATTCTATGCCAAAATGCAGGCAAAGCCAGACATACTTCGAGTATTCCTTGCTCAGCGACGCGCTGCCCAGAAACAGAAATACCAAACTGTTACCAAGTTTCGAACCGCGAGGATCAGAATAGCCAAGGATTGGTATCAAGCTCACAAACAAGACGACAGTTACAGAAGAAGGTGTAACATGTATCTGTGGTGTTTTCATCCCACGTTCAGACGTCCGTGGATAGATCATCTACCCTGGCCGACCCATCGACCCCTGGCATACAGGCAAAAGGTAGCTCATTGTTGTGCAGAATGTGGAACACGCCATTCGGGGCTCAAGTCCTGGGTGAGTACACCTGTCTTGGACATGATTGAAGAATTGCTGAATGTGGTCCATTTTAGTGGCAATCCGTCAAAGACCCAGATAGTTTCCTGTGCCACAAGCATTACACTGATCGTGGCTGGTCTGAATGCATGCCCAAAGGCTACGAACATGTCAGAACATTCAAAGGACTGAACGCGCGATACAAAGAACTGAATCAGGAATGATTTTCAAGAGTAAGTATTCATGGCCAACCACGAAGCTTGAAGTCTGAGACTACTCATTGAGCTTTCTCAGCCCGGGGTATCTATCCTACAAAAGCCGCTAGAACATGATGCACCATACCGGTCGTTTCTTTTTTCTACAACTCAATCAGACTTTCCTCAACCTTTGGCTGGACAGGAACATTCTGTGGTGCTTGCGGGAAGCTCTCTTGACCATAACCGTTGTGTGTCGAGGGTGCCTGAGGCCACTGTTGTTGCTGAGGTTGAGGTTGCGTGTATTGCTGATGTTGCTGAGGTGGCGCCTGCTGTTGGTACGGCTGCTGGAATTGGGGTGGGGGTTGTTGGTGTTGTTGGGAGGGTTGAGGATACGACTCTGGGCTCACAGGTTGGGGAGCAGAAGATTCTGAGTACGACTGGTGATGCTCAGGAGGAGAGACAGGGTTTTGTTGTGGAGTGGGAGCGTATTGCTGAGGTTGTTGCGAGTAGGATTGTTGTTGTAGATGAGGAGTGCTGGGAGCTTGTTGCTGGGGTGGGTATTGAGGGTATTGTTGTTGATACGCAGCTTCGGCAGGTGCTTGCTGTGTATACGCCTGTTGAGCATAGTTTTGGTGTTGGTTGAAGGTAGGATAAGGGCTCTGGTTGTAGGCGTGCGAATCCATTGATGGTGCCGAGCTGTTGTAGTAACTCTCAACCCCACCCATGGGAGCGGTAGGTGGTGCTCCAACACCAGCAGACAGGGATGGATACATGTTTCCAGACTGGGGTCGAGGAGCTCCATATCGAGATTGGTTATAAGTGTTGGACAGGCGCTCCTCCAGCATGCGGTCGTAGTATCTCACAACGGTAGCCAGTTTGGAGTGAAGGTCAAGAAGTGTGTCATGCTTGCTCATCGTTTCTCCATATGTCCTTGCCAGCTTCGGTCTCAGCGACCCGATGCTCTCATACAGCTCTTGAAGTTGAGGCTCACGCAAGATGGCGCCAGGTGGTTGGTGTTGTAGGCGATCGACTAGGGTAGCGAACAAGTTGATGTTCTCGGCTTCAACAGGCGTAAGCTCGTTGTTGGTCTTGGGTGCGTAGACGCTGGGCGTGCTGGATCTTTGTTGTTGTTGTTGCTTGAAGTTGGCAGTGTGTTTCTTCTTTTGCTCCTCCATATCTGCCAAAGATGCAGCAATTGCAGCTGCCAACTCTGGATCGTCTTCTTCGTCTTTCTTTGGTGTGGGCGCCTTTTGGACTGGCTTTGGTGTCGCCATCTGTGATTGCGGCACGTATCCAGCACCGGAGTGGCCCTTTGATTCTTCCAAGCTCATTTCAAGTGCTCGTTTCAAGTCGGCGTCGAACGAATCTTCAGCCACGCGAGCGTCACGGGCTTGCATACGACCAGGGTTCGGAGGCTTCATGGCATTGATGTAGGAAGGTACAGGAGTGGCGCGCGACTTTTCGGTAAGCCTGGTGTAACAGCCGTCGTCGACACGGACAGGTTGAAGGATGCCAAGGTGAGGCAGGGGTATCGACTTGGACGAACATTGACCGCAGAAGACGTTTCCGCAGTTTCGGCAGTGGTGTTTGCGATTGGTAAAAGTGAAGCGTTCTCGGCAGCGCATGCAGACATCGGAATCGGCCCATTCGGGTGGCTAGGCAGAGGGGTTAGTAGAGAGCTAAGTGCCAAGTGCAGAGGAGGACATACAGCACTGCTGTCGAACATGGTTGCGGCGACCTCAGTCTTGGGAGGGAAGCGGAAGCCTTCCCTCTGCAAGGAGCGGTATGTCTCGTCGATGTAGCCAAGGGAGGAGCGGCCTGTAGCGGCAGTAGCCCAAGACTGGATCAGATCGAGGATCCTCGTCTTGACCTCGTCATTCAGCGGCGTGTTGAGGAATGATACGAGGTTGTCCATGAACTCGCGCGAGGCAATCTCTTGAATGAAGTGCTCTCCGCCATTCTTAACACACGTGTCGGTCAGGTTGAGAGCGGCCAGTTGGACGTTTGGGTTCTTGTTGGCGATTCTTCGTTTGAGCGAGCGCATTGCCTCCTTGGGCGGAATTGTCTTGCTTCGGATCAGATCTGTGATCTCCAGATTGAGAGCAATATCCTCTAGACTGCTTGAGGTTGCTCTCTCGACCTGTTCGTCCATGGCCGACGTGCCGGCACCGAACCACGAAGCCATTATGCTTTGAGAGCTCTCGGGAATGTGATTTTTCGCTGCTGATGCTGTGTCGAAAGTCACTAAGAGTGGTCCGGAAGTGGTGAGAAGGTGTTCAGATGAGTTGGGTATGAAGTGTTGGAGCTCTTGGTGGTGCCTAACGGCGAGTGCTTCAGCTTGGGGAAGGAGCGACCCACCAAGCAGCACCGAGCGTGGCGGGCCCAGGCAGGAAAGCCGACGTCACCCACCCGCGGTCGCGCCTTCTGCTTCTCTGGGGAAATGCCATGGACTCATCATCAATCACCATACGAGTACAACCACGCGCCTGCCTAATTCTCTTCACTCCCGCCCGCTGCCTGCGACCTCTTGCCGTCGTATCTCTTCACGCTATGCTCGCCTCCCCATCGTGCCGTCCGTCTCAGAAATGAGCCCGCCTTACCCTACTTCTCCCACCAACATGGCCATTCCCGATTCTACCTCCGCCGCTACACCGAACAGGCCGTATCCGCACATTGAGGACTTGAAGGAGAGGGCCAAGATCAGCTCTGTCGACAAGAACCAATCCCTCAATCACTTACTCGCTGAAGCTTCGACCGCCGTCAAGCAAGCCGAAAGTCTTGTCGAGTACCGCCGGCCCGATCTTGCCTATGTCGAATATCTGAGAGCTTTTGAGATTGCTGTCGCCATCATCCCCCAACATGAGCAATACCCTACCCTGAGCAGCCGCCGAGGCTCACAATTCAACCAGCATCAGTCCATCCTTCGCAAGATCAGCCAACTTGCAGATCGCTTCGACAAAATCAAGGAAATTATCATTAACGACAACAGGCGGAATCATACTCAGAGGGCTTCCGACTCATCTTCGCGCCGCTCTTCGATCCAGTCCTCTCCTCCTGCCGCCACCAATGGCAATGCCGCCCTCGCCGATCGCTTCGCCAAATTGCGCATGCAACCCGCTCCATCAGTAGACACATCTCTCGCGAGCAGGCGACTCGACTCTCGTTCCTCTCTCGCATCCAGCAATGGCTCCATTACCTCCCCTACCTCCTACAGCAACCGCTCCTCTATCGACTTCTCCAACTCTTCGCTCGCAAATGGCTCCTCAGTCAGACCTGTCGGCCCGAGGCAGATGCCTAATGGTGTCCCAGGTCACCCGTTTGCAAATCGCATGACTCTCGACACATCTGTCAAAGACGCCTTACCTATGGCTCCTGCTCCTGCCTATAGTCCAGCCCGCAACATGCACACTCCCAGTAACATTGTTCCTCCAAGGACTACTGCCCGTAGTATGGTCGGAACAGGTGGAAGGAACAATTCTGTCGCTTCATCTGCCTCTACTTACGCTCCAGGAAATGAAGGAGAGGAGTCGGCTGGCTACTTTCCTCGTATGTTACAGGATCGGCCACCATCAGGCCCACCTCGACGAAAGTCAATACACCGTCCGACAGAATTGCGCATCGGCTCTGAACGACTCTACGACTACTTGAAGATGCACAGCGTTTTATTGATTGATGTTCGAAATCGACAAGACTTTGACGACGGCCATATATATGCTCAGTCCATCATCTGTATTGAGCCAGCTGCACTCGAGCCCAACATGTCTGCCGAACAGCTCGAAGATGCGCTCATCCTGTCGCCAGACGCAGAACAAACAATGTTTTACAACCGTCACAAATATGATATTGTTGTCTACTACGATCACAACACCTCTTCAGAAAGCTTCATTCACCGCCCGACGACAGAAAGAGAAAGATATCTCAAGTACCTGTACGATGCTCTCTACGAATTCAACTCGGAGAAACCTCTACAGCGGCCGCCGATCTTGCTGATGGGTGGTATCGAAGGATGGGCCGAGTTGGTTGGTGATCAAGCGCTGAAAAGAACAAACACTGTTGCACAACAAAAGTCCGGCCGCCCGATCAGAAGAGTACCAGTGGCCAGCAAGGAGTCACGATTATACGTCCCCAAGAAACGACTACGAGACTATAACCCGCTTGATGCTGAAGAAGAGAGAAAATGGCACGAAAGGGCTCGCGTGGAGAGCGTGGTCGTTGAACGAAAACCATCTCTCGACGAAGGTGACGAGTCGTGGCAGGCTGAGAATGGCACACCATCATATCAGTCCATCGAGGAGTTTGTCCGGCGATTCCCAGAAGCTGGTTCTCTGGAGCAGCGATATGGTGTCCAAGAACATCCTGCATCTCTACTACCAGCACGACCACCACAAGTCCCATCATACCCAACACCTCCGCCAAAGTCAGCGATGCCTTCAATTCCATCACGGCCGGTCCCTGCTGCAGCGCGTGTGTCGTATAGCGGCGTCAGTGACCATCGTAGCGTATCTGCTCAGAGCACTGGCTCTACATCTACAGATCTCGCACCATATGTCCCTCCGAAGTACTTGCCCACTAATTTACGACTACCACGAACTGGTCTTGTCAACTTTGGCGTCACTTGTTACATGAATGCCACGATCCAAGCCCTATCTGCAACTACCCCGCTCACGCTCTTCTTCCTTGACGACAGATTTAAAACTCTGGTGCAACGAGACAACTGGAAAGGCAGCAAAGGCGTGTTGCCCGAGCTGTATGCGAACCTGGTTAGAAGTATCTGGAAAGGAGATGTTGAAGCTATTCGTCCAAGCACACTCCGATCATTCTGTGCTCGTCTTAATAGCGAGTGGGGTATTGATCGTCAGCAAGATGCAAAAGAGTTCTTCGATTTCTTAGTGGACTGTCTACATGAAGATCTGAACAAGAACTGGGCGAAAACACCACTCAAAGCCCTGACGGCGGACCAAGAAGCCACACGCGAGAAGATGCCCAAGCCGATAGTCTGTCGAACAGAATGGGGCAGATATACCCATCGCGAGCAATCTTATCTCACACAGCTCTTTGGTGGTCAGCATGCCTCTCGCCTACGATGCACGACTTGTCACTTCACGTCCACAACATACGAAGCATTCTACAGCATATCGGTTGAAATTCCACGTTCTGGTGCTTCCAGCATTCAAGACTGTCTGAGGTCGTATTGCGCAGAAGAAAGACTATCTGGTGATGAAGTTTGGAAATGTCCACGTTGCAACCGCGAGCGCGAGGCCACAAAACAAATCACCATCACTCGGGCTCCACAATTCCTTGTCGTTCATTTCAAACGCTTCAGCGCTGGTCGAGGCGAGTCGGCACGGAAAGTCCGTACACCCATTGACTTCCCGCTCAAGAACTTGGACATGTCGCCATATATGCTGCCATCGCCGAGTGAACAAGATGTTCAACTCATTACAAAGCAGTACGGTGCTGATGCGCTGAAGCCTGATTCTACTATGCAACCGCCATATCTTTACGATGCATACGCCGTCATGAGACACATCGGCACGACTCTCACATCTGGCCACTATACATGTCTTGCCAAAGATAGAGCGAGGAATTGCTGGAGACAATTCAACGATACTTGGGTGGGTGACTTTGACCCTGAGAGGTTAAGCGAGCGCGATCGTCTGCAGAACGAGATGGCATATATAGTGTTTTACGAGCGAAATTCGGGAAATTGAGCATAGCGAAGGGAGCTCTGGGGTTTTGTATAACGAGATTTCGTTGTGAAAAGTCTTGAATACCTTGAATTCCGACGATCTGTACTGAATGTTGAGTGTGGAAATGCAAAATGGTAGAGACACAGGCAATCACCACCGAGAGGAGCTGGCTTGGACGGAGACATACCTCTGATGTGAAGACTTCGTTATGCATTCGTACACACCGACATGTCACGCTGCCGAAAGTTCTCCGCCGTATACTAAGCCAGGGTCGTGCCTCCATCAGCAATTTTGACAAACTTTTTCACTGTTTCGCTCGACCACAGTGTCTTTTGTTGTTTTGCAGGTGTACCAACCACTTGAAAGTAAACTTATAGAGCTTTTCTATGTTGCACAGAAACTTTTAAAATGTACTGGCCGTTTTGAAGGTGTGAGAGTAGAATCGAGATTTTGCTCTCATGCAAGGCGGAAAGCCTGCGCAAGACCGCTTTGATCTTCTGAAAAAGTTCCTGAAAACATGACAGTGGAAAGCCAAGTCGGTCATTAGAGCCCGGCAATGCTCAAAAACACAAATAATAACTCACGAGACATGGCCCTGCTTCCCCTCCTCCTGGCATCCCCCTCATCACTCCAAGCCCTCGTCGTTCGACTCGTCGCGGAACCGTCACATTGTGAAGTTATATATGTTTACAGCTGCCCTCTACTTCATCAACCAATCAGCATTCGCTGTCAGGTCTCGTGGTCTAGCGGTATGATACTCGCTTAGGGAGGTGCTTCAGTACCTTGAAAACTCTAAGCCGATTGCGAGTGGTCCCGGGTTCGATTCCCGGCGAGACCCTTCTTTTGCTCTTGTGTTCTTGCTTGTTGGGACATTGTTTTTGGCTTAAGAGGGAGGGAGAGAGGTGGTGGAGGAGGGAGCGGTAGAGAGGGTGGGTTAGGTAGGCGCGAGGCCTGAGGTTCACGGTGAAGGGCGACGTGTTTTTGGAGAGAGACTTCAGTATGTGGGGATGAGTTTGCATGAATTAATCAGAGAATCAAAGATGGAATGATGGAAGTGTTATTTTGGGAATTGTAGTAGATGTGGTTAGGTAGGTGATGTAAGTGAAGCCTGAATATCAAGAGTTCTCAATCCGAGAAGGCAGTCATGAAACAAAATGCTTGTCTATATTGAACGGTTCCATCAAGACAGCGGTGTTCGTGTCTGGTCATTCTAGTTCTGTGGCAACAGACTCAACTATCTTTTCTTGACATGTTCTCTTTACTTCTTATTCCCCAATTATATGATCGCTTGCATCATGAGAACGTGACCGATCTTTGTCCACAAGATGTCTTTGCGCCAAGTAGCAAAGGTGGCGCTTTGTATGTCTGTATGTGGTAATGGCATGTTGAATACCCCAAGAGTTGGAGACATAGTTGACAGCAACCATGCCTTCACGACGTGAAAGTATCATGTGGGTGTTGTGACGAAGGGCAAGCAGGCCCAAGAACCACAGTCCGAAGGCAGAGCTTGTCCGAACTGTCCGGTTACGACATGACGCTGCCTGGCTGTGTGGACCGATGACTGTCGAGGCAGAAGTATTCTTCAAGATGATATCGCTGCTGTTTTGGCTCGCGTGCCGAGACCATCATCGTTGATTTCTAGCTTCGGATGGCAACTGTCAAGGCGACAGGAAGGAGCGATATGAAAGGTGGTAACGAGGGAGCGGCAAGACTAGAACTTGTGAGTTACATGCCAGTATGATCAGAGGATCGCCTGTTGAAACAACGTTGTAGACGACTTCCAGGATTCTTCCAGGGTAATCTGAAGTGAGAATGGTCGAGCTTCTTGATGGCAGAATGCCATGTGTACACATCAGCGATCGAACAAAGATGTCGGACGGTGTTGTTGATCAAGACGAACGATGCTGTATCGATCAGTCCATTCCTCGATGCAATGGAGTGACTGGCCTCAGTGTGACTGGCGGAGGAGACGAAAGAGCAGTCATGATGTGCGCTTAGGCAACGAACACTCACGAGGAATACTTGGCTCAATCAAGACTCGAGAGCATGTTCCTGCTTCTTGAGCCTTCAAACCGACTGTACCGCTCAAGATATTGTTATCCTCTTTGAGGCAGCCACCCACAATTCATGTCACCAAGTACAAAGTAAAGAATCAGGGGACAGAGGACGATAACATGCCATTGCTGCATCGCTGCTTTCAGCTGTGAACGACTTAGAGAATCTATTCATCATGTAACCTCTTGCGTTGTCGTCGTTCTTGCTGGCTGGTCGCTGCATACGGTTGTTGTCTGTTGGCAAGTTATTACCCTTTACGGTCCGACCATCCCATATGCGAAGACGGGAGTTGAGCGTCCCGAAGCATCTCCGAGTATACCATCAGTACAAGATACGCCAAACTTCATGCTGTGCGACGTATGCAGGCGTCTATATCTTCTCGTCATCAGTTGGATTCATCAAATGTGGAATTTGTCATTAGAAGACTCTGTCATGTATTGAGCATCCCGGGAAATAAGACGTCGACGGCGCTGTTCGTGCGTTTTTACCTGGTATCAGCCGTAATGTGCATGACGGCAGGTTGATTCGTTCTCGTGAACCTTTGTCGCGTATCAAAGCCATGTCGCAGCGACAGATTCGTCACCACTGCCATATACTTCCAGAATTGGTGCTGTTATTCAAACCTGCTGTGCTTGATGAATGAACAAGTTTGCTACGAGGAACCCAATTCTATCGAGCATATATGAGCACGAATGATTGTAGTCTTACCGCGGAAGTCAAGTGGCTTGGATACTGCCGCTCGTCAGAGATCAATCCACTCCGAAACGCTATCACGACCGAGAAGTCTCGCGCAGTGGGTCGCAGCTTGCCAACATCAATATTGAAGGAAAAGGAAAGCCGCATGGTTCCACGAAAGATAATGCTGCATGCTTCTTCTGCCTCCACCAGGCGATGTCCCGTCTCACAGCCCATGAGGCAGTCTAGATAGCAATCGTCATCACAGACATCATTCCCAAACTGGTTCGTTCTCGCAGGATCTCTGTCCTAGCCAATGACTGCATGTCCGACGACGCCGCTGTCCGCAGGAACCGCTGTTATCATCTTCAGTCTGATCACTGCCTTACAGGCTCTAGACCATCGCAACCTTCCACATCCTCCTGCAGCGGTGGAGGTCGTATCTCCTCTTGGCTAGCTGAATATGGCATGGATAGTGCGCTGCGCTGCCCTAACGAGCCAGGATGGTACCATGATGGGCGTGTACGTAACGCGACGAGTGTTTGAACTTGTGAGAGCTCCGCGAAACAGTTTCGTAGCGTAATGCTTTCCTGTAGGTTTCTCGTTGAAGTCGTAATCCAGTCATGCGATCAGCTCTGCTATGAAGTCTAGCCTCAATGAGTGCCTCTGAGATGGCTTTGCTAGATAACAGAGGACCGAGAGTATCCGAATCCAGAATGCAAGGCTATTCATGTAAGAGTGGTTTGTGGTTCAGGACGCTGTCTCTCGGTCCGTCGTGAAGATAGTATCACTGTCAGCCGGATCATGTCTGATGGCCGTGGCCTTTGACTGAATCTCGCACTTCGACACCCGCTTTTGCCAGAAACCACGGCTACTCATATCTCTAGACATATCGTAGGCTTCTTCGTACTTTCCGCATGCACAGGTGATGCCCTCGAGTCCCTACTCCATCGAATTGACAGCTGTACGAGGCATGAATGTGATATCAAACAGTCGACGTCCAAATACTCCAGACGCGCGAGTCGCGACGAGGTCGAATCTTGTGGGGGAAGCGCAGGATCGTGTCACACAAGGGTAGACCACGGATCGAGCGGTCGAGTGCGGATGAGTTCTCACGACAAGAAACGCGCAGTGATGGCTGTTGAATGATGATGTGCGGAGGAATCAAGACGAGATATCAACGAGGCTCAGCTTTCAACGTTACTTGAGGATTTGCGGTTCTTGCTCTTTCTCAAGATCCCAGCGATCTGCGCGACAATCATGGCAAAAGCATACATCAATTCTCGTGTCGTATATCAGAACTGGCCATGACGATATACATTGAGCGTCGCTTCGGATGAATCCACACTGTAGAAGTTGTTCGGGCGTGGCTTTGATGGTCTGCCGTTGGCGCGTTTGAAAGCTCAGAGCTGGGACACAACCACGAGACCGCCGATGTTTCGATGCAAGAATGAAATTGTATCGGGTTGCAAGTCGGTTATCTTTGCGATGGGTGTTTTTTTCTCACACTGTATACGATACATTCAAGGGGTACAACCCCACAGCCAGGAGATTTTCTTCACATGCATGGTGACATCTCGTAAAAATTTTCACACACACCTTCTCTCCTTCTCGACCGCTCCAGAAGTTTTTGTTTCCATGATCGACGACACACACTCATCTCATCAGATCGATCATTCGAATTCTCATCGCTAGCCAATTGAAACAACGAATCCGGAGATGCCGTGGAGAATGGTTCATTGACATTCGAACCAACGGCCATTCGCCCAGCCTCTCCCCGACCGTGCCCGGGCAACAGTTGGACGGCAGCCGCCGACGTCAAACTGTTGAGCCACGCCGCCGAGGCTAAGGCGCAACATCTTGGAGCCCCGCAGGCCGCAGCCATTGCTCACGTGGAGGTATTCGGAGTACCCGGGAGGTGACCCTGTGTGCCTGGATCTTGTTGCCTCTTGCAGCGTCGGCCTCATACATGATACACCTGAATTGACAAGGCGGTGCGGGGGATAAGGCTGTCAAAACCATCTCCGTCAAGACGTGAAGATGCGATGATGTGGGTGGAGGTGACCGTGCGATAGTTGCAGCAACTGTCCGCACTCATATTGTCGCAAATACTGTGAGAAACGGTACGCGCCCTTCCGAGGCTTAGCGGCCAGATCGTGTTCCTCAAGGGCGCGCTGGTTGAAGCGACTTCATTCTCACCAGCCGCGTGTGGTCCACTCTTTTGCGGCGAAGAGACGACTCATTTTCGGCATAGCAAAAAATGAAATACCGTAGGTGTTGAAGGGCTGGATCTGGCTGATATCTCCATGAGGTAAGGGTTTCCTTTTGTCTTATCACCGACCACTGATAACTGCCAATTCCTCGGCGTCACATAGCGAATCCTTCATGCAAACTGCCATCAAGCAATTTGGGTTTAGCAAGGTTCGGTAAAACATACACACCCCGGTGAGGCTACCGAGCTAGCGAACCAACTCTCCCAGAATTGGGTTTGAGTGGGTTTCTTCGCCCCATCAAGTAGCGTTTTTACGAGTCCGAATCCTTGCATCCCAAGTGGCCAAGATCGCGCCTGGATCAGTAGCGGCCCTGTCGACTATTTGTCTCTGGTTCGCCTCTTGACTTCTGGTCTTCTATATAACTATCGCGTGCCTGCCCGACTTTCTTTTGTGCTTTCAGCAGGTCCGTTTTTGTATACAACAAATTTCACTTTTTCTAGAATACCCTACCCATTCGCCCATCATGCCGTTCTGGGAGAAGAACGAGAAGACAGGCGATGTCGTCTCGCAAGCACCATCAGACCCTATCGCCCGTGAATCTCATGATGAGGGTATCATCCACGACAATGCTGATCACCTGCAACGCCGTCTCGGTAACAGACAAATCCAATTGATTGCTATCGGCGGCTCCATCGGTACAGCTCTGTTCGTTTCCATCGGCGGTGGCCTTGAGAAGGGTGGTCCTGGATCACTCTTTTTGGCCTATACTATTTACTCCTGCTTCCTTGGTTTAGTCAATAACTGTATCGCCGAGATGACGATCCTCTATCCGGTGGAAGGAGGATTCATTCGACTGGCGGGCAAGTTCGTTGATGAAGCCTTCGGGTAATGAAGCCTCCCTCACGGAACGCCAAGCAATTCGCTTACCCCTTCCCAGTTTCATGGCTGGCTGGAACTTCTTCCTTTATGAGTAAGATATCCTCGAGAACAAGCAGAAGGATGCAGTTTCTAACATTCGTACAGAGCTCTGCTTATTCCATTCGAAATTACCGCATTGACCACCGTTCTTGGTTTCTGGAGTGACAACATCCCGCCATGGTCAATTCCGATTGCTTGCATTGTGAGCAGATATCAGGTCTTCGAATGGTGGTTGAAAGCTGACAGACTCCCAGGTCCTCTATGGGTAAGACTTTCCTACGCGACAATTACCTCCCTTGCGACTTCTTCCTATCCTTCTTCCCGTGCGACTTTTCTGCCGAGCGCCTCTTCTTTCCCGGAGAATGCCCTTGCACCTATTCTCAAGCCTTGCACCCTATTTCCTTGCGCCCAAGAAAGACCGGTTTACCACCGCCCTTGCGACTTTTCATATCGTGACCTTTCATTGTCTCCCTTGCGACTTGCGCCCAAAGCAACCTCCAGCGCTTGAGCCTTACCAGGCTCTCCATAAGTCTCTAGCTGACATGTTTCTCTAGTCTTCTCAACTGCCTCGCAGTCAAAGCCTATGGTGAAGCCGAGTTCTGGCTCTCAGGCGGAAAAGTTATCCTTATTTTCATCCTGTTCTCGTTCACATTCGTCACCATGGTCGGCGGTAACCCTCAACACGACGCCTATGGATTCCGCAATTGGGAGCATGGCAATGCTTTCCAAGAATTCAGAACCAAAGCCGCTCTTGGTAGATTTGAAGGATTCCTTGCCGCTCTTTGGTCCGCCTCTTTCTGTGTCGTTGGCCCAGAGTACATCTCTATGGTCTCCGCTGAGGCCAAGCGTCCCCGCACTTACATCAAGACCGCATTCAAGACCGTCTACTGGCGTTTCGGAATCTTCTTCATCGGTGGTGCCCTCGCCGCCGGCATTGTTTGCGCCTCCAAGAACCCCATGCTTGTCGACATTGTTAGTGGAGTCAAGGCTGGTGCTGGTACCGCTGCTGCCTCTCCCTATGTCATCGCCATGAAGCAGATGGGAATTACTGGACTCCCCGACTTGGTCAACGCACTGCTTGTCACCTCCATCTTCTCGGCTGGTAACACCTACACCTACTGCGCTACCCGCTCTCTCCACGGTATGGCCGTTGAAGGTCGTGCTCCTCCCTTCTTCCGCAAGACTACCAAGAACGGTGTTCCGATCTACTGTTTCGCCTTCGTCATGATGTTCCCCTGCTTGTCCTTCCTCCAGGTTTCTAACGGCTCAAACAAGGTCCTTACTTGGTTGGTTAACTTGATTACCGCTGGTGGTATCATCAACTATATCGTCATGACTGTCACCTACATCTTCTTCTGGCGCGCATTGAAGGCCCAGGGCATCGACAGAAAGACCCTCCCCTACTGTGGTTGGTTCCAACCTTACTCTGCTTACATCGGACTTGCCTGGATGATCATGATTGTTACCTGCTACGGCTACACTTCATTCGCACCCTGGTCCGTCGACAACTTCTTCATCTACGTAAGTGACCTCATATATTGCAAAAACCTATGGGTTCTTCAGCTGACGCGTGAATTGCAGTACACTATGGTTTTGCTCGCACCTGTCACCTTCACCTTCTGGAAGGTGTTCAGAAGAACCAAGCTCCAGCGACCCATGACCACCGACCTTGTCTGGGAGCGTCCTGCCATCGATGCTTACGAAGCTACCTTCTTGGATCCCCCTAACTCATTCTGGCGCGAGATGCTTCCATTCCTCAAGGGCAACGGCAGCGACCGTCAGGCCACCGATCGCCAATCCAGCGAAGACTGTGGCAACTACTCCGGCATGGAGTAAAGATGATTTTGCATTCTTCAAAATATCGTCAATATCTTGACATTGTATCAGACATAAATGTATATCATGACCGAATATAGGAGGCAAAAGTCTTTTTCTTGCAAAAATCTGCTGTATTAATTTATGCCTTCATCTCACTATTCAGCGCTGCGATTAAAAGCCGCTGCAAGAGTGCGTGAATCTGCTTTGGTAGAAGATGCGGCCGGTGAGCGCCGCCAAACGATCGCTTTTACTCGCTCCCGACATCTGGAAATATTGTGTCTTGAGACATTCGCTCTTTCCCTTTGTGCCGTTGATGAAGAGCTGAAAGACGGCACCGCAACACAGCCAAACATGTCAGGTTCACACAACAACGTGCTTTTTCAATCCGCTACTCAGCTGCGCCGACTCAGCTATTCCATTTGACACGAATGGACGTCTCACTAGTCTCAATATGCAAAGACACGAACGGACATCTCACTACTCAACATGCAAACAGAATTGGTCCTCGCACCAGTATTGTCTTTTGACGATATTTCTCCTACCGAGACCAAAACACTGTCGGCATGGATGACCTCAAAGCTTTCGAGAACATGATGGCTGACACGGCAATACAATGCTACAACTTCGCAAGTGAGCAGAATGTATGCTTCGACACGATTTTGACATCTTGCAGGGCTACCTTTTCAGCTGCATAACCTAGGCCTCGAGGTCGGCGCAGCAATCACAGCGCATGTCCTCCGCCGCTCGATACAAGCATTCAAATCTATGAAAATGCGACCTCAAAGGTGAGAGCACATCTTCCATCAGCACTCTCGTTCAGGCTTTTTTCATGAGGATATCGAATGATTATCAACATTTCTTGTTCATCCTTGCCTCTTAAAAAGTGCCGAGTAACTTTCGGCAACGAGGATTGGTGCCATCCTTCGGGCACAAGGATTTGCGCGTCCTTGTAAACAAAGTTCCAGGAACGGAAAGGCTTTACTCTGGAATCTTCAATGTCAACCAATGTGCGCATCACATTTTCCAACGTCTTCAGGGCAGTGATGATTGATCTGCTTCGAAACGTGAGCAGAGAAGCAACGATGATGTAACGTTATCCATGCTTTGTCTCTATTGGGAAAACGCAGCTTCTCGTGCTTAGAACCCTTACGGGGCTTGCACAGAATTGAAGATGCGATCATGGTCTTTGTTGTAGGTCATGAAGAAGAAATTGTCGTAGGTGATCGACAGGAACGAACCAATGTAGGTCGCAAAAGTCAGTACATCTTTTTATCTCTTACATCCTTCCTGAAAATCCTAGATCAACCCTGCTCTTCTACCAGATCTACGTAACCAACGAGATTCATATCCGATATCGCCGCACAGAGTTGCGGTACAATGACCAGCAGTCCATCGCTGTCGCAATTATTCAACAACGAAGAACCCAAGGACGATAGCAACTCGAGCTGCCACAATGAGCCGAAACTTCCAGAGGCTGTTCATGCCGACTTCTCCAAGTACGGCCTTGCTGTAACCCCGGAAGGACTAGTCCATTGGAAAGAGGGAGGGACTCTGCATCCCAGAAACTGGCATATCAATCGGAAGCTTTATGATTCGTTCTTGGTGATTCTTTTCGAGTTTGTAGCGTGAGTGGATACTGCTTCCATGGGGTTTGAGCCACACTGAATCAATACCAGGACAGTATTCAGCAACACTGGTGTAAGATGTCGGATGTTCATCTTCTTCTGCAAAAGACTAACTGTAACTTGTCATAGACCTCCTCCGCGAGTTACGCTGCGACAGAATTTAAGATCTCAGAGACATTAGCAATCTTTTGCTTTACAACCTTGTAAGTGTCAGGCCGGTCTTCTAAGATTCAAAAACTCATGGAAGACTGCAGGTATCTGCTCGGCCAGGCTATTGGCAGTCTTGTTCTCCCTCCCTTCACCGAAACCTTTGGATGTCGACCTCCGTACATTACTGGTTGCGCCCTGTACTCTATCTCGAACATTGTGGTCGCGGCTCCCAATCATATTGTTGGGGTCGTCGTAGGGCGATTCGTCTCAGGGTTTGTCAGCGCTCTCCCCAGTACAGTGGCTTGTGGGTCTCTTGAAGATATGTGGGATGCGAGAGCAAGAATATGGGCGTTGAGTATATACATTGTGTTTGCTGTTATGAGTCTAGGAGTAGGACCACCCGTTGGAACTTACCTCGCGACGTCCCCAGCCGGCTGGTCAGTCCGAACCTTATCCTAACCCGAGTTTCTCGCTGACACATCTTAGGCAGTGGACCTACTGGGTTGCAGCTATAATTTCCGCTTTCATCACTACATTGGCTTTGTTCTTGAGGGAAAGCAGGGCTAGCCAGATACTCAAAACTAATATGGAAAAGGTAGCTAAAAAGCACCAAGACATGTGAGATCAAACCAGTTGCCTGGTACCGAATATGAAGCTGATAACTAGAGCAGATCGATGCCAAACTTCCGTCCTCTTGTCGAAGAGAACCCGCCCTCGTTGAAATCTTTCATATCCGAGTGCCTTACACGTCCTGCTCGACTTTTCTTCACAGAACCCATCATAACGTCCATCTCTCTTGTATGTTCAATTGTATATGCAACGATATACCTCTTCGCAGAAGCTATCGATGTTGTTTACACCGATAGTTTTGGCTATAACCCGAGACAGAGCAGCTTGATTAACTTGGCCTTCACTATCGGGCCCATCTTCTCTTTATTACCTCGACTTTACGACATGCACATCTCCAACAGGCAGAAAGAGAACCGCACGCCTGCTACACCCGAAAATAAATTATTCGGGTTCTATCTTGCAGCTCCCTTGCTTGCAGTAGCAAGTTGGTACTTTGCTTGGACTATTCCGCCCGCAGTGACGATGGTATCACCGTTCGTCTCAATGCCTGCTCTCGTCGTCGTTGGCTTTGCCGCCAGTGAGTTTGATTATGTATTGTCAGGCTATCTGACAGACACGTATGGCTCATGGGCGGCATCAGCGAACGCGCCATTGGCAATCATGAGGGCTCTGTTGAGTGGTGCTTTGCCTCTGTTCGGCACTGCCATGTTCAAGAATGTCGGAAACAATGGAGCGGCCTCCATATTAGCTGGAATTGCTACAGCTTACTGTCTTGTGGCCTTCTGCTTCTGGAAGTTTGGAAAGCGGATCAGAGAGCACAGCAAGTTTGCAATTCATGACGATGATGATGAGGAGGAGGTGACGGGTGCTGGTCCTGTCACTACTTTTGCCGAGACAGTGTAGGCATCACGTGTAGCAGACAAAATACGAGAATCAGATGAACAAGACAGAGCCAAACAACTCGGAGCATAAAGAACAATGTTTTCTCAAGTGTAATAGGTAACAAGATGTCGTCCACAAAAGGCCAAAGCACGCCGGGATGCTCTGATCGACTACTTGTCCCAAATCCGCGTCGGTGTTTAGAGTGTTGCAGACGAAGTTCGTCATCTGTGCCAGTAAGCAAGAGCCAATGTCGCAGCTTGTCCATTGCATTGACCAATCGTCAGGAACTGAACCTCACATGCTCACTGAAGCATTTGAGAAGGACGCCGCCGCTCGCAAAATTGAGATGAATAAGGTCTTGGATAAAGGCCTGGGAAAGGAGCGTGTTGGATTCGAGACAGCAGATCCCGAGCTCGAGAAGAAATATGCTACTCCCAAATCATCGACCAAGGGTCTGGGTTTCCTGCCACTCCAGACTACCTCCTCGACGACCTCGTCGGACTCGCAGTATTCCTGAGAGCAGGCAATGGCAGGAACCCAATGTCAGCAATGGGCTCAAACCCTGGACCTGCAGTCATGAGTTACGGCAGAGCCCTCGCCATGTTCGGTCCCCCTAAAACTCACACCGAATCGACCCCCAAGGCTGAACGCGAGTTCCGTGAGCGAGACACTCTCAACCCTCCGACTGCTCCGATTCTCTCCGAGCAAGAATAGTGGGCCCTGTTCACTGAGGACAAATGTCTTCCTTACACCGAGTTGCTCGTCCGCGAGTACACCAGACGCGTCAAGGCTAAGAAGAGCGCCGGCAAGCATGGCACCGATGGCTCTTCTTCGAGCACTGGAGTTTGGCCAGATGTCGAGGGCCACGACTGGGCTGGCCTGACCAACTGGATCCACAGATGTATAGAGACAGACAAGAAGTTCTTTGAGATCACACTTCTTTCTTGCAAGAAGCAAAGGGAAGATCAGCGCACCACAATTATCGAGAGACTGTCAAAGTGGAACCTCTCCGATGATGTTGCGGCAGGTTTTGGTGACGGCTCTTCGAGATATGGAAACCCAAGCAAGTACTGGCCTCACTCGAAATCTCTCGACGGAATGAAAGCGGAGGAAGCACGCAAGCATCACTGAGCGTAGTGTTCTGCACTTCAGTCCGTTGTGTTTACTTTTGGGGGTAGCGTTTAGCACTTCAGGTTTTTGCTCATTTCGCATCACTGGGGATAGCGTCTCGCACTTCAATCTCGTTTTTCTTTTTCTGTACCACTAGGGCTAGCTTCGGCACTTCAGTCCCTTTCTTGTAGTCAGAGCATAAATCGCCAAATGAACAACATTGGTGACACGCGACCTTGTCGAGAGGCGTAGTGATGTCTCTTTATCTGTGTTAGGCGCGCAGCTGGAGCAGCTGTTTCCCGAAGGCTTTCGTTCTGAGGCACCCGAACGTGAACCAGCACATATGGTCGAAGGAAGAAATTGCTTGTGAACCTTAGCAACCATCCCAGAGTAGCTTGATCCCTGTTGTTCACTCGACTGTATGGATGTGCAGACGTTGTGGAAATGCACGATGATTTCCAAGACAAAGGCACTGTTAACAGAGAACAGCAACTAGTGCATGAACTTTGATCCATTACTTTGATCAATTGAATACGTAACTCTATCGTTAAACAGCTATGTAAAAGGCGTTTCCTATATATCTATATTTAATCATAAGAACAATCAGTCTGACTGATACATAGATTCGAGATGACAAGAAACACTAAGTGGCGATCTTTCTGTAAAGTGAGAGTCTAGAAGGTCCGCCACAAAGCTGTCCTGGCATACCACTGCATGCCATGTTGCAATCACTTGCGGTGGCGTTGGCTGTCCCTGCTGCCAACGAGTTTCCCATCCAACACTCGCGTCCGTATTCAGTGCCGAACCAGGTGTATCCACCCGCCGTGGCAAGTTTCTGGCATGCATCGACAGACATCGAGTCGCTCGATGCAGACACACTCAGCGCGCGAGGACTATCCTTGTAACAAAAGTAGAATGAATAGCTACCAGTGACGTTGACATTCATCGGATCGGTCGAAGATTTGGTGCTGTTGTTGCTGTAGTACATGTTCAGTCTGTTGCCTGCGCCACAGTAGAAAGTCTTGTCGCCGGGGCAGAGCATGTTGCAAGTGCTGTTGTCAGACTGCAGCACACTTCCAGTTCGGGGGTAGGGTCCGCACCAACATTCTGATCCGTATTCGACACCGAACCAGGCATAACTGGAGCAGAACGAGGCACACATTGCAGGAGTCATGCCAGTGGTGTTGGTCATGGACTTGGCTGCAAGTGCGCGACCACTTGAAGCTTCGCTGTAACATCCTTGAGCAGCATAACCTGACACGGTGGGAATGATCGTAGGTGAAGTCGACGTCGAAGATGATGATGTTGTCGTTGTTGTTGAACTTGAAGATGATGCGCTGCTGGTGGTTGTTGAACTAGGAGCAGTCGAAGACGATGATGACGAAGCTGAAGATGAAGTGCTCAATGAAAGAACCGAAGATGATGAAGCGAGCGATGACGAAGCCACCGATGAGCTTGCAGACGAATCACTAGACGTGCTTGAAGCTGAGCTTGATGAGTCGCTTGCAGTCGTACTGGAAGCCGTGGTCGGTGGTACACTTGAGCTACTTGCACTGGAGCTTGGAGAGTTGGCAGTGCTCGTTCCAGCATCGGACGATGATGCTGCGGCGCTGCTCGAGGAACTGATCATTGTAGAGCTCGAGGTCATGGCGGTACTTGAAGAGATTGTGCTGGACGACTGACTCGACGATTGGATCGATGAAGAAGAAACAGCGCTGCTGGATGACAGGATGGTTGCGTTGTACTTGTACAAGCTCAAACCATTAGGCCCACCACAATATTCGAGCTTATCAGCCGAACATAGCATATTGCAGCGTCCATCGGTCGCAGGATTAGAAAGCGAGCTGACCACGTTTGAGCAGTAGCATTCAGAAGAGTACTCTGTTGCAAAGTAGGTGTAACCAGCACAGAATGATGCACAAAATTCGAGACTGTTGGAACTGTTCGAGAATGACTTGCCTTGCAAAGCACGGCCGCCGATTTCCTTCCAACACCCTTGATAACTGTAGCTGCCCACGGTTGGTTTCGCAACAGGTCCAGTTGGTGTTATAGAGACCGCTGAACTGCTGATCGAACTCGTGGAGATGCCAGTCGAGGTCAGAGAGGAAAGAGTCGAAGAGGTAGAAGATGACACTGACGGCATCGATGACGACGAAGAGCTTGTGAGCGAAGTTGCAGTCGAGCTGGAAGAGATGGGCGATCTGTTCTGTACGGTGGCAAATGTTGTTCCAGCCATCGTGATTCTGCTGCTTAGAACGATGGCGCTGTAGTACGAGCAGACAATACCATCGAAAGCTGTGCCAACACAAATTGCGTTGTTAGCGCACGTTGTCATGCATGAATTGAGGTCAGAAATTGCTCTTTTGCTTGCCAGATTGCTGATGATGGTCCCGGAGTACGAGATATCCTGCTCGACTGTGAACGAAACTCCAGCGACAACTACGGGCGATGCAGATGCTGACGCCGAAGACGATGCAGTACTCGAGGTGCTAGTGCTGCTAGATGAAGTCGCAGTGGAGCTACTTGGAGCGATAGAGCTTGAAGCACTAGACGTGCTTGTCGGGCTTGAAATGCTTGACGAGGTCGAGGAGCTGATGGATTTCTGATACATGTTTAGGCCATTCGGTCCACCGCATATCTGAGAAGAGTTTGCAGCGCAAGGCATCTTGCAGCGACCATCAGTGATAGGGCTAGATCCTGCTTGAATGGTGTTTCCGCAGTAACATTCGCTGCCATACTCGACGCCAAAGTAAGTGTATGCGGAGCAATAAGAAGCACAGGCGTCTATACTGATAGAGGCGCCTGCTTTGCTTAGACCGGCAAGGGCTCGTCCGTTGGTGGCCTCCGTATAGCATCCCATGTGTGAATAATCAGCAACAGATTGGACGACAGTGGGTCCAGTTGACATGCTTGGACTGCTGCTCGTCGTGGTAGTTGCCGACGATGTGACATTGACGTAGTAAACATTCAGAAAATCGGGGCCACCGCACTTCTGAGATGTGTTCGCAGCACACACCATATTGCAGCCGCTCTCATCGCTTTGACGGATAGAGTTAGAGTAAATGGTAGAGCCGCAATAGCACTCTGCTCCATACTCGACTCCAAAGTAAGCATATCCAGAACAGAAGGTCGCGCAAGATTCCAGGCTATTGGAAGATCCAGTGCGACTATTGCCATTAAGTGCGCGACGATCGTGTGTTTCATTGTAGCATCCCATGTAGGTGTAGTTGCTCAAGGCAGATATCGGCGTTGTGGTAGCTTGAGAGACAGATGAGGAACTCGTAACGATCGATGGCGCTAAAGACGTGGTCGCAGAGCTCGAAGACCCAGCTGAAAGGCTTGTGGAGCTAGACGATAGGCTTGACGAGCTTGACGAGATAGCATTCTTGCCATATAGCATCATCAACGAGCCGGCACCACAGTATTCTGCATTGCTTCCTTTACATGCCATATTGCATTTGCTATCGAGAGTGACTGTCGAAGAGGCGGCGATTGTATTACCGCAATAACACTCTTGAGCATACTCAACACCGAACAAAGAATAACCTTTGCTAATGCAGAAAGCTCCGCATTTTTCGATAGTCATGTCATTGGTGTTCAAGCTTGCGGCATTGATCGTTCTACCGCCAGATTCTGCGTAGCAACCGATATAATTGTAACCGTTGTAGGAAGGAACAATAGCCTGTTGCAGAGTTGTGGTATTGCCATCGAAGCGGGTGGAGTCAGCAAAGAGTGACATGTGTGATCCTGGATTAGTATAGCCATTACCACCACAAGTCTGATTCTCGTTACCGCCGCAGTTGAAGTTGCAATCAGAGTTTAGATCCATCTGAAGAGGGCGCGCCTGTCCACACCAACACTCTCTCTGATACTGGGTGGCGGCGAACAGGTAACCCAAGGATGAGCACTTAGCGATGCAAACGTTGTTCGTCATGTTCACGCTAGTCAGCGGATTGACCGATAATTGACGTCCGGGGTTGTTCTCCTTGAAGCAGCCAACATACGCGTACTGTGCTGTGCCATTCGAGAGAAGAGGACCCACTTGCTCAGCGACGGCATTACAGTTGAACTGAATGATTTGCTTGCCCATGTTTGGATCACCAGTATTAATGGTCCAAGTGGCGTTGCCATAGAAGCTTGGAACGTTTACTTGTGATCTTGGAACAGAGCAGTAGAGCGTGGCCGTCTGACTTTGATTGGCCTGGAGAAGCGTTCCCTCAGCCAGATCGATAGTGTTGACAGCTCCGATGATCCCTGAAACACCGTACGGGGGCTTCGAGACGGTCAAAGAGAGTGGTACTGCCGACCCTGTGCCGTTGTTTGTGACTCGCATTTTGAGACTGCGAGTCTGGCCTTCCAGAACATCCCCGAAAGTGAAAGGTACACCAGGCTGATACGCGACCCAGCCAGATCCATCGACAGTTTGGAACTCGATCAGAGCAGATGGGTTACTTCCAGCTCGTCCGACTACATCAAGTAGACTAGATCCACCATCACTGTTCACTTTGACATAGACGGCGTGATTTCCAGTGACGTCAGGATTGTAGTTGATATCGACAGTGGCAACACTGTTTGGATTGATTGTGGTTGGCAGATTGGAGAAGGTGAAGTAACCGACCTGAACGTCGCCGTTGTCACTGATGTTGGGCTGAATCCAAGGACCGGTCTCGCTAACAAGAGACCATGTAATATTGCTGACGGTCAACAAGGAGTCTCCGCGGTTGCTAAACAGCGAGGATTGACTGGTACCGCCAACTTGCCCGCCAGCGATGACGTTGAAAGAGACAGTATTCGGGGCGATAGCTAATAGCGGCTTTTTGGAGTTTGCCATACCCTTCAAAGTGATGGGCACAGAGCTGGAGTACTTGGCGACACTATTTGTCGTGTTGACCAGGATGTCGCTGGACAGCAGACCAACTGAATTGGGAGCGAATGTGGCGTTCAGAGAGAATGTCTGACCAGCGGCAAGAGTAAGAGGTGTGATCACGTTGTCGGTTTTGAAGTTCGCGTTGCCAGTCAATGCCACACTGTTCACAGTAAGACCAATGCTCGCTCGACAGGTAATGGTGATGGGAGCAGAGACGCTACCAATAGCTGTGTTTGGGAACGTGTAGGGTGAGGAACAGTTGAGAGGAAGGTTGACGGGCGAGCCAAAAGCATAGAGATAGCCTTGGGTGGTTCCAACGTAAGCGATGCCATTTCCGAAAACCGGACGTGAGAACTTGGTGACACCGGGTATGTTGAAAGATTTGATAAGCTGCAAATTGCCGCCGTCTGACGGAGGAATAGCATTGTAGATCCTCAGATTGAGACCTTCAACGTCAGTGGTCCAGAGGAGACCAGTACCTTCTTGGCCATTAAGTGAGGTGGTGGTGCCATGACCTACGCCGAGGATGTAGGCATTCTTCTCTGGGGTGTTGGACACAAGAGTGAACTGAGGGTCACCACTGGCCGAGCAGCTGAACTTGAAAACGTGAGTCTGGTACTGAATGACATTGATATAGATGTATCCACCACCGAGTGGCATGACTCCTGCGCCAGCGTATACCGAGTTTTCGTTTTGAGTCACTTGGATCGCAGCATCTAACTTGTTCGGTCCCATCTGGTAACCTCCAAGATTGTCAAGGTTGAGCCAGTAGGTTTTACCAGACTTGCCGGTGACAACACCCATGCGCGCAACGTTTGGGCATTTGAAGACGTCAGTAGGTAAGAGTTCAAGCGGACTCGTACCAAGATCCTTGTCTGCACCATCAAGCTGAGTCTTCTCCCATGGCATGAAGAAGTCCACAGGCGTAAGCTTGCCATCCGGACCGATGGCAAAGTTAACAGCGGCTTCTTCCAGACTGGTAGGAGGCTGACGGCCAGGAAGAGAGTTTCCAGTGGCGCTGAGTTGAGATGCATATCCATTGCCACTGGCAAGGAAGATGCTGCCTTTGCCGTCATAAGCGAGACCACCGCCAGACATCCATACGCCTCCACCAGGGATCGTGTTAGGCTCAGGACCACCTTCCATGGCGAAAGCTTCTACAACAGCGCCTGTGGTGCGATGGAAACCAATCACGGCGCCAGTGAAGTTCCACTTAACACAATGCGAAGCCCATCCCGTGTAGATGAAATCGCCGACTTGAAGCATACCAGGGCGAGCGTGCTGGTTGCCTCCAATGAACATCCGATTGGGATTGTTGCGGAATTGCAAACCATCGATCATCTTTGGGAAGCCGGTCACCTCAGACAAGTCGGCGGTATTGATGGCGTGGAAGTAGTAGCGGCCGTTGAGACGACCCGGCGGGCTGGCTTTAGAGAAGCCGCCATTTTGATACGCATCAGAGTATGTCTTTGCTGTAAGGTACCAGATTCCAGTGTCGGGATCGATAACACCAGTAGCTGTAACACCAACCGTAGGATTGATGTCAACACAGCCGTCCAGATCAGCGGTCAGGAAGGGTACATGCATGTTCCTGGATGCCACAATATCTCCGGTTTTTGCGTTGATCTTGTATAGATTGTTTTGCGTAGTTGCAATGTAAACGTATTGGATGCCATCACTGAGGGTATAGACGAGAGGCTGAGAGAAGATCTGCTCAGGGCCGATTCCTTGAAAGTTGCCTGGTAGCGCGGCTCTCCAGAGTTGACCGAAGGCATCGCTTCCGACAACGGAAGGGTCCATGTTATGATTGCTGGGTTCATCTTGTCAGCACACTTGTGTTTCTATTTGAGTCTTGCTCAGTGTACTGACGTTTGGTAACCCGAGCGACTGTTGTCACCACCCCATGTGATGGTATCCGTGCTTGCGAGTGATTCAACATTTTTGATGAACAAAAATGTGGATAGGAACGCGACAATCGCCTTGTAAGACAGCATTTTGTTGAGACACCCAGAGCTAAGCAGCACTTGTGATGTTCAGGGCAGGCTCATCATATCTTTATAGTCCATATTCGCACTAAATCGCTGAGAGTCTTTCAGCTCGTTCGGCGTGCAAGATAGTCTCGAGCGCCCGCTTTAGATCACGAGCTGGAATTGTTCGAGCTGATTATATTGAGAGCTGCAGGAACGCCACGCCGAAGACCAAAGTCTATGCCGACTCGAATAAGGCAAGGCTTGTGTGCAAGTCTAGAGGCTTTCCCGCGTGCGTTGCCGTGTCTCGGCTCAAGTAGGGCTACCGTAACCCGTTGTTCGATCAGATTTTTATCACTGTCATGGTCTAACGTCCCGGGAATCCATCGTGAGAAAGGTCTCGAGATCTTCGAGAATGTGCAAAACTCAACTGGGTGCAAGAAGAAACCTGTTTGAACCTGACGTCTCAAGTCTCAAGGTACCGGGCGTTCATTGTGAGCAGTATCAGTTTGGTACCTTCAGGATTCCGCTAGTGTCATGTCAGGAACAGTGGCTCAACGGAATGACCGACATCCAAAGATCAGAATAGGTGGTACCTGCAGCCGCCGGCAAGGGGCAAATGATCCCTTGAATCCATGGGCGGGAGGTCATATACAGCCTTTGCTACACAAATTTGCCACTTCCTCCTCCCTTCGAGCCTGCAGATCCGCTTAATGGGATTTTCTCAGGATCATGTCGACTTATGTTCATTCCGTATCTTGTATGTATGTAGCTCCAGAATCAGTTGTATCGGAGGCATCTTGCAAACTCGATCTCGCGTCAGCATGCCCAATCTAGGAGAGTGCGACTATATTCCATGGACTCCGCTCAGCTGCCGAGTCTTGCCAAGTCATTGCAAGGTCTGTTTTCAGTGTGGTCACTGCCATCTACTGGTATATGCCATGGCGCTAGTTCCTCCTATAGCTTGGCGACCTCGTGAATCCCCGCTTTCGGCTCTCGACCAAAACGTGGAGAAACTTAATCTGTATCTGATTTGAGCTTTGACCGTCAGTGGACGGACCTCTTTGCGCACAATCTTGGTCTAGCACTTATCTCGACCTCACTCAGAGAGCACGACCTCTTGAACACTTTCAGTTTAGCAAGCAGAGCGCCACCAGCACATCTTTTCGTGTTTCGTGCCACTGAACGCCATTTCCAAGGCTCGCCACAATGAGCGATAAGCCCCCGTCGACGCCCCTATCTTTGGTCAGCCCGTCTCTCTTGCTCTATGCGCAGGTTGGACTTGCATTCATCCTTGCTCGGCTGGTCTTGTACACCTACAGCGCTTGGGAGCCACAAGATCGCGAAGCTCCACATTGGTTCTTGATCAAGTTTACGTTGATAGTAGCGTTTCTGACGTGCCTCGCCTTTCAAGCTCTGTCATGAGCACTGCGGTTCGCGACAGTAGTGAACGCTTTCTTGGCGAGAGGGAAAATTCACGAGCAGACTTGAGCGCATGTAGTCGTCAGCAGCATGGCGTCTTGGAACAAACTTCTGACAGCCTGTAAACATCACCTGCCGTCCCTCGATCGTATTTCGCTGGCAGAACGAATTCAAGTGAATTGGAGAAGTCGCTCAGGTCGTTTGTGTCTATCGTTGCTACAATTCTACGTATGGAAAAGGTGTATCTGGCCGAGTCACCAGGCGAAAGGCCGTCCGTTCCGGGTTTTGCATCAAGGAGTTTCGCTCAGCAATCACATGTTCGTACAGATCAAATTTTCTAGCTGGCCAATCACTATCAGCGACAATCTTGTCAGGATGGGAGCCATCCATCTGCTAAAACTGTAGCTTATCGGGTTGATTGACACTCACATGGTTCTGTGGCCTGATAGCAGACAATTTTGTGCAAAAATATCTTACACTAGCCAATCCAAGACAAGCACATATCATCTGTTTATCTGCAGCGCTGGAACTTGGAAAGATTCCAAAGCCGTGCTTACGGCACGCAGTCTGATTACGAGCACCTCCGCATTGTTGCTGCCTAGATCCCACCATGGTATATATATCCTCGGTATGCGGAAGACTTTGATTCAGGGTGTGTTTTACAATAAAAAATTTGCCATCTGGATTCAACAGGTGCAACTTTTCTGTTCCTACATCGACATGGAAATCCAGCCAATTCACGTCTGGGCTCACTGGGGAGGACCAAACCCATGGTAAGAAACCGCTCTCTTCTTCCTTGCCATTGACCGCTAGACATCTGACAAAATTGCTAGGAAGGTTCGCATGATACTAGAAGAACTTAATATTCCCCATCAAATCAATCTGCTCGAATTCAACGAAGCAATAGAGCCACAATATCTGGAGCTCAATCCTAATTGATCGCTACGTGAATGAGATCGACTGTGTGATTGGCGTCCTCGATGATGCTTCGCGTCGCAATAAGACTGGATGGTTGGTTGGAGACCGATGTACCTACGCTGACATTTCGTTTGTCACCTGAGCTGCCACAGGCGAAGGTCTTTTGCGAGAATTACAAAAGGATGCAGGGCTGGTGGAAAAGTATTCTCACTACAGTGCCTGGCTTGCAACCTTGAAAGCGTTGCGAAAGCACTGCAGGATATTGCGGCACAGCGAAAAGCACATGGTCTTCCTTAGTTGCGAAAGTCATATGTATTGATTTCCAGGGCGTCTCTGTTTGGACCGATCCTAGAAATGCAATCTTGTTCTCTAAGTGCTCTCGAATATATATCGAAGCATGTGAACATGCCGACCCAATTTTCGGACGGCTTTTGATTCTCGGCCCGACATGCATCCTGCTTTTGGACACCGCAGATACCACATATCATATAAGCAATGGGCTTGTTTACGTACTGCAGCATAAGAAAATGATCTACTGTACCTGCGAAGATGTCTTCAACCTCGATTACTGTGTTCCGCGGCTTTGAAGCCAGCGGGTACTATACCTGGTCACCTTTCGTTACCAAGCTTGAAGCTCGTCTGCGGTTCGCCAAAGTGCCCTACACTGTTGACAGCGGCTCTCCTATGAAAGCACCACGTGGGAAGATACCCTATGTGCAACTCGTGGCCCCTGATCAACCTGTACAATTAATTGGCGATTCTGAACTGATCATTAAGCAGCTTGTTGACGAAGGTGTGCTGGAGGATTGCAACGCCAAAATGAGTCGTTTAGATCAGGTGCATGACTATTCTGTTCGAGCATTACTGGAAGATAAGCTGTATTTCTACCAGGTACGTGCTTACCGGCACCAGTGAGGTATGGTTGACATGAACTAACGGGCACAGGTATACGAGAAATGGATCGAGAACTACTACGCTATGCGTCCTGTTGTACTTGCGGCCTTGCCTTATCCTGTTCAGCTTGTTGTGGGGCTTTTGATATATCGTAGCAACAAGCAGACTCTTCAAGGCCAAGGCACTCTCCGCTTCACGTCACGAGAGATTGCAGATTTCCGCCAGCAGATCTGGCAACACATCAGTACTCTCCTGACAGCGGCAAGGACGAACGCGAAAGTCAGTGACGATGCCGTATTCTGGCTGTTCGGAAAGCAGGAACCCTCGGAGGCTGATGCAGTCCTGTATGGTTTCATCGTTGGCGCCTTGGTTTGCTCGGCGTGAGGCCTCTATACTCCTGAAACTTGGATCAAGATGACTGACCACTGTCTAGAGCACCTGACTCTCAGGCTATTGTACGCAGTTTCCCAATGATTGTGGAGTACGCAACACGCATTCATGAAGAGTTCTTTCCCGACTATGCGATTTGGGAACGATAGTTGCGTTAGCAGGCAAGCATCACGTCATATCCATAATCTTGTAAATCGGCAACTCCATTGATGACTCGAAGATCCATCTGATAGGACGTCAGTCTCGGCCGAAACATCTCTCGCATCGCTATCTACTTGTCCTGGTGTCTGCCTTGAAAAGAGCTTTCTGAATATCAATTACAAGCTGTAGTTCTTACATGGCTCTTTGTCCTGCTTTATACAAGCGGGTACAGGACGATGTCTATATACTATATTATGGGTTAAGTAATTGTGACCTATGTTCGATCATCTCATCTAGTCAAGGTAAGATAGCCCTGGATAAGAGATAATCTCCTGCTGTTATCATATCTTACCTGCCTATGATTCTGCCATATCCAATTATTCTTTGTTGGTAGCTACTGTGATCTTGGTCCAAGGAATAGCGCATGTAAATCGACAGTTATGACAAGCTGTGTTCAGATGTTTTGAGTCCCTTGGACGCCATGATCACATACCCGAGCGTTTGCTCAGCCTTGGGATCAAATTGGTAGCGTTGCCAAAGTTGATTTTGTTGCGCATTTCAGGCGTCATAGCAGAGTCTTCAAGATCTTCTAGAAATGCCGGATAGACTGGTGGCGGTGCATAAGGAAAGTCGCTCTTTACTTTCTTAGTATTGATCGGAAGGTTCGGTTTTCGTGATGATCATCTTACACCATAAAGGATATGGTCGTGTGGAACGGTTTCAAAAAGCATTTTCAAGACCGCGGGAGAAGTCGAAAGCGCAAGGTCATAATAGAAGCTTTGGAAACCGGCCACCACCTCAGCATGAGTAGCCCCTATACGATCTTTGGCTTGTCCGTCCGACATCCCTCGCACCAACCCAGCAGGCCGGCTGATGAGGTATGGAAGAGTGCCTCCCGCGTGAGACAAGATCACTTTACACGCTGGGTATCTGAGACACGTTCCTTGAGTGAGCATGTCGTAAGCCGTTCTGGTGGTCTCGTGAGGATAATCGATTATTGGTTGAGGCGTTTTAGGGTTCACAGTGTTAGTATCGACGGGATGTGTAGGGTGGATGAAGACCACGCATGTCCTACGGTTCAATTCCTCCCAGATAGGCTGGACATCTGGGTGTCCAAGATATGTGTTCTTCTTGCCGTAGCGAGTGAAAAGGGTCACGCCATCGGCTTTCAGAACATCCAAAGCGTATTGTATTTCGTCAAGGGCAGCCTGCGTATCGAGAATATCCGGGAGACTGGCGAAGAAACCAAATTTCTCTGGCTCTTGATCGCGAATCCGAGCGCTCTCCATGTTCAGTTTGCGAGCAAGTTCATGTGAAGCTTTACCTTGTAGAATGCATGCACCCGGGGCCGTGATGGATAGTATCGAGGTTTGTACACCCAGTTTCTGCATTATGCTTCGCGATGAATCGAGTGACCATTTTGGGGTGGCCCAGCCACTGGGATCGCCGCCCGCTTCTTCGACCGCACGAGCATAGAAGTCAGGCACTATATGATGGTGCGTGTCGATTTTGTTCACAGGAGGTTGTTCGGGCCATCCTTTGTCTTTGTCCATGGGTTTTCAAGCGAGCCCAATTTGTATAAGAAATAGCCGAAATAAGAGGGGAAAAGTAGGTTCAAACAGAAGAAGTCAGGATCAGAGAGAGAAGAACGCAGTGATCTAAAGGTAGTGAGATGCCATGCGCTCCTGCAGATCATGAATTTGTCGGGTAGTCCGGCATTGGCATAGGCGGTCTAGTCTGTCGATATTTTTCGGAAGAGGTCCGCTTGGAGCACTTCCGAAAAATATCGACACCGTGAACATGACCGAGAGAAAGCAATGCTGACAGACGTGCAAAAGAAACATCTACAGACACCAGGGCCTACCTTGTGTTCCTACAGAACGTTTTGCTTGTACGTGTTTGTCGTATGAACCCAGACTGCTCATATTGGCAGGAAATTTGAGGCTGAAACCGAGCCCCTGGACCCTGGCTGTGGCTTGTTCAAGATTTACCATGGTCTCAAGGCCACACCAGAGCGGGCGATGGTCACACTGAGGGCAAGCGACACAAATTCGTGAGGTCATCAATGCCAGTAGGACTCGAAACAGCACTTACACGCATCTAGAGAAAATCAAAGGGTACAAAATCGAATACGAGAATAGTGCAGGTGGGTGCTTAGTAAACATGGCAACTCTGTGTTGCGCTCATGCTTCTTAAGAATCATCAACTCATTCTTGGGGTATCGTCGCCTCATTTACTGGCCGTCTAACAGCAGCAGCACAAGCAGTCGTCAATGGCCTGGATAGTTGAAAAGTCAGCATGTGTTTCACGCAATACAGGTCATCGGTATACGCACATGGCAGCATCCATCCATGCACTCGCAGCAGATGAAGCAAGCGCACATGTCAACTGTCGTCGCTATCAGCTCGGGTCACAAAAGTCGAAGGGAAACGGTTTCTTACCCAGGAGACCGCCACCACGCATGCCGAGGAAGGTACGCTTGGGCTTCTGCTCAGTCTGGTTGCCTTGCTAGACGGGGAGTCAGTACATGATAAGCGCTTGATGTTGTGTCGCGACGATTAAAGCGATAGAGGTGAGCTTGGCTATGGCGAAGAAAAGCTTACTTCGATCTGGGCATCGCTTGGCGCAGCCTGCATTTGCTCCTGAGGCTTGTACTGCATCTCGACGTCGTTGTTCATAGGTTCCGACATTGTGATTGATATTCTGATGAATGTGCTGTGTGTAGGTGTGATGCGAAGAAAGTCGAAGGGCGAAGAAATTAGAGAAAAGCTGACTGAGAAAAAAGCAGGAGCGCGAGTGTCAGACGTGGTGCATTCGCCTGCGCCTGCAGGAGCACGCGGCACGCCTCTTGAGGCAAGCACAAAACAAGAAACAAACAAGCTTCCATCCCGGATTTTGCAGGCCTTGGCAAGATTTGATCAATCGGCAGCGCTCCTTGTGAGCCCTGCCACGTCATCTGCAACGTGGAGAGGGCGAGCCATTTTACGCGCTGACATCTTACATTTCTTGCCGTGGCATTCAGGGGTTGGCAGTTGGTGGTCAACATACCATCAAAGTCGCCGATGCGACAGATGATGCACGGCCAGGCGGAAGAGGTTTTTGAGCGACTTGGTGTATGAGATACAAGTCATACGGTCATTGACCAATGTTCCACGCTTACTGTATTCCTTCTAGAAACGAGAACTCGGGCGCCATGCTTACGAGTCGAGTGCGCCATCTCGCATACAAAACATCATGTCAACATCCGACACCTCCAATCTTGTTCATGGAGTGATACCAAATCTTGCGTTCCTTCTTGAACACAATGATAATGTTGCCTCTGCCTATCTCTGCACAGCCAATGCGACACAAATATCCAAAACCTCAGAAGAAGGGGCACATTTCTGCGGTTATCGCAACATTCAGATGCTACTCGCTGCACAAGATCATAAATCGAATGGTACCAATGCGGAGACCCCCACTATCTCAGATCTCCAAGCTAGGATTGAGGAGGCCTGGAAAGCTGGATACAATTCTCACGGTATGACACAGACTGGAGGCATTCGTGGCACCAGGAAACATATCGGGACATCAGAGGTACTTCAATTCTGAACCGTCCAATGCTGTACATTTCTGACATTTCTGCCAGGTCGAGGCCCTACTTCTGAGCATGAGAATTCCCTGTACAGGCAGCGCTTTCCAAGGTAAGAACGCATGGCAGCAATTGCTGGACTACGTGCATGCGTACTTTTGCAATCCCTACACCTCGTCGGGAGCAACGACTGAATCACAGCGTGTCTATCTGACGCAAAAGCTGCCAATCTTTCTTCAACGACCCGGTCATTCGCTTACTATCGTCGGCTCGATCAAACTCAGATCAGGGAAACGCAAACTCTTGACGTTTGATCCTGCGTGGCAGCCTCCCTCACCGATGAGGATGCCATTGAATCTAAATCAACATCGAGCCTGGAAATTGAAGTGGTTGCTGAAGCAATACACCAAGAGCGAGCGTTACTTCCAACGATACTCTGCATTCGAGACTCTGATCATCGAGCACCGGATTGGAGATCAAAGCTATACTCCATGAAGAGCCGCAGAATTGCAGAATCTTTGTCTGACTGCCCCCCTTTCGTGCCAAAAGATCCTTGTCGATCATAACAAAGCTCCTGGAAAGTATGACGGATTTGCACAAGCGAGTAGTTCGTCAACTTCTCGCCAATGGCGCTGATAGTATGGGTAACTCATGTTCCAAGCCCAAGATGTCACTCACGAGCATGTACCTACAAACGTCCATGGCTCTGCTCTGTAACCTAAAGATTTTGTTCAGAATCGGCCGTATCCAGACTCATGCGCTTCCCACAGGCAGCAGTCATATCTCTTCCAGAGACCCATAAGTCAAACCCGAAAAAGTCGATGCCACATCCCTTCTCCATTCCGATAGTTCTGGAGTTGCTCGCTCGATGCCTCATGAATCTGAACATCGCTTTCGTAACCACAGTCGAGGCTCCGTTACAGATCCTCATCCATCCTCAAATTCTTCCCAATGACTAGCAGTTCGAGCCCATCAGCGAATATCTCCCTGCCTTTGTCACCATATGGGAACTCTCTCCGCTTGCCAGTGGCACTGTAACCGCAGCGCTCGTACCATGCACCCAACTGAACGCGTGTATTCACATAGTCCATCTCCAGACGTTTGACACCCCAACTCGACCTGACGAAATGCTCAGCCTCCTGCAGGGTAGCCTGCCCGTATCCTCTGCCATGGTATTCGGTTCTCACAGCCAGTAGACCAAACCAGGCTGCTCCATTGCTCATGTGTGGTGCTGGCGGGGTCGAAGGTTTACGCACGAGGCACGATGCGACAATGTCCTGATTATCTTTAATTGTGCCAATGAGGAAAAAGCTGTCGGAAGATTTTATGATATCTTGCGTCGCTTCGAGCGGCAGAACGTCAATACGCTTTTCTTGCGAATCATGAAGCCAGGTCTGACTGGTGGGCTCGCTGCGGAAGGCTGAGTTCACAAGGGCAGTCACTTCCGCCGCTTGCTCAATAGTTGCGATCTCGAATCTGAGCCGGGATTCGTATTGGTCATCCATCTGGTCATTAAACGAAGTATGCACAATCTTGCAACATCGAAGCTCACTCGATCGTGCTACCTGATCTATCTCATGCCAAGTGGATTAGGCCCCCCATCAACAGAACGACAGTGAGGGACGTTTTGATTGAACCCTTGGACAGGATTCATGGAATCCGGTCGCTTGAGTATTGGCATACACTAAATTCAAGTGACTTATGTGTGCAAAAAAATGTTGCAAAAGACAAGGAGTCAAGCGACTGAACATGGATGAGCGACAGTTACGTGGTACAGCATGAGCGACAAACATTGGACCAGAGTCTGCGCAATTGAAGAACACAGCCTTTCTGCTTTTTTCTTTTACTGCCACCAAGGTGTACTAGAGTCAAGGCAAATCAACCAGATTCTATTGTAGGACTAATCTGCCTTATTTGCACCTTCACTCTTGACTTGTTCGGGTCTGGAGTCGCTCATAGCCACCTCGGTACCTTCAATAATTGTTGCCAGAGGTTCTTGGTATCTATGGCGTCCGGTAGTCATCCAAGTTATGGCGGCAATGAGTAGCATGAGTCCGATGGCTGCTGAAGTATAATTCCTGTTGAGACATCCCTATCAGTTCATCTCCATCAAAAGAACACAACCAAAACTCACATGTTCTTGCTGTCCACCGGGCTTACGGTGGGGAAGTTGAAAGTGATGGACGTGAAGAGGAGGTAGATTGCTCCCACGAGATTGACAGGGACACTCCATCGACCCAGGTTCCACAATCCGTCAAGCTTGATCGCCTGTCCCATAGCTGTGGACAACAATCTCGCGCAGATTGGCATCGCGTAGGAGATATCTGGACAACGATCAGCGCTTTGCCCGTTCCATCAGACCCGATACGCACAAAAGCCTTCAGTAGCAATTGATACAACAGTATTGAAGCCTGTCACTGTGCCGAAGTATATCGAGTTCAGAGCGATCTGCGTCGCGGTCGTAAGAAGAATAGCGTAAGTGGGAATCTGACGCTTTTTGTCCACTGAACTCAGTAGTTTAGAGAAAGGCAGCCCTTGGTCCCGAGCAAATGCATAGACAGCTCGTCCACCCTCCGCTGTAAGTGCGTTAGAACACCCTATATTGATGATAATGAGCAATACTGTAAGACACGTCGAGCCCGCAACAGACCCGGTTGAGTCGTAGAATATCTGCACTATGGGCGAGCCTGTAGCAGAATTGGCGACGCCATCAATCGAAGAGATGCAGAATGATGCTGCAACGAGAAAGATGAAGCCTGTGATTGCACCAATCGAGACTGACAAGACAATGGCGCGAGGAGCTTCTTTTCGTGCATCACGAATCTCTTCGGTCATATGTGATGGGGCATCGTAGCAGCACATTCCGAACGCTACCGTGATGAGCATACATACGCTTTTCCACTATTCGTGATTGATAAAGGTGGTGTGCATACCTGTCTGGAGCAGACCCAATATAGCCGTATATGCCGTGCCGAAGCCTGTCATATTCTGGAACTCCGAGAATACAAAAGATGCGGATTGTTTGTGATCATTGCACGCCAGAATCGTTACTATAATAATGATGAAGGCGCAAATATTCCAGATCAGGAAAAAACGCGAAAGCTGGAATAGCATCAGTAGGTTACAACAGAGTTACTCGGAGCAAGAATACTCGCCTTGTGCAAGAGATGAGGGGCCAATGTATTGAAAGAGAGCCCCGAGAAGGCGACAGCGAATGCAACAAGGGTTACCTTCCATCTTGTGACCACAAGATCTGGATGGTTGAGCTCTGCGATAGCCAGGACAAATCCAGCAGTGATGAAGTTGTTGACAGCTCCCATTGCAAGAATACCTGCCGTTTTTCCAGTCAGTAAGGATAGCAACGACAACTTCGCTGGGACTGACCAGTCAACATAACCCACCCACATACATAGGACAAGCCTCGAGCCCATCGTTGTGGGGCTACGATCGCAACCCATGAATACTGCCCCCCAGCAACTGGATATGCTGAGCACATCTCTGCCATACTGAATGCCACTGCCAGACTACAAATAGAAACTCCTATCCAGCTCCAGATCATAACAGGCGGCCCTCCAGACTCTGCACCGATGATGAGAACACCAGAAAGGGCACTCCAGCAACTGACAATGCTGAAGCTAAAACCCAGCATGCTGAGAAAGTTGAAGCTTCGTTTCAGTTCTACCAAACTGTAAACTGATAGTCAACACAGGACATGGGCATAGAAGCATACCTTGCTTGTAGCCTAGTCTTTCGAGGGCCAAATCGTCTTCGACCACGGGGTCGAACGGTTCGGAAGCCATGGCCATGTCGGTAAGATCACGAATGGGATAGATAAAACACACTATGAAGGAAGGGAAGTATGGCTAACAAACTTGTACTAATGCACTAGTTCTGTTAGCAAGTCAATGCGGTCTTCTTTGACTGATTCTTGGTATTCAAAACTTGACTGTGTGCTGGTTCTACTGCTGCATTTGACTCACGCATGATCTGTCGGCAGCCCCGAAAATCAAGCGACCTGGACAGATAAGCAGATATATCCTGGGTATAGATAAGTGTGTACCTCACATGTACGCAAACAAAGACTGAGTTTCGGATTGTTTGATAAGCGGCGCTTGGTAGCTACATATATCTTGACGGTGTGATTGGCCCTTCATATGTATCTCCACACGTCGTGACGTCGGATTGTCCGACGCTCCACAAAACAAACTTAGTGAAGGGTTTGTTATCGCCCACCCGCATGCCATGACTTACCCACTCGCTCGTCCGCCAACATACTCTATTGTCATACGGACGTTCTCAGCCTCGATCGAATATTCATCCTCTCAAGTCGAGAAGCAACAGGTGTTGTGCGAAACGGCTTAAATAATCCTTGGCCTGTCTTTTAGTACCACCAAGACACGGTCACAGTGCGGTCAAGACCAGCTTCGTAACCCAATCTCTAATCACACATCACATGGTGCTCTTATCACTAATCGGGTCTGCATCTTTGACCTCGATAATCTTGGTTGGCTTGTGCTTTGGCGCAACGACTCTGGCCTTCTACCGTCTATTCAAACACCCTATTACCAAGATACCTGGCCCAACAATCTGCTGCTTGACTTCGTTATGGATGCACTATCACATATACATCGGCGACGAAGCCACTCGTATCACCGAACTACACAAGATCTACGGTCCGGTAGTTCGGGTCGCGCCAAATGAAGTCTGCATCGCGGACGGTGCCGCTATAGCACCGATATACGTCGAGAAGGGAGGCTTCCCGAAAGCAGAATGCTACCGCAACTTTGACATTGACGGTTTCGCATCCTTGTTCTCGGAAACATTCAAGCAGATACGCGCTCCCAAGGCCAAAAGTGTCATGCCCCTTTTCAGCACCACAAACATCAGGAAAAGTGAGCAGCTGTTGACCGCAGCGGTAGGACAATTTGTCGCAAGGCTGAGAAGAGAGCGATCCAAATCGATACTAGTCGATGGCAATGTCGATATACTGGTTCTCACACGTGGCCTGGCCATAGATGCTGTCAGTAGCTATCTGTTTGGGAAAAGCTACGGCGCATTGGATGAGGACGTGGAGCAACGTTCCGCCAAGTCAACTGATGGCAAATCGAACTTGAGTGCAGGTAAATTCGTCGACGCATTTGTGGGCGTGGGACGTTTCTTTTACTTGCCGAACTGGATCTTCCTCCTAACAGAGCTACTTTCTGAGAAACTGTATGGAACCCAAGAAACAGAGGAGAGCATGTCCAATGTGGATCGATTTGTCACAGGTGTTGTCAAAGAGGCACAGGCTGGTGATGGCAGTTTCCCGGGATGCATGCTACAAGCAGGTCTTACACCCAAGGAGGTCGCGGCCCAATGCAAAGACCTTCTGTTTGCTGGCACTGACTCTACCGGAATGAATCTCGCTACCTTCTGTTGGCAACTGGCCCGCAATCCTGACGTGTAAGTCTCCCAAACCCAAGACCTGATCCTTCGTTCTTTTTGAGATTCTTTCCATCAACCATTATCTTTGTAGGCTGAAAAGTCTGTAGGTACACGGTCTTGAGATCCGAAATCACGGACGCACATGCCAAAAATCCTTCTGGATTCGATCCAATGACTTTGCCATACCTACGTGCTTGTGTTCGCGAGGCACTACGTCTCAGCATGGCAAATCCAACCCGTCTTCCGCGGGTGGTTCCCTCACTAGGGTGGACATTTCACAGTGAGGGCCAAGCCCACCACTTCCCTGCAGGAACAATTGTCTCAGTGCAGATGCTCACTCTCCATCACAATCCTACAATCTTCAAAGATCCATACTCGTTCCGTCCGGAGCGCTGGTTGGATACGCCGAAAGAAGCGCTGCAGCTCATGTTACGAGACTTCATCCCTTTTGGGGCTGGCAGTCGTCAATGTATCGCGCGTAATTTGGCCACGCTCGAACTCACGCTGGCTGGTGAGGCTCTCATTGCTGATGGTGTGCTCGAGGGAGCGCGGGTGGTGCACGACAAACTGAATCTCATCGAGTGGTTCAATTCTCATGTGAAGGGAGATTCAATAATGTTAAATTGGCAACCTGATAACAGCAAGCAGTGCCTCTGAAGGTATTGTGGCTACGTGCAGATATTAGACGCAAAGTAACCGCGATCCGGTCATCGGCAGGATCACTACAAGTAAACAGAGAAGCTCATGTTAATCTGTCTTTCACTATAGAGGATCGCCCTTTTCAATATAGGTAGTGTAGACCTTCTCTTCTGTCGCAAGCTGTGAATGTAGCACGTCCATGCGAATGCTGAACTCTCTTTCCTCGTCCCATGTAAAAGGACTCTTGCTTGCAAACAAGAAGTCCATAGCTTCCAATGTTCGACCACAGGTCTCCGGCAGGAAGCAATACACAAGAGGAATGTAGCACAGCATAGCCGCGCCAAAAACGTAGTATGTTTTCTCTTGGATACCGGCAAACATGATTGGCACGAGTAACGAGCCACCTCCGTACCCTACAGCCCATCCGGCAACACCAAATGCATTACCTTTGGCTCGGACCCAGGTGGGAAAGATCTCCGTTGGGTAGATAAATGGAATAAGCAGCCATGAAGAGCTGAAGATGAGGACGTAGATGAATACAAATGAGGCTGCGGCAGTGCTGTACTGTTCCTTCTGCTCTGGGTGCTGGATGGCACCGCGATTGAGACCGCCGATGATGAACAGAATGATACTGAGGACGACGGCTCCCCAGTAGAGTGTTCGTCGACGGCCGACGCGATCTAGAGTTAACGCTGCGACGCCTGTTCCCAGAATGCCGACCATATTGTTCAATGCCGAAAGCCAGTTCGACTTCAGATCGTCGAAGCCAGCGTTGCGAAAGATGGTGCCAGAATAAACAACAACAGCGGCTATGCCCGTACCGTATTGCATGAGGACTTGGAGCCAGAAGGCAAGCTGGATGCGGCGGCCCAGATGAACGTCTCCAGACCCGATTCCGAAGAACATTTTGATATAGTTTGTGCTCTCGTGTTCTCTTTCCATCTCTACCACGGCTTGCATCTCCCTGAACTCTCTCTGGGCGTCTGGGTGCTCCGGATCACCATCTCCTCTCAACTTGGCAACGATCTCCATAGCTTCGTCTTCTCGACGCTCCTTCATAAGCCATCGTGGAGATTCTGGGATGAGTAATGTACCAATGATGAGTAAGAAGACGGGTATGAGCTGCGTGGCGAAGGTGAAGCGCCACCGAAATTGACCATTGGCGGCGTTGGAGAAGGATGTACCAAATCCGATCCAGGAAGCCAATGCAATGCCTGAGAAGTTTGCAAGGAACGTCAGAGCAATGACATGTCCTCTGTGTGAAGCTGAGGACAGTTCTGCGGTCCACGACGGAGCAATAGCCAGGATGAATGCTACGCCAATGCCGGCAACAACTCGGGCTACGAGCAGCATGGGCAGGTCGATCGCAGTAACTTGTAGTACAACACCTGCCAAGCACCAGAAGCATGCCATCTGCATGCCCTTGATTCGTCCGTACTTGTCAGAGAAGCCACCAGCGAAGAATCCTCCGAAGAGAGAACCAGCGTAATAAATTGAGACGATTCCGCCCTGCAGTGTAGGACGTGTGACCACTCCATCAGCAGTAGCAAATCGCATGCGATGCTTGATCTGATTAGCGAGCGTTAACACATAGAAATTGGGATCAGATACTTACAGCGAACTCGGGAGCCACAACCACAGCACCCATGACGCCTTGGCTCATACCCTCATATGAGATTGCGATTGCAGAAACGGCGATGATGAGGTTCAGAAGTCTTCGGCCAGAGAAACGACGCCAGTACTTGGTGCCTTTTGCCACGGTCGAATCTCGCTGAGGCATTGTAAGGTATTGCTGTCGGGCGCTAGATGTTGGGTGTTGAAAGTATAGAGAGAGACGATGGTATGGTAATATGGTATGGGCACGGTTTATCGCAGAGCCGACGATCATGCAGATTTAAGTACTAATCACCATATGGCAAACGCACACCCCACACCCTCCACCTACGACAGGAGACACTGTCGTGGAGAAGTCTGGGGTTGAACCGGGAACGAGAATCCTCGATCAGACATCACTCGACACGAGACGTACGATACAGTGAGGAGTCAATTTTGCTCTTGTCTGTTTCCGCTCGCGTGACTGTTCGCAGCTTGACCGTTAAAGTGTCGAGACGAATTCCCGTAAATGGTAAAACTCTCGCGTAAATGGGAGAATTCTCGAGGTAGGATACTCGTGCCGAACGAGCCAATCGTGCCGAACGAGATCCGACACGAGCCTTAGCAAGACCCCGAGCGCATTGATCATCCGCATCCGAGTTGCTGTTGGAACATGTCGTGCTGATGTATAACAATGTCTCCGAATCATCGCAGAAACAGGCAGGCTCGATAGCTTGACCTGCATTCCATTCAAAACAACCCGCAACTGCACATTTGCTCGCATACCAACCTGAATTTGCTCCTATCTCAGTGCATTCCCAGCAGCCATGCCTTCTGCAACATCGCCTTTCGAACCAGTCGCGGCAGTATGGACGTCCACTGAAGGATCAATGGCTCAGCAGACAGCCATTACACGTTGGCCGAACATCGTCCAAGGGATGATTGATGATGTCGAGAAGACAGCCGCTACCGCCGGGCCATTACAACAAGACACAGCCAGAACAATCGTCCTGTGCTTGTCCAAGATGAAAAACGAGATAGTAAAGGATCAGGCTATGAGGTAAAGTTCACCCAAAAATGAACAATCTGCTCTTCTATGACTAACTTCTTTGCAGCCCTTTAAATACTGCATATGGCCGTGATATCGGAGGCTTCAACACATTGCTTGCTGAGGGTCAAAACTATACTTGGCACGCTTCTCCGTGGCTGTTTGCCGAATGCTACATGTATCGAAGAGTTGCGACAATCTTCGCCGCCTCTTCCGACCCATTCTGGCAAAAGTATGATGTTTTCAAGCGACAAAAGGATGAGACCTTTGCGAAATCTCGAAATGCCGTCGAGGAACTAGCAATGCGCTACATCAACGTCACTGATAAAGTCGAATTCGCATCATCGCCCAATTGGACCGAGGAGGAGAAAATGCTTTTCCTCGAGATGACTCAAGTCGCCCTCTGGGGTAATGCGACAGATCTCTCTTTGCTTAGTAACCTCAGCCTTGACCAAATTCAAGGCCTGCAAGGTGCAGAGGCCATCTTGAAGAGTCGAAAAAATATTGTTGACGATGATACTGAGGATGTGTGGAAATACCTTTCCAGCACTCCAAGCGCAGACCGACGTATCGATATTGTTCTGGACAATGCCGGCTTCGAGTTTTTTACAGACGTCGTCTATGCTGCGTATCTCCTTCGATCGGGCATTGCTCAATGCATCAAGTTTCATGTGAAGGACATGCCTTGGTTTGTGAGTGACGCCACGCCGGACGATGTGGATTCACTGTTCCAGCACCTGGATAACCACGAGATCTTCCCTGACCGAAGGTATCTCGATCCACTAGTACGGCAACTTCGTGAGTACTTTGAGACTGGCAAGATGAGCATTCGACAACATCCGTTCTGGACCACGGCCCACTCTTTCCATGTCATGGAAACCGAAGGTGCTGGGATCTTCAGATCGCTGTGCTCTAGCTCGCTGGTAATCTTCAAGGGCGATCTCAACTATCGTAAGCTCACCCGAGATGGCTTGTGGCCTCACACAACCCCCTTTGCGGAAGCGATCGGGCCACTAGGCAAGGGCAGTGGGCTGAAAATCCTGGCTCTACGGACGAACAAAGCCGATGTCTGTGTGGGACTAGAGTCTGAGGAACACGTTGCGCGATTGGAGCATGAAGCACCAGGCAGTGCATGGGTTAGGAATGGCAAGTATGCTGTCATCTCTTTCAGCGACGGACGGTAGTAGACAGATTATGTAATTGACCATTCTTCCTTCAACGACGCAATTATCCAAGCTGTAGGCCACTTGTCTTTCTGTTCCATACGTTCGAGTATCTTGATAACGCCTTCCTGCTCGGTCCTATCAATCATCAAGGGTCCCCATATGAAGGCTGTGTGACACAGGGTAATTGAAGATGGAACTGTATCCGGCGCGTACCAGCAAGCACCGCAAAGAGCTCGGGCATGTTCAATGACTGCGGTGTCTGTCTGACTCATGCGTCTCTGGACACGCCTGATGGCAAACCGAGGAGCTGGCTTATAAATTAGGAGTAGCATGCAACAAAGAGAATAGAAGCCGAAAGCCATTAGATGCCAGTCAGCTACGAAGCGAATCTCGGGGAAAGGACAATCGTTTGTAGGTTCCGCACATTGCCAGATCGGATCGAACGTGTCAGGGCGTGTGTTTCGCCAGCTTTCGAGCGATATTGACAGTTCTTGCCACTTCAACATGCGAGCGCTCGGTTCGTTGGAGTCTTTACCGAAGCAGAAATGGACGACTGTTACGCAGATCCAGGTCATGCTGTTTGCCCAAGCCGTCTCAGATCTTAATCTACTTGATCCGTCCCATGAATGCGGCGTTGGCGAGAGCTCGTGGTGCAAATCAATGTTCGGTGGTTGCTGAAACACACAAGCGTTGTAAAGGCATTGACGCACATAGACCCAAAACGCGGCCTCGCGTAGGCCTGGACTCGTAGGATCGATGATATAACCTTGCGACTTGCTCAGTAAGGCTGAGGATCCCGAGAGGTGATGCTCAGCGTCAGTCCCTGTCTCATCGACTTGATGGTTTTAGTATATCACCATTTACCGTCATGGAAAGCAACCTACCATTCAGCTGCTCGAATACACGCAGTATCACAATGGCGCATAGAACCGCCGTGTCGTTAGCGATCTCTGCGGAGCTGAGCTCGACAATGAGCATACGAACGCATCGCTCGTGAGCTTCTCCCGCAGTGGATCGGTCTTGTAAATGGCTAGCAGCGTACGACACGACAGCTTGCAACAGGATTGGGTTTGTTGCAGCCAACTTTGGGATTTCAAGTGTCATCTGGCGCGAAGCATCCGTACAGTCGAGCCATCGGCCCAGATGCTGGGAAAAGTGGTGCATCAATCTTGCTTCATGGACCGTGAAGGGAGTAACTGTACTGACGCTCTGTACAGGGGATGCAAAGTGCTGTGGGGTAGAAATTGAGCAGGGTGACAGGCTCGATGGTGCGGTAAGGCTCGTTGATGACGGTTGAGCTACATGGTGATTATGGGAAGCGTGGGCCTCGTAAAAAGACTGTGTTCCAGCGGATAAGTGACTGTGAGATGATGTTGCAAACAAGACTCGCCTCCGAACAGAGGGGGAAAATCTGTCTGAGGAGCTGTCACAAACGCTTGCAGTCACGTCGTAAGGGGAACGAGTAGCGTCCTTCTCTGGCCGAGAGTCGGTCACGACCACCGGCTGCTCGTGGATGCTGCTTCTTTGTCTACGAGACGCTGTTGTCTGATACGATCGAATCTCTAGATTTTGATTCCCCTCTCGCCGACAGACCCGATCTCCTTTCTGGCATTGTGAGCAGATGGGCTGAAGTTCATCACCTGGGGTCGTCAGTGGATGAGCCAGTATCCAAAATAGGGCTCCCTACATTTGACGTGTCGCATGCGGCAGGTTAAGCTGTCGACTGCATGTCAGCACCAGTCGCCCATGGAGACAAGGCTCAAGCTCGAGCTCGAGCACCTGCAGTAGACGCACCATCCTGTCCTGGAACGAAGCTTCCTCATTATCAATCACCAAGTCAATGCACATCTTTGTCGAGACGAATAACGAGACGACCCCAGTGTCGAGACGAGGGTCAACAGATGGGGGGTCTTGCAAACTGAAGATGACGACGGACCTCCGAGGATCGAGCCGAGGGATATTCTTGAGCTGTGCCACATGCGACAATTCGTCACGACCATGTCCCCTTGGTCCCTTACCCCGCATTCTCCACCACACTAAACGACTAGCAACGGTACTGCAGAGATCAGGAGTCTCCCGTCAGACCTCAGCTTTAACCACGACAATCGACTTGGGTGTACCCAGCCGTTGCATTGCGGGTATAAACCAGTTGCAATGTCGACACGAAGCCCCACACTCTCGACACGAAACATTGCAGTTCAGAGCTACGGTAAATGAGCTGTAAGTCTTTCTCGGCAATCACCAGGGAAGTGCGCGTGTGATGGTCACTAACATGATGATTCACTCGGGGATGCCACAACATTGATAAACAAGGGAGGTCCGGCTGTCAATGAGTAGTCCCTAGGCAATATCACTCTTTCCTTTTGATCAGATCCACCACCGAACTTGCAGAATGGGTGCAGCTCCCAACATGACGAACGCCGAAGGCAGATATGAAGAGAACGGATGCACCAATGGCACCACGAACGGTGTCAGTGGTCTTCGTCAGAGTCGAGCAAATGGATTCCTGGACATTACCGTGCTTGGAATGAACAGCGGAACGGCAATGGATGGCATCGACTGCGCCTTAGTCCGCTATCGACAGTCATCTCCAAAGGCTGCTCTTCATATGGAGATTCTGCAGGTAGGACAACGCACCCAGATTTCAGCGCGGAGCAATCACTGACCATGCACAGTATGATGAGATGCCGGTACCCCAATGGATCAAGAAGCCCATTCTCCGTATGCTTCGCGAGACCAACACGACGCCTTCGTTGATGTCGCAACTCAACGTACAATTGGGTAAAATGTTTGGTCAGGCAGTGCTTGAATTTTGCGAGAAGTGGAACATCGACCGCAGCAGCATAGACCTGATCGGTTCGCATGGCCAAACGATCTGGCTTCTATCAATGCCAAAGGAGGGAGAGACCCAATCAGCCTTCTGTCTAGGCGAAGGAACAGTCATATCTGGCATCACGGGCATCACGACAGTCACAGATTTCAGGATGGCTGAGCAAGCGGTCGGCCGTCAAGGTGCACCTTTGGTAGCCCTCATCGATGGGTTGTTGCTTCACCATCCATCAAAGCTTCGAATCTGTCAGAACATCGGCGGCATCGCGAATCTCTGCATCATTCCGCCCGATTCTGAAGGTGGCGTCGATGCCATGATTGACTGGGACTGTGGACCAGGCAATATGTTCATCGACGCTGCGATGCGGTTCTTCACCGAAGGCGAAATGGAGTATGATCGTGATGGTGAGTGGGGTGCCCGAGGAACTGTGAACCAAGCCATTGTCGATCGATTCCTCGCGACAAATGAGTACTGCAACCACACACCTCCGAAGACCACCGGACGTGAGACTTTTGGCGACGGCGAAGCCCAGCAGCTGATCGACGAGTGTCTCGCACAAGGGATGACTAAGTACGACACGGTAGCGACAATCACACGGATCACCGGCCAGAACATCATCAAACAGTATCGAGCCTTCCCGCAATTGTTTTCCAGAGCGGACGACATCGACGAGATATACATGTGTGGTGGTGGTGCTAGGAACCCAAATATCATCAGCTACCTCAAAGAGCAGTTGCCGCATACGCAGATCAAGAAGCTTGACGAGACAGGCGTGCCTTCAGATGCCAAGGAGGCAGTCTCGTTCGCGCAGCAGGCACTGGAAGCTATACTCGGCCGTGCAGCTCTTGTACCAATCAACAGCGACACGCTGACACCAAACACGATCTCCGGAAAGATTGCCCCGGGACTGAAGTGGCGAGAGCTCATGGCGCAAGCGATTGCATTCGGTCATGGGAAGGAGCTGCCAACGGTCAAGGAGATGATTGTTGATAGCGCATATACCAAGTGGAAGCCTTGAGGCGAATATGTCTGACAGCTTTGAAAGAATATCAAAGAGTAATATATAGCTTAAGATTACTACTGGATTGTGTATGATATTATATTTACCTATTAAGAGATAGCCCCAGCAGATAAGACCACTACTGCTAATAAAGCTAGTCCTACCCTACTGTGCTAGATCTTTCTGCTTTCTATTAAACCTTACCCTTCGCTTAGACATGGCAAGCAATGTATTCGCGGCTAATTTGTACTGACTTCTACAGTGACACTCGGACAGTGTCCGACAACACCTGAACCCGGAATCTGGCTCGTTCGATGCGCAATCATTCCTGCGACTTCTTGTGGTTGCCTCTGCCACCAAAGACGCGGAGGAGAGCGCAGCGAACGCGCTCATCAAGATCGAGTATCGTCTCAAGTTGCCCAGCCAGCAACGACTCATCAGCTCGTCGCTTCTTCCTTCGTTTCTCGTAGGACTGCTCCGATGGGCCCCGGGTCACTAGACGATCTGGTCAGATTCTTGTCTGGCTTGTCTCCGCTCTGATCCTATTGATTTTGTTACTGGATGTGTTGATGAGATGAGCTTCCAAGAGTCGTTGTGTAAAATCTCAGAGTATGACTGTTCCAAATTGCTAATAGAACGATTCTCAATGCCGTACGATCAGGTCTTGTGCACGAAGAAGTGAGGATCGTGGTTATGTGGAAATTGGTCCCGAAATTACTCCGTGGGCAAAGGTGTCAGGCTGCCGCCTAGCTCACTTCGCTTGTCATGCCTCACAATCTCTGAGTCATTGGCTTGCACCATAGAGCTACATCCTCTCTGGCTATAAATGTCCAGACGGAGTCAACAGCTCGATCATATCACCAATGGCTTCCTCAACACCTCAGGAAATACTATGCCTTATCGCACACCACGCACGATCGGACAAGAAACTATGACCTTACGCCCTGGTCAACAAGTCTTGGCAGGCCGCTTTCGAGAGACAGATCTATTCATCAGTGGTCGTGCTTAGTCCATCCGATGCGACGACTATCAAAGTCAATGAATGCTCATGGACTAACCCCGGAGGGCCACAGCCTAGAAAGGGGCTTCCACTAGAGACCTTCATCAACATCACCAGCGGACCACGGGATTGGCAGCGAGCTCGGCGTACATATGTGCGTCAGATCCTCTATAGAGTCGCAGTCCCGTACTGGTTGGATGAATCTCGCGAGGAGGGTGACGGCTACACTTATGACAACGTTTGTCGGCGTGAGAACAATCAAGCATTCCCGGAAGGTGTTTGCTACTTATTCGAGCACCTTTCGAGTTGGAATAATCAGGCAATCTCTCTTCAGATAGCCTTACAGGCAGAAGATGCATCCACCGAAGAAGATAGTGGTGAGCCGGGGTCGATACACGTGCCCGGCACTGACGACATGATTGCTCCTTATCGTGCAGAGTTTCTGCCCGGATATTCTTTGCTGCGTACGTCATGCATCACATCACTGAAGTTTCCTGTGCTCGAGACTCCTGAAACGATGTGGTACGAGAGTTGCGCACTAGACGTGCCATGTGATGAAAACAAGATTTCCCTGCCTGCTTGCTTGAGCATCGCATCAGCGTGCAGCACTTTGAAAAACGTTCGGTTGGACCTCGAAGACGATATCCCTTCAGACGAGTTCAACATGCGTGCCATCAGGCAAACTGCGGCTGCCAAGGGTTTTCACCAGCTTCCACGAACCATCAAAGACATGACCTTGTGCTGCAGCTCGGTTTCATGGTTCAAGATCGACGAGTTCAGACGATTAAATGCAAGCCCTGAGCAAGACCCATCGGGCGCGGCTCTAAGACTTCTCCATGCAGCTACAACATCTGCATTTAGAGAGTCTAGAGGTTTTCGCAGAGCTCTTTTGCTCTAATGGACTGGGGTTACCAATTGAAGCACACTGGCCGTACCTTGAGACGCTTCAACTGAAGGACCAAGTCTCACCTTTTGGCGGCATGAAATTAGTGTACCCTGTAGGTCTGATCAGAGAGCGATATCTCGACCGTCTCTACACGAGCCTTGGTCACGCCGCGCAGAAGATGCCGAGCTTGAAGAGTGTTGTGCTCACACATTCTTCCCTTGACTACGAGCTTGAGCTGTCAGTTAAGAACGAGCGCTGGAACCTGAATATCTGTGTGATGGACACCTATCAGCCATCTCCTGAATTCCTTGCAGCTTGGAAAGTGCCCGGAGGAAGCTTACAACCTTGCATCAACAAATACTGGCGACAAGCTACATATCCATCTTGGCCGCCTTCCTGATTTGTCAAATCATGGATGGCAGTGCGCATGTCTCTGTGCGACAATGAGCATCTGGCACTTGAAGACTGAAAGCTTGCCTCTGTTCCTGTCTTTGCGCTCTTTGATAGCCGAGGAGAGGTTGAGGAGTAATAAGATGATCCACAGTCTAGCAAACACATGGCGATGCCGATGTATATCAACAAGGTGGCTTGGATCAGGCCGTATAGTATCCGGATACTTCATCACGGTAGGGAAAACGACGGGAGTAGCAGTAACAACCATCGCGTCGCTTCTCTAGTGAAGGAATGTATGCAACAATATAAAAAACTAGGTTTCATCCAAGGTATTGTATGAGTAATGCATGGAGCCGAAGATGGCGTCCCTCAGGGAGCATGCTGTCAAGATAATGCGTACTACAGCCCTTGACGCAGGAGAAAACTCTCAGAGTCACATTTCAATCGATTAGTACTTGGAACCAAGAAACACACTGCTCAAGCCTAGCAAATGCTCATCTTCCAGACACCACCCTAGCAAAATCTGTATCTGGGACTGAGGTCTCAGAGTTGGGGTATATAGACGTCAAAAAGGTGCAAAGGTGATCATCGCGATCAAAAGCGACTGCGATGCAATCTGTATGGGCACTACAGATCGAGGTACAGTCCTCCATGCTGGTCGCTGTTGTTGCACCTGGATCATCGTATGTCGCTTCGTCCCCATAACATTCGAAGTCAGTCTGGATACTGTACGTGACAGGCACAGCCGGCGCAGAGGGGGCTGGGCTTCCAGACTCGACGATGGCAGTATCTGTACCCGGAGATGTGGCCGCAGAGTCCGGATTTATGTATGTGAAAAAGTTGCAAGTGCCGGTACCGCTGATGAGGGACACTCCAACGCAGTCTTTATGGACACTGCAGACTAGGATACAATCGTCGATGTTTGCTGCCAAGGGCGCGTCATCGTATATCACAACGGACCCTTGATAGTATGTATCTGTCTGGATGCTGTACGTGACAGGCGCGGCAGAAGCGAGTGGGACTGAGGGCGTGGCAGAAGCGGCAGCGGTTGGTATCTCAGGTACGACAATGGCAGTATCTGTACCCGGGGCGGGCTCAGGGCCCGAATCGATAGATGTGAAAAAGCTGCATGATTCAGTGTCGCTCATGAACATCGCTCCAACACAATCTGTATGGGAACTGCAGATCGGGAGACAGTCGTTGATGTTTGTTGCTGTGGACAAGTCGTACCACGCGACGCTACCCTGATACCAGGTGTCGCGTTGGATGCTATACGTGGCGGGTGCGGCAGATTCTGTTGCTGCCGAAGTAGCAGATATAGTAACAATGGTCGATGTTGTAGATGATGAAGTAGAAGATGAACTGGTCGTCAGTAACGTCAAGTCTGCTGAGTATGCCGATGTCGTCGATGCTTCAGACAGAAACGTGGATGTCGTTGATGTCATCGATGTTGTGCCAGTTGTCCCCAACAAGCGAGTAGCGAACACAAAATCAGTGTTAGACGCCTCTGATAAGGGATATGTAGATGAGAGGAAATGGCAAGACCCCTTACTGACCCAAAAAGAGACGAACTTGCAATCTTCGTGGGCGCTGCAGACCAGGAGGCAGTCATCTAAGCAAGTCGCAGCGATCGGTTTCATGGACGCTGGAGATCCAATATATACAGTGTCATATTCTATGGCATAGTCGGTCTGCGTAGCCGAACAAGTCTCGGAGGAGGTGGGAGTGGATTTAGTGGTTGTGGTTGTGGCAGTGCTGGGTGCTGATGATATGCTTGTGGCTGTCTTTGAGTCGCTTCTTTCGGAACGTGTACTTGTGGCAGTAGGTAACGATACTGATGAGCTCGATGAGAGCAACACTGAACGTGACGAGGTTCCACTCAGTCTGGACGAAGATGAAGTACTCTGTCTGACGGGTTGCAAGGATGATGAGGATGATCGACTGTGCGAAGATGAGATTCTCAGAATCGAGGTAGTCGACGATTTGCTGCGGCTTTTGCTACTGCTGCTGCTTGATGATCCACGGCTCGAAGACGTTCTGGTGCTTGTCTTGGTCGAAGAACTCGTTTTGCTGACAAGTGTGGTTGCCGTCTTTGTCGAAGAGTGCCTAGAGCTGGTTTTCAGCGTCGAGGATTGCTTGTCACTTGATTCTGTGCTAGATGCTGAAGATCGGCTGCTAGAACGCAGCGTTGACTTGCTGTTTGATTTCGAAGACGAGGAAGGCTTGGCAACTGGCGTCTTCGACTTTGAAGATGTTCTTTTCGAAGAGGTAGAACTTGTCGAGGTGCTTTTCGAAGTCGGCACGAGGTTTGCCAAAATACAATTGCAAGCGTGTCGTACCGAAGGGTTGTTCTGTTTTGGAACGGGGCTATCCTTTCTAGGTCTACACAGAGCTATCAGCCTCAGATCATCATGAGTCGGAAGGGGACATCTGACATATATTTCCAGAACTGACAAAAGGCGACAGGATCCTTAAACTCATCCTTGATGAAAGCAGAAGCTGAAGAAGGACATCCAGCAGACACAAAACTTTGCATGTGTGCGGCTTGATAGATGGCATCTTTGGCTTGCGACCAAGTTCCAGATGGAGAAGCATTGATGATGCATTTGCATGCTCCTAAGAGTGCGTTTGGGCCGATGTTCGCGAGTGGTGAACGAGTTCTTCCACTATCGATCGAGATCAGTACCTGTGTCTCCTGCTGATGAAATACAGAAGGCTCAGATGCCAACTCACTCGCTAAGATACCAGGTACAAAAGTAGTTGGGATGTTGTACTTGTTGTTTAACCAGAGCGATGTCAGAAGAAACACACGCTCTCTGTTCCAAAACCAAAGCAGATGCCAAGGAGAACAAAGAGAGCAACGGTAACAGCAACTCAAGGAGACGCATATTTTCACAGGCAAGAGAATTCGGGAAGCTGGGTCAGAGTGTGGAAGATGAGTTCAGTGGACCACGGCATGAGTTATATCCACAACCTCATCTCATTACTTCGGGGCTGAATGGGAAAAGCGACGCTCCAAGAAAATCTCATTACTGATCCTTCGACAACGTTGTTCAGCTGACGGATAGTATACTCATTCACAGGCGTTCTAGGGTCTTGGCAGCGTCAAAATTGTGTTGACATGATGCTCGAAGGAATTCATGAGCTTCTTCATGGTCACAGACAGGGTTCGCAAAGTTGAGAATAATAAAGCGAGCATCTGAAGATGGAGTGTCGTCCATATCGTTCACCGTAGAAGTTTGGCGACAAAAACAAAGGCCGGAGACACCGCAAACATTTTGACAAAACCGCTGACCGTTTTGGCCATCGCGCACCCCGAAGGATCAGGTCTAGGATCCTACCTTCTAGATTTGAGCCTGTGCAATAGCTGGCTGTAAGCAAGATATTTGGTCTGTCTGAGATTGTCGCAATGCTTGCGGCACAAAATGCAGCCACAAAGATGACCTGGGCACGGTGTAAAAGGTGAGCTCAGCCAGGGCCGCTGGAAGATCGAAAGTACCGCTTTGTGAAAAGACTCTATTGTGGCTACCGGTTCTTGCAAAGAATGCTCGAGTCTCGGCTGCGATGGTTGAGACATGTGATTGTAGAGAGGCGGTTGTGAGGCCATGTTTGATAAACTGCACATTTGGTCAACCAAGTCTGTCCGCCGATACAGTGTGTCAAGTACCTTCTTTCTTTTGCTGCATCAGCATGGCATTCGAACAGTCGTAGACAACGCCTTGTCCAAAGACAGGTGTGGTCAGCGGACTGTAGACTTCTTCTGCGTTCAGATCCTTGAGTTTGCCATTGAGGACGAACTCGTTGCCCTTAGTCCCCAGGTATATTGTAGTTTTCTGGCCAAGTGGGACAAAGGCGAAGATGTCACCATACTTGGCACGATTCGAGAAGAAGCCGTACGGGTGGGTATCATACGCTACAGTTGCTGCCTACGAATGGGAACCAATGAAAGACAATGGGTGGCTCATCTTTATACTTGAAGTGCACTTGCCGCATGACGTTGACAAGAACGACGACGCCGACGGAGAGCAACAACACCAAAATGGCCAGCTTCCAGTGCTCAAGCTCAAGCTCAAGCTCACCAAGAGCTAGTCGCCAGCTTGAATTGGTCAGGTATTGAGACTGCATGATGAATCAAAGATTGACCACAGAATGAGAGGTTCGAAAGTATACAAATTGGCCTTCTGATCAGCAGCAGGAGGAGAGAAGAAGAACCAAGCCTGGAGCTTATGTAGAAATGCTCTGCGAGAACGACAATACAAGCAGACGACAGCGTGTTCTGGTAAGAGTGGATAATGGTCTGATTTCGAGCAAGTCCAGGGGGCAGTTCATTTCGGGTCAGGATCTGCGTATTGCGAGGCTTGGAACCAAGTACTTGGTGTTGTTCGAGGAGCTTCAAACGTGTAGGATCATGTAATGTCAGAACTCGTACGAGGGATATTGTAGCAAATTCATGGCGTGCATGGTGCTAAAATAGGTCATGCATTGCAAAGAGCCTTACGACGATTGTGTCCGATGAGTAATGGAATCGTGAAGACGATGTGGTTGGTCTCAACTCGGGAAAGAATTGGGAGCAGGCACATTGGAGAATCTTTGCATGAGGTCGTGGTATGCTTGGCGCATATACTGTATCTCTGCTTCTTGCTGTTGCAGCCTTTGATGTAGAACATTGTTCTCCTTCTCGAGAGACTCGAGTCTCAGGGATGGGTGCAAAGCCTGATGGGTGGTAGAAGCAGGTGTGTCGCCAGGGACAGCCTGAGGGTCTTGGACGGCAACCGAACGATCGACAACAGTATCATGCGGTTGAGCGACATCGTAGCCGTGTATTGATGGAGATGGGTGTGTCGTGTCATATGAAGCAGGATCATCTTGAGCATGGTCAGCAGGAGGGTTGAGGTTTGCATCGGCGGCATCCTTAGCCAGCTTTGCGGCCAGCCTTTTGCCAGTCAGCTTGTATGGACGGCCTTGATACAAAGGATGGCCCTTGGGGTAGCGTCGGGCCAGCTGAGGGTTCATCTCACGGGCAATGTTGTAAACACGATCTCTTCCGATGATGTTGAGGTCAGGATACTTGTGGCGAAGATACGTGTACAGCTCGCCGCGATGCATTTTCAGAACTTCTTCATTCTTATACTCTTGGATGAGCAGATCGTTGATGGTCTTAAGTAGGTCTTGCTCGCTTGTCTCTGGACGAATGCGCTTGTGGAGACCGAGTTTCTTTCTGGTGTCCATGACATAGCGACGGGTGACGACATAGCCAGATTCACTTAGGAGATTGCAGATGGCTTCATCAGTCATGTGCGGGCCGCGGAAGAGTCTTGTCAATTCTTCGTGCAATGCAGGCTTGTCCAGCTTATTACGTCTGGAGAACTTCCATGTCCTGAGCCAGCGCTCGAGTGTGCGCTTTTGACAGATGACATTGTGTTCAGTTTTCAGCTTGTCGATGACTTGGAGCACGGTCAAGTCATCCTCACAGATCCATTGTTTGATGTCTTCTTTTCGCTCAAGCAGGCCAGCGATAGGCGGTGGCATGTCGACAGGGGGTTGGCGGATGTGGTATACGGATGTCTGTAGCTCTGGCGAAGTGGAAAGGGAGAAGCGGCGCACCTTCCTGCAAAGAAGCAGATCTGAGTGCCAAGCGAAGTGAGGCTCTGCGGGAGAGCCCTCGGCGACGACGAGCCGCGGCGAGCGACGAGAATGCGGGGAAAGCGCGAGCCAGAAAAAAATGTCAGCGGCAGGCGCGACGGTCGCAACTTCCTGATCATCAAACATTCCACACGATGAAGTTGTCAAATCCGTCGGCGGTGCCCGTGTATACTATCTCTGGATCTGCGACAGCTCGCCCTCTCCCCGAATGGCTTGCGCGACAGAGAAAGCGCAGTCTGAAGCAGGACCCCGAGTGGGCAAACAGAGTCGAGCTGCTGCAGGACTTTGAGTTTGAAGAGGCCTCGCAGTGTGTGAGGGTCAGTGACGATGGAGAATGGGTCATGAGCACAGGTGAGACCACCATCTCCTTGCAGAGCAGAATCAAGAGACTGACACCAAGCAGGAACGTACAAGCCGCAACAACACGTCCACTACCTGCCGCATCTGTCGCTCTCGTACGCCCGCCACACCGACTCGCTCAACCAGACCTTCCTCCTCCTCTCGTCCGACTACAGCAAATCTCTGCATCTGCAGACCGACCGCACCCTCGAGTTTCACACGCCTGGTGGTATGCACTACCGCACCCGCATCCCTCGTTACGGTCGCGACCTCAAGTACAACAAGCGCCAAGCTGAAGCTCTGATTCCGGCCTCGGGTGTCAACCAGGATGGCATGGGTGAAGTCTACCGTCTCAACCTCGAGCTGGGACGTTACATGAAGGGCTACGAGGTCGACGTCGGTGGCGACGACTGGACCAGCTCGGGCGCCGGCGCTCTGCAGGGTGGAATCAACACTGGCTGCGTCAACACCGCCGCCATCGCCGAAGATTCGCACAACCTTCTCGCTTTTGGCACGAGCATCGGTACCGTCGAGTTCTGGGACTCGCGCTCCCGCAGCCGCGTCGGCATCCTCCAATCCCCCTCACAGTCGCAAGACGAGCGCACACAAATCACCGCCCTTGAGTTCCACCGTTCCGGTCTCAACCTCGCAACCGGCGACTCCGACGGTATCGTCCGCGTCTACGATCTGCGTTCGCCCATGCCCCTCCTCACAAAAGACCAAGGCTACGGCTACGCCATCCAGACCCTCAAGTACATGTCTCCCACCTCGACCCAAGTTCAGAGCGAGAAGCTCATGTCAGCCGACAAGCGTATCATCAAGATCTGGGAAGCTTCCAACGGAGACCCTTGGACAAGCGTCGAACCTGCCGTCGACCTCAACCACGTCGAGTGGTGCAAGGACAGCGGTATGCTCCTCACCGCCAATGAGGGCCGTCAACAACACTCCTTCTTCATCCCTCAGCTGGGTCCCGCTCCCAAGTGGTGCTCCTTCCTCGACAACCTCGTCGAAGAAATGGCTGAAGACGCCCAAGACCCATCTGCCTACAACGCTGGCGCTCAAGAGACAGGCGCCGTCTACGACAACTACAAGTTCTTGTCCACTCAACAACTCCGCGAACTCAACCTCGACCACCTTGTCGGCACCACCTCCCTCCTCCGCCCTTACATGCACGGTTACTTTGTCGCCCAGAAGCTGTACGAACAGGCCCGCCTCATCAGCAACCCCGACATGTTCGAAGAACAACGCGCCAAATCCATCGCCGAAAAGATCAACAAGGAGCGCGAGTCTCGCATTCGTGGCAACAAGGCTGCAAAGGTCAAGGTCAACAGGAGATTGGCAGAAAAGATGGCGGCAAGAGAAGAAGCAAACGAGCGTCGCAAGGCCAGACGTGTCTTGCGACAAGGAGGAGACGAACCTCAACCACAAGCAGATGGAGAAGAAGAGGAAGAAGATGCAGACAAGCCGGCCAGAGGCGTCCTCGGAGACGAGCGTTTCGCCTCGCTGTTCCAGGACGAAGACTTCGAGATCGACGAGCAGTCCCGCGAGTTCCAGCTCCACAACCCTTCGACCGTACCAGTCGCCAAAGACGCTCAACGCAAGCGTGGTCTTACAGCTGTCGAGGAAGAAGCCAACCAATCCATTCATGGTTCCTCAGACGACGAATCCGAGAGCGAGCTCGACGATGCAGCAGCAGAACGACAACAACGCGGTGTCCAACGTCGCAACGACCGCGGAGACGACAACACCGTCGACAAGAACCGCATCTCCTCGACCAATTACCGCAAATCCGGCCACAAGCCAAAGCAACCACAAATGTCCGTCTCGTCCTCGCTGCCCAAAAACAAGAATGCCAATGTCAACCGTCGGGATCGTTCCTTTGGCTCTCTTGCCCAGAACCTCAGGGATCAGCCGAAGAGCAGCATTAGGTCAGGAGGTGTTGTTGGTGAGAAGGAAGTCACTTTCGCACCGCAAAAGGTCCAGAAGAGACCTCAAAGGCCGAGGGAAAGCTATGGTGGCGATGCTGATGATGGCAATGGCAGAAAGGTTCCCAGAGGCAAGGAAAGAAGAAGCGCTTCTGGAAATGTGTTTAGAGGCATGTGAGCTGGTTTTCTGTATGGGCATCTGCATCTGTTTGGAGCATCTTTTTTTTTACTTCGAATGTCAATATACCCTTTCCTTGTTTCGCATTTGTTTCCATCAGATCACTCTTTATCATGGCTCTTTCAGAAAGAATCTTTCGCGCGTCACGACTCTACCGTGACGCCGAAGACTACACGGATGCCCTAGTCGCAAACAATCCCAACCCAAAGAACAGAAATGAAAGGCAAAAAGAAGAAGCAAAACGTACAGCAGCAGGGATTCCCACGTGGTCACCCACCGTAGTACTAATCTGCCGTTCAACTGCTTATGTATGGCAGAGCGGACGGGATGCCCAGTTTTCAGTTGACTGTGGCCGTACGTGCTCGATTGAACACTGTTGAAAACCATGTACCACCGAATCCAGGAGTCGAACACCTCCAGGAATATCTCTAGAGATCTTCAGGTCTTCGGACCAAAGTGAGAGACAAAGGCAGACAATCAGGACTATATCCAGCATTACACGTCTTCTTGATATCACACTTCTTGCTCGGCCAGTCTTAAACCTCGTCTTCACTTTCCATTTCGCCATTCCTTACACCACATAAGGAATGAACAACCAAGGCACCCTCTTCTCGTATTCGATCCATGCTTCTCCGTACTTTGCCCTACACTTTTGAATATCTCTGATTGCGCGATGCACAATCATGCAAGCGAAGAACACGGGATAGAACCATGGGAAGGGAGAGTTGAGGCCGGTGATGGCGCCCCATGAGAGTGCGAAGAAGAGGTCGCAGGTGTAGTGGATCTTGCGTGCTCTGGCATCTGTGGGAGGACAGTATCAGCAAACTGAAAAAAGAAAAGGAAGTCACAGAAAAGAGAAAAAAATGAGAAACTTACACCACCCATCACACAAGATCGAATCTCCCGTCTTTGTCTTGATGCTAACGGGATTCTTCACTGCCTTCCACGGCAGCTGCGGGAACGTCTTTCTGTTCAATGCGACACCGCGTTCCTGTGCTCTAAACATGTTCTTCTGGCTATTTGCTGTATCCCAGATCCAGTAGACGAAGAGATAGGTAACAAACAGGAGAGTCAAGAGATAAGGGTTCCAGTGGTATTCTGACGGGTCGTGGTTGGCGATGTACAAGGTGCAGTGGCAGTATGATAGAGGCACGCCTGCGAGGTTCCAGAAGATGAGCATGAAGCCCCATTTTTCAAAGTACATGTCCCTGTTTTGCAGAAGTGCCAAGTCAGCTTTAAGGGCCATCTCTCCTTGTTGGAGAAGGATTCTACGAACCAGCTCGTGATGATCAACTCCTCGCCCTTGGAACAAGCATTCGCATACAAAAAGTGCGCCATTAACAAGAACCAAGCTTCGCCCGACACATAGCCGTAGGTTTCGTATTGTCGCGCGCAAGCTCCAAGCGTGGTCAAGAACAAGATATACCACGGGATCCTGACTTCAAAGAACATCTTAAAGTCCAGCCAGGTAAACAATCTCGGGTTGAGCTCTGCACCCATGAAAAAGTCATAGACAGGGGATCCAGTCATACGATGTTCAGCACCACGGGCCAACGCAGAAAAGTATGCAACGAAAGAAACCAAGAACCCGGAAATAATGGCGACGCTCATGATGGAGCCAAACTCATCGATAATGGTGTACAGAGGGAAAACTCCAGAGACGTGCAACAAAACAGCGAGAATAATGGTTGTGTACCAACTCCACACTGCAGAGCAATAATACTCCAATTGCTTGCCGCCTAGACTAGGCAATCTCTTGCCTTTGCCATAGACACCAGGCATGTAGAGATAACAAGCGCCCTCAAAGATAAGAAAACTCCAGTAAATAGTCCAGGCTTTGAGATGTGGGAAGGCATGTTCATAGCAAAGAGTCCAGAGGTGCGCGAAAAAGCCACTCCAGTGTTGTCCAGGGGAGCGAGAGGGAAAGTGACCAGAGTAGAAGGTTGCACCAATCCACATAAAATACATGAGAAGGGGGAATCCGATCATCATGCAGCTTACTCCCACTGCACCGCCGAATTCCCTTTCGCCGCTGTTGTCGACACGGTGGTCTTCTGGTTGCTCTGAAATTTCTGTTGCAGAGACCAGAGGTGATCTCTCATCCTGAACGGGCTTATTCAAGCCATCTTGTGCAATGCTGCTTTCATGTCAGAAACTCTCACAATCTTTCATCGTGGTCGTGGCGCATAGACGATGAGTGGATTGGAGACATACTTGCGAGGAGATGTGACGACCATGATGCAGACACAATATCGAAAGCACGACAACACCAGCGAAGCCGACGATGTATTCAAGCACTGCAAAAATCATGTTTGGCGCGGTCGCATAGCGATTATAAAGAAAGGAGAAACTTTGTGATGGTTCCCAAAAGGGAAACCAGCCACGGAAACCGCGGTCTCCGGCGCAAGCGGAAATTAGAGCGTCTGCGATTCGAAACACGCCACTTTGGTTTCGGCAGATGGTCATTGAGAAACTGTTTTTGTTGTGTCACGGCGTCAAAAGGACCATAGAGGTAACTGTTGTGATTTTGATTGGCAGATATCCAAGATAGACCAGCACCTTGTAGGATCGAGGCCAGACCTGAGACGCGACTAAAACTTTTCGCTGAATCTAGAACCCTGCTCTCCTATTGATATGATCATGAGACCGTTCAGCAAACTTTGATTGCTGGAGTCCTAATATGGTATACAATCAAGTACAATTTCTGTGTTTGTGTGTATTGCATGCAAAAAGATATCACAGTTGTAGGTGAAGGTGCAGAACATCAACAAATTGTCGTCGGAATCTGAATTTTTCACTCAAACAGCGTCAAGCTGGGGCAACTTCGCGCATCTTGCGTCGAGAAATGATATGGCGGAGAAGAAAAGTCATATTTTCATTAAGATGTTATAATCTACTCATGGCCAATAGGCTTAGATGCCTTCTGCCATGCAAACGAGCCAGAAGCACCAAGCAGCCAGCTAGGCTGTCCCGAGATGGTGGGGTCGACTCCGATAAAGTTGTTAGGGAAGCCAATATCAAAAGCTCTGACATCCTCCAGCTTCTTGATCTGTGCATCGGACAGCTTGATTGTCAAAGCCTTAATATTGTCGTGGAGATGCTCGACCTTGCGACCACCCACAAGAGGGAAGACGTTGATGGTCTTGGACATGACGTAGGCCAGAGCGACGGCAGTGATGGTGACATTGTGCTCGTTGGCGACTTCTTCGAGGGCGGCGCTCATCTTGGCTTCGTCCTCGGTTTGCTCAGGTCCGCCCATCATGCTGCGAATACCTTCATTCTTCTTCTTGCGCTCTTCAATGGCAGCCTTAGTCTGGAATCTGCCACCACCGAGAACATCCCAAGGAGCGAGTGCCATCCCGAAATGACGGGCCATAGGAATGATCTCACGCTCAAAGTCGCGGAGCATGATGTTCCAGCGGCCTTGGTAAATGGAGAAGGGGGTCTTGCCATGGGCCTTGGCGTAGTAGTTGGCGGCTGAGACAATCCAGGCAGGAGTGTCACTGATACCGAGATACATGACTTTTCCTTGCTCGACGAGGATGTGTAGACTATCCATGATCTCTTCAATTGAGGTGGTGTGGTCCCACCAATGCAGGTACAGAATATCGATGAAGTCGGTCTGGAGCTTCTTGAGCGCGTCGCGGACACTCATAAACAAGCTACGCTTGTGGTTTCCGCAGTGGTTGGCTGCCTTGCCCTTGCCTAGGTCATAGCCTTTGTAGTCGGACTGTGAAGATATAAGTCAATACAAGATGAATCAGCCAAAGTCAGAAGTAGTTGAACTTACGGTGAACTTTGTAGCAATGACCATCTGATCGCGGTTTCCACGCTCTTTCATCCAATCACCGAGCCACTGCTCAGATTGCTCATTTTGGTAGTTGTTGGCTGTGTCGATGAAGTTACCTCCAGCCTCAACAAAGGCGTCAAGAAGAGCGAAGGATTGCTTCTTGTCCATGCTGCCCATGACCTCGGACCATGCATCACCAATTGACATGGCACCAAGCTGCAGAGGAGAGACACGGACACCGGCTGTCGAAGACAGGATGCGCAGTCTGCCGAGCTCGGTGGCTGGCTCAGGTGCGGGCGAGAAGAGAGACATGATGGATGTGATTGGTGTTGCGGCGATTGAGATTTCGCAGAGAGAGATCACTGGCCAGGGAGCAGGGGAAGGGATTCAGATTTATACTTCCATCAAGGTCCGGAGGTAGAGCTGTAGCTTTCCCTCAAGCTCCGTCTGCATTAGATCATCGACGGAGTTAATCATCATGTCCGGCCAACGTCGTTCCACCGGATGTTCTTGGACTTTCGGCCCCTACCCGGACGAGTATGGAGAAGCAGTAGTTGCCTGTCAAGATTTGCAGCTACAGACTCAAATAAGAGACCTTGTTCAAAAGATTCAGGCAAAGGCACACGAAGGGCTTCATTTGTTTGTCGTTCGACAGGTCACAGAAGAAAGAGACGCAGATTGAGGAGATGGCGGAAGCTGTCCTGCCGGGCTTGAATGTGTGGGGACCTCCTGAGCTTGGGCCATGACCACACTCGGTCTCCCCTCGTCGCGTCGGACGTCGTCTCTTTCCTTGCGATCAACTGTGGCTAGCCATATAATTACACATGTCCCCTTGGTCCCCGGAACAGACTCTTACTTTGAGACATGCAGCGATACGTGGACCACAATCTGCTCCAGAGCGAGAAGCTCCCAACACCTGACTTTCGACGACCCTCCGCCCGACATCGACGAACAGCAGAGACTCCCATGACAACACGACAAGAGACATGTATTACACAACCGGTCGACACCTCCATCGAAAATAGCGATAGTTCTTCGTGACAAACAATCATGATCGCACCCTTGACAAGAATCCATCTCGCGTCGCTGCCGAGAGAACATGGGCCTGTTGGAACAAGAGCTGGGACGTCTTGGTCAGAAGATGCACGTATAAGTCATTGGAGAGACTGCTTCCTTGGTCTTATTAGAGCAATCATCGACCCTTCGCTCATCTGGAAGACAATGCATGCGTCGCGCCATACGGTCACTTTCTGGACTCTTATGACGCTTCTGGACTTGCACATGTGCTTCAACCATTTGTTTGAACCGATAATTTATGCGAGTCATGATCATAATCGAGCTTGATGAAATACAACAAAAAGCCACATCCTCAATCAGCCACCCTATCCGTCGCCCACACCTTCTTAGTCGTCCAACTCAGCATAGTAGCTGTAAGGCTGGTTGAGCTTGTAGAAAGCCTCAGGCTCGGGTTGACCAGAACCGCCGATCCAGACAGGAGTAGGCAGCTCCTCGATCGTGTCGGTTCTCATCGTATCTTGGAAGACATACTCGAAGGTCTTTGCCCACTGAACACGGTTGTTCAAACCCTCGAGGTCCCAGAGGTTCTGCAGGAAGTGCAGGAATGAGGTGTGGGTGTAGGCTGAGTTATCGGCATAAGAAGTACCCTGGTCGTGGATCAAGGTGTTGGGTGCGATCCATGGTGAGATGACGAAAGCAGGGACACTATGGAAGAGAGTTAGAAAAACGTGAGAATGATGAGCAAGAGAACAACACACCGGACTCCCAAACGGGTAAAGTCGTAAGTCACATTGTGACCGTCGCTCAAACCGCTGAAGGTCATGCCGTCTTGAGGAGCGGGAATATTGACAGGCGGGCTGACGTGGTCGGCGAAACCACCGTGCTCGTCAAAGTTGATGATGATCAATCTTTCGACTCGTGTCAGCAACGCATCGTATCTCAGATTCGATGTAAGTACTCACGTTTCGTTCCAGTACTTGGATTGTCTGACAGCATCATACAAATGCTTGATGAGCTGCTCACCAGCTGCCATATTCGAGGAAGGGTGCATCGAGTCGATGGTGCAGCACTCGGGGTTGATGTAACTGAATGTAGGCAGGGTGCCGGCCTCAAGATCCGAGTAGAACTCATCTGCGTGCACGAGCTGGTCCATGGCATTGTCCTGGACCCACTTGTACATCCAGGCATCAATGATATCAGTCTCGTAGTAGTTCTTCCAGGTGATGTTCTTGTCAGAAAGAGACTCGAAGATGGACTTGGCACAAGTGGTTCCGGTCACATTGGCAGGCCATCCAAAAGCCTGCTTGGTGTTGTCTACCATTCCACAGGTTGAGCCCGATGTGGCGAACTGTCTGTTGGGGTTGGTAGGTCCAGGGTGCTCAGCGTGGTAGCTGTCCCAAAAGCCAAAATTCTTTCCAAGAGTTGCAAGTACTTGAGACTTTTCTTGCGAGTAGGCTTTGATGACAAAGGAAGCATCGCCAGGGGTCTCGCTGTACTTCTCGGACTGGCGCTCGATGAACCCTCCCATATTAGGTGTGTCATTCTTGGAAGGGTACCAGGTGCGGTAGATCTCGTAGGAGGTACCGGCAAAGTTGTGGTCAGGATCCTTCAAAGGAACCTCATCTTCATATGGGCCAGCGCAGATATCGATGGGCTCATTCCAAACAGTCCCTAATTGACTGGTAAGCACAGGTTTAATGTTTCGGGATGATTGACATACAGTTTGGGTTGGTGTATTGGTTGCAGTAAGTGATGTTTCGAAGGTTGTCAATGTCAGGGTGGAAGTCCCAGTATCCGGCAATGTTGTCGAAACTGTGGTTCTCCATCATGAGGTACACGACGTGCTTGATCTGTGAGATGCGTTAGCCCCACGAAGCAACTCCGTTCAAGAGAGAGGCCTACCTTTCCTCTCAGATCAGTCCAGGTCGAGTTCTTGGTGGTCATCTGCTCTCTCATCTCCAGAGCGCCAGGACCCATGTAGGGCAATGCAGAGGCAAGGCCCGACAGAGAAGAGGCAACGGCGAATGCGGTGGTTGTCTTCATTGCGAAGTGTACGAAGAGCTGAACGAGTTGTCTGTCAAAGGCATTGTCGGGGTATCTTGGACTTTCATCTTATAGTCTCACCTCAATGCTTCGCACAACCGATTGATCAGCAATGGCAACAGGAATTTTCCCACGTGTTGTTTGCAGTCGCCTTTCACGAACTAATTCCTGCGGATTTGAAGCCTACCTTGCGCCCCAAGTGGAGCTGCAGATTGTTGAGCATGTTGTTCACACGAGCAAGCCCTGTGCGATGTCCACAAGACAGCGGTAAAGCGGAAGCAGAGACGGAGTACGAATTGAAGCAGCCAGTGAACGAGCTTGAGAGCAGCACGTCGTGTTGACAAAGTTGCTCGTGTATACCACGACCCCACGTAGGTCCTTTAGGCAGGTGGGGCATGATCATCGGCGACGAGACACTTTCGGAAGGTGGGTTGATAATAAGGTCGCGACGATAGGTTGATTCCACGAACGCCTCATGTGCCGAGACCCGTGGCCGGACGGCATGTCCGGCAAGCATTGGAACAAGCTCAGACCCTGTATATGTATCCGCGGGTCGTCAGAAGATTTTTGTGTAAGCAGCATGCTTGTCAAAACTTATACCAGCACGTTGCACGTCTGATAGGTTAGCAATTACTTCAAGCGACATGCACAACCCCTCAACAGACGGCATGGCTGTGGAGCTACGAACCACCTTGATCAACATGTCCTCGGGCAAGGACAAAAACATTGAACAGAATATAGGATCGCATTGATAATCCAGCGTCTTGCAAAAGTCTTGCAGCAACGAATGTTCATTCCACCTTTTCCACACAGTCAGACAGAAATCACTCCGGCTTTTGTTAAAGCGACTTTTCCTGAACTTATCACTCCTCTACCAGAAATGTCTTTGACTTGGGTCAAGAACCTCTTAGGGTCTTCAGAGACTCTCAGCGAAAAGTCGTACGCCCAATTACGGTCGTCTACTGATGTCGAGTCGCTGGCGTCAACACAAGTCGACAGTCCGCTTGAGACAGAAGATCACAAACTCAAGACCATGATTGATGCTCGAGTCATTTCGGACGCGATCATTGGTCTTTCTGACGGTCTGACTGTCCCATTCGCGTTGACAGCGTACGTAAAGCAAGAGTATAGACAGCATATACCAACCAACATCGATTGGTTCTGATAGCCATCTTGTGGCCTTACGACTGCTGTTTATACGAAATCACTCACAAGAAACATGCTAATCGTACTCTTGTCTTTAGAGGCTTGTCGGCTTTGGGAGATTCGAGGGTGGTCATCCTCGGTGGCGTCGCAGAATTGATCGCTGGTGCCATCTCCATGGGCCTTGGAGGATATCTGGGAGCCAAGAGCGAAGAGTAAGTTTCTTGATCTCTTCATTCTAACAACAATATTTACAAAGCTGACATCCAATCGCAGAGAATCCTATTACGCTACGTTGTCCTCGACCCGCACACAAGTCGCGGAAACACCCTCCGCCGCTGCGAATTCCATTTCCACCATTCTTGAATCTTTCGAATTACCAGAAAACCTCGTGAATGAGCTCAGCTTCCATCTCACCAAATCACCGCATCTGTTGGACTTCCTCATGCGCTTCGAACACATGCAGCCAGAGCCAGCAAGCTCGCGAGCAATCACCTGTGCCATTACCATCGCACTTGGATATCTCATTGGCGGGCTTGTCCCTTTGATTCCTTACTTCTTTGTGCCTCGGGAAGATGTGCTCTTGGCGCTATATTGGTCTTTTGGTGTTATGTTGAGTTGTCTGTTTGTTTTTGGATACTCAAAGACTTGTTTTGTTGCTGGGTGGAGGGGCAAGGAGAAGGTTTGGCAGGGTGTGATAGGTGGTTTGCAGATGATGTTTGTTGGTGGTGTGGCAGCGGGTTGTGCGATGGGGATCATCCGATTATTCCACAACCTTGCGTTAGATTGATCGAGGTGGAGAAATGGGGTTTGAGCCCTATGATTGTCACTTTTATTCTAATGATATCTGCCAGAGTTTTGAGTTTTTGCAATGCAGAATTTTTTTTGGATCAGATACATATCCACGGAGACAAGCTTAAAATGGCTTCTCCCTATGCACAGTGCCTTTGTCTTTTAATCATCGTGCATTGCTACAGCTTCTACACATTCAATCGACAAGGCTCGGAACAGACAACTTGACAACTTTGTTCTGGAAGAAATTCTTGATTCTTCTCTCTCTTCTCTCTCTTCTCTCTCATCCGGTTTTCTCGATTGTTCATATTTGCAGGAGTACATGGTCAGCTTCGAGCCAGAGTTGCATCTATAGAAATATCAGGGAGATGGATTCAAGTATACCATATATAGAAAGAAATTGAACACTTTGAATTAGAGCTTTGAGTATTCTCTAGCTTCTAGTAGAAGCCCAAGTTTTAAAGTATTGTAGTATAGCAAAAATCTGCAAAATGGTTTAAGCTAGTTAATATATTATGTAGCTTTAATAGTATACTACTAAGTAAATTAATTGACCTCTTGTTAGATGCTTTTCCAACCGGCAAACATAAAGATCGCAGGATCCTGACAAGGAAAGCCGCATGCTCCCTGCGCGAACAACCCGAAATGAGCACCTGTATTGGGCGATTCTTTGCCAGATTTGCGCATTGTAAGAGATTCTGTTGAGATATAACCCAGATCGACTTCTTTCTGAGAGGCAATGGAGAAAGCCAGCCGATATCCCGAAAGCCGAGAATGGACGATGAGGTCTATCTGGACAGAAACTGTTAAGGGGAGTGCGTGCGAGGTATGTTCATTCACATGTTAGTCTGTGATAATCTTGTTAGGCGTCCGAAGAGAAACATACCACGAATTTATCTTGCTTCACATCATATGCAGCACAGTGTATTTCTAGCCCTTCCTGCTCGGTAGTAGACCTTCGGATCCCGATGGAGGCATGCGCCTGTTATGACCATCAAATGGCAGTGCCGGCTTCATGTGCACGTTTTGACCGGTCGAACATCAATCTGGTGCGCCACTTAACAGAGTGCTGCTGCTGCTTTCGTAACAGCATAGCTGGGCATTCGAAATCCGTAATCTGGTATGCATTTCCGAAAAGCGCCAGCTGTCCTGGCGAACTCCTCAGGTCGTGGAAGGCTTTCAGTGGGGTGCGCAGAGCGTACCAGCTGATGTGCAACTCCAAATCATCAAAATCGTCCCGCCATGAAGATGGTGGATCTAGCAATGGCAGTCCTGGTCCCTCGCATGTCAGAATGATGGGTTCGCGGTCATTAATGACGGACCAACCGTCGTCAGACCACTCCATCAAGGTTTCTCTACCCAAGCTTGACAACAACTCGCCCACCGCGCCTTGCGGTCGTACACCCAGAAGCACAGCCCACCGGTTACCCTCTGTGTCTGTGACCATGTCCATATGGCCCGTGTTCCTGATCTCCGCGTGGTCGTCCTTGAAAATGAGTGGGTTAACCGTCCCCTCTGGTCCTGTCTCCCACGAACCCAAAAGACCAGTCGTTGATCTCGAGATCCACTGCTGATGGCCTTCGTCTGTGCCTCCTTTAGCAGTGGACAGATACCAGTATTCGTCCAGCTTGAAGATGTGAGGACCTTCGGCGACACCATTTGGTGCGCTCCAAATACGCACCCAACTCGAGGGTGATAACGAGTTTCCAGAATCTAGGTCAATCTCGCAAGTAGATGTGGCTAGACATAGCCCACCCGCAATGACGCTAGGGTCGCGGACCATGTTCACAGTTGAAAAGTAGGTCTTGCCGTCATCGTCAAAGAACAGCTATTTTCAGCATTAGCAGAGTAATTCATAAGTATTGCGGCTTGTTGACTCACGTCTTGATCGATTCCCAGTACATCGAAATAGGTGGGATCGCTCCAGCTCCCGCGCTTAAAGATGTCGTCTTTCCACACCTGAAATCCACAAGGTATGGTAAGATCCTGGGCTGTCATCAGTGACAAAGCTACACTGATGCAGACAGTCCACTCACCCAAGTATCTGGTCGGAATCGTTGTGTGACGCCGACAGACACGTAAAAACGTTGTCGTTGCTTGTGGTATCTCGATGTAGGCGCCCATACACCACCACTCGGTTCGACGGTGCGCATGTTGAGCTGCGAAGATCTTGTCAAGACATGACCAATCAACTCCCATTGGATCAAGTTCTTTGAATGGTAGATTGGTATGCCAGGAAAGTACTCGAAGGGTGATGTGACCGGAAAATAATCTGACCCGACACGAATAATGGATGGATCAGGTTCTAAACGGGGATGATTGGATTTCTGAAAGATACAATCGACGCCATTAACGCAAGCTTGCTCTCCAGGAAGTCAGTGTGTATAGGTATAGGGTTAGGGTT